GTTGTTGCGAGGATAAAATGGAAACAGGGGAAACTATGTAAGCCACTTGGAATTCCTTGGAAGAAATCTGGGAAATATATGCAAGAAATCAACAAAACAAACCATAAGAGAAAGTGTATGGCTTGGTTAGTATGCCAAAAAGAAAGAAAGAAATAGGCAGAGGGATAAACCTTTTGTTCTAAGATCTCCAAAATTAGGAATTTCAAGATTGGACAACATCTCCCAAGGACCAGAAAAGGAGGTCTGCAGTTCAAAGGGCACAGCACCTCCCATGGATGCAAAAGGTCCCAGGTTCAGTCACCAGCACCTCCAGATAGGCCTGGGGACAGCTTGGCTGAAATCCTGGAAAGCTGCTGCCAGTTGGTGCAGACAACATTGAGGTAGATGGAATAATGGCATGACTCGCTACAAAACCATTCCCATATCTCGAAAGGAGATATGGGAGAGCTAGCAAAAATCAGAGAGAGAGCCTCACTCTGTGCTACCAAAATGATCCCGGACTGGGAATAGGATGAGCAATCAACCTAGAGGCAATCATAGAATGGTAGAATTGTGCATCTGGGGAGATCCCACCCCAAATATGGCGCATGAAGCCATCATGAGTAAGGTAGGTGTTGCCCGCAGGCAGAAGCTCCTGTCTATTTATATTTTGATAAAGCAGGTCTGACTCATATGGAGCTAGTGACATCATTGAATCGAAGTTGTTCATTCAGGGCATGTCTCATCTACTGGCAAGCTTACACACCTTGAGATATGGGTGGGTTATGCACAGACATAGCACACATTTCCTGCTGCGCTCCCTGCAGCCCCCAGCAGAACGGAAAATTCCCTCTCGGCTGCTTCCTGCTGAGGGGGGGGGGGAGCATAGGTACTGTCCTATGGTGAGGGACTGCAGGGGGGGGATGCATTTGGACTGAGATGGAAGAAGTCCATGAGTGCCTCCCAGTGCTCCAGTTCAGGCGAATCCCTCTTCTCTCCTCTCCTTCCCCTTGCCTCCCCCTCCCCTTCTTGAATGACCTCATCCAAGGAGCTGCAGCAGGAAGGCAGGAAATGGGTGCTCACCAGACCCTCCTTTGATGTGCTGATAGGTCGGTGTCAGTGACCAGGCGCATCTCCAGGCCCTTGCCAATCCCAGGCAGACAGGATGGCTCCCTCCCTGCAACAGGAGAGCATCCTAGATAGGGATCGCCTACTTGTCATTCAAAATGCTTGATAAGGAGGGGGGCTCCCAGAAGGAAGAAAAAGCTAACCTAGGCAGGAATTGGGAAATAATGACACAGGATCCAACAGAGTCCTGGATGATCCTGCCTCTTGCCCAAAGCTCTCCCTGCTTTGTCAGTTCTTCAGTCTCCTCTGCATCCGATTTCTACTCTCTGAGGCTTGGTCTTCCCATCCCTGGCTCTTGATGGTGCATCTAGCCGCCGCCCCTCCCCTCCCCTCCCCGCCATGCCATCCCTGAGCTCTTTCCCCCATCTTCATCCCACCCTCCATTTTATTCACTTCAAATCTCTCCTCAAAACCAACCTATTTATTAGAACTCTGGCAGAACCATGGGCAGTACGGGGGGGGGGAGGTAAAGGTAAAGGGACCCCTGATCATTAGGTCCAGTCGTGACTGACTCTGGGGTTGCGGTGCTCATCTCGCTTTATTGGCCGAGGGAGCCGGCGTACAGCTTCTGGGTCATGTGGCTAGCATGACTAAGCCGCTTCTGGCGAACCAGAGCAGCACACGGAAACGCCGTTTACCTTCCCGCCGGAGCGGTACCTGTTTATCTACTTGCACTTTGATGTGCTTTCAAACTGCTAGGTTGGCAGAAGCAGGGATCAAGCAACGGGGATTTGAACCGCTGACCTTCTGATCGGCAAGTCCCAGGCTCTGTGGTTTAACCCGCACCCCCCCAAAAAAGGAGCTCATCCCCCCCCCATTGTAGACTGTTATTAACTTACACTGTTATTTTTCTTTCATAGTTCTTAATATGTGGAACACAACTCACCCACATAGAAATATATTTTGCCCCTTCTATGCCCGCCCACCCATTTTTTTCTGGTGCTACCACAGGGCACAACTTATTCACTGGCATACCCTACTACTATAAGTCTGTAATTTAAGCCTAAACACATCTAACTGAAACAATCACTTATTGCTTTCTTAATCACCGTGCCCCCTTCCCAGCTTTCCCTTCCTTGGTCATTTCCTTGCTTCCTAGCTGATCCACAGCACACATTCAAAGCACATGAGGTCCTGCAAAGAATCTTGGGAGCTGTAGTTTCCTCTGCACAATTCCCAGTGCCCTTAATTTTTAGACTGTAAGTCCCTGAAAGCAGGGACCTTCCCTCTTATACTAAGTAAGGCATCACACACCCTGATGTGCTGCATGTCTGATTTCCACAATGATTCAGTGATGAAAGTCCCAGTCACAGGAAAAGAGTCAAGAGAAACAGAATGAGTTTCAGTGTTTCAGGTTACAGTGGAAATGGCCTTGGATGGGAGCCACTATTTTGCCACCAGGCACTTAGACTGAGGTCCTCTTGGCTACCTCCAGTTGTGGTTTTGTGCAGGAAATGGGAATGGCCTGATCAATGACTGTAACATTCCAGTTCTTTCACTATAGTGTGCCCTACCCTCTCATTCATGGGCATTTGGAAGGGGGGGGGACAGCCCATTTTTCTCTTTACAGACCAGAAGAGAGATAAAGAGAGGGGGTTTCCCTTTTGGGGTTTAGTAGCTTATGTTGTTATCCATCTAAAGCCGCAATCTGACATACTACTAGCCTCTGCACCTAGCAGATTCCAGATAGAAGTCTCAGCTCTGGGGAATGTGGGACAAAGGGAACAGAATGTTTCCGTTCTTTTCCAGAGCTGGCAAAGCAAGTGACAGGAATCCCAGCAGCAGTGTTTCCTGTTCACTCCTTTGGCACACAAACATCTCCATACCTGCTGAAAGACATCTGTGCCAGAGCCTCATTCCTGGCATTCTGAGGAACTGCATCACAGTCTGGAGGGTTTTTCTGGAAGCAAAACTCCTGAGATATAACTAGAATCATGTGCTAAATTTTGCAGCCAGATCCTAAACTGGCTATGCTCTCAATCTATGGGACCCAATATAAATTTACACTTCTCAAAGACCTTAACACCTTTCTTATCACTGCAGACGTAGAGAGATATTTGAAAAAATGGTGTTCAAAAGGGTGTGGCACTTATGTAGCTCTTTCTGAAGAACTGGCCCACTAGGCTCAGAGTGCTCAGGGGTGCTGCCAACAGAACTGATTCTATGAGACTTCCTAGCATTCATCACGCATCACCATGAGTGTTAACTGATGGAATCTCCAGTATCTCATGCACCTTTTTGGAAAGACACTCTCCTCTGATTGCACAAAGCCACTCTGTTCTCATCTACACAAATATATAGCCTGGAGTCTGTATTGCTCTAATATACCATTAGTTCTCCTATTTTGTTGTATGCTAGGGATGGGAAACCTGTGGCTCTCCAGATGTTGTTGGACAGCAACTTTCATCACCTCTGCCACTGCCCATGCAATTGGTATTCAGAAGCATACTACCTCTGACCGTGGAGGTGGAATGAGGAATCAGGCTTAGTAGCCATTGGCAGCTTTATCATCTTAAGAATTCATCTAACCCTCATTTATACCCATCCAAGTCTGTGGTGATCACTGACTCTTGTGGGAGCAAATTCCATCATTTAACTATATGCTGTTTGAAGAAGTACTTTATTTTGGATGTCCAGAATCTTCCAACATTCAGCTTCACTGGAAGCCCCCAAACACCAGTTGGTGAGAGCATGGTGCTGATAATGTCAAGGTTGCAGGTTCGATCCCCATATGGGACAGTGCATATTCATTCCTGCAATGCAGGGGGTTGGACTAGATGATCCTTAGGGTCCCTTCCAACTCGACAATTCTATGATTCTATTGTTATGAGAGATGGAGAAAAACTTTCTCCACACTAGGCATAATTCTATACACTTCTCTCATGCTGCTTTTCATGTGGTGTGTGGGTGTCAGGTATAGTGTTGAGTTGTACTTGTTGCTCACAAACATTACCTTGAAGAAGCATCCATCCATCTTCATCTCATATACAGTGGTACCTCGGGTTACATACGCTTCAGGTTACATACACTTCAGGTTACACACTCCTCTAACCCAAAAATAGTGCTTCAGGTTAAGAACTTTGCTTCAGGATAAGAACAGAAATCGTGCTCCGGCGGCATGGCGGCAGCAGGAGGCCCCATTAGCTAAAGTGGTGCTTCAGGTTAAAAACAGTTTCAGGTTAAGAACGGACCTCCGGAATGAATTAAGTACTTAACCCGAGGTACCACTGTACAAAGAACAACTGAGACATATAAGGGATGAAATAAGTAAGACAGAGGTTACAGAAAGGGAAAGCGTTACCATTTCCCACTGGGTATTGTGAATGTCTCCTTTTAGGTCACTAGAGAGGCTGCCTTGAACTGGAGGACTCCTGCCGCAATTTTCCCGCAGAGACCCTAAAACCTCACTAATGGGTTTGCCACATGACTAGTGGCTACGGAGAATCACTTTCCGGCTCTGATACAGACACCGAGCAGCAAGCTTTGCATCTCTTTTCATCCTTTCTTTCACCAGAACAAAAAGGAGTTCTTGTGGCAGACGCATTTTGGCAGGCGCTTTTCATGGACTTGCAACCCACTCATCAGGTACACGAAGCACCCATCTTGCTCAGCACAACCACAAAACATGAGTTGCAACACTGAGTCAATTAATAGATTAATTGGTTTAAAATATTTCAATCAATGAATTGGGCAAGAGATTTGTAAATGTTTTCAAACAGCCAGTATTTTAAAAAAGATTGTGGTGTACATGACTGCTGAGAATAGATGTCCCCTCCTCCGAGTAGGGAGGCTGCATTTTTGAAGAGGACGTCCCACGCAGGTAGCAACTACGAACAATGGGTGCCTTGCAAAAATCAGAATGTTTTTCTTCTTATAGGCAAACATATTCAGTTTAAATTGATGAATGTATTGCTTAACTAAACAAAACTCAAAATGATTAATCAAATGAGTCTCCTTTAACATGCAACAACTGCAATATAGATGCAAACTTCTCTCTGAGTTATGGCATATTGTTGGTGTTTCAATGCCTATTGAAAACTCTTTTATTTCCCCAAACCTTTGTTGGCAATTATTATCTGTCTGTTTTTAATCTTTTTGCATTGGATTAACTATTATTGTTGTTATTACAATACAGGTTGTGGTTTTGTGGTAGTTTTTATATTCTGCTGTACACTGCTTTATGATTTTTAAATAAAAAGTGGTATAAAAACATTTTTTAATAAATACATACTAATGCACACACACACTAGTGTGAGCTAATTGCCTTATAATAAATAATAACAACAACAATAACAACAACAATAATAATAACTTATTACTCATACCCCGCCCATCTGGCCGGGCCTTCCCTGTGACTCTGGGCCTTGCCCATTTTTAATTGTTCCACTTCTTCCCTTGCTGACTTCCAGATATTTTGGACTACAGCTCCCAGCATCCCTGATCACTGGCCACACTGGCAGGAACTAATTGGAGTTGTAGTCCAAAAATAAAAAATAAATCAGGCAGGTGGGAAAGAGTGTCCCAAGGCCTCTATTCCATTTCTGAGTGGGTGGGTGACTGTTTCTTGTTTTCTAAGAGCACATGCATGCACTTGAACACTATGGCACCATGCGGTGCACAGCCTGTCATTTCACACACTACATCTGCTGGTGGATATTTTAAATGCTGAAAACATACTGAAGGGCAATTAACACACATACCCCACATATATTTAACCAAAATATTAGAATCCTCTTGTATTGAAATCAGTGGAGAGACAAGCTGTTGCAGAATAAAGAAATACAACAGGCACATACCCTCCAACATTTCTCCATTGAAAAGAGGGACGTCCCTTTTCATAATTATAATTTTACTATTTATACTCCATACATCTTACTGGGCTCCCCCAGCCACTCTGGGCAGCTTCCAACATATATAAAAACATAATAAAACATTAAACATTAAAAAAGCTTCAGGAAAGCTACAGGATTGCCTTCAGACAGCTTGGGGGTCGGATAATTCCATACCCTCCAACATTTCTCCAGCGAAAATAGGGACACCATCAGGAAAAGTGGGACATTGCAAGATCAAATCAGGAACCAGGACGGCTTCTCTAAATTGGGGATGTTCCTTGAAAATAGGGGCACTTGGAGGGTCTGCAGAGCCCACGACAGTGTGTAACAGGTACGGCGAACCTGTGGCCTTCTAGGTATTTTTGGAGACTACAACACCCATAACCCCTGATCTTTGGCTAGGCTGACAAAGAGGCTAAATAAGAGTTGCAACGAGAGAACCCTATTGGGACACCTTAAGCTCCTTGGGAGGAAATAACAGAATCACAGAGTTGGAAGGGATCACGAGGGTCATCTAGTCCAACCCCCTGCAATGCAGAAATCTTTTGCTCAAACCCACGACCCTGAGATTAAGAACCTTATGCTCATGTGCGATACAAATGTGAAAATAAAGAAAATTACCAGCCTGCGCGTCGCTATGTCCAATTTAGCACTTCAGAATCTCCAGGTCTCAAACCATGGAACATATACTCGGCGCTAAGCACTAACAAGAGAGCATCTGAGCAAGTGCAGAGTGCTTTCCCGCTACCCACAAACGGGATCACAGGGGGCAGGACTTCCAAGCCGGCGTCCCTGGGAGTGACCTCCCTGATCCCTCCGCGCCTCGAGGCGGGCGGAGGCGACGGTGGGGCAACAGGCCGTCGCTGGCGCGAAGCAGGCGCCACCCAAGGCGCTCTCGGGCTCCAATCAGGCGTCGGGGCGGAGCCGAGGCTGGAGCCGGCCACTGGGCTCGCTCTGCCTGCGGGATGCTCGTGCTGCGGCTCTTGCTACCGAGCGCGCCGGGGAGGCGCTGAAGATTTGGAGCGAGGGCGCCGCCGCCGCCGCCGCCGCCTCACCAGGCCAGGTGGACGCCTATGAGGGAGAAGCGCCACCGTCCCTGGAATCGGCGTTGCCTTCGGAGCAGATGGACCCCCAGCTGCAGGAGGTGAGAGCGCGGCGAGGACGAGCCCGAGGGCACAGTCCCGCCCCCTCCAAGCTGCTAGTCCCTCGACACTAGGTCTCCTCTTCTTCCCTTGCCTTTGCTCCCCTCGCCTTCCTTCAAGCGCGGCGGCGGGCGCACGGAATCCCTTTCCACCCGGCCAGCAGCTGGCCGGCCAAAGAGGAGGGGTCGCCCCCGGTCCCCAGGCGCCCCTGCTAGGCTCGGCTGGGCTGCCGTCAAACGGCTGAGCGAGACTGCCCGGGCGGGGGGTGGGTGTGTCGGGTCTCGTTTGGATCCAAGGGCCTCTGGCGGAGGGTCGAGGCTGAGGCCAAGGGCTTCTCCCCCTTTAGATCCAAGGAGCAGAGGGGGGCTTCTCTGCCCATGAAAGGTAAAGGAGGGGCACCATCCTCACACTTAACCCTGGCATTGGGAAGAAGAGGGAGGGGGAAAGCTGCAGGGTCTCCAGCGGAAAACAGAACCGGGTCCGATGGGGACCTTTTGGGAGCAAGGGGTGATGATCCGTTTGCTAGACCGGGGCTATGCTTGTCAAGCTTCGCTGGGGCAGGAGTTTCCTTCTGGGAGGGGAGGCGGGCGTGAGACAGTCTGGTTGCTGTGGGTGACCCTTAAAACTGGCCCCGAGAATCTCCCACCCTTCAGCCGGTCTGTACAGTCTGTTGGTGTCCAAGCCTCTCTCCAGTGATGACAAAGGAGGCTTTGAACCTTGACTTGTTGGGATCCAGGGGGCAGATTTGGCACATCTGATTTCCTCCTTTGCTTCTGCGAGGATGGGTGCATCCTCCTGTGTGAATGAGTAATATACCCCAACAGACGCATTAAACCCAGAACTCGTTCTGAAATGGATGAGCCATTTGGGGATTTTATGTCTGTCTGTGTTACTAATTCACACGCTGGATTTTTGCTATGCTCATGTAGCATCTACTCCTCTGTTTCTCTGGGGAGAGGAGATGACAGGGTGCTCCCTTGATTGAAAGTGGCACTCAGCTGCTGCTGTGTCTGGTTTTTTGTTTGTTTTTTTAAGTGAAAACAGTCACCTTACCCTCCTCCAAATGAGCAAATTCGGGCTCTGTGCCCAAGGAATTCCCGTCAATACAGTTGAAGAGGGCTGGGGTGTGTGCGCATGCGCATGTGCACATGCATATTTCCACATGTCCTTATTCAGGATGCTGGACACAGGCAGCAGAAGAAAAAAATACTGGGGAGAGGAGGGGGAAAGTGAGGGCAAAGCGGGGGGGGGGGATTAGTCACGAATAGTCTTGCCTGTTGATTCCTGAAAAAGAAATAACTGTACATTTCACATTAACCATCTCCAATATTTCCTCCGAAGTCAGTCTTGCTGACTTTGATGGAGTAAACTTTCAAGTTGTAGGAATCCATACTTATTTCATGTGCCAGTTTGTTATTCAATTATAATTTATACAGTACTGTATGTGAAAGGACCTTTTCTTTAAGTAACCACCAGGGGTCCAGCAACAGTGTGATGGATGAGGGGGGTGAAGCAATTTGCCTGGAAAACACTTGCTGCCTCACTTGGCCTCTACTATTGCCTATGTGTATTTGGGCTTGGTCTTTGTAACCCAGAACACTTACTCCAAGCGCCATTGGTGGCTGCTGCTAAGTCTCCTTCATACCAGGGGCAACTTGGCCTGTTGCAGCCTGCCTTCAGGAGATGGAGCCCAAAGCCCTAGTTTCCCCCAGACCATTGTAACCTGTATACCCCTCTCTTCCCAAGAGCTACAGCTGTACAGACATCTGACAGGTGTCTTATTAATGCAGCAATTGGCTCCTGCTGTGCAAGCAAGAGTGCCTTCTTACTCTGGCCTAGAAGTGCCGAAGAAAACTAAGGGCTGAAAGTGGCCTTGATGTGAGCAGTGATGCTGCGTGCTGCACGGTCTGCTTGTCGCTGCCCTTTTCTGAAGCAGCACCAGATGACTGAGCAGTAAATGGCTAGCCATGGCAGTCCTAATTCTGTTTTCCGGGACCATAGTGCGGAAGAGTTGTGTGGGAGCACAGCTAAGCTGTGGCTTGGACTGGGGGGTTGATGGTCTTTGGGCCACTTTGGCCTTTGGCTTTCCCCTTGACTGATGCTAGAGGTTTTCCCACCCTCTGTTAGTTTCTGGGCCATTAAGCTCAGTGTCTGAGCTGCCCAGGCACTAAGGGAGCAGGAGCAGATAATGGGTTTAAGGGGCTCCATCTTGCCCCCACCCTCTCTTTGTGTTCTTTATCTGAACAGATGTTTTTATGGATTCCACCCTCCTCTCCCCTCTTCACACAGCAGGCCGTGTCTGCTGTTCCCTCCCCCAATTCTCCTTGCACAGAATGTGGCCGGGAGCTGCTGTTGCACCCTTTAACTGATTAACCTAATGCTGCGCAGAGCGTCTGGTGCCTGGCTGTAATTGTAGGGAGCCCCATTAGCTCGCAAAGGAGCATCTTGCCCCCTCAACCCTCTGCGCCCCAGCCAGTATGGAAAGGACTTGAAATGCAGGCAGAACAAAGTATCAGTCCTCCTTTTACATCCATGACAGTTCTTTGCAGCCCTTCACACGCGCTCTCTCTCTCTCTCTCTCTCTCTCTCTCTCACACACACACACACACACACACTGCTCAGTAGAAGCATGGCTCTATAGGGCAGACCCTGCAGGGACCAGGACTTTTCTCAGTAGTCTCCAAGGATAGTTGCAGGTACCTCCAGTGGGTAGTCAAGTAACCAAAAAGGATCTGCACAGGAAGATAGAAATCTGTCTTATTCTGAGTCAGACCATTGGTCCATCCAGCTCAGCAATGTCTCCAATGACTAGCAATGGGTCTCCAGGATTTCAGATGGGAGGACATTGCCAGTCCTCCCTGGTGAACTGGGATCTTCTACATGCAAAGCAGCATATAGCTGCCCTTGGCTGGAATGCCTAAGTTTGTGATACTTTTTTAAAAAAAAATTACTGAAGGGCACTCTAGACCTGGTTAGAGGCACTTTCCATATTATTTATTTATGCATCTATTTTTACATTATCCAAGAGCTACGCTTGTTACTGGAACAGATTCTGGCAGCCCAGCACAAATGCAAGACACTACAACCAACAGGCTAGGTTTGCTCCTTTGCTTTTAAATTATATCCTACTTTTCTGTTGAACAACTTTCCCTGCATGTCTGTGGTCAGGAAGTGGGTGACACAGAGGATGTGATTCTCTGTCTTGTCTGCCTTTGGGGACTGTGGCTCTTTGGGATGAGCAGGGAGGTCTGGGTCAAGCTCTGAGAAGCTGCTTCTCTTTCGACATCCATTTCTGGTTTGAGCGGCTCATCTAAAGCTGTGAGTAAAATCAAACCTAAATACAGCCATCTGCAATTTTTAAAATATAACTAAACAGAAGGGGGGGAGAAGAGCAGAAACAGAAACGAGGCATAGCAGACTAAACAACAACAACCCTCTTCTGAAGTCTTCTAAAACCTAAGAGTTTTCTCCTCCCACAGTGATGGAAGGTCAGGAAGGAGGTGGGCATCTACCCCTGCCCCCCTCCACTGGGGAAGAGGGCTCCCAAGGCCTGTTGGGTGTGCAGTGGCTGAAAAGGTGTCATGTTATCTACCTAACCTTCAAAGATGCCCCTCAGCAGTGAGAGCAGATAGGCTTATATGGAGGAAGATTAGAGAGGGATACAAATCCCAAAGCAAATGCTTTATTTGGTGGGGGAGTGGGGGGAAGAGGAGGAGAGCATGTACAAAGTCAAGACTGAGAAAAGCATACGGGTGGATGGATGGAGGCTGAGATGAGGAAGCCGACTGTGGCAGGAGGGACAGAGTGTGAACTGAGGGGGACGTGTGGGCATAGGACTGCGCATATTTGCTTGCCCTCTTGCCCAGCTGGCTGCCACTTCTGTGCTTGGCATGATTTGCTGGCTGGATAACTTGGCTTCAAGCAGTAGCTCCGTGCTGTGTCTTGAGTATATGAAACAAAACCAAACCACACAGCAACACTCAGAATGGGCTCAATGGCTTGAAGGGCATCTCCTGTGGTGTTGTGGAAGTCCTGGGTGGCACAGAGCCCATTGTGCCTTTTAGTGCCTCTGCATGTACGGTGGGCAGGCTGCTCTGCTCTCTGGGGAAGCTTGCCAGCAGGTGCAGGCACTTCCCTTTGCAGGCAGAAAACCAGAGCAAACGGTTGAATGGTTGCTTTGCTCTCCCTTCCCCCTCCCATCTCAGAGAAGCCAAATCTTCCACAGTGGCCTAGTCACCCTGGCCTGCTTCTTCCCTGGACATGTAACCAGAAGCAGCTCAGCAGAGGAGAGGTAGAGGTGGAATGAGGGGAGGAAGATGACTGCAGCTCTGTGCCAGGAGGAAAGTGGCTTGCAATCGCAATGAAAACTCCTGCACAGCTGGATGTTTGTGAGAGAAAGAACTGGGTGGTCGGGGAGAGAAAATGGTGACAAGGGGTGTCTAAAGGGAGTTGTGACTATGACAGTGTTTTCCCTGTATATCTGTGGGCAGGAAGTGGACGGCCACAGAGGATGTGGTCCTTGTGTTTGTCTGCCTCTTGCTCTCTGCCTTTTTTGTGCCAGGGCTTTTTTGGGATGAATGGCGGGGAGGCCTGGGTCAAGCTCTGAGAAGTTTCTCCTCTGCTCTCATCATCCATTTCTGGTCTGGATGGTTTGTCTGCATGTTCCAAAACTTTGTGCCTCGCTTAGCTCTCTGATGAGTTAGGTGGCTGCATTTTTCCTTACGCCATCATCTTCCCAAGTGACTTTTCTTTGGTTGAGAAGATGGTGGAGCCACAGACCATGGAACAACCTATGTCTAAAACCCCTTTGTTGACTCTTTTGCCTCCTGAACAAGTAGCTTGCCACCATAGAAGGGAATAAAGCATGTTCAGCATAAGTGAAGGTTGGGTTATTGTATAGCATGTTTGGCCAGGGAGATGGTTGCCTCACTGCTCTCTTCCTGAGAGACAGGGGTGATTGATGGTGTGTGTGTTAGGGGTAGGAGATGTAGTGCCCTCCAGATGTTTTGGTCTATGACTCTCATCAGCTTCAGCCAGCATGGTCAAGGATGATTAGAGTTGTAGTCTAGCAACATTTTGAGGGCACCACACGACCCCGCTGAAATCAGGAGGCGAGCGTGGCACTGACTGTCTTTATCTTACTGCCCATTTTTTGATGTAAGAGTGCTGAACCAGATGTTGGTTTGATCTCACAAGACTAATTATTATTTGTTCGTTTATTACAACCCAGTCCTTTCTTCCGGAGAGTATAGGGTTTTCCGTTTTATACTAAAAACAACCCTGGAAGGTAAACTAGACTAAGAGAGAGAGAGAGAGAGAAATAGGCCCAAGGTCACCCAGTGCAATTCATGGCTGAGAACCTCCTTGGTCTTAGCCAGCACTAACCAGTATATCTCACTAGAATTAAATTCTTATGTTCAAGACACACACCTTTTTGGATATATGGCAGGGAAGATAACATGGGTCAGAAACAAAAGCCTCAGGAGTAGTGATCAAAGAGGTTCCTTATGGGCACTTGAAGGATATTAAATGTGATATGGAGGCATACAGTGTGATTGGCTGAGCAATTGCACTTGCATTCAGAAGTTGGTGTACAATCTAAGGGACAATCTAAGGCTGAGTGCTATTGCGCTCAGGTCCTGCTTTCAGGCTTCCCATGGGCATCTAGCTGGCCGCTGTATATGCAGGATATATGCAGGATATATGGAGTAGATAGGCCAGATATATGGAGTAGATAGGCCAGAAGATCCTGCAAGGATCTTCTTATGTTCTTATTTCACATGTGTGTATTTTTCACTTGTGTGCCACATCAATATTTTCCTGTGTAAAATGCCCATTGTGGTTCATATTGCCAGACACCAGCTCAATACACAAATTTGGTGGCAAGTTAATGAGTGTTGAGTATTTGGCTGGGGAGAGGACAGAGAAGTGAATCAGCTCCTAAGAATTTCTAACTCCTTCCCCACCCCCTTTTAAAGATACCAATGTGTCATTCATTGTAAGGCTACTTAACCACTCTGAAAAATTAAGTTTCCAATTATATAAGAAATATCACTTCAAGAACACAGGGTAGGTGTTTGGGAATGCTTTATTATTATTATTGAAGTAAGGTGTTGTTGCATTGCATTGCTTTCTGTGCCACCTCTGTCTATTAGCACTCGGGTTAATTGCAACGTGAGGTAGTACAGTTAGTTATTACACTGTGAATCCAACAGCGTCACATCACATTAGCAATAAACAATTAGCAAATATAGTGGACCACAGTTTTTGTTAGGAAGAAACAACTGGCAGCCCAGCAACTCAGGCTGGCCTCCATAGCATCCCCCATGGCCTCCGATCCCTGGGATGTGCTCCCATTATTATGCACCTTCTGAGCCCCTCTTTCTGAGGCAAACCAACTGGAGTCTTGTCCAAAACTTGCGTCTTCTCACCTTCAGAGGCTCTTCCAGAGTTTGTGCAAACACAACTGAGATGCTGAGTTGCAAGAGAATTTTAGTAGAGTTTCTGTGGCTGTTCATGACAAAGAGAGGGATATAAATAATGAGCCCTTTGCTAGTGACTTGGACCAAGATGCTAACGTTCATCAGGAGGAGACACGATAAGATCATAAAGAAAGAAAGGGAGGGAGGGAATCAAATTGGCTCCAAGCCAAAGGCCAGGCGGAACAACTCTGTCTTACAGGCCCTGCGGAAAGAAATCAGATCCTGCAGGGCCCTGGTCTCATGAGGCAGAGCGTTCCACCAGGCTGGAGCCAGAGTTGAAAAGGCCCTGGCTCTGGTTGAAGCCAATCTAACTTCCTTAGGCCCCGGGACCACTAGGGTGTTGCTATTTATGGACCTTGAGGCTCTCCGTGGGGCATACCGGGAGAGGCGGTCCCGTAGGTACGAGGGTCCTAGGCCGTGAAGGGCTTTAAAGGTCAAAAGCAGCACCTTAAATCTGACCCAGTACTCTACTAGGAGCCAGTGCAGTTTGAAAAGCACTGGGTGAATATGCTCCCATGGCAGAGACCCCGTGAGGAGCCTTGCTGCAGCATTCTGCACCCTCTGGAGTTTCTGGGTCAGCTTCAAGGGCAGCCCCGTGTAGAGCGAATTACAGTAGTCAAGCCTGGAGATGACCGTCGCATGGATCACTGTGGCCAGGTCGGGGCGGGAAAGGTAAGGGACCAACTGCTTGATGCGGCGAAGGTGGAAAAATGTCGCCTTGGCTGTTGCTGTAACTTGCGCCTCCATGGAAAGGGAGGCGTCAAGGATTACACCCAAACTCTTAAAGGAAGGCAATGGCACTAATTGGGGCCCCGCAAGAGAAGGGAGTTGGTCCCTCATCCCCATGCCATCCCGACCCAGCCATAGGACCTCTGTCTTCGAAGGATTTAGTTTCAATCGGCTCCCACGAAACCATCCAGCCACAGCTTCCAAGCATCTGGTCAGTGTGTTCGGGGCCGAGTCGGTGTGGCCATCCATCAGCAGATAGAGCTGAGTGTCATCAGCATATTGGTGACAGCCCAGCCCAAAGCTCCGGATAATTCCCAGGGGAACTGAAGTTTTCTTTAAGAGTGGACACACTACTGCTTCCTTCATTTCCCCTGGGAATGTCCCCGTGTCAAGGGACAAATTGATTATTTCAAGCAGGGGGGTCCGCGAAACATCTGGACACTCCCTAATCAGCCAAGATGGGCACGGATCAAGGAGGCAGGTGGTGGGCCTACCAACTTGGAGGAATCTATCCACATCAGCAGGGAGTATCTGATCAAAATGGTCCAGCACTGGACCTGAAGTCAGTCGAGGGGCCTGCAGTTCAGTCACTGTATCTAAATTGGCAGGGAGGTCATGGCGGAGCAACAGGACTTTCACCGCAAAAAAAGCTCGCGAATGCCTCACAGCTGTGGGTCGAATTTGTGCTTAAATTTGGTTGTCCTCCTAAGGACGTTATTGACCTAATTATTCTAAAAAGTTGTGCCGGGCGAGAGCTAGCGGATACAATGGAAGCTGCAAAGTAAGATTTCTTAGCAGCTTTCATAGCCCTCTCATAGGCTTTCATAAGCGTCCTATAAGATGTTCTTGAGGCTCCGTCACGAGTCCGTCGCCATACTTGCTCTACCCGTCTGAGATCCCGCTTCATTTTCCGGAGCTCCTCAGTAAACCAAGGGGCCCGGTTTCGATGGGGTCGCAGAGGGCGCTTAGGCGCGATCTCATCAATGGCTGCCAAGAGCCGGTTATTCCAGTCCTCAACAAGGTCATCTAATGAGTCGCCAGGAGGAGCAGGGTCCCGCAAGGCTTGTCGGAATCTATCAGGATCCATCTGTTTTCGCGGACGAGCCCAAGTAGGTTCGCCACCCGAGCAGATGTAGAGCTTGCTTGCTGGATCAGGCCAATGGCCCATCTCATAGTGGCTAACCAGGCTGCCTGAGAGCTTTACCAGAGCCTGCTCACCCTGGCAAGGAGAGGGTTAATAAACCTTTGTCTGTGTTTTGACATGTAAGTGGACCCCTGTTTAAAAAAGCAATAGCTGATCATGAATCTAGGTTCCTTGGTTTGTTCCTATCCCCTACCTAATCACCCCCACACCGATGTACATCTGGATTTTTTTAAACCTTGGAGGCTGGGATGGGTAGGTTTGTGTCCAACATCTACTGCTTTCATTTCCTTTGGATTTCTCTTTCCCCATCATAGAGAGCTCCAGTGCTTGAATTTTGCCAAGGTCATTCTTGAATTTCATTTGTGTCCTCTTCCAGCATTTGCGATTCCCTGGGGGACACGAGGGGGAATGAACCTTGCATCTATTCTTAGGCAAGGGAGAAAGGAGGATCCAACAAATCATGAACCTGTTAGCTTGACTTTGGTCCCAGCCTTTTTTGCTAGAACGAATCGTAAAACCATCCGTCTTGAGGACGGAGCTGATGTCACCCTGGAGGGGTAGCGTTGTGGTGTTTAAAACAACAGCAGCCAGCACAGCTCTGACGAGGATGCTTCGTGCCAACCGGCCAACGGGCGTGCGCTCCCTCCTCTTTCGAAAATGTGACTGGCCTGATCTATGCGAGGAGATGGGGGAGGGATGCAGTTTGCAAATGCACCTTGTCTTTCAGTAAAGCACTTTGGCACAGCTCCATACAATGTGCTCATGCAGAAGCTCAGAAGTGTGTGGCTGCCTCGCAGCAGCTCCACCAAGCCCACGTTTACCTATAAACGAGCTCCCTGCTAGTGCTTATCATTCTAATAGCTTCCTATAAAAATAACAGCTGGAACATTCACCCAGATCTTATTTTGTTGTGCCCAGAGCATCCAAGCTTGTGATAGTGCTCAGCTCAGATGCTGAATGCAGATGTGTCTCTGCTCAGATCTTCCTAGTATGGCACAAGAGAGAGAAAGAGAGAGGACTCTTGGAATGAGGAACGTCCCATAAGATCAAAGTCAAAATGCTACTCTTTGATTGTAACAGAAATGGAGGAAAGTGTGTAGTGCATGACTGGTTCATAGTCACAAAGAAAGAGAGTGGAACGGAGCCCTCGCCATTTTTAACCAGACATGTGGATTCATCGAAAGCTCCTTTGACATGCCAGTGTTGTAAAGTAGGTGTTCAGCCTCTTCATCAGAAGGCGAAGGCTCCAGAAACACAAACAATATAATATTAAATAATAAAAGTCCAGAGAGCTGTATTTTGAGAATTTGATAGTTTTCCATAGAAACGCATGTCATTTTTGGATCCAGATATCTGGTTGCACTTCAACCAGTGCAATGCCAGTGACACACACTGTTCTGCTTTTTCTTATTTTGCCCCACTCTTCTATTCTACTAGCTGTTTGTATGGCTGAGAAAGGTTCAGATACAATTCTTTTTGGCAAGCGTGGAAAAAAGAAGCAGCAGCAGCTTAAGCTGAACAAAATTGGAATAAAAGACCTATAAGTCTGAAGTGGACAAAAATAATTCTGTCACATCTGCAATGGGATCTGAGTATGACCCAAATCTGAGAAACATTCATTTAAAAAAGGGGGGAAAGGAGGGGTTACTGAACAGACTATTGATTAAACTGCTGGCCTTCTTTCACTTGTGTGTTAACAAAGGAAATCAGTAGTGAATAGATGTTTTAAGAAATATAAAGCTAGGAAGCCATGTAGTTCTAATACTCTATTGGCTTTGAAGCAAAAAAGCAGCTGTTAAACATTTCCGGCGTTCAGAATTTATTTTTATTTTTTATTTTAACCCTCATCCTTCAGACATGGCCAGGTGAGCTGGTTAGCACAAAACTCTGATGTTGGCAATGTGTTCAATGGATTGCCCAAAGACATGAATGCACCTGCCGCAGATCAGCAGATGCAGCAGCCTTCCCCAACTCAGGCAATGCCTTATGGTGACTTGCTATGCACAGTTCTAGGAAAAGGCTGTGGCAGATGGCGCCATTGACTCCAGCACCAACCCTGTCGGGTAGCCTGGAAGCAGCAGAGTGTCATGTCCTACTTCTCTCTCTGTTGGCCACCACCCACATATGCAACATTTATTCTATTCTATTCTATTCTATTCTATTCTATTCTATTCTATTCTATTTATTACATTTATATACCACCTTTATCTTCCAAGGAGCTGAAGGTGGTGTACATGGTTCTCCTCCTCCCCCATTTCACCCTCACAACAACCCTGTGAGGAGGGTTAGGCTAAGAGATGGTGAGTGGCCCAAGGTCACCCAATAAGCTTCATGGCTGAGTGGGGATTCGAACTCTGGACCCCGGTGAGTTCTGACTAACAGACGACTTTGTCCAGCCAACAGGAGGAGAGGGGCACAGCCAGGAAAATGGCCAGGGGTCTAGAGAATGAAGCAAGCAAGGTGGCTACAGGAGGGCTGTCTAGGTATTAGACATCAACCTTTCCTCTGAGTGCCTATTGGGGAGTTGGTGGGAATGACCTGAACCTTTCCACCCGGACCAAAGGGAGGATGCTGGGCAGTATTGCCTTTGCCTTCATCCTGGATTGTCTCTTACAGGCAATGTTGTTCTACTGAACAGGACATCCATCAAATATCCAGTTTCAGACTACTCCCTATATTGAATGACATTTCTGCAAGAGCTTGCAGGATGAGGTGTATGAACAAAATGGAAGGAGTTTGGGTCACAAAATACAAATTTAACGGGTGTCTATATAATGACCCAAGTTCACACATGCATGCCATTCTAGTCACTTGATTATTTAATGCTTGTAGTACTGTTCATTTGACCAGCCTGTGAAGTTTGAGTTTGTGTGTTAGGGCATTTGTAACTGCAAACCCCTCCCCTTCAGTTGGTTGCATGACTACATTATTTGTACACATGTAGGGTTTATGTGCATGATGAGGGATCCCATAAAAAAGCAACCAATCAAATGCATTCAGGGTGAGGGAGGGATTCCCCCCCATCCTATTCTCTCTCCCCATTCTCCCCAATTTATTCTATCCTGATTGGTCATGTGGATAGTCCTATTGGTTTAAACTTGTTTGTGCTTCAAGTAGTATATACATTCTGCCTGTGCTATTTGATGCCTGTAACAACTTATTCATGCATGCAGACCACCAGCTGATGTAGAGCTAACCACACAACGAATATTCATCTGTCAACTATCCTTAAAACAGGCATGGTTCTATATTGACACAGTTCAGTATCCAAAGGCACCATCAACAGTTGGGAGAGCGTCTGATGGGCCAGGAGAGAGCTGTCATTTGTGTCTATGTAGATGGAAGCAAATATCTGTACATTCTCCTCATTTTCAGTGATGGAACAACTGCTTGGTGTAGCTCAGTGTACGAATTAGAATAAATTATACATATTAGAATTCTACCAAAGGGCCTTTGAAAGTAGCATCAAGCACCAGGCATCTTAATACCATGCTGCTGAGTAGTCTCCACTGTCATGGTTATCAAGGAAGTCTGGATCGTGGAAGGAATTTTAACCTGCTTTACCAGACCTTTGAGTACAGTACAATAAGTTGAATTCTCACCTCTTCTAGATTGTGGAGAGGTAATGTGGAAGAAAAGTTCAGGGGGAGTCATCAGTGTGGAGACAAGAGCTCCTTTCCAAACAGACTACCTCTTGCAATCCACTCATCAGAATTTGTGCGTATGTAAGAAGATGGCAATGGTTTTACTTTGATTTTTTTGATGCTGACCCCATGCGACATGCTGTCGCTGTAGATAACAGTGAGGAGTGCATTTGCACGTTAATTGCCGTGAGGTGACTGAATAGATGTTGCTCTGTGTTTTCTTTTTTTGAGAGAGAGCGCACAAAGCAATTGCAGAGTTTCTGTGGAAGCAGAGTGGAATTGAATGTCAAAGGGAACCCTGAATGCCCACTCTTCAGCAAAAAACTCCCCAGTTTCTTTGCTCCAGCAAACCTTGTTGCCTTGATACACAATGAACATGCAGTGTTGCTCAGCAAGGTGCAAACACTTGGTGGATCTGGGCAGAAGGGTGACACGGGAGCTCACCTGCAGCGCTTTAAGATCCCAGTAAGGCGACTACTAAGCAATTCCCCATATTGCCATTTGTGGGAAGATTGGATGCAGCTGCTACTACAGCTGAGGACACTTTTGAACCAGAAGATCAGGGAGCTGGAAATTAGATTAGTCTAAAGGCATTGCTTGATTCCTGTTCCCTGGGGCGGTGAGTCTCCAGTCAGATCTCGCTGCCTGTGACCTTGCCTGGATTTGCAAGCTAAGCACAGCTGAGGAGAGTGGGTGGGTCTCTGCTGCAGGGAAGACCTCCAAGAAAGGAAGGGCGGTGTCAGCTGGTTCGCCCTGACCTGCAGCCACTGATGGCGCAGCCTGAGTTTCTCATCTCCCTTGTTATTTCCTTGCTGCTTGCTGACAGGGCAGCCTCCCTTTTTTCATATCAATTGCTCTTTTAGGCAGGTATGTATGTTGTCTCATTCTTGAAAGTGAAGAAGGTATATCATCTCATGATTTGTTAGTCTTGCAAACTGGGAATTGCTGCAGTCCCCTGCAACCCACCTTTCTCTACCATGAAAAAAATGACACTGACACAGAGAGGAGCAGGATAATTTGTACTTGGTTTCCCTGCTGTCCCATAAACCTAGTTTATGCATGGCAGTATCACATATATAATTACAATTGGGTGTATCTAATGTGAGCAGAAGTAGTAGGTTCCACTTAAAAGATGTAAAGGGATAAAGTCTAGCTGGAAAATGCTGGAAAAAGAGTATCTGAGCATGTCAAGCTAACAGATGGTGCTATTTTTTTTTAAAAAAAAAACAGAAAATAAAAATGAATGTGAAACTGAAGATAATAATGAATAAGCATAGAGGTATTGACTATTGCTCTGCCATCATCATGAATTCAATCTCTCTTATGAATGCCAACTTAGTACCTGTTTCAGCACAAATCTTATTCCTAGACTAAAAACAAGTTCCGTATCTTTTGCTCTATAAGACTCACTTTTTCCCTCCTAAAAACTAAGAGGGAATGTGTGTGCGTCTTATGGCGCGAATGCAGGCTGCGCAGCTATCCCAGAAGCCAGAACAGCAAGAGGGATTGCTGCTTTCACTGCACAATGATCCCTCTTGCTGTTCTGGCTTCTGAGATTCAGAATATTTTTTTTCTTGTTTTCCTCCTCCGAAAACTAGGTGCGTCTTGTGGTCTGGTGCGTCTTATAGAGCGAAAAATACGGTAGATGTCACCCACACACAAAAAATAGTGCTGTCATTGACCATGAGTCAGTTCTAACTATTGTACACTCTTGTATCCCCCTCTCTCAAAGCAACTCTAGAGAGCCATAGCAGAAGATTTTTCCACACAATAAAACATTGCAGTGGTTATGAAAAGCAGCATTCACACAATAGAAAAGAAGTGCCAAACAAATGGATAAAACCTGTATACTGTATTCATTACCGTTTTTCCTTCTTCAGGTTTCTAAATGTGTTTGCAAGGGCATCCCATTATTGCAAAACTGACCAGTTAAGAAGTCTCCTAAGTGTTATTGCCTTGAAGCTTATATGAAATTTCTAGCTAGCCCTTACTTTTGGAGCACTTCATCTCCTGCTGATTTGCCTCCTATCTCTGCCTCTTCCCATATATCCCTTCTTTCCATTTTGCAAAAGCTCATCATCCTGGCCCATTCACCAAGCTGCTTCCTCTGGTCAACTCCTGATTGGTAGTTCATGCTCTCTTGTCACACTATTAACTGTTTTGAATGGTGTGGCTGAGCCAGTTCTGAGGCGGGACAGTAGGGAGCATGTAAAGGCTGAAGACAGGCTCTGTTTGGTGTGAAGAGAGGCAACAGGTATCCAGCCTAAGAGGGAAGGCATGCTTGTCGAGGTTCAGGGGAAGACCAGAAGGCAAGGTGGTGATGGTGATAATGATGATGATGATGGGTGTGAGATCAGGCTGTGGAAGCGCAATGCTGTTCGAGAAGTATAAATGAAAGTCCCCATCTACGATCCATGTGGTGTGGCCTCCCTTTCTGAAAGCCATTATTGATTCCCTCCTCTCCAAACCTTCCTTGGGGACTGATCAGATAACCTTTTTTTCTCTTGTGGGTATAGTGGATGCTCTTCCCACTGGCAGTGCTCTTACTCCTGCTTCCATTAGCTAATTTCTGTTTATATGTATCCATCACTTATTCATGATCCGTTGGATCAATCAGAAGATGCATTTGTTGAAACCTGATTCAAGCCTTATGTGGAGACTGTAGGCCTCCCCCAATGCTGAGGCCAGGAGGATAGGTTAGCTATTTTGATAAAAGTCTTGTAACGTGGCCATCAAACCACAGGGCAGGAACTTGGTTCTCGGCTCTTTGTTGGCACATGCCAACTGTAGTGGTTCAAAAAACTCTTTCTTCCCAAGAGATGCGCCATAATGCCCAGGGTGTTGGACTTCTGCTACCAAAGACAGCAGGACAGGGATCTATCTCCTGTTTTAGATAGTGTACCCCCAGGTGAGTCTTTCACTGTACATCTTCTACATGGGTAGACTCTGTACATGGGTGAACCAGAGTCGAGAGAAGGACCATCATTCACTTGTAAAGCACACAGAAGGTCCCACATTTAATTCTTGGTGTTTCTCGTTAAAAGAATTAAACAGCAGATAATGGGTTCTGCCTGAGCTCTGGAGAGCCTCTGCTAGCCATGTTAGCCAAGACTGCCAAGACTGAGTGACTTCACACTGTATCCTGATTTGTCATCTTATTGTTGTGAGTTAACACATCTCAACAATTAAGAAAGTACAGTGCTTACCATTGAAATGTGATACAGAAAAGCACGCAGAGGGTAGTCTTTCCCATCACCTCTCAAGTCACAGGCCAGACACCAAATTGAAAGTGGTTGTTTTTTTAAAAATGAAAAATCCCAACATTCCCCACCCTTTTCATCTTCTGGTGTTTGAGCTTTTCAAGTACACTGTGCATCATGGGCATAAGCTGACACATTTTTAGCTCTTGAGTCAGGATCCCATGAAACTCCAGAATTTTGCAAGAGCCTGAGGTGTCTTCAGGAGAAAGGTTCCTCTGGTACATCTAGTCATGCAGCTCATCTGCAACCAAGAACAAACATGAGCTAAATCACCATGGGGAGGCATAAAGGAAGCAGGCTCCCTGCATTCATTGCCATAGCTTGCATTGTAGCATCCTGGCTCTCGACCAGCCCCCCACCCAGGCTGCCCTTCTGCTGATAACCGCAGTGGCTTTGCAATCAATCCTTCCTCTGTAGGTTTCCCATAAACTAGGCTGGCTCTTCTTGCCTCATGTTGAAATCTCTTTTGAGGCGGTGCAGAGCTAGACATGATTTGAATGTTGATATTCATCAAGCTGGATATTAAATCTCTTTTGCTAGACTTTTTTTAAAAGACAAAAATGCTGTAAAGATATTCATATGTAGGTCATACTCTCTCCCTATAACATTTCTGTGAAGCCACACAATTTGGTAGTGACGTGGAGTGGAAAAATGGAGGGGTTGCTTAACCTCTTCACTGATTTGCTGCATCTGTGCTCCAAGCTGCCCTCGTGAGTTGCATTTTCTCCCGCGGGGTTGCAGAACATATTGCTCAGTGCTTTTTTTCTTTAAAAAAAATGTTTAGGGGTACTCTCATTTTCCTACTCATATTGAAATACTGCCCCTCAATGAGGCCAAACTTAGATTCACAAAATGTTTAGAGGTATGCGTACCCTTGCGTCCCCCCCAGAAAAAAACACTGATATTCCTGCATTGTATTATTGCAAAGCGGTTAAAACTCATTGAATACCATTTAGAAGTAAGAATTTGCTTGTTCTGATTTTGCACACTGGGTTTAAATCAATATTTCCTGCTACTGTAACTCTGGTCATGTCTGACCTCTGAGGGAAGAGCAAAAGTCCCATCTCCAATGCGTGACCTGTTTGCAGAGAGGGACATTTGCTACTTTTATTAGCAGCAAATTAGGAAACATGTTCCTGAGTGTGTATATCGAGTGATATCTTTTGGAGGTCAGGGGAAGCCCCCAATTTGGTTTCATTCCCCCCCCCTTCGGTTTGGCCTTGTTTCCCATTTCTGCTCAATTTCCTCATTTCGAGAAGATGGTAAAATATGTACCATTTAAAAGGAGGATCTGGAACAAGTATTTAGAGGAGACCATCTGTGTGAGGACCTTTTCACAGAGCTCTTCCCTCCTAAACCTGGTCAATCCTCACCTGTCCTTGGCCAAGCAGGGGGCTGTGTTTCCTGTGGGAAGGTGTATTGCACTGGTGGTGCTCAGCTGCAACCAGCAGCCATTTCTACAATTGTCACAGCACCTTCCCCAGTCGCTGTGTGACTGTAAGAATCGTTGCTGACTACCTACACACTGCCAGTTTATGTTATCTGTTTCTCCACACAAATGTCTGCCTGAGGATCATCAAAGCTGCATGTAGGAAGATGGTGGTGAGGAAAGTATTTTTTAAAATATTGCAGTTGCATCCCACCTCCTGCCAAGGAGGTAGTATAGTGGTACCTCGGGTTAAGTACTTAATTCGTTCCAGAGGTCTGTTCTTAACCTGAAACTGTTCTTAACCTGAAGCACCACTTTAGCTAATGGGGCCTCCTGCTGCCGCCGTGCCACCATCGTGCAATTTCTGTTCTCATCCTGAAGCAAAGTTCTTAACCTGAGGTACTATTTCTGGGTTAGCGGGGTTTGTAACCTGAAGCGTATGTAACCTGAAGCATGTGTAACCCGAGGTACCACTTGTAGTGGCATTTTTGGCCTCACATGAGACACTATGAGGTACATTGGGAGGGAAACAATGTAGGGGCAGTTGTGTAAGAGATTTGATTGGGAGAGAGGAAGGGCTGCATCTGGGGATGCGAGAGGTCTCATTTAGGTCTCATTTAAAGCCAAATCTGTCAAATCTGCACTTTATGGAATGATACGCAAACTGAAGCACAGCTATCCTTTGAAATTCACACTTATCCAAATGTTGCTATGCAGTTTCCCAACTGAACAATGTTTACAAAAATGCAGGTATGAAGGGAATGTGTATGTGGGTAGGTTCTCCTATTCATTTACAGTGGTACCTCAGGTTAAGTACTTAATTTCTTCTGGAGGTCCGTATTTAGCCTGAAACTGTTCTTAACCTGAAGCACCACTTTAGTTTGTGGGGCCTCCTGCTGCTGCCGCGCCACTGGAGCCCGATTTCTGTTCTCATCCTGAAGCAAAGTTCTTAACCTGAAGCACTATTTCTGGGTTAGCGGAGTCTGTAACCTGAAGCGTATGTAACCTGAGGTACCACTGTATTAGTTTTCATTGGCGGTGTGGGAGCTTGGTGGGCCCTGGGAAGACCTAGTATATGTAGACTGCAGCAACGGGAGGAACTTAAGCCCTGTTTACTGACTAGGTAGGTCTCAGCATTCATGGCATGTGTGGGCCTGTCTGCAGTGTGCCTGCAGGTGTATGCTTGAAGATGCATTGGAGGCATGTGTAATGGGTGGGGTACAGGGCCTGGCCCCCAAATACCGCTCCCATTGTGCACACTTCTTGCATTAATTGAACATGGGAGCTACACTTCTGGCAATTACAGTCAGCTAGTAAAGTCTCACACTCTACATTTTCGCAGCTTGCTACAGAAATGTAAAGAAAACAAAGCAAAAACCCACCACAAGACACCATGTTCCCTGTGATGATGCAGTTGGAGCCTGTGTAGGCATGCATGTTTCCTCATTTCTCACCATTTCAGGACTTGGTGCCATCTGATGACAATATGTGAACAGATGCCGTTGAAAAGCTTTGTCCTAAAGGTGACACCTGGGCTATGGACAGTCCCTCTCTGGTGGCTCCTCCACACCAGTCATGGCTAACTGCTGCAGTCATTCAGAGATGCCCATGTGGGAACCAGCTTCATTTCTGGAAGGGAGGCTGCTTCCGCTGATGGTTGAGGGCAATTGCAGGAAGCAACATTAGGGGTAGATATGCGCACGAGTTCACAGATAAGTTTGGTCAGGTGTAGAGCGTATGGCTTAAATCCTGCTATGATTGGTTGCAGGGAACACGTGTGTGGCTGCAGGAGCAGGACCGGCTGCAGCCCTGCACAGTTGGCTCTTGTGTTGATGGATCCGTGCTCTTCACTTCAGACTATGGCGAGGTAAGTGAAATGGAAACACAGCATTTTCATGAGCCGCCAAAGGAAACCCTTCCAGGTCATTCCCTTGCACATTTGGGCTAAATAAAAGCTGGTGGCTCAGGAGACTCTTTTTTCCCTCTCCTGTGGCCATAATATACAGCACCTTTAAGGTTGCCAAGTTACAAAGAAAAAACCTTCTTTGCATTCTTCCCTAGGTGGCTTTTGCAGGTATGGGTTTTCTTAAGGCTTTGTCCTCCTTTTCTTAAGGCTTGCAAATTGGTTTTTCCTTGAATTACGGCTGCTTGTTGACATTGCCACAAAGCACTTAAATGCTCAGGAGAGGCGTCTGCAAAAGCCAGACAGACTGAAGGCTTTGGAAGCAGCTGTATGCAAGCAATTCACACCTCTTAGCATTTCTAAAAGTGGCTGCCTCTGAAATTGGTGATAATCCCTGTAGGGATGCGGGAGTCAGTCCACTTCCACCTCCCTTTCTCCTATAATCTCTGGTTTATGTAAGGAAGGGAGGGAGATTGGCATCTTTCTCAGACCCTCCCATAGCATATAAGACAAAATGACTTCATGAAGATCAGTTATTTTTATAGTGTTACTTCCAACTATTGGGGCCTGTTAACAGAGTGGCACAAGGGTAGGGTTTCTTCCAAGCCATTAGCTATCAGACTTTCCCTGTGCAGAAAATTTGTATTCTGATTCCCCTTCTGATATAGGTAACTATCAATATAGATAATTAAGTGCAAAGTGTGGAGGTAAGAAGCTCATCTATACAAAGATGTCTCTGCTTGTAAAACACAATGAGTCACTTCAGTTCACTGTTGGGTGAACTCACCCAGTGGTGAGTCCAGATGTGTTCACTGAGAGGACTCATTCATCGAAGCCTCCTCAATGTGTATAAATCATGTAGGATGGCATTCAGCTTAAGTTTTACTCAAGAGTAGACTTGTTGAAATGAAAGGACCAAACTTTGTCATGCCTAGTAATTTCAGTGGCACTACTCTTGAGTAAAACTTGGTTGAATACCACCCATGGTTTTAACTTATTTCTTATTGTAGAAATAAAAGTTTACAATAGATGTGAAAGGACAAGGTAAATACAGAAGAGTTGTTGACCCCTCCCATTTCCTGTTCCATACCTCTCTATACTTTTGTATCTTTCAGCCTCTGGAACTGAACTGGGAACAGTGAAAAATGGCTGGGGGGAATGAACAGAGGGGATGTTAAGACATGGGAGAGGAGAGGGTTCAGTGTCCCTCTCCCTTGCACTCCTTTTACTGTTGAGCCCACCCACTTCATAAATAAGCAGGGCAAGAAACCTGCCGGCCATTTTGTTAGAAGAGAGTCAACTGGATCAACTGCCAGGACTTACTGCCCCCCACAGAATCTTGCATCTCTACATGCACCATCTTTTCCTTCCCTCCAGGTGTTCTGCTACCCGTGGGCCTCTGTGCCCAGAGAGAAAGTCCTGCCGATGCATCGGTCGAGTATGGAGGGGGTGGAGGACATGTCCATGCTGGGGGACCTGCACGAGGCGGCCATTTTGCTCAATCTGCACCAGCGCTACCAGCAGGACCACATCTATGTGAGTGACCAAAGCAGACAGATTCTTTGCTAGCCAGAGCAGAAGTGGCCTGAAAAGAAAGCTCAGCTGCATGACTGTCCTTTACCCCATCTCACCCGATTTGGAGACCTCTTAACCATGGCTTGGACAGGAGTCTGTGTCTCCTCCTGGTTGTGCTTGGGCTGAATCAAGTTAGTATTCCTGGGTCTCTCTGCACACATTTGGAACGCAGCATCACAAGGGGATTTTATGCTGAGTATAAGGCACAGCTAAGGCCCTGTCTACACATGCAGGTGTGTGTGTGTGTGTGTGTGTGTGTGTGTGTGTGTGTAATAGACTATACCATTTCAGATTGCAGGTGGGGAGTAACACACACACACACACACACACACACACACACAAATATAGGAGTGCTGTTTTTAATGCTTCCCTATAGTTAAAGGAAAAGCCTGTATGTTTGGAAAAAGACCCACCCAAAATTAGCACACCAGAGAAAGAGTTTTTACCCTAGCCTGTTCTGTAGGTACTAGTTTTCTACTTGCAAGGGGCATTTTTACAAAAGGGAGCATTCAAAAATGCTATCCCATCATGTGCATTCCATAGCGATATACTCTATTTTGCCATTTTGGAAACTACCTCGTTCTATTGAATGCCTAGTCTAGGCTTGAGTGTCCAGGAGTAGCTACTGGGCTGCTGCAGATGAGAAATGCAGTAATGTTTGCCATGCCATCAGTGGTTGGTTCTCTTTGCAAGAGGACTCTCAGCAGCTGGCATTGAAGATGCTCCAGGTGTTTCTTCCTGTAGCAGATTTCCTAGGTTGAATGACAGACATGTGCACCAGAGGCAGTAAACATCCTCTTTCATCCTGCTTCAGGAACTGTGTACCGGAGGCAGAGAAATGCAGGGGGCTCTGTGCCATTTATGGTGTTTGCAAGATTACCTGGGACTGCGAGAAGGGCCATGAGGCATGCTCCTCCTTCTTTCTTACCTGTGTGCAAGCCCGTTCAAATTCTGATATTGAAATGTGGATCTTAGGCTGTGTTGCATAGCAACTGTTACTAAGGCAACAGGACTGTATGCATCTTGTATTCCAGTAAATGATCAATTAAGTGACCCGATTTCTGGGAAGCATCTTCTCCATTTTGGGCAGACAAGGAAGTTGCAAAGTCTGTAATCATAGTAATGAATCTTTGCTGTCTTGTGATGGACATGCCTTCTCTTTCTGCTCTCTTGACCCAGGTCTATCTCCATCCTGCAACCTCTCAAGTGTTCCCTGTGCAAGCAGCTCTTTACTGCCCAGACCTTTACAATCGGATCTTACCCTCTTGAACATCCCTTTGACAACTGCCTACCCTAATTTCCTCAGTTTGCTACTTCTTCCCTCCCTCCCCCATCTCTCTTTTAGCTGTAAGGAAATAGAATAATAATTAGCATTTGCATACCAGTATATGTTTAAATGATCAGAGAGTATTTTGCAGACACTGTATTGGGGCCATCCTAGAACTTATACAAGACGCGGCACCATGGCTGCTCCTGCTCTCTGTTTCTTGTAATATCTAAGACAGATAGTATATGACACAATGTCATTGCACTGTACATTCCCCCATCCCTGCCAAGCAGTGATGCAAGGTACAGGCAGCACACACACACACACACACAGTGCACTGATACCCCCACCATACATGGTTTACGTTGGATTTTTCCAAGGAGTGGAGAGTGTGAAGACACTCAGAAGCAGTAGCTCAGAGTCTCTTGTAAAATCTGGTTTCAGTAATCCAGTGACAGCCCTGTACATTCAGTGTTATTATCCCCATTTTGTAGATGGTGGGCTGAGAGAAGATTTAGGCAGGAGGATGTATGCCTGTGGATATTTTTTTAAAATCCCAGGAGGCGCTTAAAGATTTATTGTGAGAGGCAGTAAGTCCTGACACATTTCAGACCCTTGGGGCAAAAGAGATTACAGAAAATTTAACTGATCTTTTCTTTTAAAAAAAACCAACAACAACAATAAAAAACCTTCATTCTGCTATAACTCATTTTCCCTCAGAGATGGGTCTATTACACTCTGAAATACAAAAGACTTACTGGTTGCCAACCAGAGTTTAGCGTGGCAAGTTGCAGTGAGCTTTCAGTATGTGCACTCCCCTTCTCTCCTCTAGCATAGCCAGGAGGAGGGAATTGGAAGCTTTAGCTTCTGTTTTCAGTTAGCCAAAGTTTTAGTGTGTCATCTAAACCCCATGGTTAACTATGGTTTGTTGAAACAAGTCAGCTTCATAAACTATGGTTTGAAATTGGGTTTCAAACAAAGCATATTTAAAATTAAGCACACTTTGCTAGATTCAGATGTCATAGCAAGCTGAAGTTAATTTAATCAAGAATTGAAAGCTTCTTGATGGCCTCTTGTGACTGTGCCAGAGGAGGAAGAGAGGGGTGCACAAGAAGGAAGCTAGCCTTGTTCCCACAATGCTAAACTGTATTTTTTGACATCAGAACCAGGCCTGCTCCTGCCGTGCTACCGAAAAACAAGACACCATATGCCTTTGGTGTTATGTCATGGTTTGCCTCCCTCAAACAAACCACGAACCAAGAAGAAACCTTGGTTAGAGTTCATGGTTTATTTGGAGTGAGGCAAATCACAAGCCTGGATTTGGATGTAACATTGGCTTAGCTCTCAGCAGCATTGCAGCAGGAGGAAATGAAGTAGATTTTCTCATTGTGCCCCAGCGTGGTTGCTTGTTCAGTGAACCAGGCCGAGTGAATTAAAGACTACTGAGCAGTCCCCACCACCACCACCATGAAACATAACCACCAGCTCCCCAGCTTTCTTTCTTTTTTTCAGGAAGAGTACATCTCCATCATCTTGTAGAACCTGACACATGAGGCAACATGTACAGGCACTGTTCTTGTTTTCTGAGAAACTATCCTGCTTCCCCTTTCGGTGTTTTTCTTTGCCCACCCCACTCCTAGAAACATCCTGGCCTACTCCCATTCAGCCAAGCCTGCACAGTGGTGTCCTGCTTCTTCAAAGCATGGCTAAGGAGTAATACAGGGAAAGAAAGGAACGGGAGAGAGGCCACCAAGGATGATTCCCTGCCCAATCCTTACAGAGATGAGGCTTCCCCTCAGCCCAAGGTCATGACTTGTCAAGAAACCCTAAGAATCCCATAGAGGTTTCCTTGCCACTTGAGCACGATAGTACTGCCCATCTAATGTCCCATCTCCAGTTGTGGTCATCTCTACCTCTGAGGAAGGATTTGGAGGGGGGGCAATAAATAGTAGGAAACATTCTTGCTCCACCCTGGGTAGGCTCCAGTGAAACTTCAGGTACATAATTTAGTATCCCTGAAATGTACTTAGCTCCGTTAAAAAAAAACTAATAAAAAAATCTTCATTGCTGAAGGTCCCCTAGGGATATTCTTCCCAAATATGAATTCTTCTGACCATTAGAATGCATCCTGCATTTTGTTGAATGGGGAGCTTATATAATAGTTTCTTCTTGTTCTCAGTAATGTCCTGTACCCTAAATTAGCATGTCTCCCTCTACATTAATAGCTACCTCCCTCCAATTATTTTTAGAGAGCTGTAATGTACCCTCTTAGCTTCCCTTTTTTTCTTTTCTTTTTTCGGCTGGGCTGAGGAGGCTCAGTCCTTTTAAGCCTTCTTTCAAGACCTGGCCTCTACTTAAAACCATTGATTTCTGTCCTGAGAATGATGGATCCTTTCCACCCTCAGGTATATAATAGCCTTTGATGTTCCTTATCCTCTCCAGAAGGATATCAGTAAGCCCAAAGTAAGTCTGAGGGCCAAACTGTGTGATAGGTGGGAGATTTGTGATTGTTGATCTTACAAGATCTGTGCTTGCATCTCTTTTTGGAAGGCCTTTGGCTGGCCTGAACACAAACAGAACTATCTGTAATAATATGGCAATTCATGTAGATATTTGCAAGAAGGTGACTGAAACAAATCACCCTGTATGGAGCTTATTAGCATTTGAGCACTGTCAGATTTTATGGGTTCAAAGTGCCCGGAGGGAGGTAGAATATTGCCCTCTTGTGGCAAATGGTGAGTGGCGGCTCTTACAGAAGCGCATGTGTACAAATGTATGGAGTTGGTCCCCAGCAGCTCACTAAAACCGCTTGTTTATTTTGCTGTTCTTTCCACTTTCTCCTCCAGACAAACATCGGCTCCATCCTGGTCTCTGTGAATCCCTACAAGCCCATCGCTGGATTGTATGATGCTGATGCCATTGACCTGTACCGCCAGCACTGTCTGGGTGAGCTGCCACCCCACATCTTTGCCACAGCCAGCGAGTGCTACAGCTGCCTGTGGAGGCGCCATGACAGCCAATGCGTCCTCATCAGGTGAGGGAGGCACTTTGGATCAGGAGGGCAGATGAATCAAAGCAAACCCGCCCCCCCAATAGCATATAGTTAAACAATGGAGGATGTAGTGATGGCCGCCATCTTTAAAAGGGATTGGGCAAATTCACAGAGGATAAGGCTCTTAAGTGTTGTACCTCCATTCTTGAAGGCCGTATGCCTCTGAATACCAGTTGTTGAACCAGGGTGGGCAGCTGGCCTGCTGCACCAGGGCTCTCCTTATCTTTTTATGCTCATTGCAGCAAACATCTCCCCAACCATTAGTCGGGATTTTGGGGGGAGTGCTGCACGTACATTCTGGGGCCATTCTTTCTGACTTGCCATTGAGGCTGGCATTCCCTTTGGTTGGTGCTGTCCTGAGCAGGTTGTTTTGGCTGTCCATTTAACAGTGGTGAAAGTGGAGCTGGAAAGACAGAGAGCACCAAGTTGCTGCTGAAGTTCCTATCAGCCATGAGCCAGACCTCACTGGGCGGCCCTGCATCAGAGAAGAGCACACATGTGGAGGAGGCCATCATGGAGAGCAGGTACAAGCCCACACAGCACAGGGTTGGCGTGAGTGTGCGGTTTGGAGGTGTCTCCTCTCAGGGGAGCCATGTCACGGACAAGGGGTAGGACTGGCACTGCAGCTTCCCAACTGTCTGCCTTCTAGTTATGGCCCGCAAACTTCCTTTTTCAGCTAGGGGGCTGTAATGCATAGAGAGTGTCCAGCAAAAGTTCTTATTCCTTGGAATATTTCTGCACTTGATATGGAGAATCCATCTGCCTGACTTTTTCTAGGTACCCTTCAAAGGTTAGCGGTCTGTGCTGTTTTGAACCAGGGGAGCAAAGCCTGCCATGCTCATTCCTGGTGGCTGTTTCCATGTCCATTTCCTCAGGTGTCCGACATGTTTAAGTGGGACTGCTTGGTGCACTAAGAAAAGCAGGGTTGTGCAGCATTAATTGAAAACGTTCACATATATTTGGTTGATTCTGCTTCTGCTGGTCAAGGGGAAGGAGCAAGTTGCAGTAAACACAGACTTTGGAGATATCAAGTCTGTCATTGCAGACATGAGGGCTAGAAACTTGGAAGGTTTGTTTTTTGGAGGGAGTTGTTGTTTTTGTTAAGAGAGAGCTCAGTTCCTCAAAATTTGAAAGGTTTCCACAGTAAACTTGTGCCTAGAGTTAAAGAAAGTGCAGCCTACCCTTATTATACACCCCAAACATCACTACTAATCTCCTTCCTTCCTTCCTTCCTTCCTAGCCCAGTACTGGAGGCTTTTGGAAATGCCAAGACAGTCTACAACAACAATTCTAGTCGCTTTGGCAAGTTCATCCAGCTGCACTTTTCCCAGCATGGGCATATCCAGGGTGGGAGAGTCACTGACTGTATCCTTCTTTTTGGTGGTTTTATCCTTGATTACCTTAGCGCACACCCAAGGCCAAGCGGAGCTGGTGAGTTGGTTGTGTCTCCACTGCTGACTTAGCAGGGTATAATCATGTCAGGCAAGGGGACCTTCCTCCCCATTTTCCAGCTCACTTCCGATTCTGTGTTGAGTTTTCCTTTGCAAAAGAGGGTAGCTCTCTAACCGTTTAGAATCCAGGAGTGAAACAATCCTGGCCTATATAAGTTGGGGACAGAGTTCTTTGCAGCCAGATTCCTATGTCGTTGAAATATTCTTTGGCAGACACTGGGAAGTCTTTCTAGGAGCCATTGTACCATTGCTTCCACCTTAACTCATTGCTCAGATTTATTGGAGAAGGTGAGTAAAGTTTATTTTGACCGTGTCCCCCTTCTTTGCCCCTTCACAATGTCCAGATGATATGGAGATGCTATGATGACTACTCCTGGGTAGAGTACTGTTTCAACACCCCTAAAAGTTCTGCTCAGTAGAAACTCTGGTGTGTCCGCACTACATTAAGCTATATTCCCTTTTTTTTTGTTTCATTTCACTATAAACCTTCACCATCTCAGAAAGAACCATGAGTTTCCCATAATACATATGCTTCCTCATCCTTGAACATCTATGTTATTAAATGTCCTGTTTTGCGCAATTGCATCTGTGCAATTGCACTAATGGACCCACACACAAGACAGTACTGAAAAGGGAGGAGTGAGGCTGATTTGCTTTGCTAGGGAAAAGGGAGTAGTCAGATTCTGAGACTGTGAAGTAGGCAAATGAGCAACGTGTCCCGGTGGGAAAGTGCATGGATGAAATGGTGCTAAATTAATCAAAAAGAAAAAAGGGAGAGAGGCTGCAGTAGTAGTGAAGGAGCAGCCACAAGAAAATGGCAGTGAAGGAAGACAGCACAAGACCTCAGTCCTCCCACTCAAGGAGGGATATAATTTGGCGCATGGAAATGGAGATTAACCAGTGACTGGTTATGGGTTTTAGTGTGGACTTCCCTCATTCTTGCATAGACCCCAGGACCTATTGCATGTCAAACTATGTGGCAATGCACACCTACCTGATTCTTCTCATGCTGTTGATGTAGCAGAAACAGGGCTTAGCACAGTGGCTTTCCTATGTCGAGCACATATTTCATTGCCAGGAGTTCTGCTAGTTTGTGTGTGCCTTTGGGGTCACACACCCTTCATTCTTCTTTGTTTCAGAACAGAGTTGTTCACCAGAACCCGGAGGAACGTAATTATCATATCTTCTATGCCTTGTTAGCGGGCGTCAGCGAAGAACACAGAGGTAATGAGGAATCACAAAGTTGCATTCTCTCATTCAATGAGAAGAGCAATCTCCTGCAGTCAGGCTGGGATGGGGAACCTTTTTGGGCCAGATCCTTATTAGGGTTCCTGACAAGCCAAACTTGACAGGTGGGCAGGACCATTCACCAGTCAAAATCCTTTTGGCACTGAACTTCAGCCAAGGGAGGGAGGCTTGCAAAGGATTGGAACTCTGTGCTCTTCTCCTGGGGGCAGTGGCAGCAGCCAAGCAAAGGACAAGAGCCTCTCCCCACCTCCCCCTTGTTGCCACCCTCCTGCTCATGGGAGAAGCAGCCCCCATAGTCTCGTTTCAGCTGAAACTGGACCAGGGGTTTCTCTTAATGCGCTTCTCAAAAGTGCTGCTTCTCCTGTGAGCTGGTGCTTGGTGGCAGAGGGGAGGGGGGGTAGACTCTTCTCCCCCTCCTCTTGCTTCTGCTGCTAGCTGGAGAATTACACGAGCTGCAATTTTGAGAAGGCTTTAATTTCCGCCCATCAGCTGATAAGTGGAGATTAAATCTTGCTGCCTTTTGCTGTGTGATAGTGTTCCCTGCTGGAAACAGGACATGTGGGCAGGCAGTGCAGGATTAAACCTTGTCCTCCCGCTCATCTGCTCATGTCACCACTGATGTCAGCTGATGAATGAGTGGGTGTGGTTTGGCCTTGCAGACCAAACTGAAGCCCCTGGAGGGCCAAGACTGCCCATGTGGGCTGGAGTATCCCCACTCTTGCAGTAGGCAGAGTGGCTCAGAGAGCAGGCTAATACCCCAGGTTTCAGAGGAGGAACAGGCTCAGAATCTTAAGGATAAAAATTTACACCAGGGTGGGAAACTTTTGTCAGGCTGCGGGCCACATTCCTTTCCAGTCAATGCTCTGAGGGCCACATGCCAGTGGTGGGTGGAGCCAGAGGCGAAAGCAAGTCGAACAGCAGGTGTAAATGATACCTTTATACAGCAGGCCAGTTTTCACACAAAGACCCTTCTGTCTTCCATCCAGGCAAGTGAGAGGCGCTGTCAGCACTCATTCTAGACAGAAACACTTGAGGGATCAGTGAGGTGCGGAGTATGGTCTGGGGAGAGTGCCAAAGAGTAGACAGAGAGGCCTAGAGGGCTGGATTTGGCCCCTGACACACCCTTGCTCTGTACAAATTAATGGTGGAGTCCTGAACTCAGAATTCTAGTTTGTGAATGGCATTTCTCCTACAACTTCAAGAAGGGATATCATATCGCAAGTCCACTCTTGAGACAGTGTATTTAAATGATGCCTTGTAAATCCTGTTTAAGGCCTACTCGTCCCTCTTGTAGGAGACGAGTGCAGAAGGGAGCAGGGAGACACCTGCGTTACCCACAGAATCAATAGCCCAGTTTCTGTACTTAACCATGTCCTTGGACAGTTAACAGAGGCATGATTTTCTCGAGGGCTGGTCAGAGCATTGCTCTCTTCTTTCCACCAGCCCTTTCTAAATCTCCCAGCCCATCACGCCTTTTGCAGCTCCCTGTGCCTTGCCGCTGATCAGATTCAACTTCCCCTCCCTCCTGCCACAGGAAGACTTGCACATTTCCCCCAGAACCCCCTTCTTCCTTTGAGGGATTGTCCGTGACCTAAATCAGTTGAATTAGCAATGGCTAGTTTTCCATGTTACATACCACCACGTTAACCGTAGCCACAAACTCAAAGCTGGGGGTGGGGGTGGGGAACCTTACACTAGAAGCAAGAAAACTTTGGTTGAATTGTTTGAGGAAAATGCCTCAGGGGTTTGTGTCCCAGAAATCCCACGATGAATGTGGGGCACTACAAAAAGCAAGGCTGAAATTGGAATTAGCCATGAAAAATTTGCATTGGAGACGCATCTCAGACTTCCTCGGGCCATTCTCTGCTTGGGTTGTTTTGGAGGGAGTAGCCTTTATTTCTGATGCAGTTGGCCTAGTTTGAGAGGGAAAGGGTGTAGCTTCTGATACAGAGACAAAGCTTTGGTACCCACTTAAATAATACTTTTATCAGGACCCTAGTGAGCCTGGGAATGGAGCTGGAAACCCCTGACCTCAGATTCCAGTGAGTGGAATTTGTGGTATTTCCTCTGTGGTCTGTCTGCAACTGGGCCAAACTCTGCTTCCTAAAAAAAGTTCAACAACTTTCGGGGTGTCCTGGTTTTTACTTTTTGAAATATGGCAACCCTAGATCACAGATTGGCAGAGAGGGAATTTGCAGTGGCATCCAGGAATGCCCCTAGCAGAGTAATATGGTATCTTCACACACTTTAGCAGTCCCTGGGCTGGAGAAGGGGGAATTTCTGCTGGCAACCACAGGAAGGTATATCTATTTGGCAGAATTGCTGCTGTACTTACTGATACACCGATAACTGGGTTTAGAAGTCTTCTGCAATTAGATGCCTGGGAACTGGTTGTTTAGTTCCCAGTATTTTGAGCATTGGGGCAAACTAGACATTACAAGTTACTTCCTAGCAAGTTTATTTGAAAAGAAAAGAAGAGTAAAACAGCATTGGGTGTCTCTAATTTTGAGCAGAGGAGCAGCAAAAGGAGGGTATACTTAAACCGCTTAACCCACTTCCTTTTTTCCAACTCTAAACCACCCATCCAGGCTGCTTTCACCACAGGTTGGCCACTGTGGGAAGCAGAATGCTGGACTAGATAGGCCTTTAAACTGACCCAGCAGGATCCTTCTTATGTTTTTACCTCATGGATTAAGTACCCCTCTCACTTGCCATTCAAAACTGCAAGTTGCCAGGGCTGCTTACAATTTAAAAATGGCTTATTTCTGCTGTGGACAAGACAGTTACAGGCTAGTGTTGGCTCCCCACAACTTATTCCACAATATATTGTCCTTGAGTTGTTGTTGTTTTGGGGGGAGACTGCCATGCTGTGGTTTGGTCCTATGATGTTGAACTGGGAGTGCTGTATAGACAACCCCAGAGAAAGGAGCAAGTGGAAGAAGAGTTGGTTGCTTTCTGGATGTCCCTGGCTCATCTCTCCCTGTTTGTTTGCCTCTTCTCTCCCCCCACCCTCCTACCCCGACCTCCAATATGTTTGCTTCTCCTTTGGGGAGCTGCCTTCCTACAGAAGCCCTGGTCCTGCTGGAGCCCAAGAGCTATCGTTACTTAAACCAGTCTGGCTGTGTAACCAATGAGAACCTGGACGACAAAGAGATGTTCAGCAAGGTCATGGTGAGTCTTCCTTTTGACTCCAGGCAAGACTTTAGGCTAGGTGTGGGTAAGCTGTGGCCCTCCAGATGTTGCAGAACTACAACTCCCATCAGCCCTAGCAAGCATGGCCAATGGCCAGGGATGATGCATGTTGTAGTTCAGCAACAACTGGGGGATACAAAGGTTTCGCACACCTGCATTAGGCAATGCTGTGAGGGCAGGGGGCTCTCTCTCTCTCTCTCTCTCTCTCTCTCTGCATGTGTGTTTAAAGGGAAAGGTGTACCTGTTCCTTCGATGAAGACTAAATTGCAAAATAACTGAATGCAAGAGGATCATTTTTCACTCTTGATGGCTGTCTGTACGTGGTGCCTGCTAATTGGGTGCTTTGTTTGATAGCAATTTAGAGAGGCTGCTTAGACTAAAGTAATGGTAGCTTGACGACACTTCTCATTGTCTGCCCACTAGCGTATTTCCCCCATTGTTTCTTGCAGTTCTGCACTACTACATTTGTTCCCATGACTTAAAAAAGGAGCTGGGGGAAGGATTTAGCCTGCAAAAATATGGGCACTGATTTGTAATGTAGAAGGAGGGAAAAGATGTGAGGGTGCTATAGGAATCATATTTATTATTTATAAAGCACTTTTGAAGCAGAGTCCTGTATAGGAGATAAAATTGAAAGGTAGACTGTAGAATAAGGGCAAGGAAAGGGCATGCTAGGAAGAGAGCAGAAGAGGATTCACTTAAGAAAAAGCCTGGAAGTACAAGAGGGTCTTCTTGTAGCTCAGGGATAGAGATCCTGTGGCCCTCCAGATTTTTCTGGACAGTGTCAGCCAATGCGGATACTGCTGAGGGATCATGGGAGCTGTAGTCCAGCAACAGCTGGAAGGTCACAGGATCTCTGCTCCTGTTGTGGATCCTCTTGCATATTGGGTCTGACTGCCACCAGGATATAAGGTGCAAGGCTAACTGAAACCAGGCTCAACTTATTACCCAGAGCATTATTGGCTCTGTGTTCATAGTGGCAAAAATCACAGCTGCAATATGGAATCAAGGAAACAGGTGAGTCTATGGAACAGTCTCTCCAAAGGACTGAAATAGGATGATCACAGTAGGTTTACTCAGAAGTAAGTTTCATGGACCTCAGTACAGCTGCTTCATAGTGAGTGTGTTCAGGATGCTAGCCTTAGAAAGCAAAATCTCACAGAGGGATGTGTAAACTGGTTTCTGTGCGCTGATGTGTAAGGATTGCTTTATAGCAAGTCTAAGATTGGCCCGATGGTGGTGGGTGACAGTGGAGTTAACCTAACTCCAATGTGTTTTGAGCAGACTGCCCTCGAAGTGATGGGATTCGGTTCTGAAGAGATCAGAGACATTTTCAAACTCCTGTCTGGCATACTGCAACTTGGAAACATTGAATTTATGACGGCCGGAGGAGCTCAGATTACAACAAAAACTGGTAAGCGGCACCCTTCTGTGAAGGGCGTCCCCACCTGGAATCTGCTTCTCCTCCCTCATCGTTTTGGTGACCATGCTGATCCGCTGGGCAGGCTTTACTGCCTTTCTGCTACTGTTCACAGGACAAAATGGACGCCCAGGAACTGTAGGAGTTGGGGGACAATTCCAAGTCTAGTTCTTCCCAATATGAGACACTGTTAAATTCACAGTACATTTTTAACCCCCCAATTCAAGTTAGGTTTTGAGTGTGCGAATGGGCTCAAACATGCACACACCATGTTGTGAAACTATGGTTTCGTGCTTAAAAATCCTCTACCCTAGTTGTCATGCTGGCTTGCCAGAGAGAGCTTTGACACGTTTTGAAATGTCACAGTTGCTGTGTTTCTGTTATTTCCCCGCCTTCCCCCTGGGCCTATCAGTGGAGTCTTGGGGGATCAAGAGTTGCCAGCAAGGTCTCTCCAAACGTCTATCCCGCCTCTTGATTGTATTGGCTTCCTGTCCCTTTTTGAGGAGAGGCCCCCTATCTCAGCAATCACTTCCACATAATAAGAACACATTATCGCAAGCATTACTGCCATCTCTCTTTTATCATCCTCTCTCCTAGTGCTGAATAATGTCAGCGAGCTGCTTGGCTTGGATGCCTTCCAGTTGTCTGAGGTGCTCACCCAGAGATCCATGTTCCTACGGGGAGAGGAGATCAGCTCTCCCCTCACTGTGGAGCAGGTGAGTGAGTAGCCAACGGCTTTGCACTAAGCATGGTGGTGGCGCCTGGCTATGAAGGGCACTTGCCTCTAGGTGGCAGCACTCACATAGTTGTCAAGGGGAAATGGCGCTTGAGGGATGCCTCGGATTTGAACATGACATACTCCCCCCGCCCCCCCGCCCCAACCCTTGAGGAGGGCTTCCCAGAATGTGCACTGTGGCTCAGGAATTTGAGTAAGCTGGGATGTAGGGAAGCCATTTGCAAGGCAGGAAGAGAGGGTGAATCAGCCGTGTTAACAACTTTACCGCTGTAGAGCTGGGTTGGGGAATCTTTTTCAGCTGCCTTCTGAGGGCCACACGCTGGTGCCAATGGGACCAAAAGTAAATGGGGACAGAGCGATGAATGTGACTCTTCTACAGTAGGGTAACTTCTGCATGGAGCCTCAAACGTCTCTGTATCTTCCACCCAGATGAGCAAGAGGCATTCTCAGAGTTCAGGGACACATTCCAGCCAGGCAAAACTCTCAAGGAGGGTGCAGAGCAGTGGCCAGTAAGGTGTGTGGTCTAGGTAGAAACCTGTGGGTTAGAGGGCTGCATTTGGCCCCCAGGCCTGAGTCTCCCCCCCCCCCCCCGATATCTCTGCTGCAGATGCTGCATAATGTGAGCTGGGTGTTTCTGGAGAAGCAACAAGCAAATAAATGGATTCTCTTGTAGATAAGTGCAGCAAGCACTCTGCAGAGGATATAGCCCTGTTGCATCAGGCCAAAGGCCCACTCAGTCCAGCACTCTCTTCCCACAGTGGCAAATCAGATGCCTATTGGAAACCCGCAAGCAGAACATGAGGGCACTGTGGCACACTCCTCAATAGCCCTTCCTCACTAGTTAGACTTCCTGCTGCCAAATGCCCACTTTCCCCATCCCAGCCTTCCAGGAATGCCAGCCAACTATTGCCAGATGCATGAGAGAATGTGATGCCAGTCAGTTTGCAGCGTACGCAGAGCTAATTATAATGCCAAGCACTGGCATTTTCCAGTGTGTTAGACAGAAGGAGCTGAGGCCAGTCAATGGGGCCTTTGACAGAACGCACGTGTCTGTGTGCCGCCCACCCCTGCTTTTGTCCTAGTCCCGGGTGTGTTGAGTCAAGTGCCCGTTCCTGGAAGATGTTGCAGAGATGTTGAATTACCAGGCAGTCTGGCCACTTGAGTTCTGCTCCTCCCTGTCTGTGCTTCGCTAAGCGCAGTTGGTTCCGGCCCAAACTATACAATGCAGGGAATGTGTAGCTGTTGCCCAGCTGCATCTTTCCACCATGTCTTTTCGGCCCTGTTTAGTTAAAGACCATTTGAGAGGGCGTCACTTTGCCCAGAGTTTCCTTCCCCCTGCAAGCAGCAACTAGTGATGCAGAGCAGGGGCAGGGAAAGTCTCAATGTGCTGGCATCATGCATCTTCCTTGACTAAATATTACCGAGGAGATGCAAGGAGGCAGCCACCAAGTATTCCTTGTAACGTGTGGTTTAGGCCTCAGGCTTCCTAAAGGACAGTGGTGGTCACTGAGCCAAAGGAGAGACCTTGTGGCTCTCCTGCCTTCTGATCTGTGGTTTCCTGTGAGCTGCGCTGTCTTAGCATATGCGCCGCCAGGGTGCAAAGATCCACCCCCAAATTTAGTTTAGCCCCCAAATTAACTTTTATTATGCTTATGTCAGAAACCACACTTATGCCTTATCTCTTGTTTACGAAAGGGAGGAAAAAGAAACAAACTTTTTTATTTGCTCATTTATTTACAATACATTTATACGTAAGTATACAACACACCACACTTAAACTTATAAGCATTATTTAGGCACCTACTTAGGAGGAACATCAGTCGTGTCAAAGGTGCCGCTGACCCCACTGCTGCATAGTAGCTCAATACAATACGTAACATAATATTTTGATGTAAGAGTTAATTTCGCATGCACGGCACTGTTGTGAATTACAAGTGCTGTCGTTGAGTCTGACAAGCGCCGCTGGTGCGGTGCGTCTTTGGTAAATGAGCGCACAAAGTCAAAAGTCCTTTAGTGAAACAGTAGGTATACGTTTCGGTAATACCTAGGTATATGTGTATTTTGTTTTTCTAGCTTGATCAGAATTCTTTATTATTTCATAACAGGTAGATAGTTAAGAGCTTCAGCGGCTTCAGCAGTGGGTGCTGGGTGTACCCCCAAATTCAGCACCCAGGTGCCCCCCACCCCTTGCATCCCTTGGTAAAGACGGCCCTGCCTGTGAGAAGTGAAAACACTTGGTAGTGTGAGGCAGCTGATGGAGGAAAGCAAAGGGGCTTCTTTAGGCCCCCTCCTAGAGGAGGAAGCTTGGACTGACAAGGGCCTAATTCTCACAAACAGTAACCAAGGCAATGAAACTACATGTCTCCACTGGACCGTTTCAGATTCCTCTTCATGGAAGGCTTGCATGCCGTGTAAAAGACTAGGCTAGACCCTTTTCTTCAAAACATGCCTCTGTATATAGTATGTAAGTCCCCCACTTGCAGTCCAGACCCAGGTTTATACCTCATTTTCTCATGGTGAGAGCAAGGCCTAGTTTGGCACAGATGGAGTTGGGAGGCATGCTTGATAGCAGTCATCCCATCCTTGGCAATTCAGGCACCTGAGTTTCAGCTGCAGTTTCTCTGCTGTTCTATACTTAAAATTAGTTTCCCAGGGATAATGTTCATTTGCCAGGCCTTTGCTGCCTCGATCTCCCCATAGTTTGCTGTGTTGCTCTCCAGCATAGAGTGATGTTTGGTGTCTCTCTCCCCCCCCCTTCATTGCTTACTGACAAGCATTGTCTTCCTCCCTGTTTGCCCCTAGGCTGCTGACTCTAGAGACTCCCTCGCCATGGCCCTTTATTCACAGTGCTTCTCATGGATCATTGGCAAGATTAACTCAAAGATAAAAGGGAAGGAAAACTTTAAGTCTGTTGGAATCCTGGATATCTTCGGGTTTGAGAATTTCCAGGTTAGAAATTAAACTATTGGGGATTGTTGTGTGGACCAAAGGAAGTTCCAGTGCATGCAGAAAACAAGCTGAGCTGATTGCCTGAAGGCAAGGCAGAGGCCTTCCAGGGTAATTTCAGTACATTGGGAAATAAATTGCTTGGCACTAAGCCAGTTGGGCAGGGGATGGTATGGTCATTGCCCCTTGAACCTCATTCTTGAAATTGGAAACAAAGGCAGCTGCCATACACCAAGTCAAAGTCACACACAAAATTTGCTTGTATATCACTACACCCTGTATATTGTTTGTTGAAATGCACCAAGTCAGGCATCTACTTCAGTATTGTCTACACAGACTGGCAGTGACTTTCCAGGGCTCCAGACAGAGGGCATTCCCAGTCATACCTGGAGAACCCAGGGATGAACCCCCCTGGGACCTTCTGCATGCAAAGCATATGCTCTACCACTGAGCTACAGCCCTTCCCCAAACTCTGACAATGTCCTGTGAAAATTACTTTGGTAAGGCATTTAGTCAGACTCTCTTGGCACGTATGTTACATGGGCATGCACTCCCTTGTGTTTCCCCCTCTTTCATTATTACATTTATATCCCACCTTTTCTCCAAAGAGCTTAAGGTGGCACTGCATATTATTATTATTATTATTATTATTATTCCCGGCTTCCTTCCCTGATGGGTCTCAACCATGCAACAACTTATCCATGCCACAACTCTGTGAGGTAGATTAGGTTGAGAGACTGCGGCTGACCCAAGGTCACCCAGTGAGCTTCATTCACTGATCCTTTTCTTTATGTGCCCTGTTTTCACCTTGAATGGGCAGTCTTGTCATTTGCAGTCTCTGTGGTTTCTGTGCCACTGCATGCCCAGACTGGCAGCAACCGGCAGGAGAGGCAATAACAAGCTGACCCTCGGCACTTCCGCTGACCCTCCCCTGCTTCCCGCATGCACTTCCTCTTCCTTGCAGCCCTCAAGGGAAAAAAGATTTCCCCCCCAGACCAAGAACATGGGTGCTAATATTGGTTTCTCTTGTCACACGCACAGGTGAATCGTTTTGAGCAGTTTAACATTAACTATGCAAATGAGAAGCTCCAGGAGTACTTCAACAAGCACATATTCTCCCTGGAGCAGCTTGAGTACAACAGGTAGTTAAAAGTGGCCTTTTCAGGAGGCAGTGGCTATTGCTTATTGGTAGTGGCCTCTGGCAACCAAGAGAGCCCACTGCTCTCAGATGGAGGAGGAAAAACTGCTAGCAGAAAAGCCGCTTTGGATTTCATCACTGACAATCCATGTGGGGGTCAAGGAAATCCTTGGAAAGCTTGATAAAAGCAAGAGTCGCTCACTACTTTGCTGCCTGGGAGCAGTTTTACCTTCCTCTCTGCTTTTCCCCTCCCAGGGATGATATTCTCCTTTTCGTGTACTTCTGTCCAAAGCGTCTTGCTGTTTCTTAACCCCTGCTCTCTGCAAATATGAGTGCCTGACTTATGTTTCCCCCTCTCTTTTTGGCAGAGAGGGGATAAGCTGGGAAGCCATTGATTGGATGGACAATGCAGAATGCCTGGATCTTGTTGAGAAGGTAGGCCTCTCTCCTGTGTGATGGGTTAGCATGCAGTCAAGCGTATGCTTCCTCTGTAGACTGGGCTTTTCTCTCTGACCTTGATCCCAAGTAGCAAGCCTTGTTTCTGTGCCTTAGTTTATAGCTGGTATTTTGCCTCTCTCCACCTTGGCTTCTGTTACTTTTATGGAAATGGTCAGGCTTCATTCAGAAGTTAGAAGAGTTCATTGTGAAGAAAAAGAAGAAGAGTGTAAGGAAAAAGAAGGGGGGAGGTATGAGTGGAAATCGTGGCTAGCTCAAGGTGGGTGGGTTTGCTGTCCTTACATACAATTTTTACACCTCCTCCAACCTTACTTTAGGCTGAGCAACATAACATTACATTAAATGATCACTAGTTACCTGGGCTATTAGTTCCTCATTTTCATTTTTAACATCATTCTTTGCTCATCCCCCTTTACAACTGCATATCTACAACTGTTTTTTAAAATGCCCTGCCCTCCGCACCCCCAAATCCCAGTTAGATGTCTTGCTTCCCTCTCCACCTTACATCCTACCTTGTCACCTGCAGCCATAGTCTGTTGGCTGACTGCAAGTCTCTCTCTTCTTTGGCTACAGAAACTTGGTTTACTGGCCTTGGTTAATGAAGAGAGTAGATTCCCCAAAGGCACAGACAGTACCCTTTTGGAGAAGCTGCACAACCAGCATGGGGTAAGTGAAGATGCATATATACACAACACTTGCATGCATTTATCTATGCATTTCTAAAATGTATATCATAGGCTAATAATAATAATAATAATAATAATATAGAAACCAATGTAAAATTTTACAATCCCAATACAGTAAGCCTGCTTTTAACTTGTGTATATTCAGAATAATAATAATAATAATAATAATGATAATGGGGCCAAAAGCAGGCAGGCACCTGGGGAAAAAGACTTTGGCAATCCTTCCCACCACTGAACCCAATCTGTTTTGACTATGTGCAATCTCCAGAAAGTAACCCCTGCATAAATTGCAGGATTCCTGTATTAACAAACCAGAAATTGGAAGGCAAACTAAATAAAGCCAACATCAGTTGCCTCCCAGCAACCAAAACACCTTTGTGGATAAAATGATTTTTAAGCACCCTTCTAAGAATCAGGAGCGAGTAGGCAGACCTTCTTAGACAAGGAGTTTGAAAGATAAGATACCATTGCAGAGACAGTCCCAAATCTCTTAGCCCCCAAAAAGGGGGTAGGGAGTGGGAACAAAACGGAACCTTACCTGATGACCACAAAGCAGAAAAGGGGAACATTTAGGGAGGAGGCATTCCTTCAAGGACCTGAAACACAGACCACTTAAGGATTTAAAAGTCAAAACCAGGACTTTGAACTGGACCTGGAAACAAATGAATTGGCATCTATTCTAAATAATTGCAGTGGTATTTGATCTGCTTGGTTGGCACTACTTGGCAGCCTACCCTCTGCATTCTGGACCAGCTGCAGCTTCCAGACAGTATTGAGGGGCAGCCCTGTGTAGAATGTGTATATTGCAGTGGGTGGTGGTATATAGTTTTGATTCATATATCTGACACACCAAAGGGATAGGAGGAGCAAGGTTAAAGAGAAGAGAAACCTGTATGGAACCATAGTTTGATGCCCCTCAGGAATTTGTTCCATGCTCTTTTCTCCCTGCCCCACCACCCCACATTAACACACAGGATGTGTTCCCACAAACTACACTTTACATAATCTTGATATTTTAAATTTCCTCTCATCCATGAACAAAGTAGGTGGTGCTCTGTTCGTTGTATGAAATGGGAACTACTTCCACTGTGGATTTTTAAAAGAAGGCCACAAAGTGAGCAAGAGGAACACAGTCCACAAAGAACCAGTTATCAACACTTCATCTATTGGAACCTCTTTGGCTGAGCCTCTGCTTCAGCCTTGGAAGGCTCCCTTGGTGTCTTCTGATAGAAAAGGCAATCAAACTGTGAGGCCAAATTAACCCTCTTCAAAGCAAAGCAAACAGGATTGCATAATGTGTCTCTTAAGCAGATGACCCTAAGTCTCTTACCAAATGAATAGCTGCTAAGATTCAGCGGGTGGAGGTTTAAAATTAGGTTAACAATTCAGGGTAGAATAGCTTTCCTTGTTCAGTTTACTGGATAATGGCTAAAAGCTAACAGACAATCAGTACTCTGTGAAGAACATTGTATTTTAGCAGTTCTGGGAATTCCAGTAGGCAGACTGATCCTAGTGGCTTGTGACATAGCTGGGATGCTTCAATCTGAGGCAGGGAATCTTCCAGAAGGATAATTTCTGGCTCATCAGAATATCTGAGTTGTAGCACTGACAGAGATGTTTGCCAGGATAGTTTTTGGCTCCACCAAAATACTCTTAACTGACTGTTGTGGTTACTGTGCGGCCATTTTGGGACCGACAGCTTATGAAGTGCAGTAGTACTGCACCAGAGTGCGGTCCTGGCCCTCACTGTTTGGCTTGGTTATGCGCAAAAAATTACTACCACTCATGATATTAAAAAACAGCTGCTGATGTGTTGCTTCAGGTAGTATAAACAGTGCTTCGCTCACTTCCGTTTCAGAACAACCAGTACTATATGAAGCCTCGAGTAACAGATTTTCAGTTTGGAATCCAGCACTATGCCGGAGAGGTAAGTGCATTTTAGCCTGATAGCTGAGCAGCTGGCTGAGTTTGGGGCCTACAAGCCAGTGAGCAGTTAGGCCACAGCTGGAGGCTGACAAAAAAGGCCTAAAGTGCAGAATTTTATTCCTGGAATGGGCATGGGATTGAGCAACAGCCTCTTCCAAGTTTTAAAACTCTTTTAAGTTGCCACTTTGAGGTTTAGGCCTATCAAATATTATTTTGTTGAACCCCCACAGATGATAGACTTGTTTGGGACCAGAACACACATTACAGTTGCTGTGGTTTAGAACAGCCTATCAGTCTTGGCCTACCGGAGTTTCAAATCTGGTCTGCGAGGCCATTTCCCCTCAAATCACGCCCCCAACCACCAGATGATAACACTGCTGAAACCAGCTGATGGGCAGGAGGGCAGGGTTTAATCCTGCATTAACTGCATGCCCTGTTCCCAGGAGGGAACAGGATGGCGCGGCCAAGGCAGCAGGAATTAATCCCTGCTCTGGCTACTGGGTTGCTGTTGAAGGGAGGTTGAATTAAACTCTCTTGTTGAGAGGCAGTGGGCTGCAGAATTTATTTATCTTTGACACTTTTATCTACCCTTCTTCCAAGAAGCTCATGGTGACATGTCTGACCCCCCTTCCTTTGCATTATCATAACAGCCCTTTGAGGTAGTCTAGGCTGAAAGGTATTGATTGGTCCAAGATCACCTGGTGAGATTAATGGCTGAGAGGGGATGTTTGGACTTGTCTTCCTAGATGTTGTCCAAGACTCTGGTGGCTGCTACAGTACATTGTTCCTGTAACATAGCAGAACAGGGCTCTATATATCGCCTCTGGGCTAGTTCCCCCTGCTCTTAATCAATAAAGGGCTTGAGAGATGCAGAAGGTATTTGGCAGCTTTGGGTGTGTGAATTCAAGAGTTTTTCCTCCTCGTTCAATGCATCTGTGTTGTGCATTATCATGATGGCACATTTTAATGCTTGTGTTGCAACCTGTCACCTGCAGGTCCTCTATGATGTGAGGGGCTTTCTGGAGAAAAACAGAGACACCTTTAGAGATGATATTTTAAACATGCTGAAAGACAGCAGGTAAGCAACTGTATTCGAACGAAGCCCAAACTAGTTGGGAGCTACAGGTGGGCATGGAGCAGAGTTGCAGAGCGTACATAACATCTGAACACTTTGATTGGGGGCAGGGAAGCTGTTTCTTGGACACTCAGTACTGTAGACAGAAGGATGGGGAACTGGTATGGAATCCTAGCACATGCTTTGGACCATTTTGTAAGCCCCCAGAGGCAATTCATGGCTGTTGGAGCTTTAGCTGCCAATCAGCTCTTTGCCACAGGACTTCAGGTACCCAAACTTTCCATAAGATCCAGCATAATGTAGCACTTTCCAAGATTGCTCTGGACTACTCTAGTTCATCAAAAGGAAGAATGAGTGCAGCATGCAGTTTCAGAAAGAGATAGGCAGCACCAGCCTGTGCGTTTCTGCCTTTGGAATTTGTCAGTACAGCATGATTGCATCTTGCGTGCAGCTAACTTGCGTGATTTCAGCTTTACATGGTTGAAAGCCAGCCAGTTGAAATCTCACAAGCTAATTGCACATAAGGCAGAGAGCTCAAAAGCTCCTTTTGTGATGGGTTTTTCTGGCATGGAAAGAGCTTTTAAGTTCTCAGAATTGCTTACCGGACTCTGGGATGTTCTTTCACTTGGGCAGCCCTGCAAGATCTTGCGAGAGCATCCCAGTCTGAGAACTTAAAAGCTCTCTGCCTTGCTTGGAATGTAAAGATGGTCATGTGGGCCCAGTTCCAAGGTGGTGATCTGGGTATATGTGATTTTGCGTATATGCAGCACCCCCAGAATATAACCCCCATGCAAGATGTGATCAAATACATGTTTTCTCATGTATTTCATGCTCCTCTTTGTCTGCAGGCTGGATTTCATCTATGATCTCTTTGAAAGAGTTGCTGGCTGCAGCAGTGAAGACACACTGAAGATGGGAACTCAGAGGCGCAGGCCGACTGTCAGCTCACAGTTCAGGGTAGGAGCAGCAAGCCCAATGAAAGGTCAGGCAGACATTCAGACATAACAGCAGAAGCCCCAATAGGGTTTTTCTTGCCTGGGATGAGCTCAGCTTCCACACTGAATTGTGCTACGAACAGGACAGACATGCATGCCACCACTGAAGTGTTGTTTAGACCTTAGGCTTGCTACTCTCTATGCTTCACACAGACTCTCTGCCTTTTCTTTAATTTTTAAAGTGCCTTGTGTACATTTATTCATCAAAACATGCGTTTCCCCCAGTCTCTTTTTCTTTTTCAAAAAGTCATTAGTTGGGGTTTTTTTAAGGTTATAAGACAGCTCCAGGGATTGCAGGGAGCATTAACCAGTCAGTGCTGTGCATTGCCACCAGCCACTGTAAACTAGCAAAACTGTGTTCCACTAAGCCCAACCTGGTCAGAAAGTTGCGTGTGTGATGAGAATGTGGTGATTGTTTGCCTTCACCACAGATTCTGTGCGCATGTACACAACCTTTAAGAAATGTTGGGCCGCACGAAATCCACTGTTCAGAGGTTCCTGTTTCCCCATCCTATCCACAAAGTTTTTGTATGACTGGCTGGTGGTGGGGTGGGGGCAAGAGAGAGGTCAGAATCTTAATTTTCCAAAAAAGTGACTCCTTTTCAGTGTTCTTTTCTTCTTCTTTTTAGGACTCCCTACACTCTTTGATGGCCACACTCAGCACTTGCAACCCACTATTCATTCGCTGCATTAAGCCCAACCAGGAAAAGGTGACTTTCTAGAACTGCAACAGACAGTTGGGCAAGGTGGATGGAGAGCCACCAGACCTTAAATGATATCTAGGCTAGACTAGAAAGTGGTGTTGGTGTTTCGGGGACTTTCTACCCTTTTCTTCAAAAGATGGTGAGCTTATAGCCCACCAAAGCCGCAGGCAGAAAAATAAATAGGGCCTATTTAGGGGTAATAGGGGAATGTTTTGTGACTCTGGTCTGGCCACTTACAGGGTCCTCTCGTCTTTTGACCAGAGCTAGCACAGAAAGGAGTGGAACAAAGCATGCTGATGTCTGAGCCAGGACTGGATCTCTTTCAGTGGATTCTTAATGCAAGGGGTGGTGCTGTTTGTGCCATATAAGTCCACGGAGTGCCTTTCCTCTTAACACAGGGTTCCCTACCCCTTCCCTAACACATTTGAAGATGCATCCTACATAGCAACAATTCTCTCAATCCTAGAGAATTTTTTTTATCTACTTGATCTGTATGTGTGTGTATTCACAAGTGTCTGCACACTCAAGTAAGTGGGGCTCGTTATACGAGATTCTGAGGTTGTCCGTCACAGTGCTCATGCCAATATAATACTTTTTATACAAGGAAATCATTTCTTTCTTGTCTCCTATCCTTGGCTTGTCTGCACTCCTTGCTTTGCATAGTCTCCAAATCTCTTCAATCCAGAGGTGGTGCTGAAACAACTGCGATACTCAGGCATGCTGGAGACAGTGAAGGTCCGAAGAGCTGGCTTTCCTGTACGGTGGATCTTTCAAGATTTCCTCCTCAGGTAAAAGTGGCAGTGCAAGCAAGAGGGTGGAATTTTGCTGTCAAATGTGGCCTTCAGTGCTTTGGGACTTTGTGGAGGGGTTTGTGTGTGAAATAAATGACTCGATGTGGATGTTTTGCTTGTGAATAAGAGGAAAGCTAGGAGACCTGCTTTTGAGCAAAAAGCACAAGGTGAGTCTGGGCAGGTTGTCTCTTTGTCTCCTATAAAATTTGACAATGATTGCAGGCTACTGCTTTCGCTTTTGTTGTCTGAACAAAGAGACTTGCACATCCATAACCATTTGAGATGGCTGGTTGGAAGGGAAAGGACAAAAAATAAACATTTCCCAAGCAAAGTATATTTCATTTGTTAAGCTGCAGTTCAGGACCTGGTTTAAACTACATTTTCTAAGTTTTAATGTTTGGGGCATTTGATTACTCTTAAGAGTTATTGCACTTCTGTAGTTGGATGCCAGTTGCTTGTGCTTTCAGACTGACTGGAAAAGACAGTGAAGGGCAGTCAAGTTACCAGCTGTTAAGAGCTTATAACCTGTCAGCACTCAGAAGCAAAAGGAGACAGCAGAATAGCCCCTCACAGGGGCAGGAAGCTTTGCTGAGGGAAAGAAATTGCTTTGTACCTTAACTCCTGGTCAAGAGCATTCCTTTGGTTCTCTCAGGTACAAGATGCTCTTGAAGAACTGGGGCAATCCTGACGGTGCAAAAGCCACTTGTGCCTCCTTTCTGCAGACATATGACAACACCCAGAGAGAATGGAAGCTGGGGAAAACCAAGGTATGCCCTTTGTGTGCAAAAGAGCATGTGGAGCAACACTCTGTGCTAAGGAATCTTTCCAGAGGTAGCCTGGGTACAAGATTGATGTGGCTTCTAGAAGTTTCTGTGCCCACCTCTGCATAGATCATTGACCTCTGCTGCACTGTGACTAGGCTTACTGAAACACACCCACCCCATCCTAATCCCAGCAACTCCATTCAGAAGTATAGTACACCCCTCATTGCTAAGCCACAGGCCGTGTCTTCTCAGGAGCTTAGGCATTTTGACACTGGAATGAGAACACAAGAAAATGTCTCAGAAGATGCTGTGAAAATGTTACCTGGTTTTTTGGGGCGGAGGAGGGAATCTGTGTTGATACGCCCCTCCTTCATTCTTGATACTGTATCTTCATACTATCTCTGCAGCCCTCTCCTCCCACCCCATTCTGCAGTGCAAATGAGGAAGGGACTCATGGGTTAGATGTAGACACAGTTGAACTGAGTGGGGTCAGGCGTGCATCAAACACTCCCTCCCCCCCAAAGGTCGAAGCTGATTTGTTCTCCCAAGACTGGAAGAAGAGTTTGCAGTGCATGCTGTGTGCCATTGAGAATGATGGAATCCCCAGTGAGGGCTGCGCTATAAAATCTCGGTGGAAGCTTGCATGCTTTGCATTTAAAAAGTCCCAGCTCCATAGAATTGGAAGGGATCTGAACCCCCAGTTTAATATATGGCATCTGCAGTTAAAAGAATCTACAGATAAAGAAATTGGGGAAAGACCCTTCCTTGAGACCTTGAGGAGCTGGTGCCACAGCACAGTGCTGGAGTGGATGTTTCTAGGATCTGGTTCGGTACAAAGCTGGCTCCTTGTGTGTGCTGGCCTCATGCCAGCGTTTCTTAAGCAACAAGGCAGATATTAGTGTTGCAGTCATCTGGGGTGCAGATGTAGCTTCTGATCCATAACTAGCTTGCAAATATGTGCTTATGCAAACCCAGCTGAATGAAACAGAAGCAGCTTGGGGGTTTGTTTTTGTTTTGTTCTTAAAAGAAAAAGGACCCACGATTCCTCCACCCCAGCCCCTTTCCAAATGTCCAAATCAACAGACTGTAATTACAGGCCTGATGTAATTTCATTGCTAGGCACGCAGCCAACAAGGAACTTTGACAATGAGCATGCCTGTATGTATCTATAGCAATATGTAGAAGATAATGGATATTAACATCACTATAGTGCATATCAAATGGGTAAAATCTGTTTCACTGATAGAAATTTGGGTGCTACATTTGGGGTGATGGTAATTCTGCATACTGAGCAAACGTGGAATTTGGCATTGGGTGTGTCATGTTTAGAATTTATCCAGAAATTCAAATCTGTTACTTATTTATTTCAAAGCAAGTTTTTAACTCTTAAGGCTGGACAGATAGGCTTTAAAGCAAATGAGTGGTGCTTGGTGAATTCCCATGTTTGTTGCCATCTGCCACAATAAATTGGGATTGAATGGAAACAAATACATGCTCTTGGCAAATTCACAGTAGTGGTGCTTCTCTGTATGCTTTTCTGCTTCCATAATGCAGGAGAACAAGAACAGTATCTATGTAGATTTGGAGAAGGGACCTATTAAATTTATTTTATTTAGAAAATATGTTGTTGTTGTTTAGTCGTGTCCCACTCTTCGTGACCCCATGGACCAGAGCACGCCAGGCACTCCTGTCTTCCACTGCCTCCCGCAGTTTGGTCAGACTCATGTTTGTAGCTTCGAGAACACCGTCCAACCATCTCGTCCTCTGTCGTCCCCTTCTCCTTGTGCCCTCCATCTTTCCCAACATCAGGGTCTTTTCCAGGGAGTCTTCTCTTCTCATGAGGTGGCCAAAGTATTGGAGTCTCAGCTTCAGGATCTGTCCTTCCAGTGAGCACTCAGGGCTGATTTCCTGAAGAATGGATACGTTTGATCTTCTTGCAGTCCATGGGACTCTCAAGAGTCTCCTCCAGCACCAGAATTCAAAAGCATCAATTCTTCGGCGATCAGCCTTCTTTATTGTCCAGCTCTCACTTCCATACATCACTACTGGAAAAACCATGGCTTTAACTATACGGACCTTTGTTGGCAAGGTGATGTCTCTGCTTTTTATGATACTGTCTAGCTTTGCCATCGCCTTTCTCCCAAGGAGCAGGCGTCTTTTAATTTCATGACTGCTGTCAACATCTGCAGTGATCATGGAGCCCTAGAAAGTAAAATCTCTCACTGCCTCCATTTCTTCCCCTTCTATTTGCCAGGAGGTGATGGGACCAGTGGCCATGATCTTCGTTTTTTTGATGTTGAGCTTCAGACCATATTTTGTGCTCAACCCTGAGGTTGTTGATATTTCTTCCGGCAATCTTAATTCCAGCTTGGGATTCATCCAGCCCAGCCTTTCGCATGATGAATTCTGCATATAAGTTAAATAAGCAGGGAGACAATATACAGCCTTGCTGTACTCCTTTCCCAATTTTGAACCAATCAGTTGTTCCATATCCAGTTCTAACTGTAGCTTCTTGTCCCACATAGAGATTTCTCAAGAGACAGATGAGGTGATCAGGCACTCCCATTTCTTTAAGAACTTGCCATAGTTTGCTGTGGTCGACACAGTCAAAGGCTTTTGCATAGTCAATGAAGCAGAAGTAGATGTCTTTCTGGAACTCTCTAGCTTTCTCCATAATCCAGCGCATGTTTGCAATTTGGTCTCTGGTTCCTCTGCCCCTTCGAAATCCAGCTTGCACTTCTGGGAGTTCTCGGTCCACATACTGCTTAAGCCTGCCTTGTAGAATTTTAAGCATAACCTTGCTAGCGTGTGAAATGAGTGCAATTGTGTGGTAGTTGGAGCATTCTTTGGCACTGCCCTTCTTTGGGATTGGGATGTAGACTGATCTTCTCCAATCCTCTGGCCACTGCTGAGTTTTCCAAACTTGCTGGCATATTGAGTGTAGCACCTTAACAGCATCATCGTTTAAAATTTTAAATAGTTCAGCTGGAATATCATCACTTCCACTGGCCTTGTTATTAGCAGTGCTTTCTAAGGCCCATTTGACTTCACTCTCCAGGATGTCTGGCTCAAGGTCAGCAACCACACTACCTGGGGTGTACAAGCCATCCATTTCTTTCTGGTATAGTTCCTCTGTGTATTCTTGCCACCTCTTCTTGATGTCTTCTGCTTCTGTTAGGTCCTTTCCGCTTTTGTCTTTTATTATGGTAATCTTTGTATGAAGTGTTCCTTTCATATCTCCAATTTTCTTGAACAGATCTCTGGTTTTTCCCAATCTATTGTTTTCCTCTATTTCTTTGCATTGCTCGTTTAAGAAGGCCTTCTTGTCTCTCCTTGCTATTCTTTGGAAATCTGCATTCAATTTCCTGTATCTTTCACTATCTCCCTCGCATTTTGCTTGCCTTCTCTCCCCCGCTATTTGTAAGGCCTCGTTGGACAGCCACTTTGCTTTCTTGCATTTCCTTAGAAAATATATAGACCTCTTAATCAAGAAAACCAAATACTACCCAAGTGATGTACAAATAAAATTGAAGGTTAAACGCAGCAGAAATCCACAAAAACAAAAATATGTAAAAACATAAATAAAAACAAATACATATATGTATAAAAAAGTATGTAAAACCATAATAATTAGAAATAAAGATAAAACCAATAAAGCTTTTAAAACAGATATACAGGTGACTAAGTTACATATCTGGGTAAAAAGGTAAAGGTAAAGGTACCCCTGCCCATATGGGCCAGTCGTGTCCGACTCTAGGGTTGTGCGCCCATCTCACTTAAGAGGCCGGGGGCCAGCGCTGTCCGGAGACACTTCCGGGTCACGTGGCCAGCGTGACGAGCTTCTCTGGCGAGCCAGCACCAGCGCAGCACACGGAAACGCCGTTTACCTTCCCGCTATAAAGCGGTACCTATTTATCTACTTGCACTTAAGGGTGCTTTCGAACTGCTAGGTGGGCAGGAGCTGGGACCGAAAGACGGGAGCTCACTCCACCGCGTGGATTCAAACCACCGACCATATGATCAGCATGTCCTAGGCACTGAGGTTTTACCCACAGCGCCACCCGCGTCCCACATATCTGGGTAGGCTTCCTGAAATAAAAAAAGTTTCCAGCAAGCATCTAAAGCAATACAGTGAGAGGGCACCCTGCCATTAAGGTGTAGCCACCAGCATTGCTGTCTCTTCTTCACCCAAGGGGTCTGCACCAGATTTGCTTTGTGTCTTTGTTAGGAATAAATTAGATGTTCTGAGTTAATAAGGCCGCTAGGGAGCACAGTTGCTTGGGACAGCAATTCAAGAAGTAGTCCGGCAGGTCACAAATGTGCCTTCCTTAAAAGGCATGGGGGGGCGGATATGGTGAGCCATAGACTCTTACTGATTAGGCAAGGGCAACCAGTCGCAATTGCCAGCTGCATTTAGAGCCCCTGCATTTAGAGCATGCCAAATTCAGGGTGAAGTAACTGGGCCCAGCCAGGACGTTTTAGGCTGCTGTGTGATTCCTTTCTGCAGCTTATCTTTCATTTCCCAGCGACACGATGTACAGTCTATGCATTATATTAATGTTCTGCAGCTTGTGCTGCCTTAAACGGAACTGGGGAGGGAGGAAAGCTCAGGCATCAGTCCTCGAACAAGGGAGACCAAAGGCGGCTTGCCACTAGCAAGAGAGGAGAAAGGAAACTGCTGTCTCTCTGCATACCAAGCACTTGGAGTTAATAAATCAACCTTGGAGCCATTAAAGAGAACAGGCTCCAAGTGACTGGTGCGGCAGACAACTGACCTTTGACCCCACCAAGAACAATAGAACTTTCCCTCTCTCGCTCACTCTCAGAGTTGCTGGTCCATCTGAGAAGGGACCGGCTGCCTCGCTGCCCTTTGCTTGCTGTTCAGGGAAGCAGGGCCACTTGGGGCAGGGCTCGAGCTCTTTGAAGTCTTCGCTTCTCAGGAAGAGCAAGGAAGAGGGGCAACAGGGTGGGTTGAGGGGGCTCTGCCGCCTATCCAGATGGGATTGATTTCAGAGGCAGGAGATAAGGGAGGATGGCCCACTTTATGAAAGACATCGAAGGAGCAAAGGAAAGAGAGTCACATCCCTGATTAGTGGCAAAGCAGATGAGAATTGTTGGGGCACACAGACCACTTTTAAAAATTACTGTGAGCCACAAGGTGGAAATGACAAGGAAGGAGAGAAACCATTGGAAGTAGGAGGTAGGTCAAATTTAAGCTACAAAATTGGTTTTCTGGCATCCAAATAAAATGGTGGGGTTTTTATTAATTTATTAATATTTATTAATAAAATATTAATAAATATTAATATATTAATATTAATATTAATTTATTATTATTTATCTTTAATAACCAAGGTTTTTTACCTTGGTTATTAAGGTGGTAGTTTGGGGCCATTTGGGTAGCAATAGGGGGATGCCTGGCATTTACAGAGATCAGTATGTTCAGTGTCAGCGGTGCTCTGTCAAATGTTCAAAAGCCCTCTAGAAACTGGCCAAAGCTTAATACAACATTGTTAGCCAGCATCACTGGGTGTTACGGATGGTGCATTGTTAAAATGCTGCTATAATGGCCAAGGAAACCCTAGGATCTGCTCCAATGTGGAGACCCAGCCTGGATTAAAGCTGAGGCAGAGGATGGAGCCCTATTTATATGTAAGGATTACAATAACGACTCTCTGCTACTGTCCTCTGCATTGCAGATGGAGAAGTCAGTTGCCGGGTTTGAGCAGTGGGCGCATTCTGTGGAAGGGCAGGAGCAATATCTGCACAGGGTTTTCTATTGGGGGTTTCATTGCATATAAGCTGCAGAAGCTAAACTTGGGGGTTCAGTGAAGAGGTACAGTACATGGAGGAGAGGGCTACTAGCCATAATGGCAAGTACCCAGTCAAGGCAAGGCAATGCAAGATTTGGAGTCATACAGAAAAGTTCTTAGAACCATTCCACACATTACACGGCAGTGAGCTAAGATTTGTTACCAAGTGTAAAGGCAACATGTTGCTGCGGACTGTCCTGGCTACCTAAGAAGTGTGCATGTATACACATGTGTCCAAATGCATGTTTCCATCATTCTTTCATTTTTAGGTACATACCTTTAAAAAAATAAATGTTGAAGTGGTAGGAGGAATCTGTACTTTTGTAGAGCACCACAAAGGTGTTGAAGAATGATAAATTTTCTAGCCTTCACCTAGAATGCCGTAATATGGTATTCTTGCTCCAAGGATAGAGCTGCCTTATTTCAGTGACCTTGCCTCTGTTCTTTTAACAGTGGCCTCGCCAACAAATTAAGCTGGTGGTAATAATAATAATAATAATAATAATAATAATAATAATGATTTATTTATACCCTGCCCATCTGGCTGGGTTTCCCCAGCCACTCTTGGTGGCTTCCAATGGAATATTAAAAACACGATAAAACATCAAACATTAAGAACTTCCCTAAACTGGGCTGCCTTCAGATGTCTTCTGAAAGTCAGCTTTTCCTGGCTAAGTGGTGTCTCAATCTGCTGTTACATGCACAGGAGCAGAGTGAGCAAAAATGTTGGCAATCCTAGCCCTAGGCAGAGCAGACTTTCCAGTTCTGATCACTTAAAACTCTTGCTCTATAGTGGTGCAGCATCTGTAGCTATTGCTGGCAATTAGGAGCGTGGGAAGTTGTGTTTCTATTGAGTCAAGCACCTTGGTCCACCTAGCTTAGTACTGTTCACGCTGACCTACAGTGACTCCTCCAGTGTTTTCCAGCCCTGTCTGGAGATGCCAGGGACTGGATCTGGAACCTTCTTGCATGCAAAGCATACGCCCCACTGCACAGCCACAGCTCTCCTTTCCTTTGCTGCCTAGAAAACAAATAGGTCTTCAAAGAGTCATGAGTTTGCCTTGTGAGCCCAGTCCCTTTGTGCCTGTCAAGAGGCCCTGCCTCTGCGTTGAAGCATAGGGCCCCTCTTTGTCTCTGGAGGTGAGGCCGAGGTTGAGGGTTAGCGACATGTCCCTGCCCAGTGATCCTCTTTGGCCTGTTCTGCTCCTCCAGGGTGTTGCTGGGGGCTTTATGAGCAACCTGGGCAGGCGAGGCTTGAGGAGTCCCTGCGTGGGCTTGCACATGTGCTGGGCAGGATGGAGGAAGGAGTGGGAAGTGCTTCCTGTGCAGTATATTTCAAGGGGGGGATTTCTATACTGAGCAATTGTTTGGTGGAGGAAGGAAAAGGGCTAGTATAAGGAATTGTAGAGCACAGGAAAGGAAGGGGAAAGCAGGATGGTCTTTGTGTTTCTCATTAGGGACAGAGGGGAGCAGCTGCTGATTGTCCACTGTGGCAGTCTGGACTTTGTTTGGATTCTTGTAGCACAAGTTTGGGCAGGGGACAACTAGGCAGAGAGGCACTGTGCTATACTTTTTCCTTGCCATCTTTGCCCTTCACACCAGTTTCCGCAAGCCTCCAGCTTCCTGCCTCAAGCTAGGGAGTTCTGAAAGGCATCTGTGATTTCTATTTGATTTCTGCAAATGCTGCTCTACCAATTTTGAGCAAGGCCATGTGTCCAACACTTGGGGCTTTATAAGTGTGCATGTCTGCACAGGTTGCGTCCAAATGGTCTCCCCTGCCCCCCCCCCTTGCGGGCTGCTCATTCACATCCCCTAAGCCACACAGCACCCACATGCTGATGATCCCCTTGCCCTCCATATAGCTTTCTCTGCAAATATTCATGTGATCAAGAGCTTTTTGTACTCCTGCTTTAGAACTTCAGTGCAGAAAGGAGACTTTAATGCATTGGCAGCCTAAGCCTTTGGTTGCATTGCCTTCACCTCAGGCAAATGTGGGAGGCTAGCTATGAATGCAGTTGATGAAAACAGATTTTCTTGGGGATGTTAATGCAATCTTCAACCACTCAAGTCCTCCAGAAGAATGCTGCATTCAAAATATCAAAGGCATTTGCTATCCCAAATATCTGTGCCACATAATCCAGGGATTGTGGCCCAGAGTCTTTGCAGCGTTACAATGCATCCTCGGAGTCACCTTTTGGATTGTGTGTCACTTTATTGGAGTACCAATGATTTTGGTCCACCGACAGCCACACAGGTGGACCAGGCCTAGCCTTCCATCCTTCTGGAACCTCCCAGACAGGAATGAGTAACAGACCAGGCCCATGGATGTTTTCCAGACCCCACTGTTGGCATTCCAAGACCTCATCATGGGGCCGCTGAAATATCTAATGGGATTGATGCAGTTTCCCTGACCCGTGTGCGGTCATGCATCACCCACCAGAGCCACAAGTGTAGCCTGTTCTGAAAGCAGGCTTCATGCCTCCTGGTTTCAGGAATAGCACCCAGGTGTGTCTTTTAATAAAAAAGCAAAAGCAGAATGACCACTTGTTCTTGTGTGCATTCAGGGTGAGCCACACCTCTTGGGAAGGTTTGATTGCAGAGAAGGCAATGAAAGTGAGAAGGAATCTTCCAGCCAGCAAGACAGCTTGGAGACAGGCTGGCACTGAGGCAGTGATGCAAAGAAGCAGCCAGGGGGAAAATATGTGTGGATTATCTGCAGTGCAGGAAATGATATTTGGAAAGATTCTTCCTCTCCCTCCTCACCCCACCCCCGCGGTGCCCCCCCCCCAGCTTCTTTTCTTGGAATGGGTATCTTGTCATAGTTTGGCCAGTTTTTCTTCTGCATTTTGCATGCAGCGCCTGGAATGTTGACACACATACCCAGAGCCTCATTAGCAGGACTCGAGCAGCAGGCCCAGATAGCCTTAAAAGATGTCACTGAGCCAAAGAAAGGGTTAATAGTTAAAAGCAGTGCAGCCTCCTCCCCCCTTTTTCTCTCCCCCTTAATCCTTGAGCCTGCAGTGTGGAAGAGAGAGAGAGTGTGCGGGGGCTGGGCTGAGTTTGGCTCCTCTCCCTGCACAACTTTCTCCCTTGTCCATCAGCGACAGCACCCAAAGGGGAAGGGCTGGCAGAGCAGGGACTGGCTCTGGCGCAGGAGCATAAAAGGAGCCCTGTGTGCCTTGTTACGGCAGGCAGGCAGGCAGGCATGGGACCTGCTGGTGCTGCCTGGGACTTGCTGTTTCCTCTCTTTGTGTTTGATGAAACTCCTCCCCGGGGTACCAGGTTTTCCTGAAGGAGGCTCTGGAGCAAAAACTGGAGAAGGCCCGGGAAGAGGAGCTGAGGAAGGCGGCAACCATCATCCGAGCCCACGTCCAGGGCTACATGGCAAGGTCAGTGCTTGAATCGCCTTCTTTGCCCAGCTGCTGGAATGCTCCTTGCTGCCAGGTCTCTCTCCTTTCCAGCTTGCTGCTTCTGGCAGGGCTTCCACTGCTTTCCCCCTTCTCTGCTCCCTCTTGAAATCCCCATGCATTCCCAAATGCAGGCCACTGACTGTGAAGTTGCTTACTTGCCCGGGTCTGTCCCCTGCCCCTTTCCTGTTGCATCTGTAATCCCCCTGTGAAGCTACCCTGCAGAGAAACTCCCCAGCTCTCCCTCTCTTGCTCTGCACTGAAGACCCTCAGCCCAATCTCTGTCTTTATTTGCCAGACCCAGGCCAGTCTTCCTCACTTATAGCCCCCCTCTCCAGATTCCGCTTCCCTGGTGGGCTCTTCTGGGTGGGGGTAGCTGTAAGCTGGCTGGCTCTGCAGCCCCACCATCTATCTGTCTCTGCCTTTTCATCTTGCTGTTAATTGTTGTTGTCTTGTTCTGGCAAATTGCTATGTGTGCCCATTCGGACAGTCACCTGTGCTCCGCAAGGACACTGGTGTTGCTTTGAGGAATTATTGCATGGGCTGCCTGTATTCCAGGATCGTGCCATTAACAGCGCAGGGGTTGCTACTAGACGAGGAATTCAGCACCCTGGCAATTCAGCTTCATTTTTTAAAAAGTTTCTAGCCTTTAAGGTTGCAAAGAGGCCTGAAAATGTGTGAGCAGCCCCTGGTGACATCTCAAACGCCATTGGCTAGGGAAAGTGGAGGATGGGAGCTGAGCTGAACTGCTAGGAGGTGGGGGGGGAGGGAGGGGCTCCATGTGCTTTTTTCTCTTTCCTGTAACTATCTGAAAAAGACTAAATATTGCATAGGAAATACTGCCTATGCAGATTTACATAATAAAATATGCAAATAAAACTGGCATCTACCTTTCCTTAAAATAAAATAAAATGCAAAGTTCACAAAGCCCTTGGTGTAGTTTAGATTTGGGCCTACCAAACTAGAATGTTGATTGGTGAACAGAATAAGGGCAATCTGCCTAGTCTCCCCCCCCCCCAATACTATCCAAGGGGGAGGCAGGCTCCGTTCTTCAGGCAAGGAAGTCAAAGCTGCATCTGCTGCCTACAGCAAGACTTGGCTGGACTCCAGCTGCAGACATGGATTTCCCAGGCTGTGAAAACCATCTGCATTTTGAGGGTATAATCATGAGCTAGGCCCAGGTCCAGGCCATTGCATATGAACTGGGATATTGTTGCTAATGACATTGTTGCCACTGCCAGTGCTGCTGTCACCAGAATTCTGCACCAAAATAACCTTCTGGAATTCTGCAAACTAAGAACCTTTGCATACAGATTGTTTTATTTTGCACAACCTGTTACTTTCTGTTAGTTGTATAAAAGAGCAATAGCCATGCAGGACACTGGAACAGGACTAGCCCTACCATCAGGCAAGGTGTGTCATTGGCATGCAGCAAATTGGCCGTTGTTTTGTTTATTATAATTATTACAATTTAGCTTGCCATTGGGGAGTGGGTGCTATTTGGATCTCCTGTCTTAGGCCATAGGAATCTTACTGGATTCCTAACCCCCCCCCCAATCACTGGAAACCTTGTTCTGTCACCATGCCGGCTTCTGAAGCCTAAGAGGATATGATGGCAGCACAAACTGTGCTAGACGATTGATTCTGCAGAAGCGGCAGAACAGTTTTGAAGCAAACAAGCAGTGTGCTGGAAGGGGTGATGAACATGCTTTCCCTGCTGAAAATGCCTCTCGACCACTTTTCTCCTGGCAGGGCTTCTGTATCAGAGCTCAGGTGGGAGAAAAGGACAAGGGTGGGTGGGTGGAATACTGGGGAACAGCATGAGCAGGGAGGCTCCTTCCATTTTACATTCCTTTGCATGCAATTGTCCCCTTCCATTCCCCACAGATTCTGGATGAGTCTCCTGGTGTGTCTTGTTAGACCTTGAGGTTTTACCAGGATTTGCACACAGATTATGGATCTTAACAGCTTTAAGCATGTGAGAAACTTGTTTGTTTGGGTATTTTAAAAAATAAGTTTTAATTTAAGCTTTGATTCTCAGGATGCTGAACTCAGTGTCAATATCCATTTCAATTCTTGTGCAATGCAGCCACAGGCTTGCAGAGCACACACATTCCCTGTTCTTTAGCAGGAGACACCTCATAGTGCCACATGGAGTGTCAAACATAGCAACTGCCTGACTCTTGTAAGTATATTTCCTAGATAATGCTTCTATTCCACAGAAATAATATACTAGTTTTTCATATTGGTCCTCAAAAAGAAAAAGAAAAGCATATAATCCATATTGGATTCATGTGGACTGGCCTTAATTGCACTAATAAAAGAACCAGACCCTCAATTCAGGCCAGGAATGTTAGGACTTAGAATTTGAGTTTTTTCTACGCCTGCAGATTAACTACAGAGAAGGGAGATTCTGAACATGTACAGAGTGCACAGTCTCATTACTAATTAAAGGCATTCCCCAACTCACTCACTCTCTCTCTCTCTCTCTCTCTCTCTCTCTCTCTCTCTGGTACGGGGACCTTAGCTTCCGTGTGTGTGTGTGTGTGTGTGTGTGTGTGTGTGTGTGTGTAAAAACTACCCATTCCTCTGTTTTAGCAGTGCATGGCTGTCTATGTGGGAGCATCTGGAAAAAAGACTGATATGCTGGGAGGAGGTCATGACAGGAACCATCTCTTTATTGTTTGGAGGGATGGGGGAATCTGCCATTTTGCCTTGGGTTGGGAGGTTCCTTGCCATTACACCACTCAAAGTGCTTAGCAAAGACAGAGCTGGTGTAGAAACAGGAAATGAGTGGCCCCAAGAGGGAGATGCCTAAAGCATTCTCCAGAAACCAGGTGGGTGACAGATGGAGGAGAAAGGAAAGCATGGAAGGAGTGGCTTCCTGGGGAAATGTTTTTTGGAGAAAGCGGCTGTGGTTGTGCTGATTCATTGAATCTGGCATCTTGGTACCCCTGGGTCAGATGGTTTCTGAGGCAGATGCTGAGGAGAACTTAGTGAGCAATGGCTGTTGATTGACAGTAACCCCCACCTTGCTTTCGTTGACTCAGGAAGAGGTATCGAAGGGTGCTAGCCAGTGTTGTGACTATCCAAAAGAACTACCGTGCTTACTTCTGGAAGAAGTCCCTCCTGCGCCTGAAGGCCTCTGCCATTGTCCTGCAGAAGCACTGGCGTGGGCAGCTGGCTCGCAGCCTCTACCGGCACCTGCTAGAGGAGGAACAGCAGCGGAAACGGGAAGCTGAGGAGCAGAGGCGTCGAGAGGAAGAGCGGATTAGAAAGGAGGAAGAGGAAAGACAATGGCAAGAAGAGAGGGAGCGTAGGAGGAAGCAGGAGGAGGAAGAGGAGAAGAAAAGGTACCAGGCAGTCTTGGTTCTGTCTCCCTGGCCCAGCTTTCACAAAATTGCAACTGAAGAGGCAGACCTGTGCCAGGACTGTACCACTTCAGACTGCAGGAGTGAGAGAGATGTACATGATTTAATGTTCCTCCATGTAAAGGATTCCCTGCGTATAGAAAATCAGGTGTCGGGGATAAGGATTTTGGTTTACCTACCTCTGGTGCTTTAGTTTCCTATGTGGAGGACTGTGGGGTATTTTTCACCCCCTTGCCATTTGATCAGCCCCCGTAGCCTGAAGCGGAACAGTCCAAACAGGACTCTGCCTTTGATGTGTTGCTCGTGATAGGCAGAGTTTTGTATATTCACCTCTTTAAAAGAGCAGCAACACAGCACCAAACTTCTGTATCCAGGTGAGCCAAATTGTGCTCAGACAGACTTGAATTTGGTGACCTTTAAAAAATGAATTATGGGAAGTAAGTCTGCATATATATGTTTCTAGTAGGGGAGGAGCCATGCATGGCCCTGAAGCCCCGCCTCCTGACCATTGGAAACTTTACCCAACATCCTCTCTGCCTTTGCAGATTTCACCAGTTACTTCCTGCATTCTTTTTTGAGCCCAACCTCACTCCTTTATAGCTGCAAGCTGATACTAAATTCCATGCTTAGTGAGAATTGTAGAACACTCAGTGCTAATGATAGGGCTCATCTGGATGATACCACTAAGCTGGGACTTTTTCCTTTTGGGCACTCCTATACTCAGCACAAGAGACTAGCTATGGAGGTTGCACAACTTGCTCTGGTCAAGTGCTGGTCCCTGTGAGCCAGGTAGGCCAATGTGGTCTGAAGCTTCCTGAATATCTGGACTCTGCAGAATTTGGAAGCCCCAAAGCAGCGCACCTGGGCATGTCTTTTAGTCTCTGGGCTGAAAGGACGACTAAGCGCTAGGCTGTGAGATTGGCGCAGGACATCATTGCAGGTGGCTGGTTCAGGACTACAAGGGTGAGCGCCACAGGTTGCAATGCAGTGGTAGTAACTGCTCCCTTCTAACACTATGATCCTACTTTCTATAAACATAATTTTTATGAAATAAACAAATAAGGGTGTATGGTTTCTAAACTACTTTTTATTTGAAGACAAACCTCCAAGTAGCACAACAATAAAATAACACAGCAGCAGTAGCATGTCAATATAACCTTGTGGGAAAAACCACCTCATTAAAACATCAGTACCATGTTTTTAATATTTTCTTGTTTGTAGGTCACCCAGGGAATATTGATTGATCAATTGCTACAGAAATTTAATTTATTATTAATAATAATGTGTACAGTTTCTCTGTCCTTGACATATACCCATTTGCAGTGAGCTTTTTAAAAAAATACATTATATAGGTATTGGTTTTTTTTAATTGTGTATGCGCCTAACACTGTTCCATATATGTTACCACAGTCAACAGCTCTAATAATAATGAAGTGATGATTACCAGCCAAGTTATTACTTTTACCCTTGGAAAATGATATGTGACTTTAGGAAGTTGTGTATTTTTAGAAGGCTTCTTCTTGAGGGAAACTATTGCATAATGCTTTTCTTTAAAAACACAGTTTCGGATCCCACATTATTTATTTATTCTAGAAGTCCAGCCTCCAATTCCCTTTTCTTGGCTTTGTGGTCAATCAGGAGTCTTCAGTGTGACCTTGCCTCCATTCCACTCTGTCCAGTTTCTTAGCTTGTTCCTCAGTCACAAGAGGGGAGAGCTGGGGAAGTCTTGACACAGCTGCACACCTCAAATTAAACCAAGCCTGAGATAATCTGGCTGTCCTATGGGAAGAGGGTGCCTTCAGCTACTTTAAAGGTAAAGGGATCCCTGACCGTTAGGTCCAGTCACGGCCGACTCTGGGGTTGCAGCTCTCATCTCGCTTTACTGGCTGAGAGCCGGCGTACAGCTTCCGGGTCATGTAGCCAGCATGACTAAGCTGCTTCGGGCGAACCAGAGCAGCGCACGGAAATGCCGTTTTCCTTCCCACCCGAGCGGTACCTATTTATCTACTTGCACTTTGATGTGCTTTTGAACTGCTAGGTTGGCAGGAGCAGGGACCGAGCAATGGGAGCTCACCCCATCGCAGGGATTCAAACTGCCGACCTTCTGACTAAAGAGTATGTTCATATGACATTTTTTATCCACTGTGAGGCAGCCTCCATTTCCCTCCACATGCATTCTGCAGTGTGAATTGTTGTTCCATATGTGTTCAATAGCAGTCAGCATCTGTTCTGAAGCCTTACCAAAAAAACAAACAAACCCCAACCAGCCTTCTGAAAATCCAAGCCTTTCATTAATATAATAATTTCCCTTGGTTTAACTTTAAAGGCTTTGTTCCAGCTCACAAAATTTTTGATCTGAATGCAAATGACTGAGGCAGCAGTGTTATTTAAAACTTCATTGATTTCAGCAAATTTTCATGGCAAGCTGGACTGTAGATTTTATTGATGAGTTTGTTCTTTGTTTTTGAACAGAGAAAAAGAGCAGCTTGAAGCAGCACTGCAGATGGCTCAGGTGTGTTCCATTATGACTCCCATCATATGCCTCTCATTTCAGAATACTAAGCAGAATACGAAGACATGCTGGTGATCTTTGTTGCTTGACCTTTCCCTCTTTACAAGCTAATCCAAGGTACTGTTTGCAGAATGCAGTGCTATGCTGTTACGGTGACTCTGTCCTCAGTCTAGATGACGCTCCACTCCTATAAAGTAATATAAACACCTAGGGTTGTATGCCAACAGGCATCAACTTGCACAACAGAACTTCCCTCTCCTCTCCTCTTCCTTGAAGCTCATCGCACATCCTCAAAATCTTCTTCAGAAGGTTGGGGGACCCTCTGGAGCAGATTTTGGGGGTGTGCAAGGAGCAGATGGGGAAGTCCAATTGCACAAGCAGAGGTTTGTTGCATGAGCAGAAGAAAAGTGTTGGATATGTCCCTAGATGTTGAGTGTTACATGTAGCTTGATCCTGGGAACGGCGGTACAGTGTCATCTAGATTGAGGACAGTTTCAAAGTACTGTAATAAACAGAACTGCATTCTGCAAACACCGGATACAACCCATAGTTGTACAAATATAGTGGAATGTGTAAATGTCAGCTGCTGTGGAATCCTGATCAGGGTTATCAATGTGGCATGTGGGACGGCGGGTTTACCTCTTTCTTTTGTGCCACATTCCCATTGAAAAATACGGGGGGGGGGGGGCAGCTGCTATTCGTCTCTGAATGAAAGCTTGCATTGGTGCCAGTGGAAATTTCCCCCTTGAACCAGACACAGGCTCAATGGCCCCTTTTTTCAAAATGGTGAGGGGACTGCAGCTGAGAGGTGGAAACAGCAAAAGACTTCCCCACTGACCCCTGTTCATTAATGAGATCTTCTGGTGGATCAAAGACACTTCCATCCAAGGCACATTTGAATCCAGCCTATTGTCACTTGGCTTGGCTTGGAGATAGACCATAGCCTTTTAAGCGAGTTGGAAGTGCCTGTGAGAGCCTTTGCTTCCCATGGTGTACAGTACAGATGCTTAGTTCTTTTGTCCCATGAGTACCTCATCAAACAGGTTGGTTTTTTTTAAGTAAGACCCATCTCCAGCCACTGTTAGAGGCTGTATGCCTCTGAATACCAGTTGCTAGGATCACAAGGAGTGAAAGAGTGCTATTGCACTCAGGTCCTGCTTGCAGGCTTGACATGGGCATTTGGTTGGTCACTTTTGAGAGAACAAGATTCTGGATTAGATGGGCCATTGGCCTGATGTAGGGCTCTTCTCATGCCTTAGAACAATTAGAAGAAATGTTGCACATGCAGGCAGCAGAGGGAAGTGCCACTTGGCCGCCATGCAAGCGCCTGCTTTCTCAGATCTGTTACTGTGACTCCATTAAGGCTGATCTTTGAAAGTCTGTCATCTGTGCCCCTTTGGGTGACCCTTTCTTTCAGATGGAGGCGCTAAGGACCCAAGAGGAAGACCAGCCTTTACAAGAAGAGGAGCAGCGTCAGATGGAAGAGATCCTGCGACTGGAGAGGGAGATTGAGAAGCTGCAGTGGCAGCAGAAGACTGACCACATCACCTGTGAGAACACCAAGAACGAGATAAAGCGGCAGCGGGAAGAGGAGATCCAGAGGCTGGAGAAGGAGGCGTCCAGGGTCGCGCAGGAGTTCCTGGAGCTGCTGGATTTTGGGAATTTGGATGAGAGCGTGCAAGGCTTCGAGCACTCACTGTCCAACGAAGGGACCCTCAACATTGAATGCAGCCTTGTAGCTCCCCTGGCTGAGGAAGAAGAAGACGAGGGCTTTCCTGCAGATGAAGAGGGACCACCAGTTCCCAGCCCAAGTCTCCTGAACCAGGACAGCAGCACCAGAACCAGTGACAACTATTACTCCGAGGAAGATGCTTCTCCGAATATGCCAGTGCCTAGGAAGGGAGAGAACGAGGAGGGCAACACTCTGTGTCTTTCCACAGAGAGATCTGCAAGCCCCCAGAAGGAGCAGCCTATGGAAAGCATCTACCAATCAGCCTCAGAAATCCTGCAGAGTGACAATGGGGACTCGGAAGAGCCAATTTACAGCTTGCCTCCAGATGTGGAGTCTGACTATGACCACGAGGAGTTTGATGGCAGCGGAGAGGCTGGCAGCACGTCCGCTGAGCCCCTGAATGGGGAGGAGGTCTCGCGCAATTCCCACAGCAACGGCATGGACTCCAACCGCGGCAGCTTAGACTCGGTAAGGGCCGTTTGCCTCGAAGCAAAAAACAGATCCTGCTCTGAAGCAGGAAGTGTGTTTTTCTTTTTATCTTTCCTGTGCACATTTGGCACCTCAGTGCTCTCTTGTGTTAACTAGTTACGTGCTCCTTGGGGTTAAAAGGCACTTTGTTTTCTTCAGTCCACATTCACAGCCATTGCATTTCATCAGGATGCTTGTGAACACATTTCTACTCCCTCCCATCCATAGGCTTGCCTAGTTTCATCTTGCATAACTGTCCAATCCTTGTGGTCTCTCATAGGCATCTCCCAGCTTGGTTTCATTGGAAAATTCAATCCACACTCTTCCTGTTTGCAATCCAAGTTGCAAACAAAAAAGAAAGGGGGAAAATGTAGTGAATAAAATAAGTCCCAAGACTGATTTCTAAAGAACTCCATTTCTTCTTGCAAGCTGACCTTGGAACTTTTTCAGTCTTCCCTTGTCTCAGGATGTGGTTTTGAAGGTACAGGATGCAATAGCTTGGATGAAGCCAAGAAGTTCTGGGCTTGGGCAATGCCTGGATGGGAGACTTCCAGGGAACTGTGTGTGTTGCCATGAGTTCCATCATAGAAGAAAGGCAGGATATAAATATAATGGAAGAAAGGCAGGATATAAATAATAAAATATAGGCACAGGATTTTGTTTTGTTCTTAAGTGTTAAAATCCATTGTGTTGTGTTTCCTTTAACCCAGGGATAGCCCTTGGCCTCCAGCTTCCATTAGCCTCAGCCAGCATGGCTCAATGGTCAGGGATGCTGGAAGTCGTAGTCCAACAACATTCGGAGGAAATCACATTGACTGCCTTAACCTATTGGTTACTTTATCCATTTTCTGCCGTGTTTGTATTTTTCTGTGTGATACTAAAAGCTTACTTGCACAACTGGTGTGTCTGTGCACACATGTTTGCATATGCATCCCATATATGCACATTTCCCATTTGTTCTTCACATCTTCATGCACATTTGTATGTTTTTTATATATGTTGGAATATGGATTTTGTGCCTGGTGTTGGTGCATTACTTCCAGCTACAATTACTGTATGGGTATTTGTGTCTGCCATATTTACAAGGGCACTTACTGGATATTGTTTGACCCGATTAATCATGCACACAACAGCCACCGTCCCCAAGAACACACTCATTGTATGAACCTTTTGGGGCGATCTTAAAAAGGGAGTTCATATACTTTAGAAGCTATCCCTTGTAGAATGGCAGTTCACCCCTGTTTAATCTATTTAACGCCTTTGTGCTGCCCATAAGGACATATTGTTTGTGTGTTAGGTTGTGTGTAAAGTTGTAGCTTTTCACATTATCTGCTGCAGAAGGGGGTTAGACTGCCCCCCCCCAGAAGGGGGATAATGAGAGAGACAGAAGCTGAGATGGCCAGAATGCATTTTGCTGAATATCAGAGAACTATTGCAATAGAAAACTGGAGGTTCTTAAAGCAGATAGTTCCAAAATGGAAATAGAGGCCAAAGTCCACATGTTGGCAACTGAGTATGGCAGGTTTTGGCCTTTGCCTTGAAATTACTCACCCACTTTAGATCATTCCTGCTTCTGTATGGTTATCATACTGCCTGGCCAGCTCAGCACTCAGATCTGTAGTGGAAGTGTGATAGGACTTGGCAGGTTGTGCTGCTTTGTTTCTGGAGCGTAACCATTCTTTTTGCCTCCAGTTTCTAGACAGTGAGGATGAAGGGGATGCTTATATGGACACGGATGAAGAATTCTGCAGCAGCCGGGTCACTGTGCTCAATGGATCGGGGCCAGCCTATTTTCACAGCTATCTCTACATGAAAGGTAAGCAGCTTGGTCAGTCCCCTAAGCTGAGCCATTTTCCCCTGCTCCCTAATCCCCTCTCATCTCCCCTCAGTATTTGCTCCCTGTTTTGCTGTTTTGTTCTTCTTCATTTCCAAGATCAAGTCAGTAAGGCTTTTTGTCAAGGAGGGATTAGAAGGGACCTTGGTTGCTTTGCATTGGCATCCACATAAAGGCTGTGATATCCAGTCCCAAGTGTTGGGTCTTAATGGGCATGTTGACAGATGATAACAGTTTTTAGAGATGGAAGAGGCCCTGTTGTGGAACATGCTTGAAGTGATCTGGCAGCACTGTGAAGCAATATTTGGGGTGGTAGTAAGGGGGTGGATAAATGAAATTAATGCTTGATGCTACAAAATTTACATTTATAAAAAAGATACTGGTCTTAGTGGGGCGGGAGGTGGCACCATTTGGGCCTCACTTCAGGTAACAAAATATCTCATGCCAGTTTTGTGAGGGCTTGTGCAAGTACACACATTTACCTCCCCACTCCCAATTTTACTTTGGTAACTAGCAGACCAAGGTGTTGTTTTTTTAGGGTTGTAGGGGAAAATAGTAATACAAAAAGTCAACCGCTGCCTCGCTGTACATTGCAGTTAATGCCACTGTGATAAACTTGTGCATGCTTTTGCATGTTAGCATTCTGTCTCTACAGGAGGCCCCACATTTTTCAGGTAACTGCTATGGCCAAGGGCAGGAAGATAACACCTGCCACTGTCTTTGTCAGGTGCTTGTGGAGTGCAGGGTGGGGACATTCTGGTGGTGCAGTAACTTTGACTGTGTCTCTTTTCTCTTCCTTGCAAGGGGGCCTGATGAACCCCTGGAGACGGCGCTGGTGTGTCCTGAAGAACGAGGCCTTCATGTGGTTTCGAGCCAAGCAAGAGGCCTTGAAGTCAGGCTGGCTTTACAAGAAGGGAGGAGGCATGTCCACGCTGTCTCGCCGGAATTGGAAACGGCGCTGGTTTGTCCTGAGAGAGGCCAAGCTGATGTACTTTGAGAACGACAGTGAAGAGAAGCTGAAAGGCACGATTGACATCAGGAAGGCGAAGTATGGGACACTATTATGTCTCTAACCCTAGGGATAAATCAATATCAATATTGATTGGTAACAGGAGATGTTTGGGGAATCCTTAACAACCTGGGCCTGAGGGGAAATTGTTTGACTCCTTAAGTCCTGTGGGACATCTTTAGGCCTGAGGCTGTTAGAGAGGGTGGGGCCTTAGAGCCCCTTACCTGAGTGCAAGGGCTATTTTTAAAGCTTCAGCGTCAGTACTGCATGCAGAATGACGCTCTAGGACCAGGCCCATGCAGAGCTTGTTGGAGGCCTGGGATGGGAGTCTTGTTCTTGGCATGATAGCTTAAGTCTGGCAGGCCCCTGGTGGTACCCCCCAGCCTGTTTAGCCCTCTGAGGCCTGTGAAAAGTGCAACTGACTGCCCCCCACCTGCATGGGCCTATTTAGGACTGATTTGAGAATTTTCTTGTAGCAAATTTTGCCCGTTCTTGTGCACTCCCCCTGGCCTCTCTTGTCAGTACTATTCAACTTGAATTGGTTTAGCTGTCTCTTTGCCCACATTAAGTCTTTTCAGTGATGTTGCCCTTGCAGTGGATCCTTATCAACACAGCCCCCAAAGGTGGTCTCTAGGTGCAGTAGGCAGTACCCTCATTCCCACACCAGCCTGTCACCTTACTTCACCTTTGGGTGCTGTTGCTTCCTTGTTCTCAAGTATTATAAAGTATTATCGGGGAAACACTGAGCCTCCTTGAGACCAGGCAGGCCAATGGAGATGGATGCCAAACATAGACAAACTGCCTTTTCATCCTGGCTCTTCACACTTGTTGTTTTTCAGGGAGATTGTGGATATTCACGAGAAAGAGAATGCCCTTGATATTGTGACAAGTGATCGAGTTTACCACATAGTGGCAGAATCACCAGAGGATGCCAGGTAGGGGATGCAGGGATAGGTGTGTGTTTTTCTTAAAAGGTTTCTGCTTTTTCCCAAGGCGAGGGGTGGGAGAGCTGGAAGCAACACCCCTCCCATGATGTTGTGCTCTAAATAGAGAAGCAGTTATAAAAATAGGGAAAGGCAGGAGAATAGAAGATGAATCATGATATACGTGTTATCAAATCATTGTTTCAGTCTTTGTATGATGTTATCGGTATTAGTAAATATATTTAATTACTTCTATGATGCTTTGTATACAACTGCATATTAATTATAGTATTCTAGACTATTAAAAAATTAACCATTTCAGTAATAAATATATACGGGGTGTTTTTTTTAAGTGTCTTCTGCTTCTGTCTTTCTTACAGTGACTGGTTTAATGTCCTGAGCCGTGTGCACAGTGCTACAGAGCAACAGCTGAGAGAGATGCAGGATGAACAAGCCAACCCAAAGAATGCTGTGGTGAGTGGTGGGTCAAGTGGACCCCTGAAACTGTCACTCTTCTGGCTGCCTAGCAGCTGATGAAGGATGTTCCTAGGCATTTGGTTGTCCACTGAGAACGAGATGCAGGACTAGATGGGCCGTTGGCCTGTTCCAGCAGCTGGGCTCTTCTTGTGTTCATCAGTAAACGGCAGGAGAGTTCTTCATGGACACCCTTTTACAGGACTGAGTTTGAAATAAAAGGGAGGCTGCCTGAAGGATTTAATGCCCCCAACTAGTTTGATGGCAGGTATGGTGGGCAAAGGACATATCTGAAGCAGGATTTGGGCAAAGGGATTATGATCAATGCCAGGAAGATCTTTGTGGGGAGTAGTGTGTACACCAAGTGTCATTTGGAGAGGTGACCAACCCTCCAGGACTGTCAACCTCAAAGAACTGCTTAGGGGGAAGGGATACGGGAGCCCCATTTTGTTAATAAAGCCAGAGCAAATATGTCTTCATTTAGGGCCTGACACCAAACCAAGAATACCGTCAAAGGTGGACTGTGCCCAGGAACTGTAGCTTGCAAATGGAAGGGGAAGGTGGGCTTTTGAAATTCCACTCTTGATGGCAGAATGCTTGAAGTTGTTAGGGTGCGTTTCAGGGTGCTTCCAGACAGAAGGTGTTACGTTACAGATAACTGAATCAGCATATCTGATCCTTGCATGCCATATTGGGGCTGTACTGATCACTGCTAATCAGAACAGCAGATTGGGATCTAGCAAGACATGTGTGGGAGACGCATTCTAAATCTGCAACGGGAAACTAACCCCATGCTAGCTGGTACTTTTCCCCTTGGAGGTATCTTCCCCGATGCTTCTTCGATTTTACAGTGTGTGTGTATGTCTAGATAAGATAAATGTAAGCACACATACATACAAAGAGAGCTCATTCACACACTGGTATAAGGACTTATGGGGAGGGGGAGTGCCATGTCTCACCCCTGGCACACATTGGAACCTGGTCATCCATAGAGGTCAGAGGTTTTTGATCCACACAGTCATTCATTCCTACAGGAGCTCCAGATGTTGGGATTACAGTCCCATCATCTCTCATCACTGACCATGCTGTTTCAGGCTAACGGGAGTTGTAGTCCAAAGCATCTGGAGGGCCACAGGTTGAGGAAAGTTGCCCCCTAGGAGAAAGTAAAGGGGTGCACTTAGGGACTCAACATGTTCACTGCCTCCTGGTGACACCAACAATTACGAATGCAGCCTACTTCTAATTGCAGAGCCACATCAGGTATTGTTGTTGCTGCTGTCTTCCACAAACGTCCCAATGTGATGTACAAAAGATAATAAAAACAGCTTAAAATTGGTTTAAAACAGCAGGAACAAAACCAAAATGAATTTAAAAGCAATAAAAAGTGGATGCCTATGTGTGGATCACACTGGAATGGAACAGAATGGTAGGAACTGGATCTTGCATATATCTAGAAGTCTGTTCCATTTTTTGTTGTTGTTTTAAAGGGAACCCTGGACGTGGGGCTCATAGACTCAGTCTGTGCTTCTGACAATCCTGACAGGTAAGCTACAGCTGAGTTCCTCTTTGTGTGTGCTTTTTTGTTTTGTGATTTTCAAATATTTTTGGTGCAGCAACAATTGTGTAACAGGAAAATATTTAAATCCATCTACTGCATATTTGAGTAAATATAAATGCAACAGATAAGGAGCTACTTAAAATGCCTCCAGCCAGTATAAATATCTCCCAAATGGCTGTGTTTATTTTGAGTGACTGGCCATTGGCTCCAGAAGCTCCTTGAAGCATTTGCTTTCCTCTTAATAAAGTCTAGTTGCTGTGGGTTCGGGTTCTCGAGCTCTGGGTGTTTCATACTTCAGGGAAGTGTGTGCAACTACACACCACCTGCCCTATGAGCTAAAGTTGTGTGTGCTCCGCAGAGAGATGGCTGCTTTTATGGCACAGTACCATCCTGTGGGGTGCTTTCCCTTTTATATTACCATCGTTTTTGTTGTTAATTATTATTATTTATTTATACCCCGCTTTTCTCCCTGCTGGGACTCAAGGCAGCTTTCAGATAGAAACAAGAACCACTAAAAACATTTTTTAAAAAAATCAATAATGAAAACTATATACGTATATAAAATCTGTTTAAGGCATACCAATAATTAGACTCAAAAACAGCATGGCAGCAGCCCTTTAATTTAATTAAAAGCAGTCCGTTCCCAAAAGCCTGTTGGGACAAGAAAGCCTTTACGGGAGGGAAGACCTCCGCCGCCGCCCGGCCGGAGCGGTGCTCCGAGCCGGGCGGGGGAGGGAAGACCTCCCGCCGCCGCCCGGCCGGGACGGTGCTCCGAAGCCGGGCGGGGGGAGGAAGACCTTCTGAAGGCGGGCGGGGGCGAAAGTCTTTGCTCCCCCTGCCTGCCTGTCCCGGAGGGCTTTTGAAGGCGGGGAGCAAAGACTTTCGCCCCCGCCCGCCTTCAGAAGAGGTCCAGGACCTCTTCTGAAGGCTGGCGGAGGCAAAGTCTTTGTCCCCTGCCTGCCTTCCCAGGGGCTTTTAAATTGCCCCGGACAGCGGAGAAGTCCTCCGCTGTCCCGGGTGATTTTAAAATGCCGCCCGCCAGCATTTTAAGATCGCCCGGACAGCGGAGAAGTCCTCCGCTGTCCCGGGGTTTTAAAATGCTGGGGGTGGGAAGAAAAGCCCTTGCCCCCAGCCTTCAGAAGAGGTCCGGGGACAGACTGTCCCCGGACCTGGTCTGATACCCGCCTGTGCAAAGGCAACAAGGAGCCAGTCTAGCTTCTCTAGGGAGGGAGTTCCAGAGACTGGGAGCAGCCACCAAGAAGGCCCTCTCCCATGTCCCCACCAAGCATGCCTGTGAGTGTGGTGGGACCAGGAGAAGGACCTCACCTCAAGACTCAGGCAGGTTTGTGTGGGTCAGTAAGGTCCTTCATACAGCCTGGGCACAAGCCATGTGATACTATATAGGTAATAACCCGCACTTTGAATTGTGCCCCAGAAACAGACCTGTAGCCAGTGGAGCTGTTCTAGCAAGGAAGTTGTCTGCTCCCTATAACCAGCCAACAATCTGGCTGCAGCTTTTGGAGCCAGTTGAAGTTTCGGAGTACTGTTCAAAGGCAGCCCCACGAGTGTTAGAGTAATCCAAACTGGATGTAACTAAGACATCTGTCACTGTGGCCAAATCAGACATCTCATACGCTTCCCCCTCTTCCCCACAACACATGCCCATTTCTTCGAGAATAGTAGTTTTTCTGGACGTGGCAAACACTAAGTGCTGCCACAGTTTTAAAGTTGCATCTGAAGCAGTAATCTGACTTGCATCCTTCAAAAAGAGAGCAAAATCAATGTGTTTCTGTGTGTGGCCTAACCTTCACATGTTTTCTTCTTGCACAGCTTGAGTCTGGGGGAAAAACAAACAGATTTGTGTTGTGGCTTTGGAAAAATATTAATATTGATGATGATGATGTTGACGACGAGATACTAATTTTGATGATGGTGATTTTTCAGGCCAAACTCCTTTGTGATTATCACAGCAAATAGAGTCATTCACTGCAACAGTGACATCCCTGAAGAGATGCACCACTGGATCTCCCTCCTGCAGAAGCCCAAAGGCGAATCCCGGGTCGATGGGCAGGAGTTTATTGTGAGAGGTATGAAGGCAAGATGAAAGAGCTGGCTAAATATATTGTGCCTGAAGCAGAACACCTAAACAGTACCCTCCTTGCCCCAGTGGTGTTAATAATACAAATAAGCCATTTGCTGGCCTTTGAGGCAGCCTATCTCACCATAGCACTAGTTGCTACAGACACGGCACAGCTCACTCTTCCAAAGTGATAATGGGATTTTCCACTTTATAAATGGGATATGAAGCTGATGATGACCATGAGAACTGATGCAATAGAGTGGCTCATAACATGCAGTGGTGAGAAAGCCTCCAGTTCAAATCTCCCCTCATCCAGGAATTCTCTAGGTGGCCATGGGCAAGTTTGCTGCTTTCTTTGCCTCAACCCCACCTGTTCGTATTGGCATTGCAGGATGCTTGTAAGGATTTACTAAGAGAAAGCCACCATAGTCTTAATGTTCTGACAGCAGTGTATAAGTGTTAAGAACTGAGGTATGTATTCACACCCTTTAAGTGTGGGTTTCACTGACAAGATACCCAGGGTTAGCAGCAGAGTATTTAATCTGAGGAACGATGTAAACAGACTGAAGTTTGAGGTGACTGTGATTCATCCCAGTAATTAAATGCTGATCCTGTCATCGCTCTCTCAACTGTCAAAATTCCCACCCACCACCCCAACCATCATTCAGCACACGCTTCAGCTGCCCCCTCCCACTTGCCTTAACATTCTGTACCCCAAACAGTCTCCTCCCGCCCCCTCACTTCCCTCCAAACACAAACGCCAAATATGGTTCATTAAAAGCTCTCTGGGTGGTTAAGTGTTACCTAAACACTTTCTTTCTTTCTTTCTTTCTTTCTTTCTTTCTTTCTTTCTTTGCAATGCATGCTCTGATAGAGAAATCAGGAAGTCAGCTGGGGGAGATGGTGGTTTAGACTGAATTGTGCCTCCTCCTTCCTCTGTTCTTTATAAGAAAGGAACAGGAATTTGAAAGTCTCCAGTAGCATCCCATTAGCAGGAGAGCAAACTCGATTTCTTGAATTTCAATTCCATTGGGCCCTGTTGTCCCTCTTTCCCATCAGGCTGGCTTCATAAGGAGGTCCAGAGCAGTAGCAAGACCTCTTCCCTGAAGGTGAAGAAACGCTGGTTTGTGCTGACCAACACTGCCCTTGATTACTACAAATCGTCCGAGCGCACAGCCACCAAGCTCGGGACACTGGTGCTGAACAGCCTCTGCTCAGTGGTCCAGCCTGATGAAAGGGTCTTCAAAGAAACAGGTAAGGAAGGGGAAAAGGTGTTCTTTGTGTGCCACTGTGTCTTTCTCTGAGTGTTCGTTGCCATTCTTTACCATTTTGTGCACAGCTATAAATGTGTGGAATATCATTTTGGTCATTTGTAATAGGACACAGTCCTGGCAGACTATGGGGAGGGTCTGTATTTTGCATGTAGAGGGTCCCAGCTTCAATCCTCATTTCAAAGGATCCAGCATCAGCGCTTGGGATCTCTGCCTGGGAGACCAGCTGCTAGTATTGGGATAGATGGGACCATGGCTGGACTTTGTATGATGCAGATCACATGTTCATATGCCTGTGTCTGTTTTGCATTCATAGTTGGTAAGGCCCAAAGAGAATTTCTGAACTGACTCTGTTCATCCTATAAACCATAACATTTAATTTGCTGGTTTCTTTGGAGTGAAATAGCATTTGTGTCATGGGAATAATGGCACAAAGTGAGTCCTGTGGGGTGAAGTTAGTGCTGCATGGGCCAAGCCAATCAAGTGCACAAAGGAATATCAGGGGCTTTCTGTAGACCCCTTTGGGTGCCATTAGCCAGTTTAGATCACACAGCAACTGCATCATGTCATGAGCAGCTGATAGAGCGCAGTCAACATTGCCACAAGGATCTGGCCTCTGCCACCTCACACTTTTCTCTCTCGCTGTATCATTTGTCATCTCAATTACTCCAAGATTGGGCAGTAGTTGCCTGTTTCTGTTTGTGCCTTCAGGCTACTGGAACATCACTGTGCATGGCAGAAAGCACTCGTATCGGCTCTACACAAAGCTGTTGAATGAAGCCATGCGCTGGGTCTCTGCCATCCAAGGAGTCATTGACAGCAAGGTTCCCATTGAAACACCCACGCAGCAGCTGATTCGGGACATTAGAGTAAGTGCCTCTAACTCTTAATTGCACATGAGTATGAGGGATGTGGTGGTGCTGTGGTCCAAACCACTGAGCCTCTTGAGCTTGCCAACTGGAAGGTCGGCGGTTCGAATCTCCATGACGGGGTGAGCTCCTGTTGCTCAGTCCCTGCTGCTGCCCACCTAGCAGTTTGAAAGCACGTCAAAGTGCAAGTAGATAAATAGGTACCGCTCCGGCCGGAAGGTAAACAGCGTTTCCATGCGCTGCTCTGGTTTCGCCAGAAGCAGCTTAGTCATGCTGGCCACATGACCCGGAAAAACTGTCTGTGGACAAACGTCGGCTCCCTCAGCCAGTAAAGCGAGATGAGTGCTGCAACCCCAGAGTAAAGGGGTCCTTTACCTTTTTATAAGCTCTATATCCAGATTACTAGGATCTCCTTATACTCACAGGTTTAAGATATTAAGGCAAATGAGCTTTCCTTGCTCTCTTCATATACAACCTTTTAGGATTTGCTCATGTCTGTGTAAATACCCAGGTATTTGAGCTTCCCTCCCATTATTTGCATCATTCTGCTCAGTTCAGAAGCGGAGATGTCCCTTGGCACTTTCCCTTTCTTCCTGCCCCTCTTCTAGATATACAATTTCTCTCTGCACACACGTTGGAATAATCAAAAGCAAGAATGTAACATACACAAAGGACAGGGTCTATTAATTCTTAAGTAGTAGGTCTGGATTCTACAAAGGACTCTGATAGAATCCCTCTTTCAGTGGGAATAGTGTGTTAAGGCACATTCATACGTGCAGGATAATCCAAAGGCTGCACATTTTTATGGGAGTCATAGTTCAGTGGCGGATCACATTGTTTGCATACAGAAGGTCTCTGGTACAATACCCGACATCTTCCATGAAAGAAGGATATCCAGTATCAGGGCTGAGGAAAACTTCTCAGACCTTGGAGGGCAGCTGCCAGTCAGAATAAAGAACACTGGCTGAACCAGCAGTTTGACTATACAGAAGGCAGCTTTATGTGTTTGTTTCATAGGGATCCCTCCACTGAGCTACAAAGAAGCACCTCTTGTAATTTTCTCTCTGAAGTTTGCCATTTGGCCCCGCCTTTTCAGGTAGACAGATGGAAATACATATACACTTGGTTAGTTTCCCTACACACACACACATACGATTAAAATCGGCAGAAGGGTGTAGGTGCACATTTTATTCAACAACAACTAAAAGCAATATTATGATCTGTCAGAACATGGCGTGTTTCTAAATATTCAGAATTCCTTTTGATGAGAGGGCTGTTGTTGGCCGGACATACTCTGGATATTTTGTGATATAAAGTGATCTCCAAATCCTTCTATGGACTTGGTTTGGCAGTTTCCCCTGTTGCTGACCAAATTGCCATTTTTACAGTACACGGCCTTTAACTGTTGTTTTATCTCTTCTGTAATGGACTGGGAGCACTTCCATTTAATAGTACAATTAGATTAGTACAAGAGTGAAGCCCTGTAAAGGTAACCTCTACTGGCCCACCCCTTCCTTTCAGGAGAACAGCATGAACCCTGAAGTGGTAGAACAGACCTACCGGAGGAATCCTATCCTGAGATACACCCAGCACCCCTTGCACTCGCCACTTCTACCACTGCCATATGGGGACGTTGGGGTCAACTGTGAGTGACATGGTGGCTTTCGAGGATGCTATGTCAAGGGTTCAAAAGGAATAATTTTTGAGAGGATGGGATGGGACTGAGGCAGAATATTGCCGGGATGAAGGTCATCCAGCTTTACAGTGCAACCCAGTATACATGTTTCCTCAAAAGTAGGTTCAACTTCAGTGTGACTTACTTCTTAGCTGAGTGTGCACAAGAATTCTGTGTACATTGACTCAGAAGTAAGTCTCAGTGGGCCTTACATCCTTCTAAACATGCATAGAATTGCACGGTAAATCAGAGTTATTGTGTTGACTCTGGCTGAAATCTGATGCATAAAAAAATACTGTAGAAGTGGGAAGATGCAGTGAACTTACCAGTGGAATGGAATTAACTAGCTGAAATACAAAGAATTGTGCATTAAGAAAGGAGCAGAATCATAGCCCTATCATGTAACTGTTTCTAATGGGGGGAATTGAATTGTCTCTCAAGTGACCTTTGAGTAGTGATAATTATCAGAGGAGTTTCCCTTCTCCTCTGGGTTGTGGGCATGAGCAAATGTGTTTCTTGGAGTGATGAACTAGCAGCTGGCCAGTCCGTAGTTGGAGGACATACTGACTGCCTTCTCCCTGCCTTGTTGTTTGTGCCACCTCCTCCCACTGCAGTGCAGCAAGAGAAAGGCTATAGCAGCCTCCAGGATGAAGCAATGAAGATCTTTAACTCCCTTCAGGAGATCGAGACAGTCTCTGACCCCATCCCCATTATCCAGGGCATTCTGCAGACCTGCCATGATCTCAGGCCCCTCCGGGACGAGGTGTACTGTCAGCTGATCAAGCAGACAAACCATGTGCCACAGCCCAACAGACCAGGGAACCTTCACCACTGGCAGCTGATGACCTGCATGAGCTGCACCTTCCTGCCCAGCAGAGGAATCCTCCGTTACCTCAAGTTCCACCTCAGAAGGTAAGAACCATCCTGGAGGAATTTCTCTGCAATTGTAGCTAGCTCACTGACTCCAGAGCACTGAGGAATACATTACATAGCACCAGTCGCTGCAGACGTATAGAAACATGGGAAGGCTGCTTCATATTGAGTCAGCCCATCAGTCTGACTAGCTCAGTATTATCTTTGCTGAAGGGCAACAGCTCTCCAGGATTCAGTCCTAGCTGGAGATAGAACCAGGAACCTTCTGCATGCAAAACAGGAGGCCCTTTGCCTAATACTTGCATCCTTAGAGATCATTGCAGAGGCCACCCACCCCCAATTTACCTCCACCTTGCTTTGTGAAAACTCCAGTGCTTCCTGTACTACTGTCCCTCATACCTGCTTTCTACTAAGCAGCAGTGCCAAGCTGGTCCTGATATTTTTAGACAAAGGTGTAAATATTGGTCTCAGAGGCAGAAAATAGTAAATAACCTCTGTCCAAATGAATGAAATTTGCTTATATTAAGTGATACAACATCTTCATAGGCAGTAGGTAGCCCACAGCTTCTTGAGTTGGCTTGGCCTTGCTATACAAATGACACGGTTCTAGGTCAAAGTTTGTTTCATGACAGAATGGCAATATGTTATTTACCTCTTCTCTTTCCTCACCCTCCCTCAACCAGAGTAAAAGATCTCTTCCCAGGCACTGAAATAGATCGGTATTCTCAGTTCATCACTGATTCACTGAAAAGAACCAAGAGCAGGGAGTTTGTCCCCTCCCAGGAGGAAATACAGGCCCTCATCACCCGGGAGGAAATGACCACCACTGTCTACTGCCACGGAGGAGGTTCCTGTCAAATTACCATCAATTCTCATACCAGTGCCGGAGAGGTAAGAACGAAGGCAGAATTTTCAAGGCAAAGTTGTCCAGGGAAGAAGGGGCATTCAGCTTGCTTCAGATGGCCTCTACTAGCGGAAGTGGAGGGAATATATATCTCTCTCTCTCTTAGTCCAGCCTGTTTGCATCTGTCTGAGAGGTTCCTTGTGCAACCAAATCCTTTGTGGCGTGATGTGGTCTCTCTCCTCCCTTTGTAGGTGGTAGAGAAGCTGATCCGGGGGTTGGCCATGGAAGATAGTCGGAACATGTTTGCCCTTTTTGAACGCAACAAGCATGTGGACAAGGCCATTGAGAGTCGGGTGATTGTAGCTGATGTTCTGGCCAAGTTTGAAAGGTAGGTGTTTCACAGGAATAATCCTCCTGTTTAGCACTGGGGGATCTGATACTTTCTAAACAAGAAGGCCTTCTGCCATGTTGCTGGTCCTCTGAGACCTTATGGCAGGGTGCTACAGAGATGCTGTTTTCAGAGGCAGATGCTACGTGTAGACCAGCTCTTCTTAACCAACGAACTAGATGGTAACCAGCTTCTTCCTCATCTTTTAGACTTGCTGGGTCTGTGGAAGAGGAGGATGAGGATGGGCACTGGCAGCTCTACTTTAAACTGTATTGTTTCTTGGATGTTGAAAACGTTCCCAAGGAAGGGGTGGAATTTGCTTTCATGTTTGAGCAGGTAAGTCTTCGCATGGGAGAGAATAAGCAGGTGGGTGGCTGAATGGGTGGCTGGATCAAGCCAGGGCTGTGAAGAATTTGCCTGCAACAGCCCATTGCTATTAGGACACTTAGTTGTTCATCTTGACTTATAAGGCAATATACATAACTTAATTATAACTCCAAAGGGGTAAGCATAGGCATTGGGATGGTCTCTTGAAGCAAACAGCCTTTGGGGAAAAAACATATTTTAGTTAGCTAGTTATTTGCCTGCTTTTTAGTGTATCTACCTCCCAAGGTTGGTTACAACATACCAATGTACAGTATTAAAATTCCAAAGTTTCAAAGAACAATAAAATAGCAAGTAACAACATTTATAGACCCACGAATAAAATTGCTCCTTCTGCTATTCACAGGCTCATGAAAGTCTCATTGACGGCCATTTCCCTGGTCCAGAGGAGACACTGCAGCACTTGGCTGCTCTGAGGCTGCAGTACCTCTATGGGGATATTTCCAAAATCTCCTGGTCCCTGGACAACATCTATCCAGTGAAGAGGCTGAAGTCCAAAATCCTGCAGTCCATGAAGAGTAGCGGTCCCAGCAGCCATGCTCTGGAGAAAAGGCGGACCAGCTTCCTGGAGGGCACTCTGAAGCGTAGCTTTAAGGCGGGCTCAGTGAAGAAGCAAAAGGTGGAAGAGGAGCAGATGATGGAGATGTGGGTGAAAGAGGAGCTGTCGGCAGCTCGGGCCAGCATAACAGAAAAGTGGTGCAAACTGCAGGGGCTGCTCCAGCAGCAAGCCATGGTGGCCTACATGAACATCATGAAGGAATGGTCGGGCTACGGCTCCACTGTCTTTGATGTGGAGGTGAGAGACACACAAGAAGCCTCAGTATTAATCCTTCTTCTTTTGAAAGATGCTACAGGAGGATTATGTTTATTATCTCAGTTGCACTTCATAAGAACCTTCAAATATGGTTCCATTTTATTACCCCCACTATTACAGATTGAGGATTGTGGGGGAGGGAATTGAGGTGCCAGCTAATCGACGAATTGCTGAAGAGCATTGGGCTAGGAGGGAGGACACCCAGGTTCAAATCCTGGCTCAGCCACAGCTAAATTACCTCACAGCATTGTTTGGAGAATAAAACAGGAAAGCAGAAGAACAGAGTAGTCAGACCTGAACTGTCTGGAATGGCAGGATCTAAACACAATAAATAAATATTGGCTACCAAGCCTGTTCATGGTTGAGCTAAGATTTGGCAGATCCCATTAAAGAATGAAGTGGAAATCGAAATAAATAAATATTTTGGATCTTACTTTGACACCATTTTTTAATTATTTGCTTTTGAGGTGGGAATCTTTACTAATTACTCTGGGGTTTCATTGGATGGGGGGGGGAAGAGGATTGGTTTTTGACCAGGAGCTTTCAGTCTTCGGTTCAGTCGTCCACTGCATGCTTTTCCCCCCAAGCAACGCCTTCCCTTTGCTAACTCTTCTTGTTTCTTTCCTGCAGTGTAAGGAAGGTGGCTTTCCCAATGATCTCTGGCTTAGTGTCAGCACAGAGAATGTGTCGGTGTACAAACGGGGAGACCCCAAACCCCTAGAAACGTTCCAGTATGAGCACATTGTCTTCTTTGGGGCTCCCCAGCCCAATACCTTCAAGCTGACAGTGGATGAGAGAGAGATGTACTTTGAAACCCCCCAGGTATGCTTCATGGAACACTAAGTTAGCCTGTTTTGTGAGTGACCACAAGCACTTTTGTGCTGAGGCAGGATTCGGTGGGCAAAAAGCATAAGCCGAAAGGCTTCCTTTTTAAAGTATGTTGCAGGGGTGGGGAACACTTTTAGCTCCCCAGATTGGCCACATGGGTCAGATTTGACAGGTGGGTGGGGCTTAGGAATCACCAGTCACAAAGCTGGCAAAGCATTTCTACCTCCCATTCCCTGAGCAAAGGAGGGTGGGGGGAGCAAGGAAGACGCCTGCATTTGACAGATTTTTGGGGCTGCCTGTGCCTGTTCCTTGAGCAGAATTTAAACGTGCAGGCGGGGGTAGAATTCTGCTCAGGGAACAGGTGTGCACAGCCAAAGAAATGCAGGCTTCTTTCTTGCGTTTCCCAAAGTGATAGTAGCAGTAGGGGTTGGGAGAAAGCAAGGGGATACAGAAGACCCTTTGCAAGTCCCTGTTCCAGTTATATTCCATTGGCTTCGGGCCACCATCAGAAATTGCTGCTATATTAACTGCTCAGTGTGTTAAGTGATCCTGACTGTCCCCTCTTATCTTATTAGGTGGGGGAGATCATTAAAATCATGAAAGCCTACATCAACATGATTGTGAAGAAATGTTGTAGCATCAAATCGGCCACCAGCCTGGACAGTCGTGCGAGTATCTGGACGAGGTGATGAGGCCTGTGGCGCTGCAGAGCCCTTGAGGAAAGATACACACTGTGTTCCAGCCAGATTTGTAGCAAAAATCCTTTTTCGTAAGAAGGAAAAAACATCTCCCTTTTTTCCTTTGCTTTGAGAGAAGGAAAAAGGGACTGATGCTGAGCACCCACAGCTGTAGGGCTTGCTCTTTAACCAAAACCACAACCCCGACTACTCTGGCTAGCTACTCAAGGCAGCTGGAGGCCAGGCTCCCTCTGGCCTCACTCTTGGAGTAAAGACCTTACTGCAGATGCAAAGTGAGACCACCAGAAGCAAATGTGGCTACCTTTCTTGAAGAGATTGAGGCGCGGAAATGTTTTGTGCAATAAAAGCAGCAGAAAGGCGGGTGGGTGGGTGGGGAGTCTCAATGTTGTGCTGTAATGCACCAAGCAAGATTCCCGCATGCGCAAGAGATAGAGGCTCCAGTTAATTTGGCAGCCAAGCTCTCCAATGGTAAAGATAAACTAACCCTTTGGGGGGCTGATGTTCGCTCAGGGATGAGCTGCTACTACTGAATATAGTATTGGGAGCCCTCTGCTGCGTGGGGGGCAGGGCGGGTTGTGTTATCAGTATTACCATCCCCAGAGGTTTAAGGTTTAATTACTTCCAAATCATAAGAGTTTTCAATTATTAAAAGGCCACCACTCTGTTTGATGTTAGCGGAGATCCTCACAGAGGCTTGTGACTCGAAGCAGGATCCTTATGGAAACCACCAGCTGTGTGTAAAACGACACATATTTCTTTTGGTGCTGTTCTTCCAAGCCCTTTGGAGAGGAGCTATTTCTCATGGTGCATGTTTGGAGAGTTTGCCACTTGGTAGTATAAAAAAACCCATTTCTCTGATGAGTCAAGGGGGTGAGATTTGTGGATAGATCTACGTGTATCCAGTTGCAAGGAGAACAGTCCCTTTTCCCTAATCACTTTGATGCTGCTTTCCCTTCCTTCCTGGAGTTTGGGCTGCTTTTATTCCTTATCCTTTTCTATAGGCTAGTTTTTATGCCACACAAAGCCTTGGGAGGCTACAGAGAGTAAAACAGACTAAATGAATGGATTTTGAGAAGGTAAGAGGAGGGAGCTGGCTGCGAAGGCGGCAGAGAGAAAAACCAACTAGAGTCAAGGTAACTGAGAACACAGAAGGCTGAAGGAATCATCTGTGCTTGATGAGGTAGGGAAGGATCGGGGCACGGGGAGGAGTCAGATGAGTTGGCTGTACATCTCTGAATCCCCACCTGTCGGAGGACTTGCTCCATTCTCTCCTGAAGGCCTCCAGCATGTCAACCTGGGAAGAATGGGTTTATCCTGTAAGCTGCTGAAGCCCTAGGGGAGGGATGGGGAATCTGTGGCCCTCCAGATATTCCTGGGCTACACTTTCCTTCATCCCTGTCCATGGGCTGTTCTAGCTGGAGCTTATGGAGGGGTTCATCCACCTGGAGACCAACAAGTTTCCACTAGGCTAAGTGCCACATTGGTCCACTGTGGTTGCTTAGAAAAGCCATGTACATAAGCCCTCCAATGATACTAGCTTGCAGTGGGTTGGCAGATGACAGATGAAAGGCAGTTAATGCAAAATATGTCTCTTTATCCTGCTTCTGCTAGCAGTAGGAAAGGGGTAAAGAGGTGGATAAAGTATTGAAGTCCAGTCCCCAAAGGGTTCAAATCTTACTCTGCCCACCTCCTGCCTTCTGAGACATCTTTGGCCATTACCCAGATATTTGTAAGCATCTTTTCATAGCCTATGGGGCTAGGGACTTAATTTTTTAAAAAGAAAAATACAGCCAAGATTCTTTGTCTACTATCCATTTCTACGTTTGTGTAATTTGAGGGGAATTATATTCAACTATGCCTTCCTGTCTAAGCACAAAGGCAGCATTTTTCCCTATTCCAGGCTATTTTGGGGTTTTCCACTTTCTTTTTCAGCTAGGCAAATCAAGCTGCCAATCTGCTCTGACCTACCAAGGTTGAATTTCAAATCTCTTGTCCAGCCCACTCAGTAAAACCCAAAGAATCTGGAACTTTTCCTCTACAAAGGATTGTCCAATCAGGGATCTCGTTTCCACACTCCCATCCCTTTGTCCCTGGGAATGCAAATAAAGTAAGTCACACCTGTCTGAAGAAGCCATCCAGTGATGTAATTATAATTGCTTTCTTTTTTATTGAAGCGAAAACACAAAAGCCACAGTTCAGAGTTTAGCAGCCACCTCTTTTCTCCTGTAAGGTGCCCACCCAAATATCCTGTGCATGTTATGTAGTTACATCAGCAAGGCTGGACAGACTGTCTCACCATTCTGTAGTTTTGAAAGAGAAACATTGCCTTAAGACACCAGACTGAGTCACATTAAGAGTTCTTACCTCTTTGTTTTGGCCCTCACCAGGTTGCAGAGTGGAACAAAGACGACTAGTGAACTTAATATTCCCTGTTTGGTCTGATACATACTAGAACCTTCTTAGTACACCTTCCTGCTCCCCAGTCCTTAGCCCTGAATTACTGCTCTGTCCTGGCTCATGGGTTGCTGCAGGCAGCTTAAACCCAATTAGAAGTATAACTTCCATTAATTCTATTGCAGATTTCCTTCTGCTCTTTTTGTTTGTTTAATTTGTAACTGGCTTTACAAGATGGAAGTTTAATAAATTATTGGATTGAAATTGTTTTTCTTTGTTTCAGTACCTCACTCACAGGCTCACAAGACATTTTTTGTAGAATTCTTTCCCATTTTTTATTTTTTTCAAATTCCTTGGATTGTTTGTAACAGTCCATGCACGGGTGGAATGAACTTGCATAGCGGAACTCCACCTTCCTCTCCTTCCCCCTGCAGTCTTCCCACAATTTTAGGAACCATAGGGGCTGCAGAGGTGAGGAAAACAAGGTGGAAGTCCTGTTGTGCAAGCAGATGTAAACTTTCACAACAGTGAGTTCTGTCAATTATTAGTAACAGATGACCAAAAAAGAATAATAATTGAGCAGGAAAACCTGCTTACGGGTATCCAGCCCATGGGCTAAAGCTTTTCACATTTCAGAGGTGCTCTATTCCTTCCTGGGCTGCTTTATAAAATTTCTATCCCATCACTGAGGGGAGGGATTAGGCTACAGAAAGTCAACTGAACAGGGTACAATAATTTTACTTACAAGGCTGTGCCTGTGTTGATTTCCTGAGCCAACTCCTTGTTCAAGCCATCGAACAGGAGAGTAGGTATACAGATGTTTCAACTTTCCTTTATAGCAAATTACTTGTTTTCATTATTGGAAGAAAAAGTTGCAATTTTCCTTATTGACGGCAATTCAGAGGTAAACGGGGATCTAGACTAAGCACACCAGTTTTTAATCCTCTGGCTTCTTTTCCAGTTTCCACCAGGACCCAAAGATGCCAGAACTATCACCAAATTGCTTTTGAATATGTTTAATTTTTATATAAACAAATACCATACACTTGAACCTGCAATATAGAAACACAATGATTTTTAAAAATTATTTCCCAAAGATTTTGTGTTAGCCAGGCTTGCCTTCTGCAACTGATTTGCACTAGCAGTACAGAGACTTTGATAGGTGTAGCATGAGACTCAAAGCTGACCAACAAAGCCCTACCTGCTCCAAATATAGATATGGTCCAGAAAAAAGCAATACAACCTTTGTAGCTCAAAGACAGGCAACGTACAATAATCTAACCATTAAAAAACATAAGCAAAAACATTTTCTTGCAGTACTTTGTGGTAGAGAGGAAACTTTATTGTACAACTCTGAATTCTACTGGTGGTTATTTAGACGACCATTACTGAGCACAATCTACTGCCAAGTTCCTCAGTGCAAGAGCCGCTGAACTGAATGGGAGCCGCACAGAAATAATAGATTGTGCCAACTGTGGCGTTCGATCCCACATTCTCTGTTCACCCACTTTATCCCTAGGGGCATGTGCTAGGCTAAATATACACTGGGTAGCAAATTTTAAAGCCGCAGAAGGATGAACAAAGTGTTCCTTTCTGCTTGGTTCATGACATTTCAATTTTGATTTGGTATGGTGTTTGGATGATCTCCCATTTTCTCTGCAAGTGCATATAATATCAGGACAACAATGGGCTGCCCTCTGGAGTAGAAGTTGGAGAGTACAGGCACACAGTACTTTGAAAAAGCAAGGTGCCTTTTCCCCATGGGACACCTTGACAGCTACAGTTTTTAATCCAGCTATACAGACCGTGCTATGCACACTGGTGCTGAAAACAGTCTGGAGGGGGGTCTGCACTGTGTACAGATGTATACTGAAGAGAGACAGCACAGACCAACAAAACAAAATAAACTGATTTGCAAGGAAAGGTAACTGGGAAGATGTAAAAAAAATTAAAATACATTATTATTGGCTCTGTAGATGTATTTGGTAGGAACACAAGTAATCCAATTTGAACTGGGTAGGTAAATGGTATCTCCCACTTTTAGGGCCAGTTTCACAGTCCAGGCAAAGACTGCAATCACACTCACCATACAACAGGGATTCAAGGCATTATAAGAGCCCATTGTCCTGATATTGCTCAGGTATGAACTCCACTGATTCTGTACCCAAGATTGGCAATCCAAGCACAAAACCCATTCTAACAAGCAAATAACCTTGGTGGGTTGGGGCAAAGATCCTTCCTCACGGAAAAACACCCTGAACAAGTGTTCTTTGCACCCTAAGTCTTTCAGTGAATCTGACTGTCTTTGATTCAGTTTCTGAAATAATTAAAGGGGAAAAGCTGCTTATGACGGCATGTCCACCCATCATCTTTTCCTACACAGAAGGAAGGGAAAAACTCTCTGAGCCTTTGACATGATCCCCTTACTGTTGGCTGCTGCTATACTCACAGGGAAAGTTTATGAGGCGCTGCCCTCCTGGTGTGCCCTTGGCCTTAGGTAAATCACTGGTGCCAACAATTACCTGTGCCACTTGATGTGGCTTAAACATTTCAGAAGGTGGCAACAGTCACCCTCGGAGTTTCAGAATATGCTGCACAGTATATTGCTCAAATATATACATTCTAGCAGGGCTGGTTGGCTGGCCTCACCTTTTGCTATTTGCTCCCAAGCCCTACCTCTCAGAGAAGGAAGGACTGAGGCCTGTTGCTGTACTGCATCAGTTTGGAATATTTGCTACTGGAGGCATCAAGAAACAATATGCACAAGACTCCTCTCTCTCAGTCATGTACTAAAGGCCCAAAGAAATGAAGAGTTCTTCATTTTAGCAGAAAATATTTTGAAACTGCCTCTTCCTCCAACCAGCTACAAAGCACCAGGAACAACAAGGAATGTTGACAGCAGCCATTACATCAAGTAACAGGGAAGCTGGCATTCGGCAGAGCCTCCTAGATTGCAAAGCAGCACAGGGCACCGCATGTCTATGGTTGACCTATCACACCACAACACACTTTAACTAAAGAAGCCAAAGGTTTCCAACACAACAACCACAATGCAGTAGGTGCAGTCTCTCTTTTTCCTTTAAAAAGACCTGCTGGACGGAGCATCCAATGGTTTGGTTCCTTCTTACTCAGCAATACACCACGTAAGGTTCCCTCACAAAGGGAGATGTATTTGGATCCTGGGGCATCATCCCACACAGCCAGGAGCCAGAAAAGGGCAACCTCGCCTTACAACCTGCACACTAGCCAGGATGGACTGAGTACAAGCGCAAACACATGCACTACTGCACACAGAGGGCATGGCAAGGAGGAATGGCACTAAAAGGGAGAACTGATCACCTTCATGCAACTCTCATCATAAATGGCCCATTCAGCCTTGGCCCACAACACAAAGCATACCTCACAGTATCTCCTGGCAGCTCTCACACAAGCTAAGTTTCTCTCTTCATGAGCAACACAGGAAAAGGCACTGTGTGCAATGGAACAGGGTAAAGGGTCACTTGGAGGGATAACATAAGAGGCTCACACCTAATCTGGCAGACACATTCCTCTTTGGCCTGGGAAATCAGAAAGCCTTCCCTTCCCTCTCCCTCTTCCCTTTGGCAAATACTGCTATTTGCACAGAGGCAACATACTTTGCTGACAAGAAAGGGCGGCTTCCCCAATATCTGTGCAAAGGGGAGGGCCGCACTAGCCCTGAGCCAAGGAGTCTCATGGTCCATTGGCGCTGCCTGGCCCTAGAGCGCCGACAGCAAAGCCTCAGCTGTCCCGAGTGGGACAGCAGCAGGCGGCATCGTGGCTACTGAGAGAATATGCCTTTGAAACGGATCTTGTCCTCGTCTTCTTTCTGACGTAAGCGGGTCTCCAGGCTACGCAGCTCCCGGGCAACCACAGGGCCCAACGACGGATCCAGCTGCAAGACCTTGGCAAAGTCAGCCTGTGCTTCGGTTGCATTCCAAACAGCAGCATGGGCCTTGGCTCGCTTGAAGTAGGCTTTGACGTTATCTGCGGGGAGAGCCAGCACCTGAGTAATGCAGGCAGGCTCCGTACACTCTGACCAGGCCCACCCAGTGGTCTATTCCACTTTCAACCAGGGCACAATACAAAGCTCCCCCCTCAACCCCAGTTACATGCAAGGACTCTCTTATTTATTTAAAATGACACATATCACACCTATCGCCCAGGTGGTGCACCAGGGTTCTCCCCTTCTCATTTTATCTTCACGACCCTGTGAGGTTGGATAGGCTAGGAGACTAGCATAGCACAAGGTCACCCAGTGAGCTTCATGTCTGAGAGATGTGCACCCTGGTCTCCCAGGTCCTAGTCCAACACGTTAACCACTATACCACGCTGGCTCTCTAAAACCACAGGAGGTTGCCTCTGCCCCCACATGCAGTCCCTCGCAACACAAAGTTAGATTAATCAAATCCCACAACTCCCTATTTTCAGAGCTGCTTCCCATTCCCCACTAGGGCATGGTGTGGCCAGCAAAATGCCTTACCTTCATACTTGTTGAGAATAGAGGAGCAGTGATCCAGCACCTCGTAATACTCCTCGTTCAACAGCTTACACTGGCAGTAATTCAGCAGCAAAGGGGTGATTTGTTGGTCCAGCTGGATCCAGTCTGGGGATCCGGGCTGCTCCTGGGGTACAGGACAAGGAAAGGAGCGTGAGGCACAGCTGGAGGATTTCAAAGGTTCCCCTACATATGAGAACAGAAGTGCCATGATGGCTGGGCAGCACAACCAAGGGCCCTGTTGACGGAAAAGGAGTGGCCTCCTGGAAGCCCTGCCATCAGAGCAGACCTTATGGAATGAAAGACAGGGGAGGAACTGCGCAGGAAGAAGGGCTGCCCTTTATGCGGTGCCAACCCTGCTTATCAATCCACAACTCACATCTGACTGCAGCATGATGCAAGGGAAGTGGGATCCCTGCTACATCCGGAGCTGACCCACCCACCCTCTTAACACAAATGTGTAGACAAAAGTGAAGCTGCACTAGGGTGTGAGGAAGACGCGCCTTCACTCACCTTCATCTGCAGGTTCTTGAGGCAAGCGATGGCATCGTAGTACTTGGCAGCTGCCTCCTGCACTTTGCCTTCCTTGTAGAGCTCATTGCCTTCCTGGTGGATCAGGGGCACGGCCTTCACTTTCTCGTCATCGGACATGGCCCAAGGATCTTGCCGGTATGTGCCAGGAACTTCCACCTAAGCAAGGCACAAAGGCAGCAGGCTGGGTTAGATAGCGGGGGCAATGTGAGCACTGTAAGAGCCCGTCTGACTGTGTGCCTTCTGCATCCCAGGGTACAGGTAAGAAAAAAAACAGTCTTTGATGAGATTTATGAAACGGGGGGGGGGGGGGGGGGTGAGATAATAGGAGGGCTCTCAGTAGGCAGCTGCTGCTTCATCCCTGTGTGGTACCTTTAAAAAGCTAGCAAAATCATCTCATGTACTTAGCCAAGAAAATAAAAGCGGAGACCAAGACAGATCTGTTGGGAATCAGCTTTCTCCTCCCTTCTTGCACATCCATACACCCACATACAGGAGAAACTCTCAAATACACAAGAGAGTCATCACTCTCCTGATTCTGACTGTTCCAGAGGACCTCACCTTTCCTTCCCCTCACCTTGAGCATCTCAATGGCAAAGATGAGGGGCTGGGGGTTCTGCTGCAGCTCATCGAGGTCTGGGTAACCCAGGGAGTGATGCTCATGCATCTGAGCAATGCCACAGCAATGCCGTTGTCCCTCCAGTGGATCTTTCCCAGCCGCAATGTTCCTCAAGCTCTTTGACACCATTGGGTACAAGACCACATGCTGGAGAGAAAGAAAGAAAAGATCAGGCATAGTCCTTCTTGCTAGGAGAGAAGAACCTCTCCCAGGGAATACCATCAGCCCCAAAGATATGAGATAAAATTTTGTGCACGTGCAAAATGGTGTATTGTCTCTCCAAAAAGAACAAATCTGGCATTCCATCACCTGTGCCAGATCCAAATACTTAGTTGTGAGTTGTGGAAGGAGAATCCTGAAAGCTGCAGCTAAGGAAACTCCAATTCTGCACCAAGAAAGCATAAGGATGTGTTAGGGAAACTACAGATGCCAGGGTTAGGGAAGAGGCCTTTCCTGGCCTGGTATGTCTAAGCCACTTCCCACACTAGACCAAGCTAGCTTGCCGCAGAAGTGGGGATTCTGGGTTCAACTTAAAAACAGGTATATAGAAAGAAGAGTACCTGGATGCCAAGATCCAAGTCTGAGGCAAGTACTGTTTAGTGAGAGAACCCTAGCAGATTTAAAATAGCAAAATCTACAGCAAAATAAAGTGTGGAAATATAAGTTGTTAGACCTTCATAATACACCCTTCCAAGCTCCTTCCAAAGTTTTCCTCCTCCCCTAACATAGAAAAAGACCACACATTGGGTAAATTAAAAATGGTTTACTGACTTCAAATGGCTTCATAAAGTTGCACAGACACTAAAAGTTGGCTAAGTTACAAAGTGGTTAAAGTTTCTAAATGATTGGTCTAGGAACTCAAAATAGTGGTTTGTGAGAGCCATGCTGAGCTTCTCAGGTAGATGTACGTGGAGGTTAGAACAATAGGCTTGATGACCTAAGGGGAAGTGATCTAACTAAGCCTGGCAGGACAGCTTATTCTGTGGTATTAACCCGTTCATGCATTAATTAAGACTTAAGAATGTTGGTTCTATGATAGCTCAGTTGGTAGAGCAGGAGACTCTTAATCCCAAGGTCATGGGTTTGAGCCCCACTTCCTGCATTGCAGGGGATTGGACTAGATGACCCTCGTGGTCCCTTCCAACTCAACAATTCTATGAGGCTGATCATCCCACAAGGATTACCTTTGTGTCACACAAGAACTCAGCCATCTCTCCCTCTCTCATGGTGTGCAGGATAGTCTCCCAAACGGGCAGCTTGAATTTCTTGCCAATGATGAGCTCCATGGGCTTCCCTCGGGTACGGCTGTCATCCAAGACTCGCTGGTCCGGACTGCAGAGCAGTGTGCGGTAGTGGAAGGTCACCTGAAGAGAAGGGGAAGCGGAATGGTTGGATTAAGGAACTGACGTGGTATTACACCAACTTATAATATCATGAATAAAGCTAATAGCACAGTACATTGCCCTTACTGTATACAAGTGAAAGAGTTTGTGCAATCAAGCTAAGAACAGAGTTTGTAGAAATTTCAGCTTATTAGCTGATCCATTCCATGCACTGTAGGAACTGGACCTTTAACATGGTGGTACCTACCCTATGAAGCTCCCTTTCATGGCATCAAGCAGGCACCAACTCTTTCATCTTTTCGGGGCCTATCAAATAACCTTCATTTTCTACAATAAGCTTTTCAAGTGGAGTTCCACCCCCCATCTGCATCTGTCCTTGACATGTACACACACACACACACACACACACACACATATATATGGATGTTGCTAAATCACTTTGGGACTTTATATGGGAAGCATTAAATAAATACAGATTTGATTCTCAACATCCATTTAAATAACTGGTCATATCAACCGGCAAATAGATATAGAAAGTCCTAGCCCAGGGTTTTAAATAAGCCCAGAAAAGTTACCTAGCCTGCAAAAATGTTTAGTAGCCAGCTGGGAGCTGGCAAAGAAAGACTGGAGAGTTGCAGTACCAAGCTGGATGCAGAAGAACAGAGCACTCCATTCCCTCCTCTGCTAGCCCATTCACTCACCTACATGCAAGTCCTGGCCAACCATGGCTACGACTTAAACACAAGCCTGTACCAGCTCACTCACCATACCATACTGCTATGTGGGTGGATTGAGCAGCAGGTCTCACAAGCTACTGAGCCAGAAGAAACTGTTATTCATGATGCTGTAGGGGAATTATACAGCAAATAAAAATAACTTGTTTAAATATCTCTGTCCCCCAATTTCTCAGGCAGAGAATAAAGGGGGGGTTACTGCATTAGGAAATGTAAATGGAGGAAGGGGCTTCAGCATCTTATAAACACAGATCTGCTACTAGCTAAAGGTGGCCTAGGTGACTTTTATCCCAGGAAGCTACTTTATAGCAGATCAGACTATTTGCCCCCTAGTTTAGGGTTACGTGCTCTGACTACCAGCAGCTGCTCAACAGGGTCATGGGAAGAGGAGGCCCTTTCCTCTCCCTTCCTATCTGTTCCTTTTAATTGAAGATGCCTGGTGCAGAACTTGCATACAAAGCACCTGATCTGCTACTCACCTATGGCCCTTCTTAAAGGAATAAAGGTTTCTCTCACGCATACCACGACTGGGAGAAGCAAGTGTCTTCACTATCCAATTATGCAGATTAATCTGTAAAGTGTTTACTGGTAGCACAGATGTGGCTTTATCCTATTTTAATGCACATATTCAGTTTACAAGCACCAAGTCTGTTCTCACTGCAAATATGATCCTGTTTTGAAGGTTGGGGCAGGGCCTCTTGTATCAATTGATGCTTTGGGGAACCGCCGACCTTCTGATCGGCAAGCCCTGGGCTCTGTGGTTTAGACCACAGCGCCACCCGCGTCCCCCAAGCAGTGTATACATTTTATTAAATAAATAAGACCCCCCCATACTTCCTTCCCCCCCTCGGGATTAACCCGTCACATATTCGAAGTGGACTTGGAAGCACAGCTTGCAAAATGCACATTTATGGGCGGGGTGGGGGAAGAATCCGTCCATCTCGAAGGCAGGAACAAATCAGCCTCGAGTTAGCAAAATGCTGGATGTAATAAAGCGTGGGTAACGAGCTCAACTCACAAACCCCGCACCCCACTATCTTCCCTGCGCACGCGTATTTTAGCCTCCTCGTGCGTCATCGCCACTCGCTTGCGCATGCGCGTTCCTCCGGCCCCGTTCCGTTATTTACCTCAGCCCCGAGAAACCGTCCTTTCTCACCTTAGTACCATCTTGGTAATCTGGTTGGGGCCCTCGGCCTTCCTGCACCAACCGCTTCTGGATGCCATCCGCCCGGAGCTCCGCAACCTGGTCCGCCATGATGGCTCCTCGCCCGAGTTTTGCTTCGAGGCAACCTTCGTGCGTCTCCGTAGCCTACGGACGAGCCGCCGAAGCTCCCTTCGGCGGATGCCGGATGTCGTCGGTTATTTCCGTATCCGGCTTCGGACGCGGCTGGCGGCAGCCGAAGTCTTTCGGAAGGACTCGGGCTGAGCCTCGGCCGGCTATACTTATTGTAAACAGAGGGGCGGGCGGCGCTGCGTTGCGCGGATCTGGGCTCTCAACTCTTGTCCCAAGTAGCGGCCTGAGCCCAGTCTGCGCCTGCGCGTTTTTCTTTACGTGCCTGTTGCGTCTCCCTAGTCTGCGGGGGAGCTTCTTGCCTTCGTACAGGAGCTACGGAGTCTGCAGACAACGTAGTAGTTGTTGCATACTGCTAATCGGCTGTTGTAATACAAAAAATGTTAATACTGCCTACAGTGGGTATAGAACAGCAGAGCAACGTTGCACACAAAATCCAACATACTGAGATACCTGCTAATACCAAGGTTACAGGTTTGAATGATCTCGGTATGAGGGTATATTCCTGCATTGCAGGGGGCTAGACTAGATGGTTTTCCCAGTAGCTATGTATGGAAGTGAGAGCTGGACCATAAAGAAGGCTGATCGCTGAAGAATTGATGCTTTTGAATTGTGGTGCTGGAGGAGACTCTTGAGAGTCCCATGGACTGCAAGAAGATCAAACCTATCCATTCTTAAGGAAATCAGCCCTGAGTTCTTACTAGAAGGACAGATCCTGAAGCTGAGGCTCCAATACTTTGGCCACCTCCTGAGAAGACTCCCTGGAAAAGACCCTGATGTTGAGAAAGATTGAGGGCACAAGGAGAAGGGGAGAGGATGAGATGGTTGGACAGTGTTCTCAACATGAGTTTGACCAAGCTGCAGGAGGCAGTGGAAGACAGGAGTGCCTGGCGTGCTCTGGTCCATGGGGTCACAAAGAGTCAGACACAACTGAACAACTAAACAACAACAATAGACTAGATGATCCATGGGGTCCCTTCTAACTCTGATTCTATTATTCTATGCTGGGCTACATGTAAAAAGAAATGCCAAATCCTGTTTCTGCTCTAGGTCACGAATATTCCCTTTCTCTCTTAATTACAGAAAATCTAAAGGAAGAAGCCTTTCTCCCCATTCCCCAACATAAGTTTTCCTTCCTATTGGTTTGCTAATGCAGAAGTTCTTTTCAATGCTTAACACCCTTGAAGACCATTTTTGACAGCTTAGGGAGCTGTTTGTCGTGACAGGTTAGTGTGTTGGCTGCAGCATGTAGGTGTGTCACATGAATGCTCCCCATGCTCTTCCCGAGGCTGGAAAGGGGTTCCTTTATGTCTAAAAACTGTGTCAGCAACATGAAAAGTTTGGAAAGCTCTGCCCTAGTAATTGCACTTCGCATTGCATCTTTACAATGCAATCCTATATGCTCCATTGAGTTCAGTGGAAATGACTTCCAGGTACATGTGCCTAGGCTTTGTCAATTTCCTCAGGATAGCTAGATTGCAAATAAAAGGGTGGTGACTAAATTATGAGTGTCTCAGTGATTACAAAAATCATGGGAAGTGAGTGAACTAAAGACAAAATGTAATTATGTAATAATTTTGCATATTTGCATTTTACATACTATAGTAGGATTGTGTATAAAATTGATCTTTTTATTTTTATATATCCACACACGGCTGATATGATGGATAGATATAATTCAAATATATTGTTGTGCACTTTTTAAAGTAAATAAGGGTCCTTCTGAGAAGGCCTTCCTAAACATGTGTGACCTTTGGAGAACACCCCCCACCTACATTGCATCATTTGCAGGTTTTGTTCATTTTCTGATTTTGTCCTGGTCCTCGTTTGTCCTAGATGGCTGCTGGCCATGAATTTCCCATTTCTCCAGCTTCAGTTTTTTCTGCTTTGTTATTTACAGTCTCCTTCACCTTAACTAGGATGTTAGGGATGTGTGTTTTTTAATAATTAACCAATAAATAAATAAAAATACATGTTTGACAGGGACAGGATAACTGTTTCCAAGCTAGGTTGAACCATTTCCCCTGTGGGCTCAGAAAATGTGGGAATGAATCATTTGTCTGCTGCATGAGAACAATCTGGCAGAGGATTCTCCACCTTCTCGCTTCGCCCCTAACTGCCTCTGATGACTGTGTAGTAGACTGACAAGAGGACTCTAGCCCTTTCCATTGTACCTGGCAGGTAAGAGGCCCTGCTGAAGAAAATATTTCCTTTCCCTTTTGCAAGGTCCCCAGAACTGGATCCAGAAACATCCTCATATCATTTTGCAGACGGTAAGTGCTCAATTAAGGAAGAGATGGGAGCACTACAGAGCTCCACACACCACGATTAGGTATTTTGGTGTTTTTAGTTCAGATCTAAGCTGCCTTTCTAGCACTGACAGCTGCTGCTTCTCCTGCTAGGTTTTAATATGATAAGTTATACTTTTGCTTTTTGATATATTCAACAAGGTTGATTTCTGCATATCTGGGTCTTGCTTCGCCGTTACAAAGAAATCTGATTGTGCCAAGGGTCCACACTGGAGCGAGAATCTTTTATTGACTGGTGTAGGGTTGTCAGACACACAAGACAAGCACCTTATACCTTTAACAGCTGAGTAAGAGAGAATTGGGACAGATGCCGTTCGTTATGGAGAGATGAGCAGAAGACGCATTGGCTGATGCACACATGCCCCAACCATGTGCAAATAGTAAAGGCCCAGGACCCTAGCTCTAAGGGCATTCCAAGTCCTGTGCTTGGCATTTGGGAAACACTGAACACTGCCGTCGATGCTAGCGCACCTGCAGAACTGTTATTCCTGCATGAATGTTGAGTGACAGATGCCAGTGTAAATTAACATGAAAGGCAATCGATGAAAGACTTGAATTCTGAAATTTCTCTAGTGATCTGGTGCTTCCTTCCTCCACTTAATACATTGTCCTCCTTTCTTCTGTTTGAGAGCACTTGGGAGAGTTTAGAAAAATAAGATGCCATTTGATTTACTCTCTATTCCAAAATCCAGGAAAGTTGGATGCAGGGTGCTACCAGCAGAGCATAGGTGTATTGCAGAAAGGTGGGTTAATATAGAAGCAGGGGCATAGGAAGGGGGTGCGGTCCGCCCCGTGTGTCATCCTTGAGGGGGTGACAAAATGGCACACCGTGGGCAGCAGCACTTACTGCGGGGCCTGGCCTGCAGTGTGCCTGAGCCACACATCTGTCCTGGGAGTGACGCAGGGGCTTGGGAGCCTGCACTGCCTGAAACAGCAGCATGGGGCTTGTGTCTGCCAGGCGGACTTGCTGGCCACCCCCCTGGGTGGATTGCTGTGGCGCCCCCGCCACTCTGGGTGCCGGAGCCACTAGCTACGCCCCTGCATTGAAGTAGCTCCAGGTGATTCTCTCAAACAAATGAAGGGGAAGGCCTCAGGAACAAGCTAGCTTGCTAGATGATGTCCCAAGATGACTTAGTCAAAAGTTATTTTGCCTTGGACTTTGAATTCATCAGGAACTCCTGACTCTGTTGAGACAGAACCCTGTTACTGATCAAGCTGTTACTAACCTTGAATGCACTTACTCCAATTTCCAAGTGCCCAGGTGAGTCCACCTTTAAGATTGGGGTGTGAAAGGAGGTACAGCAGTGCCATTTTGTACAGCTCATTGTCTGTGTTCTTGGCATTTACCCAGTCATATGACCCAAGTAAATCTGAGACTGGCAAACTTCTACATCCCAGCATCATTAAAATGTGTGTTGCTTTTTCTGCCATGGCAGATTTTTGCTGAAAGGGAAGTACAAGGGAAGGTTAGATCCTTTCACCCCAAGCACCATTGGTCTTCATTTCTGGAGCATCTAGAGGCCCAGCCTACTCTGAGGATGCTGGTGTTAGTCAACAAGGATGAGCTTCGAGTACTGAAGAAAGAGCTGAGGAGCTGCTTCCCCGAATCTCTAAAGGTGAGATGGCCTCTGCTCTTTGCCAGGCAGATGCAGAACCTCTGCTTGGACGATGATTCCAACCCAAAGCTTAATGTGACCACCACCAGGAGCCCAGTCTGTGACAGATACCTCTTTAATCCAAGAATCTGAGGGAAGGGGGTAGTGGTTTCTTTCTTATCCTTTAGAGCTGGAAATGTCAGGAGATCAAGGAACTGTACTCTGGGCACAAGGGCTTTCCAGAAAATGGCAGGTAAGGTTGGGTTGGCAATGTCATGACTCACTGTTGGCTTCATGGATCAACTGACCGCTGACAAGGTTAACGGCACGGCTGGCCACAAAACTGACAGGCGACATTTGAAAGAAACCAGGAACACATCTGAATTCTTTTAATGCTCCTGTTTCTATTACGTCAAGATAGCTGAAATGGCCGTGCCGTGCCCCCTCCCTCTTGTCCCACCAGGTCCATGGGGCTGTGCTGAACGTGTGTCACGGCAACGCTTTCCATCAGGAGATACTGGTAGATTCCTGGCCCAGCTTCCAAGTGGTCATTGCACGGCTCCAGAGAGAGGTACTGCTGTGATGGGACATCCAAGAGAGGGATGTTTGTCTTGGTTCTGTGAGTAGCATCAGCAAAGGGCTTGAATTGTGAGGACGAAGAAAGCACTACCAGTGGGAACAGAGATGGTAGAGGCAGGCAAAGCCATAATTCCCTGCCCAATCTGGCAGAAAGTGATGCAAATAGCAATAATGTTGCATGTTAGCCTTAATCTCAATTTAGTGCTGATAGCTTGATAACTTGTACTTATGCTCTCATAGTGTAGCGGTGTGGTGCACTGTTGCTGGAGCAGCAACATGTCTGCCCCATTATTTTTAAAGGGGGATGATGCACACGTTTACCCAAGGGAGAGTACAGCCACATACGAAGAGTCATAGTGGGGAAGATGGGATTGGGAGATGGAGCATTCCTGGTGCAGGAAATTCTCTGTTGCCAGGGTGCCAACAACACCCCAACAGGTGCCTAACTCCTTTGCACAAGTACTTTCCACAGCAGACTCATAAATGAGGTATGAGCTGGGGCATATTTTCCTGGCAATGAAATATTGTCAGCTGAATGCTAGGGAAATGCTGTTCTCTACATCAGATATGTTAGTGGGGGGAGTCATTTGAGCCCCCTAAAACAGAAAAACTGCACATATTTTGCATAGTAACACTTAATTGGTTTAAAGCAAGGGTGGCAAACACCCAACCCAGAGGCCTGATCAGATCAAAGACCTCCCCAATATTGGGAGCAGGAGCAAAAAGAGGGGAGAAATTAAAAAATGAGATTGATCATCTGAGGCTGGATGCAAATTGCACCTCCATCATCTGAAGAGGGGTTTTTGCCGCTGACCAGATGAGCAATCTGATGTGTGCTTTCTGTGATTGCCTATGTCTTGCAGAGGGTTTGCTATGATAAAAAAAATCTTATCCACCTGTTTTAAAGCTTTTTACGCCTGCTCTTTAGATGAAGACTCCTAGGTGGGCTAGTGTGTGCAAAGGAATGACCTCTTCCCATCTTTCCTGCTTGTATTTGCCTAGAAAGTGCCTTCAGAAAGGAACTATTTTACCCAGTCTTGTGCAGTTTTCTATAAGGACCTGGATGTCTATGAGAAATTGGTGAAAGATTCTGATGCCATTGATTGGAAACAAGAATTCTTACTTCAGGGTAAGACACCTCAACATCCAGTTCTGTGCATGTGCCAGTGTTACTAATTTAGAATTCTTTAAAAAGGAATATTGTATGCACAAGTTTTAAGTGTGTGTGTGTGTACTTTTCTAAACTGTTTCAGCATTGGCATATATATTTAGAGAAGTGTTATTGTAACCTGCTCTGCATCTGTGGAAGAAAATCTTAGTTTTGGTGCTGCTGAAATCCTCTTCGCTAGTCAGAGCAAGGTTTACTTGAGGTGATCACTGTTTTACCTTTCCCATAATCATATAGAGTTGTGGTCTATGCTTCTGTGACTTCTGCCCGTCTCCTCTGAGCACCTCAATAATCCCCTCACCATTTTCCACACCCAGGTCTGCAGGATGGTGTGTATCAGACATCTCAAAACCTAGCAGCTGCCAAGCATTTCTCCGCAAAGCTGGTGACTCGAACCCAGGTTTTTGTTGTGCAGAAACCTTTGAATTTGTCTTCTTCCACACCCACGTATGTCACACTCTATGACTCAGGGGTTGCAGGTAGCAAGCAATACAAGGAAGGCCGGAGACATTTGCCAATGTACTAGTAATTTAGAGCATGGTGCCCACTCACTGGAGACCTGTAACAGGGGAAAATATGTGCAAGAGGAAATAAACTCAAAGCCAAGAGGTGACTCTTATGCTAGGCAGAGTTATCTTTTCAGGAAGAAAGGACAAGGACCTTGGCAGTTGTAACTGCAGAAAGACTCCTCAATATTTCTGATTTTTTCCCATAATTCAAATGAGAGATGATCCCTGTTTTTTACCCAGGTACTCTGCACATGCCCAAGGACACAAGCAAGGTGATTAGGAGCAAGCACAAACAATGGCTGGCTAGTAAGCCAGTGTTTGTGTATCTCTGTAAATCATACATTTTTGTCTCCATAACACTCACTTTTTTTCTCCTAGAAAGTAAGGGGAAATGTCTGTGCGTGTTATGGAGCGAATGCCTACGGATGGCGGGGGGATCTGCTGCAGTCGTGGGCAGAGGATCCATGGTTCCCCTTCCTTCCCTCCTCCGTGGCTCGCTTTGAAACAGCAAAGCGGGAGAGGAGCCGCTTACACAGGTGTAAGCGGCTCCTGTCTGGTTGGCTCCTTTAAATCAACCGTACTCTCTGTCCCTCTCTCCTCCCCACTTAGCTCGCTAAATAGCAGCAAAGCTTTTCAGCTAGCCGAGCCGGGGAGGAGGGAGAGAAGCAGAGCCTGCTTGTTTTAAAGGAGCAAAGCGGGAGAGGAGAGGAGCCTTCTTCCCTTATACCCCTCTCCTGCATTATTAGCAGCATCCTTCTCCACACACCCCACGTGTGTTCCTTCTCCCCTTAAACCCCTCTCCTGCATTATTAGCAGCATCCTTCTCCACACACCTCACGCGTGCTCCTTGTCCCTTTTCCTTCCCTCCCCACTTAAAACGTGGTTACAAAGCATGGATCCACATGGATCCTCAGGATTTTTGCATTGGGCTACCCCAAACTCACCATCAGATCACATATCTGTGGCCACAGCATGAACCATAAAAATCATACATCCACTGTTTCGTTTAGAATATTTTTTTCCTTGTTTTCCTCCTCTAAAAACTACGTGCGTGTTATGGTCAGGTGCATGTTATAGAGCGAAAAATACGGTATTTGTAGGCTTTACAAAAGGCAGATACTTAGTAAGGTTCATCAGGGCCACTGGAGAAGTCCTCTGTAAAATGGGAAGGGGAGGGGAGGACATTCAACTGGGCAGGCAGTGAGGTTAGAATGTAACATCACTGTTGATAAATATTACAATAAAGGATTGTGCTTTCATAGGGTTAATATTCCTGAAACATTTCATCTGCAGAGTGGGATCAACTTACCAAAAGCATAGCTGTAGTTTATACTATTATGAGTCCACTGGGCTAATAGCAGCTACACAAGGTGATGAGCTCCTCTGTACTAAATCTTTGCTGGTACTAAATCAGGCTTCCTCAAACTCGGCCCTCCAGATGCTTTTTGTCTACAACTCCCATGATCCCTAGCTAGCAGGACCAGTGGTCAGGGATGATGGGAATTGTAGTCTCAAAAATATCTGGAGGGCCAAGTTTGAGGAAGCCTGTACTAAATATTCAAGATTTAACTCTGTTGCAGCAAGTACAGGAACAAACAACACTGGTGGCATTTAATAGTCTCATAACAATGCCACTCATCATTCCCTCTTAATTAATTTTGGGAAAATGTAGCCCAAGTAAGGAAGTCAGCATAAAAACTGGGTCCCTCACTAATAACGGTAGGGAATAAATTTAATCAATAATAAACTAGCTAGGGCCTCCCATTCTCCATGACTAGAAATCAAACAAGCACCACCATGTGCTCGTAGATCTAGAAAAGCCACAGAGGGCTCAGTTATACCTTTTGTCATGTTAACCTTCAGGTGGTTGCAGGGCATCCCAGCTCCATCTGTAGACTTCAAGCTTGACACTTGGGTGCTGGAGCCGGCTGGTTCATTGTGCCTTAAGTGTTACTTCTGAAGGTAGGCCTTAACCTTTCTTTCCTTCTTCAGGTCAGGATCAGAGCTGAAACTCTCATCCCTCAACACCACTCATGCTGCCCTGCTGAATGAGACCTGGAGTGTAGGCGGCAATGAGCAGAGTCTCTGCTATCTGACTCGGCTAATCGACTGCTTCCCTAGTAGTTGCCTTCTGGATGCTGGAGGATGTCCTATCTCTTGGGTCCTGCTGGATCAATTTGGGTGCCTGACCCATGCTTACACCATGCCAGCACACCGTGGCAAAGGCTACATTCAGCTGGTGATAGCAGCACTAGGCAGGAAGCTACGAAGCCTCAATTACCCAGTCTATGGTGATGTCCTGGAAAACAACACATCAATGCAGAGAGCCCTACAATGCCTTGAAGCCAACTTTACTAGTTGTTTTCTGTCCTACGACCTGCATACACCCATTTCTCTGCTGTGACAGGCTATTCAAAAGCTCTGTCAGTAAAAAACAAACCAGTGGTAGCAGAAACAGATGGTTTAAATGAGAAAATTCCTATATATATATATTTTAAGTTGCATGAAGTTTCAAGAACTAGGTTCACATTTAATAATCTGGACACAAGCACATTGGCCCTACAGTTAACATCTAAGCTGAATCAATACCTTTCCAGCTAACACCGATTAGATCCAGACCTCAAACAAATAGCCAGCAGATGAAGGATAGATTTGATTTTCACCGATTCCATCTGTGCTCCCGGAAGAGTTGCATCCCAGGGTTGCTGGGCCACCAGAGGAAGTCTGAGAACTTTTGACAGGTTTGAAGCCTCCAGTTGGCTAACCTAGCAGTACTGCTCCCTGTTTATACCCTGACAAAACATTTATGTAGACCTCTTGTAGAGGCTCAGTAAAGTAATAGAAATGATAATGTCTGTAAACAAAACCTTAAATGAAGTATTGGGAGAAGCTATGTGCAATCGCTGCAGACAACTGTTAAGGCATGTGCTATACAATATTTGACTTTAACACCAGAAAATTCCAATTAAATTATATCACATTTGTAAAATGCACACTGTTTGGCCTGAGTACCAGCAGAAGATACATAGGGCCAGAGTCAACGAACTGGTCCCCCATCAGAAGAAGCCCACACAGGAGTTCTGCTAGCACAATAGGGCTTTCTTCTCGTGCCATATGCCCCCTGAAATTGGCTCATAGGGTGGGAGGTGTTGAGAGAACCCCAAGAACAGCATGTGGTGGGAGGAGAGGAGAGATTGGTCTGTCTGGCAAGTAGAAAGAGTGACAGAAGAGTGTGAAGCTCAATTCTTCCCATAGCTTCTAGTATTCAACGCAAGAGTGCACTTCCAGCAGTATACCACAAGGGCTACTGTTGGGAGCCCATTTCTCATACCTGTTCATCATTGCTGAATGACAGCTTCAAATAACAACTCAAACTTTACTGATACCAAGGAATAAAATAGCTACATTTGAGCAAGTACAAAGTATTATCTGGGGCATTAAAAACCCCCCACAAACCCACCCAACAACCCTGTAAAAATGCATTTAGCTGTTCTAGGAGCCAAGAACAAGAGGTCCTACCTAAGCTTGGGGGAAGACACACATTGTCTGGTACAATGTTAATAGTTTACTGGAAAATTGCACAGGTGTGTGTGCGTACTCTTAGTGCTTGTGGGCAATTCTCTGCATCATCTTCACTCCTATCCTCTTTATCCATTTAGACAAGGTGTTTCTTACTCCAGATCCAAAAACATCTGAAGGGCACAACTCCCATCCACCCCAGCTAGCATGACTAATAATCAGTGATGATGTGAGCTGTAGTCCAAAATATCTGGTGGGTACCATATTGATGAAGGCCAATTTAGGCTCTTAGAAATGTAAGTATCTTACCTGTACTACTGGCCCCACCAGCATAGTGGATATGCAGCTGCTTTTGCATTTCATGACATTATGTTCACCTATGTTCATCACCCTAATTCATATTCATTATTATCTATTTGGTCACATACTAGTGCAGTTCGATCCATTCATCCTCCAAGAAATGGCGGCCTTGCTCCAATCCACAAACCAACAAGCCCCTAAATGCCATCTAGAGTGAGTGTAAGATGAGAGCTAAGAAAGAAGAAAAATGTGGCTGGAAATGTAACCCCCTTTTATAGTTTGCAAATGAGTGTACAAAACACCCCTGTCTAAAAGCTACATCTTTAGGCAGTAGACAAATATGGCAAACCGCCACCTCCGTCCCTCACAAACCCAGCATTTCTTTTTGGAGATGGTAATGTGACGTGAGTAGCAGCAACCGTGCTTGTTTTGTGAAATCATGGAAGGTCCAAGAGCGAGTAGCACAGATCGTACAGGAATGAGGACAGGGGGCTAACCTCACCCTCTTCTGCCTTAGCTGGCTGGTTTGTACGAGAACAAAAGCCTACAGGAATTATGCCTTCTGGTTACACTGTCTACAACTTTATTAACAAAGAATGCTAATAGAGACTTTCCTAATAGCATACTGAGTTAACACGTCACATTCCGCACTGCCAGTGGTTTCACGGTCATGCTTTCAAAGAGCAATTTTGCTAGGCACAGACACATAAGAACTCACCTCTTCTAGAGCCTCTTATGGCCAATAGACTGCATTTGACACATTTCAATCCTCTTGGAAAAACACTTTCAGAAGACAGTTGCTTTCTATTCCCCGCCCCCCCCAGTTTGTTCAGAACCCCTGAAACAGTAGCAGATGAGATGCAGGGACTTGTTCCTCAGAGTGCCCCAACATTTCGGCTGTGGAGGCCCGATTCACAAATTACTGTGACCAGAGAGGCCAATTTGGATCACGATATGGCAGCTGTCACTGTGTGGGAGCCTTGTGCACACCACCTCTTAATGGCCAGACTGGGTCATTTCCACCACATATCTGACTGCTTGCAGTGGCTTGACTGGGTAAGGGGAGGAAGCCTGCCTAATCCACATAGTGAGCATCTGCCCTGAAACACCCCCCCCCATGCAATGGCAGTGTGGAACCATTTCAAGCAACATTCTCCGTGGTGGCTATCACAAGAGTGTTGCCAAGGAAATTTAGAGGCACACTCCAGATCTGCTTGGTGACAGCATACATGCTTGATTTGCCCACCACAGCTTCCATAATGCTTAACTCCCTGCACAGCAAAGCAGGGCTAGCAATTTGCCGGCAATCTTTTCATGCCTGAATATAACAAAATGTTTGAAGGGGAGAAGGCTAAGAACTGTACTGTCTGGGGACAGGAGGAAAAAAAATATTGGTCCACTTTCCCCCAGCAACCCACAGTAGTCCTGGGATGGTACCATCAGAAGGTAGGAGCTGGGGAGAAAGATAGCATTCCCATCAACACAGACATCAGTGCTCTCGGGAAAAGGAAAAGAACTCTCCACATTCCCAACAGTGTAAGCCGTCTTTTTTTTTTCTTCCTCTGACAGGGGTAGCTTTCCTGTCATCCTTGCCCCTGCTGCCTTCCACCGATCTGAGAGACGGAAATGAAACTCCCCCCATCACACTTGTCATTAAGTCATGCTCACAGCCAGGTCCATTGCCCAAGATTAATTTGATTATTTTTCTTTTTTAAAAAACTGTATAGAAATCAACACACTGCCATCATTCTGTGCATCTGGAGCGGCCGCAAGAGGCCCAGGGCTCAGTGAAATCTCTTCTCTTCCCACACATACCGCTTCCCTGCAGGCACCTTCCGGAAAAACAGGCTGTTCCCTCTGCTCATGTTACCCTGAAAACACGAGGAAAAAGGAGGCATGAGAGGGAATGTGAATAGAGACTGAGACTTTGGGGACAGAGGTCCAGCATCTTGCCAGCAACAAATACAGAGGGGTCCCCCCCCCATTGAGGGTCAAATTCTGTCAGGGGCAATCTGTTTTAATTGGAGTGGGGGCAGAGTCTCTCTTTCTCTCTTCTTTCCTGAAGAAAGAAAGAGCTTGGAGACAGCTCCCTATTTCAAGGCTCTCCCAACCATAAAACTAAGCCCCAAGAGATGAAGCTTGCCCACCCTGGAACATCAACACTTGGTGTGGCAGCTGGAATGCTGTGAGGGCACCCCAAGCCACACAGTGAGATCTTGGTCTGGCATCCTTGCTTGGGAGGCTGGTACACCCAACGGCCAAAACCCCTGGAAGAATTGGAAAGGGGGACTCTGTATTGCCAATTTCCTCTCCCACCCACATCAAGGGCAAGATGCTATGGTCCTCTAATGAAAGGGCAGACAAGACAGACATACCTCCCCCTGTAGCTGGCTCCAGCAGTGTAACCAGGACGAGTAGGCTGGGGCATAAGGAGGGAGGCCACCAGCGAGCCTGAGAAACAGCAAGAGACCAGGGTAATTTACCAAAACAGCTCACCAACAATATCCCATGTGCAGAACATGCATTTCTAGCTTCATAGTCACTTGGGAAACAGTAGCCCAGATGCAACTTCTAGACTAGAACAATTACTTCAAAGAACATTCAGGCTGAGCTTTTACATTAAAAAAAGAAAGAGAGTGAGACAGGTCTGAATCAATGAGCAAAGTAAAAGGTCTGTTCCTTCTAGATAAAAATGCATTTGTACACCAGCAGTTCAGGCTTGCAGCCGGCGTACAGCTTCCGGGTCATGTGCCCAGCGTGACTAAGCCGCTTCTGGCAAACCAGAGCAGCGCACAGAAACGCCTTTTACCTTCCCGCTGGAGCAGTACCTATTTAGCTACTTGCACTTGACATGCTTTCGAACTGCTAGGTGGGCAGGAGCTGGGACCGAACAATGGGAGCTCATCCCATCGCAGGGATTCGAACTGCCAACCTTCTGATCAGCAAGCCCTAGGCTCTGTGGTTTAGACCACAGCGCCACCTGCGTCCCTGCACATAGCCATAGTTAATGCTTAAAACCATGGTTTAATGCGAGTTTAACCATGGTTTATTGTGAAAGCGGAGTGGGCTCAGAAGTCCTTACTTCACTTCTCCTCAGCTTCTGTCTGCATGGGGAGCAACAAACCACAAATCCTGGCTTGTTGTGGCGTCTGAAACACAAGGTTTGTGGTTTGCTTCTCTCCAAACCAAGCAGTAAGCCCATAACATGCTCATTCACATTAACTATGGTTTCATGTGATGCATGAACCAGACCTATAATTTAAGTATTTTCTCAAGAGACTCCACAGTTCTCAACATCCTGTCTCCTTGTGGCCAGAAGGTACATCCCAGTGTCTAACCCAAGCTTCCTCAACCTTGGCCCTCCAGATGTTTTTGGCCTACAGCTCCCATGATCCCTAGCTAGTGGGACCAGTGGTCAGGAATGATGGGAACTGTAGTCTCAAAATATCTGGGGGGACAAGGTTGAGGAAGCTTGGTCTAACCCATCAAACAATGAAAGAATCACAATTTTCTACCTCTGTGTGATCAGACTCATTAATAAAATCAACACCCATAAACCATGTACTGTAGTAAGATAAAAATGAATAAAAAAAGCTTGACAACCACAGGGAGAAACAGGACAGATCCCTTATTTTCTCTTGAGATTGGAAATCTATTGAATAGACCTTTAGTGTCCACATGAATTTAAAAATATTTACTGGATTTGCAGATAACCACAAGATTGAAAGCCAGGTTCAAATTTTTAGAAATCCTTAGCTGCATCTCCAGCCACAACTATTTTGAACATAGGCAGGGCGCACTGAAGGAGATGGCTCTTTGACCACTGAACTTTTAAATTAAACCCTTAAGAGCTATTCTAGGAGACTTTCCATGTCAGATGCTTTATTTTCAAGCTCTGTGGGTTGTGGTACCTAAACACTGAAAAGCAGCTGCTGAAAATATGAAGAGAACAGATGCGAGATGCAGCACATTGCTAAAGCTCTCATTGCTTCATGAAGGAAAGGGACCTGACAAACCAAGACTAAATGAGACTGAACTGCTTGTATTGTACATTTGAAAACACACAATCAAAAGCCAAGTTAGAGAAATCAGACTCTGCACTCACCCACAACTATTAATGGCCATCAGGTTTGAGACGAGTACAAAGGGGTAAGTCAGCATACTGGCAAAGAACTGCAGATACAATACAGCAAAATACACCAATGAAAAGAGTCCCTCAGTTTTCCTTCACAAGCCCCACCCAGCTGATGGCCTCTTAATGGCAGAACCTTCTTAGAGCTGTAGTTGCAGGGAGCATGCCTTAGGCTAGAGAGAAGGAGCTCCACAGGGCAGTGAAGCGTTATTGCAGTCGCAATTCTGTTTCAGGACAGGAGTTCACAGCAATCACGAAGCAGATAAAATGAAACGGCTGGTAATTGTTCAGCTTAAGCCGAACAGTAGTTTGAGCCAAGCAACAGCACCTACTTAGGAGCTCAGCACTAGAGATCACACGGATCTCACAGGTATTGAACAGAGATCCTGAGGTGTACAGCTTGCAAGGCTTCTTGCACAGGACATCACCAGCATCACCCCCAAACTTCAGGATGAAGTGCTCATGCCTACGCTCACATCCTCAGGACACAACCTGCCCCCTCTTCCCACAGGAAAGAGAAATGAACTATACACTCACTCCAGTGACAGCCTGAGAATAGCTTTTCATCTCAGTCATGGTGGAGACCTAGAAAGAAGAGAAACAAAGTAACTGACCCCTGTTCCTCAATTAAGAGTAATCATTCCCAAATCCATCATAATCCCTGCACTGGAGCAAAATCTGAAGGAGCTGCCTGAAAGTACTAGATGTAATGGAGGTAGCAACAGGCAACCACATTCAGAGGCTGGGGACAAAAAGGATATACAGTGGTACCTCTGGTTGTGAACGGGATCCGTTCAGGAGGTCCAGCAGTATCCCAAAGTTTTCGCAACCGGAGAGACCGCTTCTGCACATGTGCGTGCGGCGAAACACTTCCAGGTTTGCCATTTTCACAACCCGAAGTTTACATTACCTGAGGGTAACCTAACCCGAGGTTCCACTGTATTGCTCAGGAGGATGTGCAACAGGACCACAATAGGGACCCTTCAAGCTGACCAAGGCTAGGGGAGGAAACCTTTCATACCTGCCTACCTGAGCTCAGCACTCCATTGTCTACACCCCATACATCACACTACCTGTAGTCTACTTACCCCATTCTCCAGTGCATAGGTATTGATGAGGTAGGCCAGCATGTTACAGAGCCACAAGGACAGGATGTCCCCAAGCAGGCGGGGAATAAGGCCCCTGGAAAAGGAAAAAAACTGATAAGTGAGAAGGCCACATACTGCCTGGAAATAACATGTTACATACATATGCACGCTTCCCTCCAGTGTGTGAGGCAGAAAGTCTGGCTGTATTTCCATGATGGGAGGCTGATCAACTTTAGTGCAAAGCACAATGTTACATATTCTCCCAAGAAAGATCACAATCTGCTTAAGAAAATCTGGGCTGAATTAGACCAAAGTTTCAACTAGTTGAACATTCTGCCTCCCACGAGCTCTGGCCATAATTGGACTCACCCTCTGTCCCTCCCTGTTCCCCATGTCCCCCATGAACCAACAACCATGGCAGGTACAAAAGGAAGTTCACCCCCCCCCACACACATACACAAGCAAGTACTCACGCAAAAAATCCCAAGATGCCCTCTTCCCGGTAAATGGTGACAAAGGAGCTCAACACCCCACTGAAAATTAAGAAAGAAATTCATTTACTCTCAGAAATCAAGAAACAAGTGGCTCTCCCTGACCCCCTCCCCATTTTCAACTTCAACGATGACAGGAAACCTCTGTGCTCACACACTAATTGCTCCCTGGCCTCTTTTTAAGTTCTCCTACAAAAAAGGCATTGGCCTTGTGGGCTAAAGTCCAAAGGAAGCCGCCTGGTCACAAATATGCACATACCTGTACTTGGTCTCTCTGCCAATGAACTGCACCATACACCTCAACGTGATCACTGAAGGACAAGGACGGAGGGAAAAGGGAAATGACATCAGCAAGGATCCTCCCCACTCTCCTTCCCCTACTCAGGCCAACACAGGAACACACTACTTCGCCACTCTCCTAATTGAAGCTTAACTCAGACAGGACAGATATGCCCCTGGTTCGGGAACAGGGGTTCAACCACAGTTAAATGGAATAGAATGCCCCTTGAAAATTCAGGCTCATGGTAAGGAGCTATGACCTTGGATGCCCAAGTGACAGCTGGGGCCAGAATGCCTTTGCCTAGCTGACACCAGTGTGCCAACTATGCCCATTCTTTGTCACGACAACACTTGCCTCATACACATCACATTTGGATTACTGCAATGCTCTCTACATTGGGCTGCTTTTGAAAGCTACAATTGGCAGAATGCTGCAGCCAGCCTGTTAACAGGGGCTGCGTACAGGGACCATGTGACCCCCCTTACTGAAACAGCTGCACTGGCTTCCAGTGTGTTTTGACTCATTTTGTTAGGCACCTTCAGCTGATTAGGAAAAACGGAGTATAAATGTCATCAGGAAATAATTACATATCAGATAATTGATCAAAGCCAGCAGTGTGCAAGATGGATACCCGTAGCACAAAAAACAATGACCATGAAGGGACCTGAATGTAACAAGGAAAGGCTGGTGAATGACTTTCCTCTTTCTTGTTGCCAGAGAGGTAAATGTGTGCTGGCAGTGACCAAAGGGCTACAGCCCCCACTTACCATGAAAAGGGTGGGTGACTAGTGTAGCAGCAGAACGTGCAATCATCTCTTGAGAAGTCTATGACCAAAAGGAATGGCAAAAACATCAGCAGAAAGCCAGCCAAGGAAATGGCAAGATTTAAAGTGACAGAATGCTCCCCATCTGACCAGATTCCACTAAAGCACCTAATGGCTGTCACTTAGTGTGAGTTACAACTCGAAGCATTTGTGTTAAGAAGCTGCACTTTGAGATTAAAACTGAGTTTATAATTCCTCTACCAATCAAAGCTAGTTTCAGCCGAGCCACAGGTTTCAACTCATTTAGAGACAGTGCTTTGCTCTATTATCACGCTAGGCACAGACTTTCCAAGTGCATCCTATTGCCCACTATAGCACACTGGAAGGGCTCTTTCTAGGTGCCTCATCTCTCTAGTTCTAGGACTTCTGTGCCTGGATGTACACTCCCCTTTAAACAGCTTGCAGACATCCTGTCATATTGGGTGGGATTCACCTAACAAACTCATCAGCAGAAGCCCTGCCCAAGGGCTTCTGCTTGTATAATGTGCTTTTCCCCCAGTCTCCTCCCCCCCATGGAAGCCAATGCAAGGATTCCCACTCACGTAACAGGACTTTCCCTCCCTCTCCTCTTGCCACATCCTCCTAAAATCTGCTCAGGAGGATTGAGAGAACCCCCAGGACAGTGCACAGTGGGAGGAGAGAATAAATTGCTCCTTCGGGCAAGCAGAACCCTCCTTTATGCTGGGTTAATTACAACCCAATATTGCATGCTTAAAGTCAGTTATCCTGGCCTCTGTTCACTGATATGGAACAAAACTGGCAGGCTGCAATGTGGGTCACTTCTGCACCATTGCCAGGCACCAACCAAGGGCCCCATAGGTTCTAAAACAGCCTTTCTCAACCTGTGGGTCCCCAGATGTTGTTGAACTACAACTCCCATCACCCCTAGCTAGGAAGGCCAAAGCTCAGGGATGATGGGAGTTGTAGTTCAACATCTGGGGACCTACAGCTTGAGAACCGCTGCTCTAAATGGTTCCCCACTGCCTGACTTGTCTTTGCCACCCAGTCATTCACCTCACACACCCTCCTGCTCCCCCAGCATCTTTTAGCAGTGGGTAGGTGGAAGTGCCTCTTTTGAAGGGGAGCCAAGCTTGGCTCCTATTCCTGGAGGCTGCCCATGTTAATTTATCCAAAACACAATGCCTGATCAGTTCTGTCAGTGAACAGATTGTCACCATTCAACCCTGGCACCTGTGCATGTGAAATCCTAATACATCCCAGCTTAAAGGTAAGGTAAGGGTACCCCTGCCTGTACGGGCCAGTTGTGTCCGACTCTAGGGTTGTGCGCCCATCTCACTTAAGAGGCCGGGGGCAAGCGCTGTCCGGAGACACTTCTGGGTCACGTGGCCAGCGTGACAAAGCTGCTCTGGCGAGCCAGCACCAGCGCAGCACACGGAAATGCCGTTTACCTTCCCGCTATAAAGCGGTACCTATTTATCTACTTGCACTTAGGGGTGCTTTCGAACTGCTAGGTGGGCAGGAGCTGGGACCGAAAGACGGGCGCTCACCCTGCCGCAGGGATTCGAACTGCCGACCATGCAATCGGCAAGCCCTAGGCACTGAGGTTTTACCCACAGCGCCACCCGCGTCCCTATACATCCCAGCTTAGCCCATGACAAATGAATCCATCTCTTACCTCCTTAACAACTTGCTCCAAGGAGGACGAGGATTCCTTGGGGCTGATCCCTGGGTCCTGGAGAGAAAAGTGAGCATCAGAAGTCGTGGGGTGATGGCATTTCCAGTGCTGTCTGTAGAAGGCATCTTGTTGTGCTGTCAAATTCTGGATGGAAGATATTCTGGAGAACCCCAGAACTCCCAGAGAATGCACTACTCTACATACCATCTGATACAGGCAGCAGCCACCTCCCAATACCCATGAGCTCAGGGAAGGGAAATAGAGGAGCAATCACTTGGGTGGGAAAGGGAGAAGCAACTCATGCAAACAAATAAAAGCTAAGAACCTACTTACCTCAACTTGATCAGCTTCCTGGCAGTGCTAGAAGTAGGAAAACAGAGAAAAATGAGCCCATGGCTTATCTCCTCATTCTCAGCATTTTAAGCATACGTAATTGTCTTCGCATTTACTTTCCCATTCCCACGACTGGATTGCAAGAAAAGGTGTCTAATAAATTTAATTAATAAGAATAAGAATATTCCATGCTTCTATATTTAGGTAGGTAGCCGTGTTGGTCTGACACTGTCGAAATATATAAAATAATAATAATAAATGTCCAGCAGCACCTTAGAGACCAACTAAGTTTGTTCTTGGCATAAGCTCTTGTGTGCATGCACACTTCTTCAGATACAGTGTATCTCAAGAAGTGTGCATGCACATGAAAGCTTATACCAAGAACAAACTTAGTTGGTCTCTAAGGTGCTACTGCACAATTTTTAAATTTTTAAAATATATTTCAATATTCCATGCCGTCTGTCTCAAAAATGTCCTCAAGATTGTTACTTGAATTATTCCCAATGAAAAGAAGGTACATATTACTTCTCGTACTCTTACTGCAAGCCAGCTGAATTTTTGGGAAAAAGTAATACATACTATATTTTTCCATGTATAAGACTATATTTTCCCCCAAATTTTTAAAGTTTAAAATTGGGGGTCGTCTTATACACAGAGTGTTTAAAATATTTATTTCTTAATTTTGGGCTGAAAAAATAAGGGTCCTCTTATACATGGGGGCATCTTATAGATGGAAAAATACAGTACTTCTGAAGGATTTTCATATACCTATAAAAACCTGCATGTTACTCTGCAACTATTATCCCACAATATGTTCAGTGATTTCTCCAAGATGTATTCTAAGTCCACAACACTACTTATATATCTATGAGTTATATAGGATTCTTCACAGATTAATTATTGAAAGCAATGTGCATTTGAGTCATCTGCCAATCTAGTTCTTCTGTGTAACTAAAAGCAGAGAAACAGCCTTAAAAAACTGAAACTGCTACTTACAGGTTGGCACAGCCAAGTGGCCACAGTAGCAATCCAGGCAGTCCACAGAAAACAAGGCTAAACTAAATTTAGATCAAAATGGTGCATCCTATAAATAAACAGTTTTGATGCTTAGAGACCTGATTGTCAAAACCATGTGTCGTATCCAAAATAGTAGTTCTGTTAGTGCAACAGAACTTCATCTCACTCTCCTCACCCGTGCACCCTCCCCAAATCTGCTTCAGGGGATTGGGGTAACCCCCGGAATACATTTAGAGGATGCATGGGGAGAGGAGAAGGAAGGGAAGTTCTGCTGCACAGCCAGAAGCCCTTGCACTAGCAAAATACTTTGCTGGAAACCACCCCATGAAACTGTCAAGTATCTTGCCATTCACTCTCAGCATCAATCACAATAATTATTGGTAGCAACCAAAAAGTCTGACTTGCAAATACCTTTATTTGGAACTGTTGTTGGCTTGGGCCATAAAATGCCAAGCTATGCTTTGGTGCTCTAAGAACAAATTTTGTCTGCCAAGGCTTTAAGCTAGTTTACAACCCCTGTGTGAATGCTGAGTACATACCATACCCTGATTATTTGAATACAATTGGAAATCTGGGCTTACGCTGAAGAGGATGCAATTTAATGAATGGGAGCACACAAGAGAAGGAGGGGAGCAGATAAAACTTATTCAAGTGATACATTCCATGTGGAAACAGCCCACTGTGTTTACTAAGGCTTAATCCTAGACAACTACAAACACCCTCCTCATATTTGCCATAGCAAGCATTCCTTTCAATCTCTGACAAGCCAAAGAATGCAACTTGAGTCTAGGGAAGGCGGGAATAATACCTGAACTTGCACACTGTTCTACAGGTGTTCCAAATAACGACTTTCACTGCCTTAAAAAGGCAACTAACACCTTATTGGCAGGGCTTAGCAGGGCATGGCTGACTTTATCAGATTGTGAAATGTTTAGCATACTAATGTTGCTATAGAATAAAATTATATAGTACCTGTAAAACCTTACTGTGCACTATAGTGCCGATAGCTCCTGAGCAAAGTCGAGGAGTCAAACCTTTGAAGAGTCCAGCCCTTCCATCAATCTTCATAATGTGTTTAGCTGAAAACAGAAGTCAATACAGATTAAAAGATAATACTCAACATTGACTGCTCACCCCATTCACCCACCTGCCTAGAGGAGATTCCAGCACTCAAAAATGTGTTTAAAAAAATGAAGTTAGGGATGCAAAACAATTTAAAACTCGGCCTATCCTATGCTAGAGAAGACTGGGCCTGATGCCAAGTTAGAAACTTCAGTACAAAGGTCACGATACACAGCTGTAGGCATAATCTCCTGCACAGCAAAGCATGCTCATGTCCTATTTATTTCAGCATGCTTAACTGAACATTGGACTACACTTAGAATAATGTCAGCATGCACCAGAACCCGGCTTGCCCTTCCCAAACTCTGCCATCCTCTACAACAAGGAGGGAAAGTCACAGGTTTCCCAGATATTGCCAACTGGTTAGGAAGTTGAACAACATCTAGAGGGTCACAGCTCCCCCATCTCTGGGTTGCAGTAACAAGTTACTTGTTAATGATCCTAAGTTTGAGTAACAGTGTGCAAGAAAGCAAGCAAGCTCAGAGCCAATAATATACAAGTCGGAGCATGAAGTGTGGCATTGCTGGGACATGCACATGCATGCACAGGCTAAATCATATGAAGGATACTTGAAGGGCAATAGGCTACAGGAAGAGAGAGGCTCAGATGCCCAAACATTGTACTTTCCTGTTATTCTAACTCTGTCTCACTGCATGAATTCAAAAGCCAATGATCATGGCTGTAGCACTGAAGCTTCTTGAGAGTTGAGACTCACCACTTTACCTATATAAACTGCCACTGTTCCAACAGTTGCAGGATCTCTAGCTAATCCTTGTACACGTGAGAAGCTCCGCTTCAAAGGCATAGGCACCACCAAGTGCAGTGCAACAATTACAGCAATCCAATCCTGCTTTAAGTCTTTCTGGCTCATTCACAAATCTTATACATTATGCACTCACCATAAGCAAAGAGACCCGGCAGCTGATAGACCTGTCGCCCAAAGATATTTCTTCCCAGAGTTGGAGGGAGGGGTTCATATCCCACCTTCAAAATAAAGAGACAGCCTACAGCAACCTCTACATGTGAACAGCACCCCAAGGAATAACCCCAACATTCCCTAGCAGTGAACAACTACAGCTGTTCCACTCACTGGACATTTGAAAACTGAACCATAAGAGAAAATATGATCAATTTTTTGTTCTTAGAATTCTATGGCTGTGCTACTAACTGTAAGTTTAAAGTTCTAAAACCACTATATTCAGAAGATGGTAACAGTTTGTAGCTCACATTAAATGTCTGGGTGGTCTGCAGTTCAGCAGAAAGTCTGGCAGGATCACTGGATACCAGGTGCCATCTCTTAGTGCTATACATATATATGTCTTACTAGTGACTGTCATAAGATGTTCTGGGAATCTTTTTGGCTAAAGAACGGGAAATAAATACTTTAAATAAAATTTGGAGCTACAGACCAAACATATATTCCCACAGACACTGCACTAGTCCCCCACTTATTCGCTCCAAAGTGATTCCCCCCTGCATTTTTTCCAACCAGGTAAAGTTATTTTAAAATGTTTGTCCTTGATGTGATCTAGGTGACTCTGAAGATAAGTTTACTGTGTTTAAATGTTAAACAACTAGTTGAGAACATGGAGCTATTTTGCTTTTTATGCTGTGAATAGCCACTTGATTTGTCACAATATATCATACTAGGCAACATGTTTTCCATAGTTTATAACTCACATTATCAAGGTCTGCAATTTAGCAAAAAGTTTTACGGACAAATTGGACACTGTGTTTCACAAGCCCAATTTACCAAAGAAGACAATGTGCTTTCTTGGCAGAGGTAGGCGGTATTTATTTTTGAGATAGATATCCCACTACATAGCTCCACATATCCTCTGTGTAGTGAATCATATGAGAACCACTGTGAGGCTAATACAGTGGTACCCCGCAAGACGAACGCCTCGCAAGACGGAAAACCCGCTAGACGAAAGGGTTTTCCGTTTTGGAGGCGCTTCGCAAAACGAATTTCCCTATGGGCTTGCGTCGCAAGACGACAGCCCAGAGGGACATCTCAGGGACAGCGGGGAAGCGCGTCTTCCCCTCTGTCCTCGGACCTCCTCCGAAGCCTGGCGGCGGGGCGGGGACACCTCCTCCCGCCGCCGCCGGGCTTCGGAAGGCTCCTCCGAAGCCGGGCGGGGGGGAGGGAACACCTGCCGCCGCCGCCCGGCGTCGGAACGGTGCTCCGAAGCCGGGCGGGGGGGAGGGCACACCTGCCGCCGCCGCCCGGCCCGGAACGGTGCTCCGAGCCGGGCGGGGGAGGGAAGACCTCCGCCTCTGCCCGGCTCGGAACGGTGCTCCGAAGCCGGGCGGTGGGGAGGAAGACCTCCGCCTCTGCCCGGCTTCGGGCGGTGCTCCGAGCCGGGCGGGGGAGGAAGACCTTCTGAAGGCGGGCGGGGGCGAAAGTCTTTGCTCCCCTGCCTGCCTGTCCCGGAGGGCTTTTGAAGGCGGGGAGCAAGACTTTCGCCCGCCCGCCTTCAGAAGAGGTCCAGGACCTCTTCTGAAGGCTGGCGAGGGGCAAAGTCTTTGTCCCCCCTGCCTGCCTTCCCAGGGGCTTTTAAATTGCCCTGGACAGCGGAGAAGTCCTCCGCTGTCCCGGGGTGATTTTAAAATGCCGCCCGCCAGCATTTTAAGATCGCCCGGACAGCGGAGAAGTCCTCCGCTGTCCCGGGGTTTTTTAAAATGCTGGGGGTGGGAAGAAAAGCCCTTGCCCCCCCCCCCCAGCCTTCAGAAGAGGTCCGGGGACAGACTGTCCCCCGACCAGGTCTGAAGGCGGTTTCCCTAGGAACGCATTAATTGATTTTCAATGCATTCCTATGGGAAACCGTGCATCGCAAGACGAAAAACTCGCAAGACGAAGAGACTTGCGGAACGAATTAATTTCGTCTTGCGAGGCACCACTGTAACAGGAAATCTCACAATTGTCCTTTGTCCTTAAATTCTGAACCTTACATTATAGGAATTTGTGTATCCAAACTCTGAAATGCTAATGTGCTTCCCATTCCTGCATTTTTATTAGAAGGTGGATATGCAGGCTGTTAAATATTTTAACAGACAGGGCTGTTGTACCTGGGGCAGCTATGCTTTTCAGCCAATGATGGTACGAGTACAAAGCCACAGCTGGCCAAAAGCAACATGCAGCCAAATATACTAAATAAAGAAGTTCTTGAGGCTGGTACTACTGGGAGTGTCCAAAACGCTACCAATAAAAATGAGAAGAGGACAAATTTGAATAAGAGGCACACATAAAACCAGCGCAGAAAACTGATCCAGATTCAGAAATCAGCCAGGCTCACAAAAACATCTGAGTGAGGTATGCCAGTCTGAAACTGGCTAAAATTAAACATTGGCTTCTGCAATGAGGGTTGTTCTGTGGCTAGCACTGGCAATTTTGTTCTCTCAGGAATGCGGACACAGCAAAAGCAGCAAGCGAGAGAAACGCAGTGTCTTGGATCTGATTTTGACCCTCTGGTGTTACCGGCACCGGTTGCAAATCCCACTGCTAGGACTCAATCTATATGGCTGCTACTGTGGAACTGGTGGTTCTGGAAGCCCAGTGGATGCAGTGGATCAGTGCTGTTTCATTCATGACTGCTGTTACCGCCACGCCAGGGTCTCCTTAAAGTGTCACCGCAGGGTAAAGTGGCAGCGGTACAAACTCTCATGCAACGGATCAGAGACGGAATGCCAGTCCACGAATATCTGCGGCAGGATGGCATGCGAGTGTGACAAGCAGCTGGCGGAGTGCTTGACAGCAGCAAAACCCCACAGGAAGCATTCTTTCTACAACAGGGAGGTTCTCTGCAAAGGACCCAGGGACCCTTGCCCAGCCGTTCACCGCAACTGGACTGAAATTCGACCCTGGGGAAGTCTTTCCCATCGACCAGTCTCGAGGGGGGGCTCGTAAGTAACCATTCAACTCTGGAAGAGAAGACGCTGCGGCTGCCGATTCCCAAGGGCTCCCCTCGCCGGACCCACCTCAACACCTGCGGTTCTAGGCAGCGCAATAAAGAAAGACTCAAAAGCGAAGTTGCACTGCAAATGACGGCCCCTGCTGTCTGGATGGTGCGAAAGTGAGGAAGTGCTTCCCGCGTCCCTACGAGCGGCTTTCTTTTTCCTCCGCCGGGGCGGCGGCGCTGCTGCTGCTGCTACGCCTCGGGGCAGGGAGGCAAACAGCCGCCGCCCTGCGAAAAGGAAGTCTGAAGCAAAGCAAGGCCTGCATAAGACCAAAAGCGAAGGGCGACTCCGCTACTTCGAGGGGCTGCTGGCTACGCGGGGGGGGGGGGACGCTGCCATGGAAACGCGTTTGGGAGAGAGGAGGCAACTTCTTGGCCAGTAAGCGAGGGCGGGAGGCGACCCGGGGCTGCTTTGACCTCCTCCCACCCACTCAGTGCCGCCCCCTTCGTCGCCCTCACGAGCAAGGAAAACCTGCCAGGACTGAAGGCCTCACCTGCACGAGCACCTTCACGTACATAAGCGGCTGCGAGAGCACCGTGAGGCCGGAGCCCAGCAGCATCTGAGAGGCCGTGTCCGCCATGCTGCAGCCGCGCCGGGCTCCGCCGAGGGGGGTGGGGGTTGGAAGCAGAGGCTACCGCGCCACCTCCACGTGACCTGCGGTAGAGGAAGATACGGCTCGAGCCGCTGCCTCCACGTCCTTTCCCTCCCCTCCCACTCCAACTACTTCCGGTTCCAGCTAGTCCCTTATTTCCGCCACTTCTAGAGCGCGATAGGCCTAGCCTATGGGGTGGGGGAAATAATATTGACAGTGACCGGCAGCCTGAACTTCCGGTAAAAACCAACCAACTCGAAAGCTATGATTCTCTATGGTCGCCGCTCTATAGCTTTGCAGCTCGGTGGTAAAAAGGGGTCTAGAACTGAAGTGTCAGCGAGGACTAGGGTTGTACGCAACTCTACACCCCCCCCGCCCCATTGAATTTCTCTTGGCATTTCTCGACGTGCTTCTTAGATATGTTTCTGACAGCCAATAAGAAAAAAAAAATAGGCATTTGCGTCACACGGTAGGTGGGCTAAGAATCTTCTGACCTAAAGGTAGGAAATTGTAGATGGTGTATCGGAGTAGCCACTGCAGAATGAGAGGCCGGGAAGAAGCTGTCGCGAGAAGAGTACACTATCCGCGCCCAGTTTTAGCTACATAAGTAAGTCACTGGCAGGCGCCGGATGTGCAGTAGAGGGCATTGAAGTCGGGACAGTCAACGAGTGTTTAATATAGTTAGTTTATTCGCCAATACGTCAGGTTTTCAGCAATCGTTAGGTTTTCTTCGCTCTGTGTACCATTAGATGCTTACTAGTTAAAATGTTCATGGCTAATGAAAACTCAGGGTTGTTGTTTTTCTTCTACTTCCATGCCTTCCTGGCAGAACTGTAGTACAATTGACATTGACTACCAAGGACTTATTTCAGATCTGCTGTTCAGTAAGCATTTGCAGGATCACTTTCCTAGTAGAAAGTCTACCTAACTAACAAAGCAAGCGCCGCCGCCGCTCTCGTTTGCAATTCAAGTCTCATCTTACTTTGGACATCTTTGTTCTCAGGGAAGCTGCCTAGACCAAAATCAAGCATTCATTTTAAAGTGCTTTAATTATTACCCAGGAATACTACCAAAGCAAGTAATGCTTCTAGCATTTCAAAACTTCCAGCTTGTGTTAGAGAAGAGCTTATGCAATGTTGCTCAGCACCTAGACTCTTGTGCAGTCTCATCCCCACTGTAATTTTCCCTTCATCATCTCCCTTTCCCACTTTCCAGAGAAAACCAAGCCTTGTCTGTTTAATTTTTAAAATGTTGCTGGTGCACATGCCTGCCCTTTTCAAAAAAAAAACTAGTTCCCTCATTCTCAGAACAGCAGCAGCAATAGCAACAAGGAAAATGGAGTGGGCAGGTGAAGTATTCCCAAAGTTTTAAAACCAACACATCCCTCCCATTATTTGGACACTGAAGGAAATTTCCAAGGCACTTACATATACGAAAGAAAGACAGGAGGTGACAGTGAACAAGGTAAAATTATAGCTGCATATATGGTGCATTTTAGTTGAAATACGCTTTCCTGCCAGAATAACTGATTAAAAAATATGAAATTGTACTTTTCCTAGATTTTTTGTGTATTTTGGGACAAAAATAGGTAGTGAAAGAGTTACTTGACAGAAACAAATTGTAGCAGATGCTAAACTAACAGATGCTAGTTTAATACTAAAGAGAGGAAGAGGAAAATGCATGTAGATTTGCCAGTCTGTTTCTCATTTGCAGTTCAGACACATATTTAATGTGAGATTTCTTCATTCCTTCCTGGATTATAATCCAAAATCTTCATAGTGAGAATAAATTATAGCTTTATGGTAACATAACTGACTTGTTTATAACAGGTCATCAAAGTTTACACCCGAGTTCAGGATATAGTTTTGATGGATTCTTCACAGAAATAGTTTTTAGCTACATTATGCAAAATGAAATATCATTCAATAGATTTCTACATAAATATGTTGTGTTTGGGTGTGTTTTAGAACACTAACAATTATTTTATGACAACTGGAAACTTAAAAAAAAAAGAGTTGCACCTTCAGTACCTTTACTATGCTGTTTAATGCTCAACAAGACATACTTTTCACTCACAAAGAGTAACAATACCACTTTAGAGGTAAAAATGCAACAAAACTTGTACCTGAGTATTGCATTTTTTCCTTGTGTGGTTCCAACATTACAGCAACAGAATTGTTTCTGTTATTATTGTGCCCACTGCTACACAATCATCTATTATTAATTCAACGTAAGTTTTCAGATATTCACCCTTCATCATTAAAATAATAATAATTCATGTACACATTTGATAGGAAACTTTTGGGGGGGTTTACAAAAAGAAAAAAATGGTGGAATGACATGCAACCTCAGTAAATGTGAATTTGGGAAGTAATGGTGGAGGGTTGGGGAATGTGTGTCTGATGGTAGAAGTGGAATTTATAGAGAATTAGCATGAGGGAAATGCTGTTTAACCCCTCACACTCACTGAGTCATCCTATGCCCACTGGATCTTTCTCCTCTTCTGATTTTCGACCCTGACTTGGTGGGGAATAATTAAAAATAGCCATGTGAGGCATCTGCAGAAGCTGCGGGCAAGGAGGTTCAGCACGTCCTACCTGCCAATACTTCCTTGCAAGTACTTCCTACATTTTCACTTTATGAATAAAATATAGGAGTGGAAATTATGTGTTCTTCCTGAAATGCATTGTACTAACCAAAGATCTTAACAGGGGGGAAAGCTTTGCCCTTTCATATTAGTTAATCTCAGCTACAAACCTATAAAAATAAGACAACTGAAATCTCCCATCCTCTTTATCAACACTCCAAATTCTCTCATCATCAAAATGCAGTAGACTTTGTGCTAAACATTTGTAATAGGCCTGCAACAGGAGAGTGCCAGCTTTCCTTCTAACAAATTAACTCTTTGTGAGTTATTAAAAGTCTATGGCTTCATAGGAGGGCACAAGATGTTCCTTGTGCACAAACTTTGCCTTTGGATTACCCTCTCTGTTCTTCAGTAATGAATATTTTTGTCCACTCATGTTTGGAGTTCCCCTGACTTTGGCATGATGTTCATTTTCAGACTTCAGAACCATGTAGTCAATTTTGAGTGGTTTCCATTTGTATTCTCGGTAGGGAATAATCTGTGACCTGCTTTGGTTCAGATTCCACAGATTTTTGTTGTCAATAATGCTATGAGATTTCAAAGAAAGACTTCGACGCAGCATTAAAGTCACAGAAGGCACTTCAGGATTCCACCACATGGACCTAAAAAAAGGGTTGGGAGAGAAAAATAGTTATTTTAAATAATTAAATTTCAAATACTGTATTGTAGATAAAAAGTAGTATACAAGCACTTGTAATTAATTAATAAATTGAGAGTGAAAGAAATTCATTTCACAAAGGCATAGCAGGGACCAAGGCTTATCCACAACCTAAAGGTATTAGCATTTCATGCAGTTCAAAGCAGGAAAATGTCAGTTATCAGGGTTAGACTCTTAACTTGAGCAATTGTATTTAACATGTCTGGGGGGCATTGTTTGTTAAATAACAGTTGCAAGGACCCCTGAATAGAAACAGGACCACAGTATACAGGGAGGGGAGGGAAGGAGCTTCTCCCTAACAACAGAAGCAGTTTCCAGGAGCAAATTTCATTTAGACTGCAACACAGTAGAAAATGGGCCCTACCATGGTCCTAATCCCAACAAGTTTCCAGTGGCCATTTAACAAAAATCCTGAGACAAATGCAATAAAGCATAATAAAGCATGTAGTTTGGCCTTGATTTCTGATTTTCATTCATGTTCTAAAAGGTGAGAGAATACAATACAGTGGTGGTTGTTTTACCAAGCAAGATTAGCAATCGCTGGAATGCTGACAAAGATTACCGGTACTTTTGTGTGTCTCAACCGAGTAGCCTTTTATTTGTTGAATTATCATATAGCTCAAAGATAAATGAAGAGCAACTAGCCAAGGCTACTTTCCAAGTTTCACCTTGCATGAAATAGAAACTACATCACACCACACATTAGCCACCCAGCCTCAATTCACCTAGTTTAACCTGATTATAATACACACACACCAGGCAACAGTCAGTGAGTACAGAGCATGCCCTTTACACAGCCTCAGCATGTAAAGAGCATTCACATCACACTACACACATAACTGTAAACCTAACACCATAAGCGTCTTGTGGCCTCTTAAACACTAAATACCGTATTTTTCGCCCTATAGGACGCACTTTTTCCCCTCCAAAAATGAAGAGGAAATGTGTGTGCGTCCTATGGGGCGAATGCAGGCTTCGCGCACCTCTCCGCAAGCAGCGGGAGCCTAGCGCTGGGCTCCCGCTGCTTGCGGAGAGTTGCCTGCATGCTGAAGCCTGCGCGCGCTGAGCTCAGCGTGTCCAGGCTTCGCGGACCTCTCCGCAAGCAGCGGGAGCCAGCACTGGGCTCCCACGGCTTGCAGAGAGCTGCCTGTTTGGGGGCTGGGGTCGGGGGAAGCTCGGGCTTCCCCCGCCCCAGCCCCGCGCCTGGGGGGAAAATAATTTCCCCCCCTTTATTTCCCCCCCAAAAAACTAGGTGCGCCTTATGGCACGGTGCGTCCTATAGGGCGAAAAATACGGCAATTCCTTATGGGAACAATGCATTCACATGGTTTTCTTGGGGTGGGAGGGGGGTTGTATACATGATGAGGGTGGCTGTAAATGAGGTCCAAAAACACAGATGAAATACTTATTTGCAGTATACTGTATTCCACAAAAGCTTATGCCACAATAAATGTATTTGCCTTTAAGGTGCCACAAGACACTTTGTTGTTTTTGATGCAAAAGAGTAATCCACCTTGCTTCCTGGAAGTACATGTAATGTTTTCCTGCACATGTATCATCATGTAAGTAAATTGTAAGTGAAAAGGCCTAAAGTTAGACAATTAAATCAATGCCATTTCAGGAGGCTGTCATGGTGCCCAGGAGGAGTTCTGACCCGGTAGTACCTGTGTCGTTTGACTCCAAGACCACGAGGACATTCAGATGAAACACAAGTGCCTGTAAAGAAGTAAAAGGAAACACAAATGCCAAATCAAAACTAAATAACAGTAGTGCATTTCTGGCTGGACTAAAGTCAGCAATGATGTGAATTTTCCTCAATGTCTTGTTTCACTTAATACAATGGTTTAGATTTGGTGTCTGACAGACATTCCAATCAAAGAGAACAAGTACCCATCTTGTCCAGATTCACACCTAAATTTGTCTTCTTCATCTGGCAAAATTTTCTTATTAGGATCATTCACTCCTAAATGCTCATTCTGTCCCTTAACATCACAGGTAAATTTGTCTGCTTAACTACCCCAGTCCTGTACCTGCATTCTGTTTCTCATTAAGTTCTTCATCAGGCTGTAAATGGAAGGAAAATGGGTGTTGTTTGATGGGTGACTTTGTGAGGCTCCGTCGCTGTTCTATTGATGGAATCATAGCTACGAGGAGTGGCTGGGGACCCTTGATCTTGATCTCTGGATCAATTATTGGGATGTTCTGCTTACCCAAAGCGAGTTCTACATGGTGGAAAGACAGAGGTAAGATGAAGGAACGTAAAATGTCTTCAAAATATCCTCTGCAACCAGAAAGCCTATATTCTGCTATAAATTCAGTACACTGCAAGATAAATGTCTGTGACAAATACTCTGATATAGCTCAATATTGCCCCCTGGAGTGTCTGCAAAGAAAGATAAGGACAAAATCCAATTGTGGCATCCTGCTACCACAACTGCCAAGTAGAGCTGAATAGCCCTGTTTTTTCAGTCACAATTTTAATTGTGATTCCATACCAATGGGTAGAGCTTGGTAGAATGCATCTGGGTTGTCTGAGTTTTTTGCCCCTCCCTATGCTCACTCCTCCCATACATTCCACTATCTTTTTCTTTTCTAGGCATGGGGTGGTGGTCGTCTGCTTACCTTAAAAAAAGAAAAAACCCAGAAAGTGTGCAAAAGCACAACAGCGGATATTGCCAGCCTTATTTATCAAGTGGATGCCAAATCCCATTTTCTTTTTTGAATTTTTAAAATACCACTATCTTGCAAAATTGGTAAATGGGTCCTGAAAGTGCTGTACTGGTTATAAGTGAATGATGGCACCTTGAGACCCATGTACCTAAAAGAGCACCTCTCCTACTATCAACCATCTTAGTCCCTACAACCAGTAGTATAAACTCTGTTGGTGGTTACACCTCTGGCTAGTGCCCAGTTGGTGTTGACCCATGTTACAGCCTTGGTGGCAGTTCAGTATTTGAGAAATGCCCTTCTGAGTGGGGTGCATCTGTCTCCCTCCCAGTACTGTACATTTCTGAGCACAATTCAAAGTGATGTTACTGACATTTAAAGCCCTAAACAGCCTTAGCCCAGTATACCTGAAGGAGCGTCTCCACCCCCATCATTCAGCCCAGACAGTGAGGTCCAAGGCCCTTCTGGCAGTTCCTTCACTGCGAGAAGTTACAGGGAACCAGGCAGTGGCGCCCTTCCTATGGAACGCCCTCCTATCAGATGTCAAGGAGATAAAAAACTACACAACTTTTAGAAGACATCTGAAGGTAGCCCTGTTTAGGGAAGTTTTTAATGTTTGATGTTTTATTGTGTTTTTAATATTCGGTTGGGAGCCGCACAGAGTTGCTGGGGAAAACCAGTCAGATGGGTGGGGTATTATTGATTAATTATTAACTTTCAGATGGAACTTTTAAAAGTTTCTGTATATCCAGGTATTTTATGGCTGAAAGACACTTTTTGGTAATGTTGAAATTATTAACTGAAAAGCAGCAACATGGTCAAATCCACACTATACATTTTAAGGCACATTTAAGGCACATAACATCCTCCAAAGAATTCTGGAAACTGTAGTTGACCCCTCAGAGAGCTACAATCCCAGTACCCTTAACAAACTACAGATGCCACTCTTCTGTTAGAAATATATGCCATCCTCTCCCTTGTACTTGTGAGTATACAGAAACTATTTTAAAATTCCTGTTTATATATACAGTACAGGCAATCCTCATTTTGCAGAGGTTACATTCAGGATCCCCTGCATGTTAGTGGGGCCTGCATAAAGTTTTTCACCCCACCCCCATTCCACTATGTTAGTGATAGTTTAGTGACATTTTTGGGTCACTTCTGGGTTAGGCACTGTGTGCGCGTGTGCAATCACACGTCAGTTGGCCGTTGCCTGTACATGAAAAAACAGGTGCATATCCATATATGTGCTCATGTACACTACTGTAAAAAAGGGCAATGGACACTTAGTTTCTCTTAGTTGAGAATTGGACTAGGCTTTGATTATAATGTAATCCAGAGAAATTTATCACTTGATTTATATGGGCCTAGGTACAGGTGCAATTTGGAAATTAGGGAAAAGGAGTAAACCTTTGCCTTCTGTCCCCATCATGTTTGTTTATTTATAAAGCAATAACAGTTAATCATGGTGGCATGGTAGTGGCTCCTGTCTGCCACAACTTTCTTTCGCCAGAACACAGACATGTATACCCCCCCCCCAAATAAAGCCATTTTCTGCAATATGTGTAAGGATAGATTCCTCACCTTGATACTTCTTATCTACATTTTCTTCTTGCACAAATGTAGAGAGTGAATTTTCTAGATTTCGGTTCTGTATAAAAGAAATGTAGAGAATAAATCAGTATCTTTCTTATTTTTATATATGCCTCATAATATGAGTATTAAAGTGCACCCTATATCTTTTTCTCACTATGTAGGCACATTCATTGCCCATGTGTGTCCAGGTGTTGCTCACCAAAACATTTCCATACCCTGTTTTACCTTTCCCGTTGATAAACAGACTTTCTTCTCTTCAGTCAACCAGGAAGATTGCCTTTGTCCTTTTGCAAGGGTCTCTTTTCTGCTTTTGATCACATATTTGTTTTATTCAGTTCAAAAACTAAGCTAAGCAATGCTGAAAAGGCTACCTTTCAGTGTGGACTGATACTTACCTCAAAGCCTCCAACACCACTTTATTTTAGATGTACCTCATAGGCAGCATTTTTCTTACAATGGTTTGCATAAGTATAGGAAAGAGTATAGTACACTTGTGTACATCTATCATGTGAAGATCACACATATGCCTGTTTTGCTGCATGTTGGGAAGCAGTGATCCCTTCTTTATCCTTTTCTCAGTGTTTTCATATTAGAAGTATGCACTCAAACCCAAGGGACTTCCATTGTAAGTGTTCCTACCCCATTATTTCCCTCCAGACATATTTTCCAGTAAATGCCCACTAACTATATTAGGTGCTAAGGTTTCTAGTACCCTTGACAGTAAAGTTTGGTTATTTCTATATCTTCTCATCTCTCTTTGGTGTGTCCAAAGTGTACTGTAGGATTTTTCCAAAGCATTTTTTTAGCCCCCTCTAATCTTGTTAAATTTCCTTGGCAATATTAAAAGAGCTCTTGGTTCAAGCATCTCTTTGTAGTTTCTTATATGCTGTGATGTCAGTCATCTTTGTGATACCCTATATCATCAGTGGTTTTCAACCTGAGTCCACAGCTCCCTTGACCAACCATGTTCTTTTTGCTGCTCCCCTGTGGAAGTCACTTACACTGGGGTTCCATTAAAGGACATGCATAAGTGGGGGTTTCCCCGTTCCGCCCCCACCCCATTCCGCCACACCCCTTTTCGGTGCCATTTTTGGGGGACATATAAGTAGGAACGCATGTGTCGACGGGAACCCAAGCAATGCCACTGCGCTGCAGGGCCGAGCTAATTCATCCCGCAAGGCATCCCCAGCATGCCTTTTCCTAAATTAGTGTGCAAATGTGGGGAGGGAGGGTGAAACAAGATTAACATCAGAAGGAGAAATATTTTGTTATTATTCCGGGAATCCTTGTCACGTATTAAATTATTTCGTCTGACACCAGCATACAACAACTATATTTTGCAAAGGCACATGTTAAGATCTTTCGTATCCTTCGTCTGATACCTGCATACAGCAGCTGCATACAACAACTATACATTGCAAAGGCAAATGTGGAAAATTACAAAGAAGAGTTCATCTTTTGCAAGCCTGCTCCTTAAAATTGTTGCGTTTGACACTTGTATTTGCCAAGACATACGTGGAACACAAAAAGCTTTTATTTGGACATTAAGTTTTAAAAAACTGATTCATTTTTACATACGTAGAACACAAAAGCTTCTATTTGGACATTACATCTATGAGAACTGATCTATTTGTATTTCCTGTTCTAAATATTGGTCCTTAATTTCCTCTACTCAATTAGATAATGTGAAAAGAGTTATGTTTATATGATGTATAAGGAATTTATATAGTTAAACACAGCTAGTTACGTTGTGGGTATATTTGTTAGTTGAATTTACGTAACTATCGGTTTGACCTTGTTGTGTAAGTTGACACTGTCCTTTTCTGCAACATTCTCCCTGTCTTGATAAAGTTTGGTGACTTTTAAGGAAGAGGGGAGTGCCTGTGGCGAGAGGTAGAGAAGAAGAGGGAGGGAGGGCTGTTGGAGGTAGGAGAGGGAAACACAGAAGAGGTTATTTTAAATCCCTTCTTATAGAGCACACACACATCTTGGCACACACACCATCAAGCTACTTTGCTATTTTCTTGCATTTCTTAAGCCCTCTGTGTAAAACTAAGGAACTGTTACTTAGTGAAGCTGAGAGGAGGATTTTTGTTGGGGGGAAGATTTTAAGAAGATACAGTCATGCAAAAGTGTTTCCCCACTTTTTTGCTGTTGTTTAATTTCAGGAAGATAATGGGCTGCAAGTTAAAGCTGCCAGCTCCCCTGAATGTTCCTAAGCAGGAAAGAGAGAGATAATGAAGGAAGATATGAGCTACAAGTTAATGAAAGGACAGCCCCCTTGTCTCTCCTGAATGTTCCTCAAGTCACCCCAGAGTGCCACGGCACACTGCTTGAAAACCAAAGCCCTATATTAAATTTTTGTTACAGCTCTCTGAATGTATGGTCGCCAAATAACCACTGAAATGGTCCACTGCCCACATGTTATTTTAGTAATTAAGATAAAACATTATGCCTAGTGTGGCAATACGTTTTGTGCAGCCACCTACAACATATGCACTCAAAAGGGAACAATTTTATGCTTCAACACTATATCCAATCTAACATTTCCTTAAAGTATTTTTCAAATATTTATTTCAAGCACATTCCTTTATTATTCGTATCATGGGTCAGTCTCCAAGATGAATTGTGTAATGCAGTTCTTTAGTGTACTGATACACTTATAAATTTCATCTGAAAGGCACTGAGCATACGGTGAATTGTAACAGAAAATTAGATTCCACAAACCAACCTGACACACACAGAGTACTTGATTCATTTGCTTGTTCTTCTGTTCTGAACTGTTGTCTCTCCATGATCTCTTGGAAAGGCTATGATTTTTTTCAACACTTGGAGAAATTGTGCTTTCCTAAAGGAATTTAATAGAGAGATGGTACCTTGGCTCACTCTGAAATCACAGTGAAAGGATTCAATGGGATGCTGTCCAAGGTCTCTTAACAGAGACTCCTTATTCCACTCAAACAGGAAAAGCAGAGGAGAGTCGAGAAATTCAGAGGAGGAAACGGTCACACAGAGAGAGTCCCATTCAGCACAAGATACTTTACACATGGTTGAAGGTTGAATAGTCTCTGTAGTTACAGAAGTGAACATATATCAATTTAATATTGTACATATAGGCAAATATGTATGCCTGCCATCTGATCAATAATAAACATGAGTTCTGGAACATCATGCATTCTAAATCAATTCAAATAGTTGGATATGGGTGGTCTATTGATATAATGTGCCTTGACAATTAGAGTTCTTAAAACACAATCCTTGCTAATGGTCTTAAAATGCAAAATAATAATGAAAACGTCCTTTCACCAATATCTTTTTTATAAAGTCATTTCATTGATTACTCATCCATTAATCAGATCAGGATGACCAACCAGCAGTTGGTGAAGAACATCAGCATGGTTTTGTCTGGGCCTCACAACCTGCTACTAATGCTAACAGATTTGGAGTACAAGACAGGGTGACACAATGGTGAAAGTTCATTGGCTTCCTCTTTCACCAGCAGAGATACAATAAGAGAAGTCATAGTTATCTAATGCCATTGATGTGATTGCAGCAAGAAGCTAGTACCCTCTACTTTTAGTCCCCTCAGTGGAACTTATTTGAATCCAGAAACTACTTGTAGGTCACATCCACTCAAAACAACTCTTTCACACCTGCAGGGAAGGTTTGCCTCTTCCCACCATCTGACAAGAAAGCCAAAGAAATTGATTTACACCTCTGGTCCCATCTCCCTGTGCCATTGGCAAATGCTAATGATCAAATTGTCTCTGTATATGTGATGAATCTTAGGCATGCCAAGCTGAGCTGGCTACAGAACAGGCAGATTGCCTTCCTATCTAATTACACCCTCCCACAATCTTCAGGAAATAAGAAAGTAGATGCCTCTTTTTGATGACCTACAATGTGCCATTTAGTTGCCTTGTTTCAGGAGCATATTTAGGGAGGGGTACAGGGGGCAGGCCACCCCAGGCGGTGCTTGGCTGGTGGGGTGGATGTGTGCTCCTTCCGTCATCCTCCCTCGCTGCGCCTCCTCTCACCTGGCAACTAACTCTAGCCGCACTTTGCTGGCAGGATGGTGCCTGGTGCCCCGTAGCGATTCTGCTTCCCCTTTCCTTTGCAGATCCTCCTTCCCCTTTCCCCGTGAAGCAGAAGATGGGCTGCTGCCCAGTCTGGTTTTGCAACTGTGTGAGAGAGAAAACCTGGAGAGAGGAAAGGTTGGGGGAAGGCTTCCCTCCAAGCAAAGCTGGAGTAAGCAATAATGTGCACACAGCCCAGCCAACCCGGCCAACCCCCTTATTATTTTCCTCCCCTCAACGTCTCAGAGATCAATTAAAAGTGGTGAAGAGATCAGACTACCATCTCCTGTCCTTTTTGGAAACAGGATCTTTTATCAGGATTAAACCATTTAAATGGCAAGTTTAGAAGATAAGCACTTTGGAGTATTGCTTGTTTATAATGTGTGTGTGTGTGTTTGGATCTAGAGGGCAACTTACATGTTTATGCCATGTGTATACAACCAACTACAAAAGCAGAGTCTCATTTACACTGAAAATAAAATACCATTGACCATTGGATAAGCTGAGAAATAGTGACTGGCCCAAGGTCAGATGGTCAATTTGTGGCTGATTGAATATCTGAAATTGCATCTCTCCAGTCCTACAGAACAATGCTAACTGTGCCCTGAAGGATGATGAGAGTGGGAGATCCACTGTCAGTTTGAATTCCTTCTGGTTCCTGCACTGAAGGGTGGATGGTGGGAAGGGCTATTTTCTTGAGGTTTTGCTGCACCAAGCTGGAACAGTAGAGAAACACAAATTAGATCTCTAATCTTAGTGTGCTTGTGTAGGATCCAATGGATCCTTTGGTTGCCCAGTTCAGCCTCCACTGGGCCCCATTCTGGGACTCTTAATGTGGTCTGCTGATGGTCTTAAGTGGAAGTCGGGCTTCAGCTGCACTGAAGCTGATGGTGGAGAGGAGTCAGCACTTCATCTTAACCCACAACCCTGCATCATAAGGGACTGCCCCACAGGCTGCCAGGCTCTGTAGCTGATGGAGGTGGGGCTCACAGATGATGAACAGTGAGAGAGGCAGCAAACTCAGTGACTGCCCTGGGCAGCAAAAGGCCTAGCTACACCACTGCCTTATTTTGCATTCTTTCTGTATTGTCTTCTAAGAAAATGTGTGTCTTTGAGTTTATCATTTGTGTATGATATATTCTTAATTTAAAATATTTACTGCCTGCCCTTCCAATTCTTATAAAAGGACAGGCTGCAACAGAAAATAAACTATAATAACCATATCAATAAAACAATGAACAAACTCATAAAAAATGCACAGAGGTAGCCAAACAAACAAACAAAGCAGAGAAAGACATTAAAACAAAACAAAAAATTAAAATGCCTGAGCAAACAAATACATCTTGGCTTGGTGCCAAAATGATAGGAGTATCAGTGCATGTCATACTTATGAACAGTGTGAAAGCGTGTGAATGAAGGCACACACAACACAAACATGGGAACAGTGCCCCATATATATATTGACACCCTAGTGTAGACACAACTATAAATGGAACACTTTGTGAAAGAATACTCCTGTTTTTTGTTTGACTTATGTATTTATTTTATTTGGTGTATCTAGTTGAACATATGAACCTTCTTAAACTGAGTCAGGCCTGTTTACTCTGATTGGCAGCAACTTTTCCTGGTCTCAGGCAGATCTTTCTTTCAGCCTTGCTATGAGATTATTTTTCTGAAAATAATCAGGGATTAAATATGGAACTCTTCACATCCAAAGTAGATCGTAGTGAATTTCAGTCTACAAAATGCAATTACCCCCCATGCTTTTCTGTAAAGAGGGGGGATTATGACAGAATCTTAGGGTCATATCCAACTGTGTCACTCCCGCTGATGGAAAGCTCTTTGATTCAGTGGCTACTTCTGTCAATGGAATGAGGATAGAACCAATTTGTGCTGATTCCACCTTCCTGCAGACCCCTACGTGCCTCCAAAATCTGTTCCAGTGGATTGGATGACCCTTTCAAACACTATGTGCAGGTGGCATGGGTACTGTAGTGAAGGAATTGACAAAAATCCCCCCTAACTTGGCTAAAGCAAGTCTCCAATGGATTAAATAATCTTCTGTTACTATAAGATATACCATTGAATGCAACCTTTAGGTATGCATTGGATGGCGTTGCTATATGTGCAACTAAACTATCTCCTGTTTAGGAAAAGAGTAGGCAGCCACTTATTGACAGTTGAAGAAAAACAGCATACCCACTAACCATTTTGAAATATGGCAACCCTTGCTACTATTATCATTACTACCACTACTAATGAATCACAATCTAGTTAATTAGACCACAGCATATAAGAAATGTTAACAGCTGTGTGCTGGACAGATGGATGTTAAGGAACTATAATTAACCTGCAAGGGTATAGCGGATAGTGCCCATAATGATGACAAGGAACAACTACCTTCATCCCCACTCTGCTTTGTAATCTTTAAAAATGTCACATTTATAATTGTGGAGTTTAAAAAAAAAAATAGGTGTAAGGTCTCCTACTGTACCCTTTAGGTACAGATCATTCATATGACCCCTTAAAAAGAAAAATAATTATGTGTGAGACACTAACAAGGCTACCTGCTTCCTCACAGCAATCCTGTGCCATTAACAAACTTTTGTATTTCGTACAGTTGAACTTTAAACAGTATTTGCTGTTGAAAAATGGGGGAGGCACAGATGCTCTCTGGAGTCACCTTGCCCGAGGTGCTTTACACTAAGGAAGGACATTCCAGAATAACTCAGCATTGCAGTGGAAAAGCAGTGGTGTTCCTAAAATGCTCGGTAGTGGGTGCCACTGGCTGCTGCACAGTAGACAGCAGGAGGGTAGCTGGAAGCTGGGCAGGTTGGTGGCAGCAGGCAAAATGGTGGTGGGTGGGTGGCCAGGCCAGAGGGAGCATGTAGATTCTCTACTCCCAATCCACCTCCTGAGATAAAGGGCTCAGTGTAGCTAATAGGAGGGCTGCCTTAGAAGTCATGAACAAATTATAACAAAACAGTGATTGTTTCTGCTGAATACTGAGGCCCTGCCCAATACATTTTGCTACCTGAGGCAGAGCAGTAAATGGTGCCTCTGCCACATTCAGGGTGCTCTCACACACCTCTCATTCATAAACAGAGAGATATTAGCCATCACTCCTACACACTGCTTAATTTCCAACATAATCTATTGTCCTGCCCCCATATTCTCTCACAAACACTAGAAGGTTAACAAAAAAAGGTAAAGGACCCCTGGACAGTTAAGTCCAGTCAAAGGCAACTATGGGGTTGCGGCGCTCATCTCGCTTTCAAGTCGAGGGAGCTGGCATTTGTCCACAGACAGCTTTCCAGGTCATGTGGCCAGCATGACTAAACTGCTTCTGGCGCAATGGAACACCATGATGGAAACCAGAGTGCACGGAAACACCATTTTCCTTTCTGCCACAGCGGTACTTATTTATCTACTTGCACTGGCATGCTTTCAAACTGCTAGGTGGGCAGGAGCTGGAACTGAGCAACAGGAGCTCACCCTGTGATGAGGATTCAAACAGCTGACCTCCTAATCAGCAAGCCCAAGAGGCTCAGTGGTACCCCTCTACAGCTGGGTTATGCATGCCCCATTGTTGACAGATACAATGTGAAAGACATAGAGCATGGCATATTCATTGTCATACCCACACTCACTGACTTACGTTTACCACTACCAAAGTTCTTCATGGTATTGTTTGACAACAGCAGCTCTCTCACTCTTGCTCTCTATTATTCCTCATACACTAAATTTTCCAGAGGGGGAGTCTTGTGGCACCTTCAAGACTGCATCTGGTGAAGCTGACTATGATCTATGAAAGCTCTACTCTGGTGCACAACAAGATTGAAGCTGGTCTGTAGGAACTGGCTGAGTGTGTGATTATATATAGTCTGCTATTGGGATAGCACAGCTATGAAACATCATTGTCTGGATTCTGGCACACACTCTTCCTCTCTCTTTCCCTTCTTCCCTTTCACATGTCAGAAGTTTTCTTATTTGGACAATGATGCAAGGTCAATGGCTTCAAGAAGAGAAGGAGTACAGGTAGGAAAGAAGAAGAGGTGTAAGGAATAAGAAAGAAGCGTTCTCTCTCAGTCTCCTTCTGCCACTAGGTCAGACTGGGGTAGGTAGGTGTATAGGCATGGGAACACACACTTCCCTCCACTGCTGCTATGGACTTGCACAAAACACAGCAATAAACCTGCTCATTCACTCTCCCTTCTGCTGCTCAGCTGAACTAGCACGCTCTACCTGGAGGAGTGAATTGCAGGAAAACCAAAGGCACAGAAAGAGGCAGGATGCTGCCAGCACCTCCACTTTTTTCTCACTGGCACTCCCTCCCAGCCAGCAGAAAGTGGGAAAGGAGTGTGGAGACTTAATGTTCAAAGCAGGAAGCAAGCTGGCTGTAGAGCCAAAATGTGACAGAGTGAGGTAGCTGGCTGAACAGCCAGATTTGGGGGCATGTAGGACCTCAAAAATCTTCCACTCTAAAAAGTGCACCTCCCAAACCACTACATGTCTTGCCCAGGCTAGTTAGTGCAGTCATGTCAATGATGAAGGACTGAGGAAGATGAGAAGCTTCTGCTTGTCTTTCTAACAACGAAGCTCTACTAAGTTATGTCAGTAGACAGTATCAGACAGCCAACCCAACAAGCGCTGGCAACCCCTGTTGCCACCTGGCAGCCCAAGAAAGCCAGACCTTTCCATGAGACAATGAGTGACCCACCTAGATTTCTCAAGAAATAGCAGCACTGCCCAGGCTTGCTGCAGGACAGTAGTGTGGTAAGTGACCAGTCAGTCAGTAGAGGCCTGGCTATGGCCAGTAACAGAGGAGTAGGAGGAGTGGCACCAAACTTAAAAGACGTTTGGAGGCAGCGCACCATCAATTTACTGTGTAGGACAATAAAAAATGAGGATGAGGATGATGTGAGCAAAACTGGGGAGGTAAGAGTAATCACTTGTGGGGATGGGGTGGGACTGTGAGGGGGGAGAAAAGGGACTGATCCTGAGGCCTGAGGCTTCAGGCAAGTGTCTCATTCAGCCCCATAAAAGTGTCAGTCATGAGAATAACCTAGACCACTTCAACAATACAGGAATTAAAAAAGAAAAAAAGCAACACTCACTAGACAGAAAACTAGTGAAATATCCAAACAGTTGAACTGCATTCCATTGGGAAACATTTCTAGCTGGCTGTCCTCCTCCAGCAAAGGCACTTATCTGGTCTGTTTTAATTTGCCTCTTACCAGGATATCTTTCTTATGTTTTGGTGTTTGACTCAGAGTAAGTTTCTGATGCAACTCATTCCTTTCCTTCCTTGTTCTGAGTTGTTTCTTTTTCTTCTTTTTCTTCTTCTCATTAAAATCCTTCAGAGAATAAAAACATAACAACACAATTGTGAAAGTGTTCCCGATTACCACCTAAATGCAGTCAAACAATGGTTTTGTTTGCATGCTAAACTAAACTAAACAAGCATAAAGATTCCGAGAGGAGATTTCAGCAACTTTGCTTCTCCCTAGTCTTTCTGCTGATCTGCAATCCTGAGCTAAGCCATGGCTTGGCATAACATTTTGCCAAATCCAGGCTTGTGGTTTAGTTCTCTCCAGTGAAAATAAGGGCATCCCATTCCATAATGATAATTTTACTATTTATACCTCACACATCTTACTGGGTTGCCCCAGCCTCTCTGGGCGGCTTCCAACATATATAAAAACATAGTAAACATTAAACATTAAACAACCTTCCCTAATCAGGATTGCCTTCAGACGGCTGGGGGATCAGATAACTCCATACCCTCCAACATTTCTCCACTGAAAATAGGGACATCCTAAGGAAAAGTGGGACATTCCGGGATCAAATCAGAACCCAGGATGGTTTCTCTAAATCAGGGACGTCCCTAGAAAATAGGGACACTTGGAGAGTCTGCTAATCACAAGCTGCAACTGATTGTCTTATGGCTTGTCTGAGAGAGCTAAGGCATGAGCCTGGGTTCAGACAGCATGCTAAACCAAACCGTAGCTTAGCACAGCACAGCAGCAGAATGACCAGGGAGCAGCAAAGTAGCCATGGTTTCCCCTCAAACAGCTTGTACACCTGCATGTTCATGCTAAACTATGGTATGGTTTAGTGTGACATGCAAACCAGGCCTTAAAGTCCATTTCTATTTCCTTCAGCGACCAAAGTATTCCTAGATTCCAAATAACTAATAATTTAGAAATTATTGAGATTGCTCTGTGGCATTTAGGCTGTAATCTTGTGCACACTTACATTTGAGTAAGTTCTGTTGAACACAGTTGTATTTACTTCTGAGTCAACAAGCATAGGAAATACAGCTTATCTCCCAGTGTTTGTTGTATTTTTCTGCTCAGTTCTTAAGTCCCACCCACAGTATAATTCTTGTTCTTTTTCACAGCATAGTCCTAATAAGTTACCTATCCAGGCTCCAATAGCAACCAGTAGCATAGTTTTCTTAGGACTTGTACAAATTGTCATCTTCCGAAAGACAGAAGTGCCTGCTTTACTTATTTGTTTCAGGCAGTCCAGTTATCTTCATTCAAAATAAAAATTTTGTGGCTGCATTTTCCCAGCATTAAAACCACACTACATTATTGGCAGGAAAATGCAATTCTCCTTCCAGTTCATGCATGTTTTACTCTAGCAACTGCTATGTGGAAACAGGTCTCAAAGGCATCTCACAGAAAACAACTGACAAAATCAACTCAACTATGGGGTGTGTGTAGATTTTTAAAATATTTAGAGACTGAGCACTCCTTGCTATATCACTGAAGAACTAGGATATTAATTGTGTCCTTTAAACAGAAAAAGGCAAATGGAAAGAACCTCCTTCTCTTGCAGAAATGCCTAGCCTTTTAAGGCATGTTTAAAAGAACTTGCTGAAATGTGTTTTCCAAAAACAGCCAGTGTGACTATACAATGTAGAATTTCAATTGCTAGTATCAAAACAAGCTTAGTATTGAAAAAAAACATATTTGCGTAGATTACAATACCACTAGCATACTTTTCATTGACAATAAATTAGTACAAAAAGCATGAGGAAAATAAACTATAGAAAACAGATACAGCAACAAAATAAAAAGCCTCATCAATCAATTATTTCCATTTTTCATTAAATCCTTTAAAATATGTGCATTTTTTCTTTCCAGTAACAGAATGCACATCTCCTGTAATGGTCTCTTTCTGAGCCACTAACATCAATAGCAACCCAATCTGTGGTAAGGTTAGTGTCCCCATTCCATTACAAGGGACCAGGATATTGAAGTTTTTATATTTTTCCAGGTACATTTGTTCACCAAAAAATGAATAACTCTCACCTTCTCATCCATGTTGAGCAAATGTGCAGGGGGGCCATCTGACTGGGAACTGTCTGAGCCACTTGTGCTAATTAAAGGAAAAGGAAACCATTGATGCAGGGCAACATAAGAACATAAGAAGGACCCCCAGGATTAGGCCAATGGCTCATCTAGTCCAATATCTTGTTTTCACAGTGGCTGAACAGTGGCTGGAAAACATGCAAGCAGGATTCAAGCACAAGAGCACTTTTTCCTCCTGTGGTTTCCAGCAACTGCTATTCTGCCTCCTGTGCAATATATGTGAAATAGAGATGATCCAGCTGACATTGTGTACTTAGAATTTGAAAAAGCTTTTCATAAAATCCTAGACCAATGTTTCCTGGGTAAACTTAGCAGGCATGGAATAAGAGGAGAGATCCTCTTATGAGTCAGTAATTAGTTAAGAAACAGGAAGCAGAGAGTAGGAATCAATTATCAGTACTGGAACAGATGGTAAGCTAACTGGCCTGTAATATCCCAAATCATCTCTGATCCTTTAAAAAAACACTGGTATTACATCTGATCCTTGGGTATGGGGACTGATCTTAGGGATAAATTACATATTTTTAAAGAAGATTAGCAATTTCACATTTAAGTTCTTTAATAACTTTTTAGTAGATGCCATTTGGACTGGGTGATATGTCAGGTTTTAATTTGTCAATAAAGCCTGGAACGTCACCTGTTGTCAGCACTATTTCCTTGTCATTTCTCTAAGGTTCGAGTCAGTAAAAGCTTGCAGACTTGAGTTACCTGGATTCAACATCTGATAGAGAGATGTCACTCCAAGTACCATCTATGTTTTGTACATGGCCCAGCTCTGAGAGCTTTCTCTGGATTTTTTGCTTCAGTAGTTCCTTAAGTTCAGATAGGCATTGCTGAAACTAAAAGAAAGGGTAGAAAGCATGGACGAACTGCCGATTAAAAACTTACATAATGCAGTTTTTTGGTTAGCAAATATCTCATCTGAGCAGAATTGAAGCACTCAGGGTAGAATAGATTTGCTAACCATTTCAAGGTTTTTTAAAACCACTTTCGGGGGGTTTTCTTACAATCAAGCAGTATATAAATTTATGAAATAAATAATAGCTACTTGAAGATTTTTGCACATCTCAGATATATGAGCAGCCGAGAGGAAACTAGGAGCTTTGCTAAATGCATGTCTCAGATTTGTATCCGACCATGCTTCCATTACAAATCCAAATATCTCTGGCTTTCGATAGACACCTTTTCAAAATGTGAAAAGTAAAAAAGGCAGTATCAGAGGCTGGTCTCAGAAAAACAGGAAATAGTTAAAGACGCTGGCTGGTCCATCATTGTCCTTTGACCCTGCTTAGCAGTAACAGGAAACTCTTACCTTAGAACGGTCAGGGTCACAAAAGTCCAATAAGGTGTCACAGACATGGTAGCCCAGAGATTTGAGATCCTCATAGGTAAAATGAGAGTTATTATTATTGCCTGAGAAAGACAAACAGACAAGTAGTTCTTCAGTCTTTAGCAAATTACACTCCAGTACACAACATCCAGCATGGAAAAATTATATGCCGAATGTCTTTTAAAACTATTAAATACACTGATGATTGAAACAGAGGTTATAACTTAACCTCTTTCTTTTCTTTCTTCCTACCTTTCTATCCAGTGTTAAGACAAGCCAGAAATTACAGAGCATGATAATGGAAAAATAGATGTGATGGAGGTGATAATGGATCAGCTGGGGGGAAAGGCTCTGCGTGCCTCTGTGTGTATTCTGCATGCATGTGCATGTATGTGTCCTGTGGTTGCAATAATGTGGGGCAGCTACACTCACAGCTGCTATGTGATCCCTGGAAGGCTGGCCAAAAGTGAATGTCGCCCCCCCCCCCCAAAAGTCAGTCACTCCTTTGCTACATCCCACTACTGTACTGCGGTATACCACCAGCTTTTCATTGACAGATAATGTCTGCTTTGGTCTTGGACAAAAATGTACACTTACCCAGAGTTGTCCCACTGAATGTAGATTCCATAGTATAGCTATTCACTATCCCCATTCGCCACATCACAACCCGTCCTGTTCCTTCTTTGCACTTTTGGACTTGAAACTTACAGCTGTTGAAAGAAAACTAAACATCCAGATTGGTAAAATTAGATTGTATTTTAAGAACTAATTTATTATCTCTCTTTAGAACATAAGACAAGCCCTGGTGGATCAACCAAGGGTCCATCTAACCCGCAGTGGCCAAGCAGACACCTCTTGAAATACTAGAACATCTTCTCTATTTACGTTACTATATAGGACCGTTCTTAGTATTTTAAAAATTCCTGTATATTCAACATATATTATTTCCCAGTCAATTCCTAAATTATCATCACCCAAGCCCATTTTATGTATACATTAACTAATCTGGACATCTAATGTTAGTCATTGAACAGACAAACTAACATCAATGGACTTTAGCCCATTGATTTTAGTGAGTCTATTCCGAGTATGACTTAGCTGGATATCACCCAATGTTTTACTAATCTCATATTGGAACCAAATGAAGAGTTTGTTTGAAATTATATTTTAGCTCAAAGCAGGAAAAAACAACCTAGATTCAATATGCATCATCTGCTGTCATATCACTTCAAGTGTGGAATGACTGAATCTAAAAAATATAAGCCAGAATGTTTACTTCAGCTAAGTGATCTGGGCATTATAATGTAAATTGTTAGGAAGATAAAAGTATCTTCCTATCATGATAAGAGTAGTAGGCCAGATATAATAGCCAGCTTTAAGGTAATTTATAGACACTCTCATTAAAAAACCCAGGAGATAAGGAAATGTGGAGACATGCTTTACTCAGAACTGAGTGAAGAAACTGAAACAGGAAAACACATTGCAGCAAAAGGTAATTTCCAACACATAATTCATAATGAACTAAGATCTTCCTATAAACTATACCCCACCTTGTCAGGAATATTCTTGCTTAACATAAGAGGAAAGATTCGTTCATGGAATAATCGCTCTTGTGCATATTTGTTGTTACAGCCATACATGAATATATTATTCTTCCGGCTGTGTCCATGGAAGTCACAGTACAACAGAACTTCACGATCCTCAAGGACCCTTGCAAAGAAATCAAACCCAATTAAACATATAAATGGCTAGCTGGCTGCACACTAATAACCATACTGTTCTATTTCTTTCCCACCGATGTGGAAGAATTAAGTAGTTGGAACAAGTTCTAGAAGCATTCCTGAATGAATGAAATCCCTTAAGCTAGGCCTCTATTCGATGCTTCATTATTTAAGGTAAAAAGGCAACCTGATCCTATGTTCCCAGTTAATGCTGTATTAATGTAGTTGCAATACCATGGAGTTGCAACAACTAAGCAGAAAGCACAGTAACAGCTGTAGGAACAAAAGAAACCACAGCAACACTGGCAGACATTCCCACAGCTTTCTGGGTAACTCTATCACCATTCATCAGTCACAATGTTGCCCACCAGTGCCATTCACATATTAGCCATGCATGAAAAGCACCAAACAGCATGTGGTACTGGCACAAATGGCAAAATAACATCATTTCCCTTCATTTCCCCACCCATCTTTCCATATGTGAATATTATATCCTCTTGTGCAAACTGTATGTGCTATGACATTCTTTCCTCCTCCAACAGCAGAAAGCTGTGTCCTACACACAGGAGGTACTCAGCCCCATACACAGGTAAACTCTCTTTTGGCAAAGGCCAGGCACTGCACTGCAGCCATTGCCACTGTTGGCCAAACGCTCATGAGGATCACAGATACACAAGGAAGATCAGCCACTGCACCCACAGAGCTCCCATGGGACCCCCCAAGAGAAAAGGGGTAAATATAATCGCAGTTACTGCAGTCTCTGCCTCTCTCCCATGTTCAGGGAGAAGGGACTGAAGCATGAACACTACTGTGCAGGTTTAGAGACCATGTGCTTCAATCTGATTATTGCTCTCCTTAGTTATAATGGAAGTATAGGAATGCTCTGTTGCGACTATAGTTGCATACACTACACAAAACTGCCATGGAAATTGTCTATGGACAGATCTCTGTTCATGCACAGCATTCCCCCTCATGTTCACAGTAACTATCTTTTTATGTTTCCCAGGAAAGACAAGTATTCAATTTTTAAAGTTGTCTCAAGAACTATTTCTTTTCCTTCATGATCTGCATTTGCAAACACTCCCAAATCAAGAGCAACAAACCATGATAAAACAATAAAAACAGATTAAAACACAATTCCAGTGCAGACTCTTAAACCAATATACATAATCTTTTCAATTTGAAAAATATATATAGATTACTAAAAATGCACATTTAGTCACAAAGGCTCTATAATGGTTTCCTTTGTGTGGTTCTGAATTTCACCCACTCTGCTCCCAGGTATTCAGATCCAGTTCATAAAATGGTTTGTCACGCACCTTTTGATCATGGCTCGGGTGTGCCAAATGCAAGGAAAGGATTCCTTCAGTACTGTTCTGTAGTTCCTGTTCAAGTCCCTTCCTGCCAGTGAGCAGCGGTAATTTCCAACAATTACTCCATCTGGGTTTAGCATGGGCACAACCTTGAATATGAAGAGATCCCGAAGGAGTCGAGCATCAGGGGAATCACTTAAGATGAAATCAAGGAAGCCTCTCATCACCCACGAACTGTTTGTTTCCCCAGGATGAACTCTGGCACTTAGTACAATAGCTTTCTTTGCAGCAGCAGCAATGGCACTTTTGGATGGATTGGTAATAGTGAGGAGGTAGACTGTGTTCCCAGCTAGACTGCGGCATAGAGGGCGAAGTTTGCAATACTGAGAACAGAGTGGATTATTTACTAAAGTCATGAGGTAGTGCTGCAGATCTGTATAGGTGTAAGGATAGAAGTGAGCAAAATAACATGTATCATGGCTATGTGGAAAACGAAATGTCCAGGTGAGGCAATATAGGGTCTGACCATCTTCTGTGTTATATTTATAATATTTAATGTTACTGCCCTCTCTCCTCCAGCCAATACCATGAGACTCGGCATCCTTTTCAGAGTACAGGAGAGGCTTCATCCCTACACTGTAGAGACTCTTGGCTTTCATCAGATTAACAATAGTGAAGCGATAGGTGACATCCTTTCTAGTATTTTGTACTCTGAAATAGTACCATTGCGTGTACTTGCTGGTATAAAGATCTGTCCGCAATGTGAGTTCATATTCATACTTGCCTCTGAAATGCAGTAATCAAGAAAAAATGCATAAGAAGCCATCAGAAACTTTCCAGTCCATGGAGGGAAATGTTACATATCATCAAAATTCTACAGACTAAGGGTGATTCCAGACTATCACTATTTTCAGGTGGGATTCAATAACATACAAAAAAAATTCAGGTTGCACAATTACAATTGATTGGGTGGTCTTGAGCAACAAACCCACTTCCTCATGACTGGACTTTTTGTAATAAGGAAAGTGACAGGAAAATACACTGGAAAACATGAGATAACACTTCCTTGATGCAATATTGTATAACCTCAATCAAAAATTGTATAACAATCAAATCAGGATGAATGCTCACTAAATAGCCAACAGCATCTAGCCTCTCTGCAAACAGATTGGGATAACTGCTCAATAAATAGAGCATCTGAAAGTCCCCTTACTTCACTTAATTGAATTGAATTGAATCAACTGGGTTGGTGTGGTTATAGCTATTGGCCAACAATTCCTTAGGGAAATGAAGTGATGATTGCTTGCTAATAACCCTGAATAGTTGGTTGATAGGAGATACAGAAAGCAAAGAAGCCCTGTTGATCTATGAGAAGAATTCCAAAATGCACATTAGCTTCCTTAGAACCAACAAAATAATGAGGAACTTTTGAGTTCTACAGAAGCTTCATCAGGCTGAATGGAAGTTAAGCAAAATGGAAGTAGAGAGAGAGAGAGAAGAAAAACACTTGGCTTGATGTTGAAGCCCCAATGTCTGCATTCAGATCTAAATTAGACATGAATTTTGGCATATAGTTTTTCAAAAAAAATTAAATAGCTTCTAGTGTTCAAGGGTCAGGTGGGGACTAAGGCATGGATTTAAGCCCAAGCCATTGTGTGTACACATATTAATAATTGCCTTAACTTCATGAGCTGATTGCTTTGACAATGAATTGGGCATTAGCTAATAACCATGAATGGACAAGATTGGAATAGAACCCCATACTTTGAGCTTAAATCGGTTTAGAGTTGGTGTGAAAACTGCTGAACTGAAAGCTCAACAGAAAAATTGCATGCAGTTGGGAAAGTGGCTGCTCTATCAAAACTACAAAGAACTGATAAGCTAAGTGCAGTATATATTTTAAATATTTCAATGCACTCACACAAGCTCACTGGTGAGGAAATGCTTACCTAATAATTTGATGCTGTTTAGCAAATTCTGTTAATATTAAATATCCTCAGAACACAGCATGCGTAATATGTTTCTTATTCAGCTTCAACATTTATTTTATTGATTATTTGGAACATAAGATGCTGCCTTATACTGAGTCACGCCATTGGTCCATTTTGTTCAGCAATGTCTTTATTTGCTTGAAGTGGCTCTCTAGGGCAGAGCTTCCCAGGCTTTCCATGTTGGTGCCACACTTTTTAGACAGGCAGCAATTCATGACACAGTTTTACTAGCAAACCAGAGGTTAAACTAACCCCTTCCCAGCCCTGGGAGGAGTGCAACACACCTACACACAGCAGCCGACACACTAATGTGTCAGGACACACAGTTTGAAAATCTCTGTTCTAGGGTTTCATGTAGACATTTTCATACACACACATTTTCAAAGCACTGGAAACCTCAGCAAACTAGCATTCATACTTTAGTGATGTTGAGCATAAGATAAAATGCCAAATTCACAAAGGACATTTCAGAGGAGACTTTGCTGTAACAGAATTATACAAGAATTTATTGTGGCAACTTAAAGACTACCAGAAATTTTATGCCACAAAAAATCTGTTAGTCTTTAAGGTACCATAAGACTTTTTAGGGAGTATTGAGGGAGCTGGTCAAGTTGCCCAGATATGTCCACAGAACTGCAATAATTAAAGGTATTTGGAATAATGTAACATAATAAATACAAGCTATCCATAATATATTCAATAAATTTCTGGTCCTAAGATACCCATAATATATTCATTAAATTTCTGGTCATAAGATATTCAAAAACTGTTTGACCTGTTTAGGATTGCATCAGATGGATGAGCAGCACTTGAAGATCTAGGCATGTATGATGGGCACGCTAGTACTTAAAGAAAGTCTCAAAAAGTGATATACCAATGCAAGATCATAGAAAAAGCTAAAGAGAACTGTCAGTTGATGACCCAGACCCAGGGTGGTGAATCTTTTCAGCCTAAGAGTAGGCAAGTCTAGAGGCAAAAATAGGCAAAACAAAAAATATGACTCTTACCTTTGTACAATACAGAGGTACCTTGGTTCTCAAACCTAATCCATTCCAGAAGTCTGTTCAACTCCTGAAACAGTTCAAAAACTAAGGTGCGGCTTCCGATTGGCTGCAGGAGCTTCCTGCACTCAAGCTGCATAGGACATTCAGCTTCCACAAAATGTTCGCTAACCGGAACACTTACTTCTGGGTTTGTGGGGTTTGGGAGCTGATTTGTTTGACAACTAAACCATTAGAGAACCAAGGTACCACTGTATGCTGCATTCCACCTGTAGAAAAGTTTCTACACCCCCTCCCCATCTCTCTCCAGCCAAGCAAGCAAGACAAATAATCAAAGTCCAAGGACACAGTTCAAACAAAAGCACTTGAGGAGGAAGCAGTGAAGAACCAGTGAGGGGTGGGGCTGAGGAAGAGTGCCAGGGCCAGTTAGAGTCCTGGAGGGCTGTATGTGGCCCCAGGTTTGAGGTTCCACACCCATTATAACCATAATATTAAAAGGTTTTTCCCTCTTTTAGTTCCAGATAGTTCCTCTTACTCACACCCTGACGGCTTTCTGGAGATTCCCACTCTCAAAGCGTGATTCAAACAACAGCGTGGTGTCTTCTGGATCTCTTAAGCTGACTGCAGCTGATTTGATGGGCTCTTTCGACCCTCCAACTCGGGAACCAGTGAAACAGGTACCCTTGGTTGCTGCAGAAGAGGAAGCATAGCTATCACTGACTTAGCATTGCAGTTTTGTCTCAATTAGCAGGTATGTGTGCCAATTATGCAAAACCAATTACTCAGTCCTGAGCAACCATGAACAAATAGCACTGAAAACTGGCTGCAAATAAAAAGATGACTTCAATTTGGCTTCCATTACTATTTTCTAAGAACAGGGCAAAGAACTAAAGATGCTGTAGTTTCACAGGTGCTTTCCCCCATAATGGCTACCAATGGAGCTGTTAGAAACTTTACAAATTTGAGGCAGCTACTATTTTTAGGATTCAATTGTTCACTATTTATAATAATTTCAGGCTGTTTAAAAAATCAGACTTCCGAGTTTACATTTTTCATGCCTGCATTCTTGTTTACTGGAACGGACACTATATGCAATGTACTATATCTTTTATTACAGTTTATTGTCAGTGTATATATGCAAATACCTGGATCTATGACATAGACAACAGTTCCACGATCCTCTCCCACTACTTCTGGAGCCATTTCATTTTCTGTTGGCTGATAGAAAGGTTCAGGTTCAGGGGGAACCCACTCTAACAAAATACACAATGACATTTATTTCCATTGTGGCCTTATTTGTACTTTTAGAAGGAAAAAAATAAGACATTAAATAAGAATTGAAGTATTTCCCCTCAATCTCTAGTTGGATGACAAGGAAAACAAATAAGTAGGAAGAATGGAATGCAAATAAAATTACTTAATTACTTAAACTGAAAACTATATATGCTGTAACATGAATTAGAGTAGTGATAGGAAAACTTTGGCCTACAAGCCAAATTAGGTCCAGCACTGGTCCTAATTTGGTCTTTGTGGTCTGTCACCTGATGCCATGGTAAATCATGGGATTAACAGATGGGTGGCCCTGCCCACCTATTAAAGTAGCCATGGGAGATGTCAGGATTTGGCCCACCAGCTGGATCAAGTTCTCCAGCCCTGGGACTCTGGAGAAAGGAAAGCACACAACATAAAAGCCAAATCAATGAAGGTTCTAAGAGATCGGACTCTTGGGGCTTATTTTATAAACATTTTCATTAGAGACCATAGTAATGATTTGCTGATAATGCCAAGTTATGAGTCACAGCTAACACATAGATTTCCCCCCACAATATTAATTTTATGACCTCATTAACTCATCTTATTAAATAAAAAGTGAGTGACAGTCAATATTAAACTTACACTCTGCCATCTGGTGACAAACACTGAAATGGCAGTGTATTTGGCTTCACAAATATACTGATACCACTATTCACACATTATATTTTACATATTTTCCTAACATAAGTATTGATTTCTTTGCTATAACAAGGGAATGTGAGAAATGGTCTTAATTAAATCCTGCCACCATAATGGTTATTTAATCCACAATACATTTATAACAACAAATTTGGGAATCTCATCTCCATAGAGCCAACTGAAATAATGGTTTATTTGTTTTAGTCTGGAAGAACTATGAAAAGTGATTGAGTATTATTCACATTTTTTATAACTGCCCAGGAGAATCTTAAACTTACATTGTTCATTTTGGAGTGGGTTATCTGGATTTGTGCAAATGAAAAAGTATTCAGTCACAGTCCTTGTATAGCCATAAAGCTTTAAAGGAAAACATTATCAACCATGTAAAACATTGATTTCAATCCAAGAAATTACCAATGTGGTGGATATAATCCTTGATCACTTCACATTCTACTGGCCAGAGTGGAGCCAACAGAGAATCATTGGGAACAGAAAAAAGATTCCGAGGTTCTCTCAAGCGCGGAATACCAGGCCCCTCTGGATGGTCAAACAGAAGTTGGTTGCTTTTAAGAAGTGCAGTCTCCATCATAAGTGAACCTGAAAAGGGAAAAGAAATAATACAAAATAAATTTATTTACAGATACCCAGGAGCCTTGCAGCTATGAGGCCACAATCATACATTTCATTCACAGCAAATCAATCAATATATTTCTCATATCAGGCTTACAGCTTACTTACAGAATGAGTTCTTGTTTGAATTATTTTCTGCTCTACTTTTCTTGTGGAAGTTACCCGGCTTTGACACAGGGCAAGAACTCTTCCAGCTTTCAAGAGGCAAACTGGGGCTCTGAGGAACATTTTCATCTGGGGGAAAAAATTCTACTATTAATGTGAAAAACTAGCCCAAACTAATATAGGCAAAATCAATTTATTTCTGAGCTTATCGTTATTGTAGTGAGCTACTATACTGGCATGAAAAACCCACTGAATAAAAATTTAAAACTAACATTATAGTACTAGGGCTACTTTTTATATGCCAGCAGCATAGCTTGTATGCATAGCTATCAGTATCATCCAAATAATGAGGGACTATGTCAATCTACAGTGCAATCCTATATATGTCTACTCAGAAATAGGTCTCACTGAATTCACTGAAGCCTTACAGAGATCTAACATAACAGATATTAGGCAGACAAATAAATTAAGATATTGCATACACATATTCTGAAGTAAATTCCACTAAAGTCAACAAGTGTTGCTTCAGGCTAGTTAGAACTTGGGTATAAGGGGGAAACTACAATGAGGGGTCTTTTGGCACCTTAAGAACTATTCATTTATTACATTTCTATGCTACACTTCCTCTCAAAGTAGTCCAGGGCAGCAAACAGCAAAACAATTAAAAACATTTAGAAATGTCTGAAAACGTTTTATAACAATCAGTTACAGAGCCTGATAATGATAGATAAAATAAAACAAACCGATCTGTATGGGACCCAATCCCAGATTGGGATCAGATTCTTACCTTTGAAATAGCCATAGTATTGAAGATGCTGATGTATGAACCTTTCATATGGCTCTTTAAACTGCTAAGGAAGGGAAAATGAGGAATGAGCACAATGAGCCTCATTTACCAAAACCACTGCATCCATTGCTATTTATTTACTACATTTACATCCCACCTTTCCTCCAAGGAGCTCAAGGCAGCACACATGGTTCTCACCTCTCCCATTTTATCCTCACAACAACCTGTGAGGTTTAGGCTGAGAAAGTGCCTGGCCCAAGGTCACTCAGCAAGTTGCATGGCTGAGTTGGGATTCGAACCCTGATCTCACAGGTCCTAGTCCGACACTCTCTAACCACTAAGCTACCCTGTAAGTTACAATGCTGAGATAAAGAATAAATTCTCTGAGTGTGCAGTATCTCAAAACGAACCAGACACAATCAAAGCGTATCATTCTAATCTCCGCTGAAGAGATCTGAAAGGTTTTCTAGCATCCCACCAATACTTAAAACCAGTTGAGAACCAGGAGGTGACTGACCCCATCCAGCCCCGTACATTTTTGGACTGACTTTTGTACTGACCTCAGATGCTGGATCTGCCGGACACATGTCATTCAGCACAACTGATGATGCCTCCTGCAGAGAAGCGGAGAAAAGGCGTTAATAAGAAAAGAAAGCCTATATGAAGTAGCCTCGTCTTCCACTTGGCAAGAACAGCAAAGGCTGATTATTCTGCCAGTCTCCACCCATGAGATTCCCCGCGAAGTCAGTGTGGCGTTATGTGTGTGAGAAAGAGGGTTAATTGTGACAAAGGGAGGGGGATATTATGGATAAATGATAAATACGAAAGAAGAGGCTTCAAAGCAGGCTTTTAAAAAGGTGACCTGCGCTTCCTCTGACTAAGGCCAAAAGAAAGATATTCTACCTCAAGCGCCTGGCAACCCTTTCCGCCGACCCATACGAAGCTGAAAGGCTTCTATGGCGACACTGCTTTGGTCACTCACAACAAAACGCCCGCAGACGCACACGGGACCGGGGCGCGCGCCTGCTTTTCATAACCGTCGACGGGAGGCCGCTCGCTCGCACGCGGGCTGAGCCAATAACATTCGCCCAATCTCGGGACGGGGGGCAGGGAGTGGCAGGACTTGCTGCCTACCCTACCAGATATGTGACTCTCGCGCCCGCCCCCTGCCCGCCCCTCAGTGCTCTCAGGAGCGCTCCCCCCGCCCCGGCCGCCTTCTTCCCCTCTTCAGTCTTAGCTACCACTACTCAGAGGAGGGGGGGGCAGGGTATCCTAGCTACCAGCCGCGCCAGAACCAGACAGGTTGGGGGTGGGACTAGCCGTTCATTGGTCCGTCAGTGCGGAGTGGCAGCGGTACAAACCATTGCTTGAACTTAGGACAGCTTCTCGCCTGGCGGGGTTTGGGGCTTTTTTCGTGCAGGTGGGGAGGGAGCTCTTGCTTCTGTCCCATCATTGGCGTTTTACAGTCTTATGTCTCAGTCCGGCGTAGGCTGGGGCCATTTTGAGGGGTGGGGGGCATCTGTTTGTCTCAATAGACAATGGAGCAGGTGTGCAAACTTGAATACCTGAGACTTCCGGATATAGAGCAGTATATTAACCTATTTTATTTATTTATTTATTTATTTATTTAATTAATTAATTAATTATAATAAAAAAAAATAATAATATATGGGGGGATAGTTAAGCCCCGCTCCACATAATCACAATAGCACACACACACCATTTGAATGGCAATGCCCATCAATTTTGGGGGGGGAGCTGGCCCCCTCAAATATTTTATTGGGGGGCCTGAAGGGACCTCAGCCCCTAGGAGCTGGCTCCAATGCAATGGAGTGCATTGCTGGGGGTGAAGTCATACCGTTGGAGAATCATAGCCTTAGCAGCACCAAAGTGACTTCCCCCCTGGGGGAGCAAGCCTGGGCAGTGTGTATGGAGGTCCTGGTCTGCCCAGACGACAAGACTTCGCTGCTGTAGTCCAATGGAAAGTAGAGCAATATGTTTGGCTACAAGAGTTGTAAGGAAGTGTACAAGGCACCATTCTACTGCCTTGAAGACTCCACTCTGGATAGAAACACTAGAATTGCAGATTTGGAAGGGACCTAGAGGGTCATCTAGTCCAACCCCCTGCAATGCAGGAATCTCAACAAAAGCACCCACGGGCGAGAAGCTGGGTTTTTTACTGATTGTGTGCGGGGGGGGGCAGCTTCCCTGCCCACACTTGGATACACCCATGCACTGAGCAAAATAAAGACAATTACTGAGCTACAGAAAAAGGAAATTTGCAGAGAATCATTTAAAAATAGATGCAGGAAATATTTAAACACTGTAATTTTATTCTGAGCGCTGTTTATTTACATTTCACTTGTAATTACCCTGCAATTATGGAAACTTCCGGCAGAGTGTAGATTAAAGTGAGGAGCAGCAATTATGGTTAGATTGTATTTCTAATTGTAAAAAGACTACCTTCCCATGAGACAGAATCATCCAGGTTTGAACTGCTGTATTACAGAAAAGAGCATTCGGACAGCATAAACAAAAAAGTCAGGACTTTTTGACAAAACCTTGGTAGTTCTTTCTTCCTATGGGTTAGCATCTAGGGAAAAGTTTATTTCCTTCCTTTAAAAAATGAACTTGTAAGAAATTAGTTGTTAGATGACAATAGTAGTAGAAATTTTAAATCAATTTCTTTGTATACTTGTACACTATGCTTTTCGATAAAAGAGGAAAATGCTTTAAGTGATTAAAATCACAACAGTTAAGCACCATGCTATCATAACTACAGTTTTAAGTGGAAAAATAGGAAGACATGGGATCCAGGGAGTGGGGAGTCAGTTACTTGGTATGTCACTGTCCTCCAGTTCCTACTTTCCTGCCAACAAAAGCTAGTGGAAGCTCTAGAAATGATGGACCTTAGACAAGCCACTCTCTTTCAGCCTCAGCTCTCAATCTAAAAAATGGGGCTAACATTAATCTACCTTACAGGACTGTCTGTAAGTTTAGACTATGCTAAGTTTAGGCATATATCAAAACAAAGTATTGTTTAGCTAGATTTTCAGGAAGCATGTTTTTCTAGGAAACCAATAAGATCAGATTTCCTTTTCTTCAGTCAGTGATGAGAGGCACTGTTCAAGGATAAAAAAAAGCAAAAAACAAGCAAGCCTTCAAAAAGTATTCCATCAGATAACTTTAAATCCCTCTGTATAGCTTCTGTTTACTACTGCCCTCCCTTTCAAAAATATTATTGGAAGCAGGGAATTTAATTTCTATAATTCTATGGTTTTACTGAGCAGAGCAGTAGCATGTTTTTGGTATCAACTACTCCCCAACCACCTCTGTGGTATAAAACATCACATTCCCAAGCATATGTCATTGAACTTTACAATTAATACTGCCAATAGAGTCAAAGAAAAATAAGGAAGGTTCTGAAGTATAAAAAGTGATTTTATTAATGTATATGTACAAATTTACAAAGCCAGAAACTGGAGAAATACAAACAGCGTTCAACCATAAGCTGCCTTTTCTTTCATTTACAGAAAATCAATACCACTTGATTCCGTTTTTTAAAAAGTAAACAAGGGAAAAGACGCAATACATTGACAGGTTGGATAAATATTCAGCCTGGCTTTAAATGTAGACAAAGACCCTACTTTTGCTGGAACCTGACAAAAGAGGCTCAGAACTGAGTAACAGAGAAATGCTAATTTTCCCTCTCCTCACTGCTAATGGCTTCTAGTACACATCCACCAAGCAGCAGCTACTGAGATGGGGAACAGTGCTGGATAGTGAGCAAGGAAGAACATATCCACCCCATGCGTTCACCAGTGAGCATTCAGAGACAGGAGCAGCTGATGCAGCAATGTGCAGGCACACAGCTGCTGACTGGCTCATGCTGACTTAAGTGCTGAGCCAGCTACCCCTACCTCTCTTTGCCCACCAATGAAGGCATTAGGAACAACCCACCAGTCAGTGCTCAAGTGCTCAGTGGAGGAGGCTGAAAATTGCTTTCTGTCCCACCTCACTATAGCCACACCAATGAAACTATTAGCATGTTACAGCACCAAAAGTATATTCTAGGGTAACATTACAGGAAAAATAGCTAGTCTGATACAGGTTCTAGGACAGAAACAAGAACTGATTCTATGAAATCTAGCAAGAAGAGCAATGCTACCAAAACCAAGGTGCTGGCAAACATTAGGAATGGAACAAGGGGTTCAAATCATGCAGAACTGTGTCTGTTGTGAAAAGAATGTGCATCTTTAATTTGCATGTTCTGTAACACCCAACTGCAAATGGTCATCATCTTGTAGAAATATTTCCAGGAAATGGAAGAACACTTTTGGGCTTAGCAAGGAAGAGTCAAAATGGCAGGTTCCATTTCCAACTCCACAAAGTGCATTAATAAATTCTGGTACCAGCTCTACCCAGGAACTGGACATGATGGTATTCCACCTTTGTGTGAACTGGGATTAGGAGGAGTTTAAGACAGGAGTGGTCAAGCCTATTCATTATTTCATAAGCCTATTTGCCAAATACACCTCTAAAAGGATTCACAAGTCCACGCAATTTCTCTGTCAGGTCGTTCAACTGAAAAATATGTATCCTCAAAAAGTTACATTTATCCAACAGTAAAAGTTTCTGAACTGTACATGTGTGGTTAAAAAACAAAATAACAACGAAGTTGACTCATGTGCTTGAAGTAGCTTTCCGCCTCTTCAGTCGAGATCGCCAGTCATCAGGCAAAGCCTCAAAATTTGCATTTCTCTCTGCCATACCACTGTGAAGAACAAAACATTAGGATTGCCAGTCAGCAATGGGAGAACTAAAGAAATCAAGATTTCTGATATTTTCCAGACTGTGCCCATTTGTGAAGGCAACTGATCCCCAAAGAACCTGCTTTCATGTTTACGCAATACCTACTTACAAAGCATGTATCCAACTAGCATGTCCTGCCAGTGCAAAGATTTATGCTTGTACAATGGAAATGTTTCCTCCTCTCCTCCCCCTGTCCCTGTCCTCCCCAAATCTTTCTGGAGGGTTGAGTGAACCCTAGAACAGATTTAGCAGGGACATGGAGGGAGGAAGAGGAGAGTTCTGTTGTGCAAACATTAATCCTTGCAATGATGGGATGTGTTACGTACCACCCACATTCACTATTATATCAATATAGTATGATATAGCACATTAAATCCATTCTGCATATAAGGAATGTCACAGAATTAATAAATCACTTCATATGCAATAGGAAACTAACTCTTTAAAGGAATGCTGCAAGTACATAACATTTCTTTCTCTTCTGCCTCACATACAAGGTTTCCTCCAAGGTTGTGCTGTGACTTCTGGAACTTAGGCCTACAAGCTTGCCTACTGAAACCCCCATATCCACTTCTGTTCTGTATGTGTTACATTCCCCATCTTCAATTTTGCCCAATGCCCCTGAAAACATGACGAGACTCTGTAATCTTCCTTTAAAAAGGAACAGCTATAATTAGACCAACCTAAACCCTGCAGTGGCACAAGTCATTTAAACCAACAACCATGGGCTGACAGTTCACACTGCACAGAAATCTGGAATCATTTACCTAAAGCAAATCACACTGGGCGATGCAAGGAGTGGGGTGCTATCAGACCGTATCTTGCTGTCTTTCTCATACCTGATTAACTGCTGCTGTTTCCATTCCTCAATTCTCTTCTGTGAGATCACGTCCCGATCCTCATCACTTGAGCTGGAGTTTTCTTCCTCATCCAGTTCCCGCTGAATGCTCTGCCACTTCTTTACAAGAGAGGGCATCTTTGTCTTGGTTTTTTTCCTCTGCGGGGAAATATTTAGCATGTTACCCTGATGACTAGAGTTAGGCCTCCATGAATTCTTCATCTCACTCTCGTTAGGGATAAGGTAGGCAAGACAGGAAGGAAAACGATGATTTTACCCATTCTTTTTGCTTGATCTCACATTAGAGTAGATCATAAAAAGTGTTCTGGCTAGCAGAGCACACATCCCAGCACAAAATCCACAATGGCCCCCAAACAAGAAAACAAACAGAACCAGCTTGGTATCTCTAAGGTGATTAGGCCTCAGGGGAGTTGGTGGACTCAAAGACCTAAAAAGAGCACCTCCTTCTCTCATGTGTTTCTGAAATCTCAACAGCTTCTAGTTTTGAAGCTGCCAAGTTACTCATTCCGTACCTACGGTCATACAAGATGTATCAGTTCTAAAGTCTAGCAGAGTAAAATAATACACATTTCAACCTATATGAAGCTTGTCCAATTTTTGGCATGTACGACGACAGGAAGTACAAATTTAAGTACTCACCTTGCCAGCTCTCCTAAGCTTTTTTGACTTCTCTGGAGGTAGTGTTTTGGGTGGCGGTGGGGACAGTGGAGGAGGTGGTGGAGGCGGCGACAGCTGTTCTGTAGTGCTAGTGGCAGGAGCGGCTCCTTGTGTAGGAACTGGCTGTGTGGTGCTGGCAGAAAGACCAACAGGCACACTACACTCAGAATAGTTCATGAGTGCCGGTTGCGTTACTCCGAGGAAACTCTGTTGCAAACTCACCCCTGGGGTCTGAGGGCCTGTATACACAAAGGGAGGGAAATGGAAATTATTTCCAAAACAGTTTTCCAGGGATATCAAGCAGCTAAGCAGAAGGATGTGGATGTTACTCACCCACACCTATGACTGACTGCCCGTAAAGCACTGGACAGCTTCCAATGGTTGCTGCTCGTTGCACCAGTCCAGCACTAATTTCAGAAGCTTTTCTCTTAAGAGATTTAGTGGAGAGAGGTGCAGATACGTTGGTCTCAGAGTTGGCCTGGAAGCAGACAGATGTCAATTAGTTTGGTTCTTTTAAATAGTCTCTGTACATTTTTGGAACATGCATGTCTTTTCTTATAAAATTCCATGTAGTTTCAGGGAAATTGTCTTGGATGTGTAGGAGCTTTTACACTAACAAATCAAATCACTGCAGATTATCTGACGGGCAATTTTAGTTCTTGTGAAAAAGCAACATTCATTTCCTCTATCTGAAATCATTCTGTTGGCTTCTCACTTTGCAACATCACTATCACAGCATGTATTTCCCTATTGTATATGGGTCACACAAATCCGTTTTCTGACACACGTTTTACAAGGGACTTTGGCACAAAACTTGAATGGCAGAAACAAACTACTTTTCATTTGCTGACTGCTATAGAAGATTGTAGCAGAAAGCTTACGCTACAGGCGGCAAAGAGGGCAGGACAGTTTTACAATATAAAATGCAAGAATGCAGAAGATTCACAGGTCAAAGCTGCATACAATCCATGCCTGATACTAGCTTTTATAGAACTGCTAGAGGGTCCATATGCACTAACTTACTTGGCTGTTGGCAACTGCTGGTCGGAGAAGAGGTTTCAGTACAGCATCTTCCTCTGTTCCTGGTGCTGGTGGTTCCTCATCTCCATCATCCTCCATCTCTACTTCCTGTATTTCCCCATCTTCCCCTGGTGGGGGAGGGGGTGGCGGTGGCGGAGGGGGTGACTCTGGAGGGGGTGGTGGAGGGGGTGGCATTTCCAAAGGTAAAGGGGGCTGAAGTACAGGGACAGAGGGCTGGAGCACAGTCCAAAATGGACTGAGAGGCACAAGAGAGGTAGCTGCAGTTTGACTAGAAAGAGGCTCTTTAAGAAGATACCCTAAAAATGAAAAAAAAGAAAGAACATCATGTAGGTTTTTTTTATTACCCCATACCTGCAAGAACTATCCACCCATCTTATAACTTTCCTTCCACTGTTATGCTGCTCCTTTTCAGAGAAGAAAAACTTCATTGGGAAAGTATTATAATGATCACACTAACCAGCCCCCAATTTTAAAAACCAAATTGGAAAAACAATATAAGCAGAAAGAAATTATACTTCCCATGTCAATATGGCATAGCAGGTATGCTATATGAACCACATGCATAACAATTGGCAGTGATATCTCTAAAGGTGGGTAAAGATGAGAGTGAGGAACTTGTGGCACTATGGATATTGCTAAACACAGGACCACAGGGCTTGTTAGCTGTGGCTGATGGGCACTCAACACCTGGAGGCCAGCAGGTTCCCCATCCTAGTACAGAAAACTGTTTTGCAAGTAATGCACTAATTTCAGTTCATCTCCACCTGGCTGAATACTGCAATACAAAGACGGATTTCTGAACAACTGCCTTTGGTCATTGAATAAACTTACGAGAAGTAATAACAAGGAGCCTACCTTCTTAAAAACATTATTCCAAATTGGGTTAACTTTCTTTTTGCAAACCCTCAAAGTCCAGTACCTGTAGTATTATCAGATGATTCTGCACCAGACTCCATTTTCTCCTTTAGTCCTTGTTTAGGAAGAGCTTCCATTTTATTCTCTAGGATTTGCCCCTCCTCTTCCTCCTCCCCATCTGGGAACTCCCATTGGGATTCGCCTGATTGTTCGTTAACATAGAAATAGCGTCTATGATCCCTAAATCACAAGAAAGAAAACAAGGTTTTATGCTCTCGCCCCTGCACTGACACAATGATATAGTCCTCTCCCGCGACAGCGGAGTGCTCTCACAGGAAGAACCTCTTACAGTAGGACTGCTGTTCACAAAGGCAACAAACAGCTTTGAGGAAGGATTTGCAAGATGGGCTTACTCCAAACTGTTTGTGCTGCTGGCTCTGTGATCACAGCCCTGACCCTCCACTCTAAAAGTAGAGGGTTATTGAAGCAGCTTGTGGCTGGTGTGCAATTAAAGGTTCAAGGATGCATTAGGAAATAGACTTTTTAGGTAGTCTCAGGATTCATTTCCTTCCAGAATAGCAAAAAGAGAAACAGCCCAATTTATGAAAGATGGCTGCTCCCCCATGGACTGCTGCAGTCACATTTATGATACTCTTGGTGTCAGACATAGTGAATTGCTACTGAGAGGGAGAGGATCTGGGAGCTGAAAAACAAAAGAGCAAAGATTTCAAATAAACAAAAAGAATCAAGAAAGCCAAATATAAGAAGAAATAGTTTGGTCTGACCTGCTGGCAGGAGACAGTTATCTTGTTCTTCGTTGAGATCCTCAGTGAGGGAGCTTTCCATAAGGACACAGGCGTTACTTGGGAGCGGAGTTCCTGAGATCCTGCAATGTGCACAGAGCTCTCGCATGCGCGACCCCCCAAGCCCGCCCTCCTTTGCGCATTTACACTCAAGAGTAAACACCAGCTCTGTCCAATCGCGGAATCAAATCCATTTCAACACACTTAACACAGACTTTATATTTCTCCAATTTTTGTGGCTGGCTGAAACTCTGTATGTGCCAGAGGCTCTCTGCCCGCTCAGCACCGCTAAGTGCAGCTGCTCTCAGTCTCCAGACAGATGACGGCACGTCGGCAGGTGGTGATGGTCACAAATCATGTCTGAGATGTCAAAGGTGAAAGGTGAAAAGGGGAGAAGAGTGCGTACCTGTCCCAGTGGCAGGACCAGCCTTTAGGGGCGGCGTTTATTTCATACTGTTTTAGCTGTTCAGCTGCATCTTGCAATTTGCGTTTGAGGTAGTTTCCTTGGAGAGCTCCTTCCCGCCAGTCTGCAATACGGGTCTATACCAAGCAGGCAAGGAAAAATAATGAAAAACCTGTAGAGACAATTGGTCTCATGCACATCACTTTCCACTTAACTTTGCAGTTCTACACAGTGGGTGGAATTCAATGTCAGTTGTTGTGTTTGCACACACATGACAGCTTGCCAGATAGAACCATCTCCTCCTCTCCTAACCCAATGTATGCTGTTCTGTGGGTTCTACTTACCCTCCTGTGCCAATTTTGGAGGGCACAGGGGGCATGCAAGCGAGAGGGCTGGGAAGCCCAGTTGCACAAGGAAAAATCAGACTGGTTAGATGAATCTCACCCAATGTTAGTAGCACTAATACAAGAGTCAGCACTAATGACAGAGAACATGATGAGAACTACATATAGATCAAGAAAACCTCAGATACGTTACTGGACTAAAGCATTCTGCTTGAGGGCCAAGGGGGAGGGAGCGGGAAGGAACGAGGGAGAGGAAGCCTGTTATCCATGCCATAATACTTAAAACTTCCTAGATTCCTATCACACTGCAATGCTGCCAGTTGTTTGGCTCCCTATGATTAATTTTCAATAAAAGGTAAACTTTCGTTACCTCAGTCTGCAACAGTAGCATGTGGAAGTTAGAGATGGATTGTCTACTGATGCCCAAGAACTCCAGCTTGCTTATCAACATGTTGGCCAGCTCTCCAATCTGAAACTGCCAGAAGTAAAGCAAGCAAGGGGTCAATAATTTTGTGCTAGTCACAATGCACAAGGCAATTGCAATGCTGAAGTGTACAAGACACCATCTGTTTTAACAAAAAGAGGTGTGATCTGACCAGTAACTTACAATTGGCAAAAAATTGTGCCAAATTCTGAAAGTATGCTCTGCCCACAGCATTAGCAGCCATTTCGCAGGAATACGTTGAGGCTATCTAATATTTTCTCTACTTTTAACTCGGGTGTTACACATGGATAATCCATATGGCTAATGCAACTATTTTCAATTTATTCTCACACAAGAAGAGACTGTCCCATTTCCCAGTGCCAACATCTTCTAAACAGCAACACTTAATACAGGGATAATAGGTACAGGGAACACACAAAGAACATAATGGCTGAATGTTATTTCCAACTAAGTATTTCTGACAGACATTAACAACTGCATTTAAGTGCCACATCTTCCTAATTCCCATCAAGAAATACATTATTTGCTACTAATACCTGACACACGTCACTAAAAAGCAGTATCAGAAGCACCCCTACGGAACAATAACCTAGAAGAATTTCAAAACTACTCTGCACAATAAAGCTACACAGCTTTGAAGTCTCCCAGTCAAGGTTAAGTACTGATAGGGATCTAAAGGCCAATATAACCCACATGAAGGGTGGCAGTTTCAAAATGAGTTGAACTACAAACTTCATGTGTACACATTCATTGTGCACTCAGATTCCAGACAGTCAATCATCAATTGCAGACTTTAGGTATCTCCAATCAGTACAGCAGCACCTAATCATGCCATGGAAATCATGTGTGGCAATTTCAACTGACTGAAGAAAAGATAAAGTAAAAAGGAGAAAAAAGCCAACTCAATTTGAAGACATTTGGAACTGTGTGAACTGCCTCAAGTAATATTGCTTAGGTTTCACAGCAGAACCATAAACCCACATACCTTTAAGTCCTGCTCCTCATCTTCTGCTTTGAAAGTCCCTTGTGTTTTCACTTTGTCTTGCAATTCCTCTGTGTCTGGCTCATTGTCCGAGTTCTGCTCAGCCACTTCTGGTTCTTCTTTCACCGCTGAACAGAAAACAAGAGGGGGTGGGGAGTGTTTGTAAGTCATTCTCCATTTAGTGTCCAGTATATCTTCCCTTTTACAGTGGACTGGCAGGTAAGAAGAAGGATAGGCAACTTACTTGGGGAAGGGTGGGGAGGAGAATCCTGCCTTTTCCACCTACTATGTTGTATTACGTTTTTCTTTAACACAAGAGGAGACCATTTCAGACACTGGATTGGAATTACTGGCGTGACCAATATCTTCCTACCTCAATCTTGGGGAGACACAGCTAATACCCACTTTAAAAACTTAAGGGTGGGATTCACCTAAGGAGCCCATCAGCAGAAGCTCTGGGCAAGGGTTTCTGCTTATGCAACAAGGTTTCCCCCTGTCCTTTCAAATTGGCTCAGGGGCGGAGGTCTGGAGAACGTGCCAAACAGCACACAGGCGGAGGAGAGGAGGGATTGTTCCATCTGACAAGCTGAAATGGTTGCACAGACAGAATGTTCATAATAGTGCAATGCTAAATTCCACCAATAGTTTCCCTCCTTAGTAGCACGAGATATAACTGAAGAGCCAAAAAGGGTCCTAAGCAGGAGACTCTTACCTGCTTGTCCAGGTTCAGGACTCTCTTGACCTGTCTTGCTAGACCCTCGGCTGGTGGATTCTGGGCTGGCAACCCCAAAGAGCTTCCATTTTCCTTGCTTGGGTAGCAACCGTCGTGCTAACTCTGACTGACTTCCATCAGAAAGTGGACTGGAACCCGAAATACTCCCATCACCTTCTTCTAAAGCACGTAGCTCTGCCTATAAGGCAAAACATTATTTCAGTGCTGGGGAACAACTTATTTGTTTCTCTTCCTATTCCTCTGCATTTGTCTACATGTCCATTCTCCCCCTTTTATTTTACACAGCTAGTACAACTTCTCTGGACGGAGATTACTTCAGAGGCAGTAGGTTTCAACATTGCAGAAAAATAAGACATTTATCTTTTTCATGAAGTTATCCTGTTAAATGCAAAGGTTCCGCCTGCACCTGATTAGAGACAAACTCAGGCTGCTTGTAGAGTTTTAAGAGGTTTCAGATGTAGGATTGCTACTTGTGCACACTTCTTAAACCATCATATATTGAAAAGGAAGAATCAAGTTGAGGAGGCAGGCAAGCAAAGATAGGATCAGGGCCTATTCCAGTCGAGCTGTCCACTCCCCACCACAGGACCAACTTTATATTTTATAGAATTCATTTGTTTAAGTATTTTAAAACTATAAACTTCTTTGAATGCTTTGGCAGAAAGGTGGTATATAACTACAACTGATCAATCAAAATTAAAGACCAATGGCAGGCCAGACACTACCTTGGAAGGGGGGGGACACACAATATAAAAAAAGTCTTCTCAAAGTGTTACACTACTCAAACCACAGTACAGTATTTTGTGACTAGAGAAAGCAACACCTCCTTAAGACAGCTAATGATTGTTGTTTGCAACATAATGAGGGATGAAGGAAACAACTTGCCTTGCCCTCTGCTGTTCTCAAAATTTCTGCATCTTTTCACTGATTTGTTTAAAAAAATCCTGCATAGCCCTCAGTAAAGTTTCAGTGGTGGACCAATTATCAAATCGACAGCAGAGAGAGGCAAATGGCTCATAGAAGAGTTCCCACAACTTCACTGCAAATGACTTACCTTCTTCCTCTCCAATACCATCTCTAGCTCAAGAGTATCCTGCTCCTCTTCCTCCTCTGCACTCTCCCCTGATTGCACCACACTACATAGGTCCTCCTGAGAAGGGTCTTCCCCAATATCTCGGTTGCCTTCCAGCTGCTGATCAGCAACAGCTGCTACTTGCTCTGGTGCCACATCATCTTCCACCAATGGATCCACCTCCTCCTTACAGATAACCTTCCGCCTCCAGCGTTCCTCTTCCTCCTTCACCACCTCAGGAAGTAGTGGAGCCAGCAGTGATGCAGCCACTCCCTTTTTCTCTTCTTCATTACTTGAAAGGGCCTGAATACCTTCATTCACTTCCTGTGAAGGCAATATGATTTTGCACCAAATCATTACCTTCCTGTAGTCAGTCATAGAGAACACGAATAACCTACTTAAAAAAAAACAAGTTTCTAGTTCTCATTCTGCAAAGTTTGCTAGTGTGTGTGCCCAGCATTTAACAAAGGCCCTGGAATCAGAGCTTCCAATGAGATGATGAGAATTACTCAGAGAATAAAAGTCTTATTTTCCAGACTTAGTAATTGAAATCCTTTTAAACAGAAATGCCAGAAACTAATCGAGGAACTTATACATGCAAACGCTGTGCTCTTCCACTGAGCTATCCAATGCCTCCCATCCTTTTATGACTCTCTTGAATTATCCATATGCAACAAGACAGATCTGTCTATAATTTATTTATAAAACCCTGATAATATGACTTATGCTGTGAACATGCTCTGCACAGGAGTTCTTGCTCTAAAGTGCATGCAGTTAATTCTTGCTATCTTGCCATCTGGAAAAATAAATCAGATGCCTACACAGTGCAAATATAATAGAGAAAAGTGGGGTTGCTGTTTTTTCTTCTCTTAAATTTCCATTAAACAACAACTATTTTAAGCCAGTCAGGCAAATACTAACCTTCTTCAATTCACGCTTCACAAGAGTTGCCCTACGTCCAGCACTGCTAGCAGCTGTAGCACCACCACCTTTTCCCTGGGAGCTTAGGTCTGCAGCCACTTGGCAGTTTTCTTCAGCATCTGTCACAGAACTAAGAGAAAAGCAAATCAGCAAGGGAAACTCAAGAAGCACCAATTCACTCTCCTCTTCTGTGCCATTCTTACCTGGGCTGGTAATGCTGGATGCCCTGAACTTGTGTTGCAAGGTACTGGGGCAGCTCCCAGGTAACCTCGTTAGTCTGAGTATTCCAGTAATAATAGCAGCCTGTGTTTTCATCCCAAACTTCTTGCCAGTCTCCCATCTCCACTCCAACTATAGGAAGAAAGCAAGACTTCAGTGAGCATCCTCTCCAATCTGAGTATCCTCAGCTTTGCTCTATACCTAGAGAAGATTGCAATTATATCCTCTCTGATCACTCTCAATTGTTATCCCACCCAACATTCACCAGCTGCCTTTAATAATCCTTTGAAGGCATAGACCTGGGCAGATTAGCTGGAAAGGGCTCCCAACTTTCATCTTTTCACCTCAACCAAATTGCTTTCAGTTAGAAAAGACATGGTAATTCATGGATTATCAACGCTTGCAATGCCTCTAGTATACAAGCTTGTGTAGCAGCACAGGCTATTACATGGAGCTCACCTCCTGACAAGGAGCACTGAGTGTCATATTGCCACTCAGCCACCTGGTCTGTTCCATTTGCAGTTGCCAAAACTAGACTGGAAGCAGACTCCTTGGGTTCTGGGCGTGGAGGAGTTGGAGGTGGAGCAGTGGAGGGAACAGTGTTCTCAGCAGGCTGTGAAGGTGCTGTAATTGCATCTATTTCCTTTAAAAATACAAATAAGATAAAACAGGACATCATTTGACTCAAAAAATTAAGAGCATTTAAATATTTGGTAATAACGTAGAAAGAGAAATTGCTCAACCCATACATCAAAGATTTAAAACATCTCTCCATCAGTCTAAGGTTGTACACCCTTTCATAGAAACTGTAATGCATTGCTGTGAATATCTGTATGTTCTACCCAAGTTGAAACAACAGGATTAATTATTTAATGAACCAAAACACAATTCCTACTAACCGCTAGGAAGTTGGCCAGGGTACTGTCAATGTCTGTTGAATTATTGCCATTTGCATCTGTAGACTGTGCTGGTTTCTCAGACATCTCACTGTCTTCTTCATCGCTGTCTTCATAAGCGCCAAGTAAACATAAGCCACCTAGAACAGAAAGTCAATGTGACCATAACTGAGATAATGTATTAAAACAACCTACATTTGATCTTAGCCAAAAGGCCAAGAAGACCTGAAAATTTGCTCCAGAGATTCCTCCAATTTTTGAGGATGTGCAGGGGGCTGCAGGGGATAGGAGGAGAAAGTTTCATTGTGCAAGTGGAAGTCAGCTGTGCTACTGAACAGCAATGTTGGATACAACCAGTCTTACAGACACTGGCACTAGTGTTGCTTTCCCGAGACTCACATCACTGCACAGAATAAATTATCTGTCAGAGGCATCAGAGTGCCTTGCACTAATGTCAAAATTCTTTTTTATCCACAAAAGACAGTCCTGTTGTCTTTGCTTTATCACTAGTATGTGAAATAAACACTGGAAAGATGCTTTCCAGGTTTTTCCTGTAAGAATAAACAGCTTATCTGCCCTAATTTTCAAGGAATGGTTGCATGAAAAAATCTGAAAAAGCAGGCAGTAGTCCCATAGTCCTGAAATGACAAGTTCAGTCAAACATAAATAGACTGAGGGTTTTTTTCCATATTAAAAATGGCATTGAGGCCAAAATTATTAATGTTTACAACCTTCTATAATCTCTAAATCCAATCAGCCACCTCTAAAAAGCCACAGTAAAGTACCCCTGATATTTCTAAGGTAAAACACAAGACAAAACGTCTGTTAATAAACAACACTAAAGGCATCTGTCAGGAGCTGGAGTCAGGCAGAGGTCAACAATAAAACAATATAGCAAATGATGTCATTGAATATAGCAAATGATGTCAGTGAAGTCAACTCTATTCAAAGAAACAAAACAGTTCAGTCCTGGTGGTCACAGCTACCCTTCCCAGTAGGTCTTACCCCAATGAAGCAGTTGCAAGGATTGAGGATCTGTCTTCCCACTGCTCTCTAAGGTTCCCCTCCCCTTCCTTCCCCAGCAGCCTAAAGCTTCATCATCTTGTCTCTTGTTGCTCTGCTCTCTTAATTTCTCTGCATGTTCTGGGAGACCAAGGGGGAAGGGAGCTGCTTGCAGCAGGCAGGGAAAACTGCCTGCATTCTTCAGCAGCCTGCCTCATCTCTATCTTCTGGTCCCCCTCCTCTCCTATCTGAGTCTGAACTGCGCTCTGCCACAGCCTCTTCTTGCTCACTAAACCCTGCTGCCTCTTCATCTTCCAACACCTCCTCCTCTCAGTCTGCTCCCTCTTCTCCCTCGGACCACTCATCATCGTCCCACCACCAAGAAGGTTCTGAACCTTCTTCCCTTGGGGGTTCCCAAGCTGGTGCCTCTGACTACTCCTCTGAATCCAGCCAGTCCATGACAGCATCCTTCTCTCACAAGGATTTGTTTGTTGCTTTCACATTGTTCTTAAGATTGGTACACATCCACTGTATACCAATAACTTTGTAACTGCATATACTGCATATACTTTGTAACTGCAGATTAAGTTAGTACTAAAAGGGAAATTGAGAAAGGTGCTACCTGTTGGTTTGACAGCTACAGGCCCAAGAGGCATGCTAGCTTGAGGCGGGTTTGGGGCTGTCCTTGGAGCCTCTTCAGTCACTTCAAATTCGTCTGGAAAAATCAAATGCAAAGAAACAGATGAAATTGGGAACTATAGTTGATGCCTTCTTGGTTTGCTCATACCATGAAGAGAGGAGAAAAAGGGTCACATGAGTGGGCAAAAGCTCTCTTCATATCTCAGCTCACTAAATTAAGATATGATCATCTGAATACAACCATTCTTAGAAAGGCCATCCTTAACACTTTATTTTTAATTTTCTATTACTATAACATTTGTGAATCAAAAAAGCTCCAAAAATGAACACCTACTTTTAACTCACAGGTCCAGCAATTAAAGTTCCCTCCTACAAATTCATTAACTAATTTAAAAAGCTTTAAACCAGCAATTTGTTTATTGGACTGAATAAAGCACTACACTAGTTGTTGTGGGTCCCCACTTGTATTTTTCAATTCAAAACAAACCCCTAAAAATGGCTAACAGCATTAAATCGGTAAAGTTCAAAAATTCAGTTCTACAGCAGAAACATATGACAGTAAATATAACACCATTAGATATTGGCCATAATTTGAAGAAATAGCAAAAATTCTACCATAACAAAAACAAAAGCAACACTTAAAGAGAGTAAAACGGTATATAACTTAATTAGCATACATATTTAACTAGCAATCCCAGGGGATAGGGAAAAAAATACTTAAAACACACTGGAATGAGATACAGATATAGATATAGATATAGATATAGATATAGATATAGGGAAACTCTCTATTTAGGGCACAAGTCCCTATGCTAATTAGCTTTCTATTGTTTTTAATCAGTTTTAGAAACAGCAGCATGCTGCTAGAAAGAGTAAAACTAACTATATCTTCAGTTTTGGCCAATTACAATCATAACATCATTTTTGGTAGAGGCATCTTTACACCATTCTAATAATTTCTTAGCAACTTGCCAGAAGATTCATTTTACTGTGCAATATATAAACAGCTGCATGACATCTAGTCACCTTCTCTGATTTCCATAGCACTTGTGTCATAACACTTTGTTGTGGGAAAGCACAACCTTTGCCCCCAGTTAGAGTAATCATTGTTACTGAACGCTATGTAGAATGTGGTTGCCTGAGTGTTAAGACATTCCACCTGGGTAATTCCTGTGCTGTTACAAGTGAGAAGACACAAATTCCACACTGTTTTAATTATTGTGCCTGACCTTAAATGTGCTACTACAGTACAAAATCACTCATCTGATTCTATTCATCTCTAATTCATCCCCTTACCACCACCCTACAAAACAGCACGTCCTTCCTCCTGGACCCCATTAGCTGGGGATAGCCTGTAACACAATCAACTTGACATTTTTCTTATGAGTTACTAGTTTATAAATACCCTTAAAAAAAGGTAAAGTAAAGGGACCCCTGACCATTAGGTCCAGTCGTGACTGACTCTGGGGTTGCGGCGCTCATCTCACTTTATTGGCCGAGGGAGCCGGTGGCCAGCATGACCAAGCCGCTTCTGGCGAACCAGGGCAGCACACAGAAACGCCGTTTACCTTCCCGCCAGAGCGGTACCTATTTATCTACTTGCACTTTGATGTGCTTTCGAACTGCTAGGTTGGGAATACCTTTACAGACAGATAAATAAAATCAGTATCAGAGAAAGGCTACAGCAAATAAATCAGCAAGAATTTACAAGGCCTTTTGAGCTCAACACAATCATTTGGAATTCCCACCTCAGGAAAACCATTGAGAGAGGCAGTGAAAACCTGGTTCTTTATTAAGCTTTTTGGATAGTGATGCTATACTGTTTTTATACTGTAATGTATTTTTCTGCTAAGTATTTTATGGAATTTTACAGTTGTCCACTGCTTTATTTTTTGGTGCTTTATAAGCTGCCTGAAAAGCCTTCAGGGCTAAAAATTGCAGGGTATGAAACAGAGTAAATAAATAATAAAAACCATTCTTAAATGCACCTGGGAAAATCTTAAAACAGTTTTCAGATAGGCTTTCGCACTTGTGAAAATATATTATCAGTTCCTCCCAGCATTGTTTGCATAGCCATAGCAGCTACTCTCTGTGGACTGCTGCTGCAAAACATTCTTCTCACATTGCTGTTTAAAGCCCTAAGTGACTTAGGCCCCAAATACCTGAAAGACAGCTTCCCAACAGACTATCGTGGGTACTAAGATCAGCAAAGGGGGCTCTCTTGGAAGTTCTGCTACCCTCAGAAGTGTGGGGAATGACAGCCCAGCAGAGGGTTTTCCCTGAGGCAGCCTCTAATTACTTCCCAGATGCTTTTGTCAAACAGTGAGGGGGGAAAGTATTTGATCCCCTGCTAAATTTGCCCACACCCTCTGACAAAGAAATGACCAGTTCATAATTTTAATGGTAGGTTTATGGTGGCTGTGAGAGACAGAATAACAACAGGAAAAACCCCAGAAACTCAGACGACAAAAATCAGAGATTGATGTGCAAACAGTCTAGGTAGAACAGCAGACTGAACAGGAACTCAGAAACATTGTGTCTCCTGTTCGGTAGGCTAATCCCACAGGCACAGGCTGGATCAAGAGTAAAAAAGGAAGCATCTATATGTGTATTTTGTGTACAGGATAGAGCAATCAAAACCTTGGAGAGCAAGAGGGTCATGACTAGAAAGACAGCAGAATCCTATGGGATGGGAATTTACATGGAAGTTTAATTCCATTGTGCTCAATGATGATAACTCCCAAGAAAGCCCGCACAGGATTTCAGCTTTATTTCTTTACACTGCTTTTGCTAACTAGATTAAAAGGACAATAGAATTAAGCTAAACATATCGAAGAACAAGAGCCCGGGAAAAGGGGGGGGGTCTGAGGAAGCACAGCGAGTACCAACAAACCCAAACTGACTAGGAGGCCAGGAACAAGTTAGGATCTCCCAGCCTCAGGCTTCCCGTCTGCAAAATGGGCAAAAGCAACGGCCCAGGTCATCCAGTAGTGGGAAGGGCGACCGAGATTATGAATTTGAAAGAGCCCTTGGGAACCTCGTAAGATAAACAACGAGGACTAGGATAATGGTGTTGACATAGTGGAAACGATGCGCCAGTGCAAGGAACGGGGCCAGAAGCCGGACACACCCGGGTGACACGATCAACCACAGGGACCAAACTACTGCGGCGAAGGCGCCGGGGGTGGGAGGGGGGCTGGGAGGCGGCCATATAAACAAACCCTTAAACGCCCCCCCCCAAAAAAACCCTGTGCTCTCGCGGTGGAGAAGCGCCCCATTGAGCGTCACAAGGCCAAGTATCTCTTTCAGCGGAAGCCCCCCGCCAAGCGCCTAGGCCGCGCGGCCTGCCTGCCTGCGCCCTCACCCGCTTCCGACGCCGAGTCCCCATCGCCCGGTGCCGCTTCTTCCCGGCCTCCGCGAGGCCCAGGCGGCGACAGCTGGAGGATAGGCCTGCGCCCCGCTGGCGCCGCCCGCGACTTCTTCCCCATGGGAGCTGCTCCGAGTCTCACTCCGCCCGCGCGAAGGAGACGCCGCCGGAGAAGGCAGAGGGAAGAGGCCGGACGAGGCGGACAGAAGCGAGCGGCGCCTGGGCCTGCCTGTCCGCCGAGGGTGGGGCGGGGCGCAAAGGGTGTCGGGATGTCGGGGCGGGGCCTGCGCCCAGCGCCGCCCCACCAGGCGCGGCCCCTGTTTCCCTGACAAGGGCCCCGAGTGAGGGCAGGCGCGCGGACGCGCGGACGGCGCTGGCCGCTGAGGCATTTCTTAGCGCATTCCTTCGGCATCCTTCTTCCAAAGCAACTACCGGTACTCTAATCATAGCTGTCAACTTTCAGATTTGAAAATAAGGGATCATCAGCCTCGAAAATAAGGGATCAGCAGCCTCGCCTGTCCCGGGGACAGTCTACAGGATATCTAACAATCCGGGATAGCAGCGGGAAACGGCGCGGGAATAAGGGAATTTCCCTCAAAAAAAGGGAAGGTTGACAGCTATGACTCTAATCCGAATTTAAAAATGGAAAGCGTAATGCTGGTGGTCAACAAAAGAGGTTTAAAGGCTGTCTTAAGACAAATATTTAAAAATGTAGTATAAACATCAACAATTGGGAAACAGTTGCCTGCGAGCGCTCCAGTTGGAGAACAGCCTTTACCAAAGGTGTCATGGGCTTGGAAGACAGACTCAAGGACGCAAGGGAGAAACTTGCTAAGAGGAAGGCAGGCTTGGCAAATCCACACCGTGATCAACTCCTGCCAGGGAACCAATGTCCCCACTGTGGAAGGACGTGTGGGTCCAGAATTGGCCTCCACAATCACTTACGGACTCATTGTTAAAACCGTGTTTATGGAAGACAATCTTACTCGGCTACGAGTGATCGCCAAAGAAGCAGCTACTTGCAAGGCAGCCCCGGATGCACCCACTCCTCATGGGACTCATAATGTGACTTAGCGACAAAAGGTACATTGTGAGAATGTAGAAGGAATATAAAGAATAACTCAATAATGATAGATATATTCATTATAGAATACGGCTATGATAGGCGGTCCAACTACACCTTTTTCTTTTTTTCTGATTTTTTCTTTCTTTAATTCATGTTAATAAATAGATATGACAACAAAAGATAGTAAAAATACAAATCAATTTAATTTATGTAAGTAAACAAATACTTGTGTATGGTTTTTGCTTACACGGATTATATATATGTTTACTCAAGAAGATGTACAATGCATATGTATATGTTATACAAGATATGCTATATGAAATGTGTCATATAAGAGATTGTTAATAAAGCAAAAAACAACAACAACAAAACATAATGTGACTTAGCGAAGGGCCACAGTTACAGCCCCGGACATTGCTTAACAGTCAAAAAGAGTTAGAACTTTATTTTCAGGGTTCGTCACATGCAAGCTTGAGCGAAATTGAGTGCACAAGAAGACGGTATGGGCAATGGCGATTCAAAACAGGACAAGAATCCCCCCTTTAAAATATATATACTTGAGTGTCAGCAATGGGACCTGGAGATGTTGGGTTATTATTACCAAGGCTGTCACTTGCATAGGGTGGGACTGATGGGAGGTGCAATCCAACGTTTGGATGCCTACAGGTTCCTCCCCACTTATATACTTCTTTTTCTCCAAGTAGCATAGGGCAGCATAGAGGATGCCACGACTCTCATTTTGTCCTCTCATTGAAGTAGTGACTGCCCCAGGTCACCCAATGAGCCTCATGGTTTTTTTGAGAGAGGTGAGGGTTGAACCTAGACAACACAGCCCAACTCTCTTAAGCCTCTACAGCACTCAGCGACATTGCCGTTGTCTGCTTGCATTTGTAAAAATTAGCTAGTTTTCAGGATAAAATACAATTGCATTTACATGTTTGAGACTATGCATTGACGTATGCATTCTTTTGCTGGGATTGCTACACAATTAACAGAACAGATAAAGGGAGAACTTTTTATTTAAGTAACAAACTTTTTAAAAAAGCATTTGGAGAAAATGGAAGGTGATACTTCCGAGTGACTGACCTAAATACACATATTTTATTTCCATGGAAAATAGCTCTGTGATAAGGATGTATTATTGTGTCAAGCCTCGCCCACTACTGCAGCATGGCATTCTATAGCAGGGTGGTTAACCTTGTGCCCTCCAGATGTTGCTGAGCTCTCATCATCTCTGTCCCTCAGGTAGGGCTGATGGGAGGTGTAGCTAAACACAGGTAATCCACCCCTGCTCTACAGCTTTGCCCCAGGGTAATGTAGCCCTTGGTCTGAAAACAGTTCTTCATGTTATACACTTTGTATTCCATTCTAGTTTTTTACTGGTAATAAATCAGCTAGAAAATTAGGCCCACATCTATGCTCAAATGCTATCTCAGTTGCGCAGGCGTCTAACTGCTTTGTTTTCTGAGCTGGACAAGTATATTGACAAGGCAGCTCCAGCAATGGTTTGCCTCTCCCAAAAGTATGTGTATATGTAATTCTTAACATATTAGCGCCTTGCAAACAAGTCATGACAACTGCTTGCTGCTTCGGCGTCCATTCAGAGTCTGTAAAAGCAGCAGGGCTCTGCTGGCTGTGATGCAAGATCACTTTTCTTTAATAAAGACGGGAAGTGGCCATTTTCACATTTTTTACATCCTCCTTTGGTATCCCTGCATCAAGCCACTCACACAGGCACTTCTTTGGGCCTGCAGATCAGGACACTGGCCTCAATGTCACTTGAGAGAATGTGGTCATAACCCATACCAACCATCAATAAAATGGCATCTTACCATTTGAAACTCAGATAATGCTAGCACCTAGTTTTTGTGTTGCTGATGATGTCATTTACACTCAAAGTTGCAAAAGAAATATTGTACAATTATGAAGCATTGACATTACTTCAGTAAATTTTCCACTAGAACAAAATTGTCAGTAGTCAGGAATAGAAACTTCCAATGAGAACTAGTAAATAACTGATCATTATCTGTTCCCATTTCCTCCTTCAATGGAAATATCAGATCACACTTTCTATTTGTCTCCTTCAAAATACATCTTTCCCTATGGAAAGATGCACTGCAATAAGCTATTGTGAAAAACGACTCTGGATTTTTAAACAAAGTTTTCATTTTATTAAAGATAATTCAAAAACTGTCACAATAAATAAGACCAACATTAGCTCCCATATATAGTACAGTATAAGGAATAATTCAGTAGAAAGATGGTAGGAACATGCAATGTACAACCCAGGGTTTCATTGCTGGAAATGATTTAGCACCCAGTTCGGCACAGGCTTAAAAGCTTAAATTTAATTCAGCGTCCCCAACGTATTTATTTTAAAAAGTCTATCATTCCCTGGTAGGGAATGTTTGGTTCATTGTGAAAAAATAGAATTTGTAATAATAGCACCACCAGCAGCGCACAGGGTTCCCTATGACTCCAGCCAATCCATGCAAAGCAAATGCTTCACACATACTTCATGCCAGTTATGCACATTAGCACAGTCTTTTCTTGTAGCTTTGTCTGAAGGGCCACCAGGCACAAGGTGATTAAGTAAAGTCACACAATCCAGGTCCATCTGCTAGTTCCGACGATACAGAAGATCCCGAGTTGCCTTATCAACCTGGTTTTGGTAGACCTCTAATTTGTCATGCACCTTCTGATATAGCTGGAAAGGAACAGAAGTACAATCATTTTCTGTTAATAGGTATAGTTGAGGGATTGAGGATGCAAGAGATACAACTGCCCTTTATTGCCTTATACCAAATTTTGCAGCCTGTACTGACTCCCAAAGCAGCTGATAGCAATTTAATTTCAACAGAAAATGCTAAGGATCCCTGCAGTATTTTCTGACCCCCAGCAGTTGATTACATAGTTCAGGTTTCAACCTCTTACCTTCAGAAAGCATTAGGGCAGCAGATGGAATTAAGGTCCAGCTCATGATATACACATAAGCTTTATAAACTCCCTTAGTCATTAAATGGGGGGGGGGGGCGCTGCAGCAAGGTAAGTTTTATTATAGCCTTTTGCATCTTCCCAAGTGAAATTTAATTTGTGGTAAAAATTTGCTGGAGGATAGACATTTCTCTGTGCTGGTTCTTATACCTTTTTCAGGAGACTGAATGCACAAACTATTGTAATAATCAGTAACCAAAAGGGCATGAAGACAGATATAATTAATTTATATATGAAAACATTTTACTACATTCTGGTTCAACAAAAATCTTCATATGCCTCTTGAGCTAAGGCACAATATTTGTAACCATATCCTATATATTAATATCAAACACATTCAGTATCAAGAAAGCTTGTAGTTGCCCCACTTTAACCTTATCCACCACGTTTTCTAAGAAGAGTGCATTTGCAGCTGCTTGGTAGCTAGTCAAAGCATTGGGTCCAGGTCTGGTTTCTTGAGGAGTATCCACACCACGGCATTTTCATGATGGCAGGGACCATCCATTACACCATGAAGTTACACCCTGGACCTAATCTGTCAGCCCAACCCCCCTAGGTTATAGTTAATAAGCCAAGGATCAAAAGGCATATGGTCAAGCACAGAGCTGAAAGCACCTTGTGAACATCACCAGGTTACATACATTCAAAGTGATACAGTAAGATATGACAAATCCATAGCACTGGACACATTGATTTCTATTTTCCATCAGACATACTTACCACTGTGTTATGGTGATTGGTTGCATTTTCTCCTAGCGCTTGAAGAAGCTGGTCAATTGCAGAATATGGAAGCCAAACCATTGGAGTTGTAGGTGATAATGGGAACTAAAAAGAAAATAAAACCTTTAATATAGCTGAATGACATTAGCTGAATGAGAAACATCCCAAGTGCAAAAAATGTAAAACCATTGCACATGGTAGAGGTGGGGGAGCTGGATACAGCATACAGTGGTACTCCAGTCTGGAGTATCTAGGGCATGAGTCACTTTGGCCAGGTCTCTAGGCTGCCACATGGTCATCCAGGAGTACTCCTTGTCTGTGAACCTGTTTTTTTCTTAGTTTTTCCATAATTCTTCAAGGTAGGTGCATTCCGTCACTTTTTCTCATTTGTAAAAAATATATATAGTGGAATGAACTGAACACCCAATTGTACCTCAATGCCAAAGTAACGAGATCCTTTCCCAAGTAAGGCATCCACATATTCCAGCACCAAATCCACAGCTTCTTCCAAGAGGTCATAGTTCAAATAGAGGCGGAGAAGTTCAGCAGCATCTACCATCTGTAGAGAAACAAATGAAATTGAGCAGACACTTACTGGAAAGTCTTTTTATATTTAAGACGCTTAGTGGATGACAGGTAGCCCTCATTACTGATGAGATTTATAAGAACCCAACACAAGACACACAAGGCATACTGAAAATAACCCATTGCAGAGACTCTTGTAAAATTCTGGACTGATTTGTTCTGGTGAAGCACAACTCTTTTATTTCTTGCACTCAAGGCCATGGCTAGCTTGCTTCCCTGTCTTTTAGATCCCTGTGTTGCTTCCAATTACTACCCCCTTAAACATTTGCAAATTATTTCCTTTATTTAACAAAGGCTTAAAATGAAGAATCCAAATTGTTTACTGGGGTTGAAATGACTTTGGGCACCATGGTGGATGACCTACACCAGACAGGGTGTGTTGCTGTTGGTTCTGCCAGATCTCTCAGAGGCTTTTGTTATCATCTGAAATGTTTGGTTGATATTTGTTTTATTATACAAATTCATAAACCACTTCACAGCCTGTGGGCATCAAAGCAGAGTACAATAAAGTAAAATGCTATAAAATAAAAATAAGGTAAAATGCAAAAGACACAAGTTGCAACATCAAAGTTCCCATTTCATTTACAACATTAAAAAAGTAAAGGTAAAGGACCCCTGACAATTAAGTCCAGTCGCAGACGACTCTAGGGTTGCAGCGCTCATCTCGCTTTACAGGCCAAGGGAGCCAACATTTGTCTGCAGAGTTTTTCCAGGTCATGTGGCCAGCATGACTAAGCCACTTCTGGAGCAACGGAACACCAAAACCAGAGCAGCGCACGGAAATGCCGTTTACCTTCCCGCTGGAGCGGTGCCTATTTATCTACTTGCACTTTTTGGCGTGCTTTTGAACTACTAGGTTGGCAGGAGCTGAGACTGAGCAATAGGAGCTCACCCTGTTGAACCGCCAACCTTCTGATCCACAAGCCCAGGCTCAGTGGTTTAGACCACAGCGCCACCTGCGTCCATTTACAACATTAAGAACATGCAATTTACTCACCACAGTGCAGATTTTAGCTCCTGAATTACTATTATTTGACAATTACTCAAGCTACAAACAAGTGTCACTGAAACTCATTTATCACACTTTTTAAGCAGTCAACAGGGAAGTAATGAGCCAGCATTGTACATTTATCCTCCACTGAACACCAGCTTAATTGTGCACAGATCAGGTATTTACCTTGTAACTGTTGATAAGCCAGTTAGGCAAGGGCACTCCATGAGACAGCAACTTGTTGATTACACAGCGATGGTATAAACAGTTCTGAGACTTATATCTGTCCAGGTAGGAGGACAAAAGACGCCATGCTTCATCTGTTGCACTGCAACACAATTGGAATACCATTAACAGACGGATGGATACATGCATGTTTCCGGCTACCAGTGAAAATCTCCATTCCTGAATATTTTGATGGTTCACAGGGGAGTCTACACATCCCCTTTCCACAATCTCTTGCTCAACTTTTTATATGTGAACTTGTTTTCTTCTGTTCTTAATTCAGTTAAGCCAAAGTTTCTGGACCCCTAGAAAGTGTTGCCATGTGGTTTTATCTGAAGTACAAGAGCCACTATGGGATGTCCTTAACATTTGCACTAAAACCATCCTTCAAAATATACAAAGCAAAAAAGAAAGCATGAATGAACACTTTACGACTGCTGCTTCAAGATGGTTTGTTGAAGACTAAATGAAGCAGGACAACCACAATCCTGAAGTGCAATTTCTGGTATTTTATTAGCAAGAAATATTTATTTCCATGCAGATTTCTTGGACCACAAAGTACTTGCTTTCTTTTCCTGCAAAATATATCACAGTACCTGGTCTCCTTGGTTGTGATGACTGATGACAACTGATTTGCAGCTAGCCAATCCCATGCTTCTGCTAATGCTGTTTCCCCTCCAAACTGGAGTTTAATACATCTGGAATACAAATAACCAGGTACACTCAGATACTGTATGTACAATAGTAATTCTAACCTTATTTATTTATTTATTTATTTATTTATTTAAAAACTGATTGAATTCTTCCCACCCACCCCATATGGAGTTATCCCTGCTTTGTTCTAACAACTTTATTAGATTCTCTGGCTGAGAAACAATCAAGTTCACCTGAGCAGGAAATTGAACCCTGGTCTTACTTTTCCAAACATTCCATCTTACAATTGCTCTTTGCTTCAGTTACAGATGCCGAAGTAATGGCTGTGCTCTAGAACCCTACATATGCACCTGGCTGTGATTGATACGGAGATCAGTGAGCTTATTGAATGCTTCTACTATTCATGGAACATCTTTGCTTATTCAGGACTGTATCAGTAACTGTCACCCATCTTTAAAACATTCTGCCACAACTTTAGCCGCCAGCACAAGTGTCACTGGTTTAGTTGCTACCAAGGTAGTTTAAATCAAACTGATACCTATGAAAATGGTAACATCAACACAACAGGAAACGATTGAGAGCTTGTACAAGCCAACCACAGAAGCTTAAGTGAAAGTGAAAACGTGTATTGGTAATAGTTTCAGGGCTTGATTACCCAGCAATTTGTTCCAAGGATGTTTTAGACTCTCAGATGAGAGTTGGCCAAGGCAAAATGTAAGATTATGAACAAGAATACATCAAATGCTCTAGCCTCAATGCTGTCATAATCACTCCCACTTCATATCACATTCTCATATTACTCAAGCTTAGACATAGTTTTAAAGCAAGAGTGTATGATTTCACTTAAAAAGTACGTACTTTCAAATCTGAATATACTTTTCCCAAAAGATCAATAGATATTTCACTACTCACATTATGTACTTAAGTCCAATAATATGTTACGTACTTGAAAGTAAGTCCCTCAAACACAGGTGTTAAGGGAAAGTTGTAGGTCTGGCAGAGAGAAATGGCAGTGTCAAAACGACCAGCCTGCACCAACAGGGTTACCAGCTCCTTGGGGGATGAGTTTCCTGGGTAGATAACATAACAGAATTACATCATCTCAACCGCACACATATGTATATAAGTGGGCGATATTCAAATAACTTTTTCTACTCGCACAAGGATTAGCACAAGCACAAGGGGATTTCCCCTTCTCCTCCCCCAGCCCCAAATCTGCTCTGGGGTGCTGAGTGAACCCACAGAACAGCTTAAGGGGCACTTATGGAACTTTAACATTAGCGCTCTATTTAATACAACTCTCTCTATCTGCCACGATTGTATACAGAGTAATTGCAACATTCAGTTCTTATAGATGCAAAGCCACACGCCCTGTCTCTCATAATTGAGTAGACCATGCCTACTGTGGATATGAGATCACAGAACACTATTTAGCAGAGTCTCCTCTTGCTGCAAATGTAGCAGCAGCATAATAACGGTAGTGAGTGTTTCACAAATTAAGACTGGATTCCACATCCCACAAACAGCAACAGAGGAGGATGTGGAAATACATTTCTTGTGGGTTACTGATCTCCCACACAGAGATTAAATTGCTCACCCTCTGTACAGTTATTAAGCCAAGTAGTATGAACGTAAATCCTGAGCTTACCTGTAATAGCAGTTGTTGTTGAATCATGCTGTGCTAAAGTTAGCCGTATGCGAGCCAGCACACATTCTTTTTCCAAATCCTGCAGCTCCAAGATTTCAATCCGACTTCCCGCTGTACCAAAATAATCATTTATTTACAATGTGGCAACTTCAAGAGTCTGCTATTGAGAATTTAAAGTTAAACCAGGCAATATAAAGGCAAAATTCTGCTCTTGAGTGATGAACAGCTACTATACTAGCTTTCTTTTAGTCAACCCCAACATTTTACACATAAAAGGTTTCCCACTAATCATCAGCTTTATAAGGGGGCAGCTGATTAGCTGGATGTATTAAAGTCATCTGCAAATTAATATTTATATTTATCCTGATTTCCTATTTGAACAAGGACATCAGAATTTTCTTTGGTATTATCATAAATAGGAATGTTGGGCCCTTACCATGAATGTTCTAACTAGGGCAAGACATCAAATATGCTGGATTATATCCACCAATAACCCTGGTAGGCAATGAAACATATGGTCGTCTTTTGGGCCAGCCATGTGACCCAAGGCTCTTCCTTTAATTATGTTAGTTGAAAGTATAAGACAGATGCTGAAGGCATTCCAAAACTAACACCAATGGCAGCTATGAAATAGAAGAATAATGAACACAGATCCAAAATTAAGAGTTACATCCAGAGGAGGCTGAAGGGAGCTGGAAGAAAAAGGTTAAGTCCAGGGTGAAAACAGGGAAAGAACTGGAGGAGGAATCTAGGGTCACATGGCTGGCCCAAAAGACTATCATATCTTTCCCTGCCTTCCTGTGTTAAGAAATGCCTTTAAGATCATAGGCTGTAAAGTTCCCATATCCTTTCTTCCTGTAGTGCTGCAGTGATGAGAAAAATGGCAACAGGCAAAATGTTCCCCTCAGCACTAATGACAATGCAGAAGTCTTCTTAACTTGGCAATCCTGTGCCCTTTTGGCCCTCCAGAATAGTGGGTGTATTTTCATAGCTCATACCTACTCTGCCCCCAACAACAGCTCAGATAACACTGTCTACTGCACAATTGTTGCGATCAATTCAAAATACTGAGCTATGTGGGTAAGAAACTAGTGCACCAGACTCTCGCATATCAAGGAGACATCCCAGATAACTAGCATAACACAGATAAAAATATGTAGACAAGATATGGGAGGGTATGGGAGATATGGGAGGACAGGAAGGAACAAGACTAAAGGCAAATGCCCTGCAAACATGAATCAAAACTACCCAAATGTAAGCTGGAAAGTGAGTAAGTCAGAAAAATTAAGCTGATTGACTGGAATTTAAGAGTAGACATTTGGAATTATCTGCATTTGAGAAAGTGGAACAGCAGAAGACTCACTGGGGGCAGCAGCACACTCTCCATCATGACTTCTTTTGGGGGATGCTCCTGGACGTTCATACTAGTGTGAGATAGGATAAGCACTCTAAACAACTGGATATACAAATCTTCAGTCTCTACAACATCTTCACTAGTGTTTAAGCATCACCAGGATTCTGTCTATTTTTTCCAAGATTTCAGCGCAGAAACATGCAAAGTGACATCCTCAGTTTGACTTGCAATAAAATGGCAAATTCTGTAGCAGGAATCAATTAAGCAAAGGAAGCAAACTTGCATATCTGCTTATTCTGCATATTTTTATTCAGTGAACATTACTATAGGCAGAATAGTTGTGCTAGTGCAAAGATTAGTGCTAGTGCAATGCGATTCCCCTCTTCATGTCCCCAAATCTGCTCTAGAAGGTTTGGGGAAACCTCAGAACAGATCTAGGGGGCATGTGGGGGAGGGCGATGGGGGAATTAAGTTCAGTTGCACAAGGAGAAATCCTTGAGCTGATGGAACATTTTGTTGCATGCTACATTGAATATAACCCTATGAGTATTTATAATAGCTGTGTAACCATTTGCCTGCATCCAGTGAAATGCTAATGCAGACGTACCTTGGAAGTCAAACGGAATCCATTCTGGAAGTCTGTTCAACTTCCAAGGTGCAGCTTCTGATTGGCTGCAGGAGCGTCCTGCAGCCAATCGGAAGCTGCAGAAGCCGTACCGGACGTTCAACTTCCAAAATCATTCAAAAACCAGAACATTCGAGTTTACAGGCGTTCGGCTTCCAAGGTTCCACTGTATTAGACAAGCTACTTTATTTCCAATTATTTGTTATTGGGACATCAGCACAAGAATTAGCAGTGGACATACTGGCTGTGTTTGCACATTATGTTAAACCAATTTATGTTTAATAACTGTTTAATGTGAACAAGCTGCACTGTAGTGAACACTGCTTTGAAATCGCCACCGCTCCTCCCCCACCTTACTGGGTGGGAGCAACAAACCACAAAGATTGGCTTGTCATCTTATCTGAAGCTGGGCACATGGTTTGTTTCCACCAAATAAACCATGAGCAGTAAGCAAATATATATATATATTTGCTACTGCTTGTGGTTTGTTTAGAGCAGCCTTTCTCAATTGTGGGTCCACAACTCACATCCCTAGCTAGCTCGTCAGAGATGATAGGAGTTGTAGTTCAACATCATCTGGGGACCCAAGGCTGAGAAAGGCTGGTTTTGGGAGAATCACATCATGGGCCTGGGTTTGGATGACATGACAAGTCAAAGTTTTCACTTTGTTGCTCCCAGGGCACAATGACTAGGAGTGTGGAAGAAGCAAAGCAGGAATTTCCGAGTACTTCTGTATGAGGACACTGCAAATCTGTGTCAAACTAGAGTTAAACATGATTTAATGTGATCTGTGAACCAGGCAGTGTGACAGAGGTTGCTGCTATCTTAAACATACTTGCAAACAGCAGCCAAGGTCTTCACGAAAAAGAACTGCTAATAATCAAAGTGAGATCGAATCTTGAAAAAGGAGATGTTTCATACCACTGCACCAGAAGCTGGCTGAACTATCCATGCATATTCAGGGCGAATGAGCCGCAAACAATTAAGAGCTGCAAGGTAACAGTTTGCTTGCTTCTGCAGTCCAGAGCGGGTACGGACTTCTCTGCCAAGGCGCATTCCATATTCAAACATCACTGTTCCAGCTGAGGAAAGAAATAAGACAATACAACAGTCACCTCTTCCCCATCTGAAATATAACAGCTTCAGGTCAGAACAGGTTGTAGTAGGAACGTAAAGTAGAAACAACTTGAAAATCACCTATAATCTAGTGGAGAGGAGGAGAAACTAACCAAAAGATAAATTAAAAGATCTGGACACTAGAACAGGAGATATTCCTAATTTTAAAGGTTGTCAGTATTGAGGAAATAAATGGATGAAGGCAGGGTACAGCAGCTTTATATTAGCTTAACTGCCCTGCCTTCCCTCAAAGTAATCTGGGTTTTGCAGTTTAGCATGGATATGCATATAGTCTATACCGTGGTGTTTAGCTTTCAAAAACACCCGACACTTTTCTATTATATACTTTTTCCATTCAACTAAGAACATATTCAGTAAATATATAGTTCCAATCATACACCTGGAGCATATATGCAGTAGAGAATTAGTGGGCAGCAAAAGGGTTGAGCATCCTCTCACATACCATTCTCCCCTGCAAATACTCCCCCCTTCATGGCCCTCACATTAGTGTTTATCACAGAAACATGGAGTTTAGGACTTGGCTTTTCTAATCCTCTAGCACAGGGGTCTGCAAGGTTTACCTCGCCTGGGCCAGTTCACTCCAGTGGAGATCCCACCGTGGGCCGGATCGTGTGTGCATGCCCACAATTTCTGGTGTCTGCGCATGCGCAGACACAATTTCCAGCATTGCAGAAGTGAGTCCCCACACCACGCTGGTTTAGCGCAGTGCGCGGGATCTCACCGAGCAGGCGGCTCGGTTCGGGGGCGGCTTGTGGGCCGGTTAAACAACCCCCGTGGGCCACTTGTGGCCCATGGGCCTTAGGTTGCCGACCCCTGCTCTAGCACAGATTAGCTATCATGGCTGTGCTCTTTCACCACATGCACAGACTGCTCATTAATGGGAAACAAATCATCATCTGATTCAATGCCACAAGAATTGACATTTTAACAGGTGGGGCAGTTTTCTCTTTTATATAATCTGTCATACCTTTCCGGTAATTATGGCGATAAACATGGAAAGCATATAGCAGCTCGTAGTAATTATGTGTCATCAGATCTACTGCCCGAGCACGATATTCAATTATTCCCACAACCTATAATACAAACAACAGTTAGACATAGCTGAAGATTTCCTTATACCACTACCTCACTGCTAACAAAAGCAAACCATTTACCTCATTGTGGAGATTCACATAGGGGAACTCCACAAGATCCTGGAGCTGGGAGCGTTCACAGAGAACTACCACCAACTGCCGTAAACAATCCAGCTGCCTAGAAGGGAGAAAGAAAGAGGTAACTCTTTGCTACCATGGACTGTGAATTCTGTGGACTGGTTTTTCACATTTTAAAGCAATGTACATATTTAAACAGTATATAAATGTCTTAAATTAGAAAAACACAGCTCTTTAGAACCTAGGCAATATTTTCAGGGTTTTTTAAAGAGCCAAAAACAAAACAAAAACAACCCCAACCACCTGTGGTTGGCACTTGATTCATAAAAATAAGGTATATCAATGCCTAAAATATATGAAGTATTACCTGCTAGAATCTGGGTTATGGGTCATGGCTTCATATGCTTGACTGTTATGTCCTAAATCCAAATGGTGTTTGAAAATGCATGTCCTCAGGGTAGCCTGCAATACAAATATGGCAGTTAAGCCAACTATAACCAGCTGGAAAATTAGTGTGGTGGCACAAACAAATGCTGGATGAGAAGGGCACGCATCCTACAACAGCAAAACATAATTCCTTACTTGGCTTCTCCAATCATCAGCTGCTTCTGTGATTGCTAAGGTAGCCAACTGAATGATCAGTTCAGGTAGACCCATGGTATCCAGAAGACGCAGAACCTAGGGAGGGGAATATACAGCCAAGAATGTTTTACCTGAACTATTTGTGAAAATGTTAAGTACATGTTATACCACCCCTTCTACAAGAAAGGTTAAAAGCTTAGAAACGAAAATACCTTGTCATAGTACTGTAGCCGTGGGGTTGAAGCCATTTCAACATCCTCCGATCTAATTAGTCTATCCAAAAACTCCTCTTTTCCAACTTCTGAGGCTGCTTCACAGAAACAGTCCAGAGCCTGAAAGAAAAAAAGAACTTAAACCAAGGCTTGGGACAAAGTTAGTCCGAAGCACAGAATAAACTGGGATCACTTCCATATTGTTTTGCTACAGTTATCAATTCCATACTGTATGTCAGAGGTTGCCAAACTTTTTAGGCCAGTGGTTACATCTGCAATTCTGAGGAACTGTCAATAGCGTCAGTCACAAAATGGCACGCAGGTGCATGCTATGGTTATCAAAGCACTACACATTATAATTCAACATGGATACCACTAAAAACTATTACAGTGGTGCCTCGCAAGACGAAATTAATTCGTTCTGCGAGTTTTTTCATCTTGCGAATTTTTCGTCTTGCGAAGCACGGTTTCCCATAGGGTATTAACGGTTTCCCATAGGGTATTAACGGTTTTAAGAAAAAGGAAACAAACTTGCAAGACGTTTTCGTTTTTCGTCTTGCGAAGCAAGCCCATAGGGAAATTCGTCTTGCGAAGCAACTCAAAAAACGAAAAGCTCTTTCGTCTTGCGCTTTTTTCGTCTTGCGAGGCATTCGTCTTGCGAGGTACCACTGTACTAGGAACAGTCCATGCACACACCCCACCCGAAGCTGCCACTGAAGGCCAGAAATGAACAGCAAAGCATCTGACTCTAGGAAAGCAGTAGACAGATTCATCTGAACAAAGCCTAGATTGGTAACACAGTTGACACTTATTTTATATTTTGCTCCTTTTTAGAACAAAGCTGTCAAATCTACAGCACTCTGCAGACATCAAGATCCTCAAAAGTAACTGAGAATCTCTCACTCCTAGCTATGACTACTGTCTAACCAACTTCTCTCCTTTTGTTTCTCAACTCAAACAATAAAATGTTTATCTGTTTTAGAGAAATAAGAATTTACCTTGTGCCCTTCTCCCATAACAAGGTAGCAGCGTCCCATCATAAAACAGCATGACCCCATATTCACATGGCACCAAGGTCCCAGAAAACGAATATATTCCTAATATACAAACATCCACTAATCAGACAAATCAATGTTATGTCTTACTTCCCACTGTACTCAGACAGACATTGTTTAACGCACACCAATTAAAAAACATGAACAGGCAAGCAGCTAGGCTGGATTCTGATCTAGACATTTAGGCTTGGAGCCTCTGTTCCTGTGAGATTAACTCTGTTCACAGGATACTCCCAGTGGTATAGTGGGGAGAGAAGAGAGGCATTTCCAAACACCCCTGCCCCCCAAAAAACCTCTGCTCCATACCTTTGGGGGACCCTTTAGAAAAACATGAGAGTTTGTGCTGTAACTGTAGGTGAGGGGGGTCGGTAAAAATGGCCTCCCCAATTCAGCCAGTAGGAGCCTCTACTGGATTGAGAATCCCTTCCATAATATCCAGTTTTGATCCATTTGCCTGATTTACCTGGGCTACCTTTGAATGATGATGATGATTATTATTATTTTAGGGCAGCATGCACATAGCATCCTTCCCCGCAACTAATCCATTGCTTTGAACCAGTGCTAGCTTTCTTTTTGCCAATTATTTTTATAGATTTTCAAAATTATTATAAATCTTGCCAAATTAGTTCAATTTAATACAATTTTCCAAAACCGGCTTCCCACTCTCCTTATAAGACATGCCCAAGATGAACCCCAGTTGCTGCTCATATTCTCAGTTAATCTCTTGATCCCACCATATGTACCAATGATCCATCAGCTGCCCCTTTACATCCCTGCATACAAAACCAGGGCTAGCTTTCAACCAGGCTCCCACCTGATCTACTTAAGCATTTTCCTTCTATCCTTTAAATATTAATGTAAAGGAGTTCACAAATAAAGATCTCACCTGCAATTGAGCATACTGACAAGCCCCCATCAAACATTCTGGAAAGAGGAAGTTAGGATTGCTTGGCCACCTGAAGACTGCATAAGGAATATAGGTTATTGAACGGATGACAAGACCCTGGGCTTAATTTTATGAACTTCTATCATATCATGTCTTCCTCGCCTTTTCTCTTCTAACTAAAAAGTCCCAAACACCGCAATCTTTCTTCCTAGGGGAGTCACTCCACCCCCTTGATCATTTTGGTTGTCCCTTGACTGTGCTGTAGTCTTTTGAATGAATCAATACCACGAACAGCAGCTCCTCACATGTACAATCATAGGGCTGCATGGAAGCAGGAGCTGGTTGGAGAGCAAGGCTTTAGCATGCAGAGTTGGAGGGCAGGAACAGAAAGGAAGAAGAGGAAACAGACAAGAGATGGGCAGTGCGGCAGGCTTAGTGTGAGGGAAGGAAGAGGAAGAACAGGAAGACGGGAGGCAAAAGGACAGACAGAGGGAGAAGTGCTTGGGGCTTCTCTTGTGCCTTCTGGTCCCTCCACTTCTCTCTCACACAGTCTCATAACTCAGTCCTCTTTCCTTGCTGCCAACCCTCTGAAAGGAAAGGGAGGGAGGGGGGATTAGCAAGTAAGATGAACCATTTTTTAAAAAAAACACCCAATAAACTGGGAAGAAAGGAATGGGAAAAAAGAGGGAAACTCACAGAGGAGTGAAAAGTGAATGTAAAAAGAGCAAGGAAGAACCTCTAGATGAGGGGTTGTCAACCTGGTCCCTACCACCCACTAGTGGGCATTTCAGGATTCTAGGTGGGCAGTAAGGGGTTGTACGGCACAAGCTGAATCCTCCTTCCATCGAGCACTGGTGGGCGGTAAGGAAATGTTACCATCAAGAAAGATGCATTAGGGGGCGGTCGGTATAAAAAGGTTGACTACCCCTGCTCTAGATCATAAAATTGTGCCTAAAGTGAGGAAGCCAAGTCATGCCTCTGCAGCTATGGGCAGGATTTGGCTAACCAGCCCCATGAGTGGAAGCCCTGCACAAAGACTTCACACCTTGCCAACGGGGCTCCCCCCACAGGCACCCTCACAATTGGTTTGGGGGGGGTCCTAGAGAACCCCCAGAAGAGCATGCAGGGAAGGAGGATACATTTGGCAAGCTGGAATGCTTGCACAGGAAGAACTGAATGAGCACAATGATGAATTCCACCTAACTTCTGTACTTTACTTGAATAAAACTGAACTGTAACTCCCTGCCATAGAGGAATCACTGGAGCAAAGAATTTCAGAAATTCGCAAAGTGTCAATAATTGTCAGCTGGTTATGCCAAACTGTGCCTCTGTCTGCTGATTCCGCCCCTGCACATTGTGTTTGGTGGGCCCCAGTTAATTTTTATCCCAGGGGTAGAAAGTTTAAGAATCCCCGCACTAGAGGAACAGAAGAAAGCATAGCTCCTGTCCACCGTTTCAAGCAGAAGCTGCAACTGAAGGATACAAGAACTGCAGGAGATAACTCGAAATTGCAGAAAACATTTGAGGCCAACTCAAACTTGATTCATCCAAGGCTGCGTTAGGTGGGAACAGTTGAGATATTATGTGTTTTCGGGCTACCTCCTGAAAGAACAGCTCCACGATAGTTTGAGGGCTGGACACTAAAACAGATTAAAAGATGTTGTCTGCATCAGTATCTCTAAAGAATGAGAAAATGCCATAAACATGTTTTGTACATGATTCTTCAATGTAATGGTTTCCCTAATACTAACTTCTATATTCCACTTCTAATAAATCCAAGTGGGATGCAGGGAAGAAAGGCTGTAAACTTAAATGCCAATTTTTAGGTTTTGCTTACTTAAGATGTACTTTGCATTTTTAGACACAACACCAACTGTTTTGACAGGTAAAGACTAGATTTTCTAGCTATCTATAGAACTTTCAAGTTTGAAAAAACTAGGCATAGGAAATATGGCACGTAGGATACTTAAAATTTGGAAAATCCCAACAATTTTAAAATAAAAATCTAGCCTAGACTGCAGGTAAAGGTGGCTGGGTTAATGTTAAAAATGGCCCCTGAGCTATAGCAGTTTAGATTCTCTGAGCAACGATTTCAGCACTATCTTGCTTTAAAGTATTTTAATCTGAGCACTGGAGAACTTATGTCTATAAACATGATTAATCTTTTAGCAAAGCCTTGTATTGTCACTTTTAAAAAACAGTAACTGAACATACTTACAACCAAAAAGAGACAAAAAGCTTTTAATTTCTTACCTAGCTTGAGTGGTGTTATAGCTGTAGAATCTGTCAGTTTTAATACAGAAAGATGCTGTAGGTTACATTCCCTGAAGAAACCAAGAAAAAATACTTATCAGACAGAAAAGTCCTGAGCAGAACCTGCCCAAATTAGCTGCTTGCTATTATCAAACAAAATGCCTATTTTTCGCTAAAGGAAAAGAGAATGGCCACACCTACTTCATCCATCATATTCATTACAAACTATAGGTAAAGAACTTACAGTTCATCAACTGGAACATCTGATGCCAAGCGCTGACTTGCCCACCTGATCAGGTAATATGATAATATCAAATGAGATGTGCGATGCAGCAAGTTCTGTTGAGTGTGGTATAGCTGGCCTCCGCCCAATACCTAAAAACACAACATAAGTATTAGTTGTTCAATAGCTGTCAATGGCCAAGTATTTTCACATTATTCAGAAAAGATGCGAAAATCCTTGTGGTATTATCCTCCCCTTCTCCATATAGACATTTATACCCCATTTTGATTTTCTATAGCAATATCTTCAGGGCTGTCCCGAAGCAGTTGCTAGAAAGGAGAGGAATGAAGCCAACGGATATTGAAAGCAAGACAGCCAAAGACAGGAGTGCTATTTTAAGTGGGTTGAATGGGACTGAAGGAAAATCAACCCAGAGCCTATCTAACTGAAGTAAGCAGCTGGTGTTGGAAACATGACATTACTATCTGATCTGAATCAACTTAAGCTCCTTCTTGTTAATAAGAATAATGGCTTGGATTCAGACGTGCTGCTCTGTGATAATATATGTTTTGGTCCCCAAGTTCTTTCCTGGCTGCCAAAAAAGTAGATCAAGCAACACAGTGCACCCTGACAGCTAAGTGGTAATGTCCATTCAGCAACCATTGTAACCATTCCATTATTATTCAACACCATTGAATAATAATAACCATTCCATTATTATTCAATGTATGCTGTTCAGTTAATGATGTAAGGATTGTACTGCTTGAGGTCACACAGTCAACTTTGTTCCAATATACTCACAGTATCTCCAAGCCGTAGCAAGAGCTGCTGTAAAATCAACAAGTCCCGACAAAGCAAAAAGCGAGTCATGGACATCTTGTACACACACCGACACACCATGTTTACTGTTGTGCTACTACCATAGAGTTGTGAGAGATGCATGCGCACATTTAGGGGTTGGACTGTAGAAAGAAAGGTAAGAAAAGGCAAAAATATATGCATCTACCGACATAAGCAGCTTTCACTTAATCAAAATGTTAGGGGGAGGGAGAGTAGAGCCACTGTTCTCTCACCAATATTGAGTCCTCTTTCCATTTCCGCATCTGTCTCATAGTCCATTTCCCGGATAAGCACCCCAATAGCATCAATTGGGTTTTTGATCTCTTGCAATTTACTGTGAATATCCTCTATTAGATTCTCTCTACAAGGAAACCAGCAAAATGTGTTAGGCTTCATAAAATATATTGAGAATTTATTCAGTTATGAGGGAGTAAACATGATACAGAAGACACACTATCCACCCTATTAAGAATTATATGTGGCATCCTACAACTAATTTTTCCACACACTGTCTCAAGGGCTATGACACCCTCGGGTTGAGGAACATGAAATTGTAAGATACAAGTAATCTGGAACAAACTATTGCAATCAGGTGACTGTAATTTGTACACTACCTTGAGACAGACTGTAATAGGCAGTATATAGAAACGCTTCATAGAAAAATGAAGTAACAAAAACACTGTACAACTTTTGAATTTATATGGCTACTTTTTAAGCACAGGAACCCTAGGGATTTTGCTTGTAGTGTAGCCTTGGTTCAAACTGTCTTGGGCCTCAGCTGGAGATATACAGCGTTTTACCTGTCTGAGGGGAACAGTAAGATTGAGGACATTTTTAACAAAAAAAGAAATTGAAGGCTGAATCTCTCAGCTCTGACAGAAAAATAACTTAGGCCTTGGTGTGTAACACTGCTCTCTTGAAGAAGGCAGGGCCTAAAATCTGGAAGGACATTTCTCCACAGGGAAGGTTATCAACTGTGCTGCCTCTGCCCTCTGAGGGGAAGGAATAGTGAGCCCAATTTTCTGAGAACTACAGCTACTAGAACTTTGTGGCTAGAAATCTCTCTCTCTCTCTCTCTCTCTCTCTCTCTCTCACACACACACACACACACACACACACACACACACACACACATCCAATCAGCTAAATGCTGTAGAGTGAGAAAATCATTTTTTATCAATGGCCTACTTTGCTCATAGTGCATGCTTACATGTCATTAGCAATCAAGTCATGAAGGATCTGTCCTGCAGCTCTCTCTGGCGGCTGGGAACGGCAGCAAGCCATTTCCATTGTTAGTGCCATCTCCACAGAAATTGATTCACCAATTAACCGAAGGCACTGAACAAGACTCACAAGATCATGAGAAAATTCAGATTCTACAATGAAAAGGCGGTGTTTAGAACTTATTTCAGAGTGTGTGTGGGTATATATATTTTAATCACAATAAAAAAGCCAACTATGCTGGAAAAGCAGGAATAAAACCAGTTAAGAATACACTTTATTCTTGCTTGCACATTCTATCCAGGGGCAAAATGCAAAAAAAAATCACTTCATTAGTGCTTACTAAAGTCAACCTAAGAAGCACCAAGAATGAACTTCCCTAGTTATGTTGCTCTCTAGTTATGTTACTCTCCCACAGTGCATGATTTTGAAACATCAATAGATTTAAAACTCTCAATCCAGCCTTTCAATTTATCCATTTCTCCCACTGGCATGAGGCAAGTGCTTCTAGGAAAGTGATCATGAACTGATTACTTAAAAGTTCTTGGAGAGAGATACACCAAGGTTATTGTTACCTGCTGGGATATAACTAACTGAAAATAACCAACATGGGCAGGAATCCAAAGAGTTGAGAAATTAGATCTATGAGCCCAGTGACCCTTTATGCTTACACTTCTTGAGCAAAAGCTCCACATGCTAACATGGTAAATTGGTTTTAAAACAGAGGAGGGTTACCAAAGCAGTTTATTTTCCATGTAAGTAAAGTTTTGTTCTGAGAAGTTCCACTGCAGTAGTGCAAGCCTGATGTGAGTGGCTTTCTGGATCCTGGCTATTTATCAGAAAAATAAAACACTTTTTAAAAAAATGTAAAGACTATGTTTTAAATTCTGCTCTGCCAACAACATCTTATAGTGGGTTTGTGTGCTCACTCTCTCTTACCATCTAAGCCAGTGCTCTCAACTTCATTCACCAGTTGTTCATCAAGCGAAAGGTAAAGGTGATCCATTAGGGAGCAGGGCACAAGAAAAGACAGGTATCCCTGTGTGGGGAGAAGATACACTCATCATTTAGTTTTCAAACACCACAAAAAGATGATTTACTTACATGGAAAGCTCACAGCAACATTCTGAAGGGGGAAAATGCCCATAGTCAGAGTAGTCCACATTCTCAGCATCATAAATATTCAAAGATACAGTGGCAAAATAGTGTACTGTAACTTAGGAAAAGCTCAAACTAGCTATCTTTTAGCAGCTTCCATGATTTTCAGATCCTTATTGAAACTACGGACCATCTGAATTTCTAACCAACATTTGCTCAGGAAAAAGTCCCATGTAAAACAAGTAAACCATATAAATTTATATCTGCCACATTTATTACATAAAATTATAATTACACACTACTGAGAGCTCTTGAAACTTAAGTCCACAATAGTTAGGGTCATTGCCTGCCAGAGTTGGACAGGCCCATTTTGCTCTATGAAAGAAATATCTGAAATTTGCCTCTTTCTAACCTGATTCTCACCTTTTTAAGCAGGCACACCATGCTAGTGCATTGATTCAAGAGAAGTGCAAGTGGGCGTGAGAGTTCTTCTTGGTACTGAACACAGTAAGCATAGAATTTTGACCAAAATTCTATTTGCAGCTGTCTAAATACTTCTTGTGAGAATTCATACTCAGTCACATTTCCTTGGAACTGGAAAACAAGAACAAAAACACAGACCAAAGGTTAGCTATCCAAATGAACAGTTCTGCTAAATCAAGGATGTTGGCTGCTAAAGGTAATTTCCTCCCTCTCCTCTACCCATGTGCCCCCATAATTTGTTCTAGGGAGACACACATGGAAAACCTAACCCTAGCAGAAGCACTTCATTGGATTGGATACCACCCTAAAAACTAACATTACAACAGTAGAGCATTGTTTGACCTATCTTAAAACAAACACATAAATATAAGCACAATTATTACAAAGAACCAATGAAATAAGAATCCAAGAATGAAGGTAATCCTGTTGAAGCAACAAGAGGGGCAAAGACTAAACGGAACTCTTACCTCATTTTCCAGAGCTATAGTAATTTCTTTTTTCAGCTCATCCCAGGACAGGTCTGTGAGGTGCTCAGCTCTTTGAGAAAATATCTAAGGGAAAATTAAAAGATGTTTCTCACCCTTAAACCTAAATGCACATAGTGCCAGGGCTTACCAAATCTCACACTTGAATTCTAACAGCATGCCAAGCAGTGTCAAAAAGAATGTTCTATGTAGATGACTGCTGACAGTAGGCCACTGTAGCTATGAACTGGCAGAGCAGAGCAGAGGAGTGCTCTGCCCTTCTGCCTCAAATGCCAATCTTGCCATTTTGTGCAATTGACTTGTTAGTGTAAGTTGTAATGGTTTTCCAGAAACTCCCCAACAAATGATGATGTTCCTGCTCACCTGTAAAGCTTTAAGCAAAGCCGCATTTGTGAACTGTCCAGGCATGAAGATGGCCTCTGTAAATGTTTCCTGTAAGAGTCAGCATAATTATTTCCCAAGCAGATCATGTGATTCATTTTATTCCCTTCCACTAACAGCTACGTCCAAATATTGTCCCATGACTATGTTCTAGCAACTGCTCAACTTCAGTTTATATGACAATTTCCAATGTGCACTATATATTAACTATGTGAAATTGTTAATACATTAGAGATCCACACATGCTGCCTAAAGCTTGAAAGAAAGAAATCAACCTTGAAACTAAGAGTAAAATGAAGTGTAGAAATTGAGGCACTGTTCATTTCTGAAACACAAAGTTTTGAACCAAAAAAAAAAAAGAACTTAAAAAAAAAAAGGCATGCTTCTGGTGGCCAAAGGAATCTTGCTTTCAGACACTTTGGGACACAAGAAGCACCAAGAGTAATATCAAACACACACACACACACACACACACACACAGAGAACAAAGTTTACACATCAATTAGTCAAAGCCAAGAGTCTTGCACTTCAGACCAAACAAAATGCATATTTGACACTACTAATCTAACAATTTTTTTAAAAAAGGAGAATGCCTTCTTTCAAAGATCCATCATTTCACTGGTCTTCCTTCTTAGCAACTGAGCACACAGATTTGTTTTTTCCCATATATACGCAATGTTCATACTTTTAGGGATTCATACAAGTGCTACTCATCTGTGTTTTGCCATTCAAATTCATAATAAATTAATTTGAAGAACTCACCCTTGGGTCCTGGTCATCTCTAATATCCACTTCTTCAGGTGGCAGGGGCTGCACAGAGACTTGGTTCCACTGACCTGCAACATTGCTAAAACAAGACTGGACTATTTTAGCCAACTTTACATTTATAGTTCAAAAAAGATTGCTTCCAAGTAGAATAAATAAATATATATAACTATGAACAATTAAACATAACCAACATCTTCCATATTTTTGACCCATGACACCACAAACCTACAATTATAAACTAAAAACAGATGAATGAAAGTTTGCTGATGCGGGTTTCCCCTACATGGACATGTGTGTATGCACACACAGAGACTATCATCGTCCCCTTCCCTCAGTGCCAAGTGGGATATCTAAGGGACTATATTTTAGCAGCTCTGCAGCTTTCCAAAACCAGTCGTTTCCTCCCGCCTACAAAATGGAGGGAAGTCTTCCTGTTTCTGTGAAGCTGGCCCTGCCAGTCCAGTGTATGACCCTTCAAAACCATAACATCCCCAGACAATGTAGCTTCTGTCCATTTCTCCAAGATGGCTGACACATATAATTGCTGGCTGTTTCAACAAATAGTCTAAGAGCTCCTATGACATGTCAAGTCTACCAGGAGACAGAGAAATCTCCTTTCCAATTTTCACCTTGTGTCGCCACCTCTTAGCTTAAACAGGTGTGAAGCATGGAAACTAACTGCTTGAGCAAGCCTGCATGCTGCTCACAGCCCATCCTAAGTATTATAAACATGGCTCCCCTGATCTTTTGTCAACCTCCTTAGCCATCCAGAAATGCCTTACGCAGAACTATATGGTAACTCCATGCTTCATCAATAGGTATCAAATCCTTGTTAGAAGTGCCAGCATAGGTTATAGTTATTTTCTTTGAAGTATCTTTCTGCTATCTCTTAGTGTTGAGAGAATCTCCTTTTTAATTTGGATTCAGGGCTTAAAGTAACTTTTTCCTCGCCCAATTTACTGCTCATGGTTACACCAGGGGTGGACAAAACTTACTGCTCAAAATTGATGTATTTCACAGTGGTTCTATTTTCATCATCATGCCAGAGTGCCCAGATCTCAGCAGTAGTTAAGGAAAAGTCAACAAGGGTCTCCTAAGTTAAAAACATACCACAACGAGTGGATTATAACAATGAATATGATTTTCAAACCTAAATGTACTCAAGAGAATGAAACTAAATAATAACAGTACAATGGAGATAACTTATATTTTGTTGAATCTATAAAAACTAGTATTTTTTAAATTTATTACTAGCAGACAAATACTGGGGCTACACACAGAAGAGCCCATGGATCAGAAGTAACTGAATATAAAGGAGGCAGGTACACACATCCCTTTCTCTCCAACATCACATCATGTTGCTTAATCTCATATAGAATGGAAGATGGAATGGAAGACAGTACTCTATTGACCCCTATCAGTGCAGAGTGGATGTTTCTTGACAGACACATTCATTTTAATGTAAATCTTATTCATTCCCACCTGAGAAGTGAACAGTGATGATATGTGATCAAGACTATAGCGTTGACTCTCTGTGCTGACCAACTGGAAGACACAGAACTGCAAAAAAAAAAAAAAAAAAAATGATTCTGTCATTAGTGAAAATAAAACTGTAAACTATTTTAGACAATCCTTATATTCCAGTCCTCTAATTATAATACCCAGTAACCATTCAGGATGTAGTAATGACACTAGACTGTGAAAATCAAGTTGAACAGATGCTTTTAAAGTTGGTTGTTTTAGCACTTGTAGAGAAGAGGACATCCTTAGCAATTAATTCACTTTTCAGACTTTCTCTTTCTGAGGAGGAGCAACAGGTTCCCTATGGAGATACCACAGGTGCATTTGAAATGGAATGCCTCCATGCCCAAGGCATTATGTAAAGTGTAATTTTGTCCTCTGCAGACACCTACATAGTGCTTTCCATTCCCTTTTTTCTCTAGCCTTCCTCACCTTACTTTCTTGTTTGCAAAGCTTGGAGATCTAAGAAAACTGATACAGAAAATTGGGTTTGGGACTCAGGACAGGAAATGCACCAATCCTGGATGCTGCATCTCTAGAAAATAGTCTCCACGTTTCCCCCCCCCAAAAAACTATACCAATGAATTATCTGCCATAGAAGGAAATGAGAAATTGTTTTTCCCTGGAACAATGCATTTGATAAGTCCTTCTGAAAGCACTTCATCAAAATACATCTTATCAAGTATCAAGGAGCGATTATTTCCCAGTTTTTAAAGCAAAAGACATTTGAAATTGTCAGCAAGCTCTTTTAATCCAGGATCAAAAGCTATGTCATTTTGTAAACTTCTAGGACTGGACAAAACATGTTTAAAATTATTGAAGAAAACTTTTCTTATCCACATAAACTCTGAAACTGATGGGTCATACTAGAAGAAGAGTTTGGATTTGATATCCCGCCTTTCACTCCCTTTAAGGAGTCTCAAAGCGGCTAACATTCTCCTTTCCCTTCCTCCCCTACTAGTAGTTCCCTGACTCTCAACTTAACAGCAAATTAAAATTCTACGAATGTAAGACAATTCAAGTACCTGTCCTTGTTTGGGTGCATGCAAGTATACACCAATGTAAAGCCCCAGGGTCTCAGAATAAGACAGCTGTAATCTGTGTCCAGTCCCAGCAGCAAGTCTTAGGTCCTTACTTACAGGCACAAATTCCAACATATCAGCCACCATCAGGCACATTTGATCCTGCCAAGATAAGAAGCCAGATAAGTAACACAATCTGCAAATGGGACAAATGCTTTAAACACACCTGCCAAAACAGCAGCTTGATATACTAGACAGATACTTTACCATGTGTTCCTTTACAGTAAAGGATACAGATCTGAAGGTTGTGCATGTTCACAGCAGACCACAGAAAAGGTAATTAATATAGCTTGCATATTCAAAGGGACATGTTGCCAAAAACCAACATTTGGAAAGTATCATTAGTCATATGAATAATCAACCATCAGCAATGACAACAGTATTCTATCAGAAATTAGCATTTCACACTCACTTTGTAAGACCACATTCGAAGTTTATGATCCTGGTAGAGTGCAAAGAGGAGGGCATCATGCTCACGACAGTGGACAGACAAGCTAACAGGAAGCTCTGAAGGACCTTGGTCTCCTCTGGAAAAGATTTAAACTAAATTATATGTATTATAAACAAAAAAGCACAGAATTTACAAGAGTTTAAAAGTTAGAAGTGCCAAATCTTCACCTGATGTCATGATGACATCATATGATTGAGAGGTGGATACCACCCCCCACCTTGTCAAACATGTCCCATGAGCTATACGGGAGATAAGAATCTGGCCCACCCGTCAGATTAGGTTCCCCATTCCTCGTTTACGGTGAAGCACTACCTTTTCATATAAAACCATACCCCTTTCAAGATAAAAGTTACATCATTTGCTCTTCTAAATATTCCAAGCAACCATCAATCACAATGCAGCCATTTAGCCTCCAAAGTTTGAGGGCATGAATTTGTCAGATTTCCGTTCCACACTTCCTCAGTGTATCAGAATTATCTCTTCACAACTCTTCTCTATGATAGGTTAGGCTAAGAGATAATGATGACCACCTGCTGAGTAGAGAATTTCTTACTTCCAAACCTAACACTAGCCACACAGGCTCTCTGAACAATAGCCATCATGTCTGGAAATAAAAAGGATGCAACCTTCTTACTAAAAAGTAGGGAACTGTGAAAAACAGTCAGACGTACACACTTTCTAACCACTGGACTATGGGCAGATTTGGAACACCTCTGCTACATGCAATTGTAGCTGAAGTACTGAATCCAACAGCACCCCTGGCCTTCATATGAAAAAGAAAAGACTGACTGTCTTCTGCAGGTTCCTATTCCCTCAAAACATGTTCATTCATTTTGCTTTGTCCAGATCTGAGACGACAGGAGCAATTTCAAGATTAACTTAATATGCTTGTTTAAAAAAGAGAGCCACCTAAGAAAAAGCACATTACACTTCCAATAATTAATTACACTTCTAGACCTGGTTGAAAAGCTAGGTACAAATGATTTTAGATAGCTCATTTGGTTGCTGAAAAGAAATATCCTTCAATGAATAATAGGCAGAGTGCTCATTCAAGCCTGTTCCAACTATGCCACTGGCTACTGTAGAGACTTCAAGAGCTCTGTTTGCCATCAAAATACTAGCCTGATAGCTGTTGGCATCCAACCTGTAAGCAAGCGCTGCATGACTGAACTCTGTTTCAACTCTACGACTAGAGTTGAAACCATTCCTAAAAACAAAACAAAAATGATTTATTAATAATGCATGCATATATGGCGCACAACAGCAACTAAATCAGATGAATAATCTTTCAGAAGTCCCATGTGGAAACATTCAAGACAAAATGACTACTGATTTTAGACATTAATTGACGGTGTCCAAAATTGCAAAAGCAGGTTCTGCTGCTGTCTTTGTTCCCTTAGTTTAATCAATTAGTACAGCACACACTTCTCAATTAGAACAGTTTTGCGGATATGGGGAGTCAATTGCCTTATGCACATTAGAAAATATTTTAAACCTGCTTTAAATTCTTATTCGATGTGCAATTTCTGAGATTTATAACTGAAAAGCAAAGCAACTTTAAATAAATTATCTAGATCAGCTTCTATACTTACCATGAGTATTGTGGGGTGGCAGATTAAGGACAAAAATCCCACCAGATGCAGATGGCAAAGCAAAAAGTGCTCCTCCATCACTGGTAAGCCAAGCTGCTGAAGCAGTGGAATGAGTTGACAGACCAGGGATTGCAGGAATCACGCAATAGTTAAAAGGATCTCTTAAATGAACTTTTCCAACATCTGTGAAAACTGACTGTACATGACTTTCTGTGATCAGCTCCTATTAAGAAAATCCCCAATAAGCTTAGTTATCAATAAGAAATATAAATTTGAAGTATGAACATGGAAAAGTCAAATAGGAAATGCCTTTTCTATTCAAATTCCTCTTGTAACATATAACCTAGAAGTGTCTGAAAAATGGTATCAAAGGAAACATTAGATAAAAGCAGTTTCTTCAGAGCAATCAAAGGAATATAGGAAGCTGCCTTATACCATGTCAGACTGTTTGTTCAGCTAATCCAGTATTGCGTATTTTGGTGGCTCTCTAAGATCTCAGGAACAGGACTTTTACATGATCTGCTCTTGTAATTCTTTTAATGGGAGACACCAGGGATTTAAGCCAAGACCTGATGCATGCCAACAAGGGCTCTGTCAATGACCCTTCTCAGTGCATTTTATCTTAGACAAGATTACTTTGAACTATCTATATATTTTGCTCCATACCAAAATTTTACCCAGCAAATTATTCAACATGAATTTGCAACAATAAAAACATTTGAAAATTAGATTTTATTTAATTTTCTATATAAAAAATACAACCAAACATGTGGCCAAAAAAAATACATTACAAAAAAATAAATTACAGAATATTTCACAGCCCATTCCCAGAAAGGGAATCAGTTCAGAATCTATAAAATCAGTTCAGAATCTATAAAATCATATGTCCATATGTCCAAATCAGCAGGCTGCAGTTAGTGATTGCCCTTCAAACCAGAATCAACCCTTACACCATGAATGAGCTGGGTTCAAGGGTTAGCCATAGTTTCCAGTTCAGACATCACAATCATCTATGATTAACACTAAATAATAAAGAATCTAAACACAAGGTGAGAGACAAGCCTAGGGCTTGTTTCTGACACTCCAAATCATAGTTTGGTGTATTACCTGAACTGAACATGCTATACAGTATATGCAATCACAATCCAAAATGATAGCTTTGCCTGTGTATTATAAATTTGTTTGTTAATTGTTAATTCACACTCTTTGAATTTTTGAAAAAAAGTTACTTACACTCCTATACATCCGAGTGGGGTGTGGTAAAATCAACCTATGTACTGTCTGATTGGTTGAAATCAAGATAACAACATTATTCTGGGTCTCAAATATATGTACTCCTCCAGGTAAGAGGCTACAATTCTGAAATTTGAGCTGAACAGCATTGTTCAAAAGGTTTATATCAAGGGATTCCTCTACCAGTTCCAAGGTTGCACCTGACGTAGCCCTGCAAAAGAAAACAAGTAAATACATATAGGAATTATAGGTTTACAGAGTACAATTCAACCCAGTATTTGCATGGTGGAAAGACAATGGCACCAAGAAGCAAATCTCAAGATATATGTGCTACCTGTATTTCTATATGCCTTAGGTTTTGCAAGCATACAAAGAGCATGCAGTGCACACCAGTGTACAGTGGTACACAAGGAGGTAAAGCTGTAGGTTGCCCTTCCTCTTCTGGAAGTCCAGGAAGGTATACAGCACAATCAAACTAAAACATCTCAATCAAACTATTTTAATACTGCAGCAGACAAACACAAAATACAACTATGAGATTCAACATCACTTTAATCTTCTCCCCCTTCACAAAGCCAGAACGGGGAATATTTGAATAACTATCCAAGACTGGGAATGAACCTAGTGCCAAAAGGCACAAGCAGCTGGAGGAGTTGCTAGGAGGCAGGGATAGGCACATTGGGAACATAATTGTGTGAGGCTACTGAGCTCCATGGTTAGATGCATAGCTTCCTGTTGACCTAGCCCTGTATTTCACCAAGACAGCACTAAAACACAATAGTTCTGTAGTGTGGTTATAGGAATTTTGTGGGCCTTTGCTCCTCAATACAGCTTCATTTGCTAATTCGTCCTTCTCACTTCCTACATAATCATGCAGCTGTTTCTTCAAACTGCTTCCCCATGCCCTAACTGTAATTCATACAACCTTCCATGCACTACTGAGGTACCCATTCATAGAACTCTCTAATTTCAAATTCAATGGCCATTTTGCTGTCACATACAGTTATTATCAAAGATTACTGTCAATTACTGCTCAAGTCACCTGTCATTCATTTTAATGCCTTAACATTTTTGGTTGTGGACCTTTCCTCTGCATGCTTTCCTTAGCATACACCCCAACTTTAGAATTTTCTTCCCACAGAGCTACAACTGGTGTTGTACCATTCTGTTCATAACTGCACTAGGTTAATGCATTAAAAAAAGGCATTTTAAACTGTTAGCTTGCTTTAGTTCTGCTCTGGAAGAACCAACGGCTCAAAACACTTCAATAGTGAAGAACAGATCAAAACCAAAAGAAAAAGATCATCTGGTTTATTTGGGTATATCACCCTAGTCACATGCTAAACGGGATCAGGCATCAGAAGAAGATGCCAGAAGGGGAAGCCCGGCCAAAGCGGAGGGCAGCTCCTCTTCACTCTTCCCAACCTCTCCCAGTGGAGTGAGAGGGCAGGATCCGATCCGTGGTACTGCCTGGCGGGTGGGCTGCAGAAGCAAGGCCACTCACCAGTGGATGAAGCGGTTCCTGGTCACAGACCCTAGCTGCGCGTTTTCTTGGTACCAGAATCCTCCGGCGCTGTCGGCGTAGCGAACGGGCGTGAGGGACGAGCCACCGCCTGCGAGGGACAAGGCAAAGGAGGCACGTCAGCCAGGCAGGCGGCAGGAGCAACAGCAGCAGCAGCGTGACTTTTACCATGCGTGCAACAGCAATGACACCCGCCCAGCAACCCACGTCCGCCGCCCGCTCCCTGGCCGGGCGCCGCTACCTGGGAGGCTGAACACGAGCTCGCGAACCCGGCGCCGCGCTCCCCGCTCAGCGCCCACCAGCTCCAAATATCCCCGCTCCGGGAGCCCGACAGCCGCCGCCATCTTCCCTTCCCGCGCGCGGAGCCGCAGGGGATCACGGGATAGTGGGAAGGGGGCGCGGCCGAACCGAGCCTGCTTTCGCGGTGAATCATGGGAAGGCCTGAGGCGTCTATGTTCTGCGAAGGACTAGATGGAGCGACTGCTGGGCAAGGAGCGCAGCCAGACGCCCGTCCAGTTAGACCCGGCCCGCGCTTCAGTTAGACCAGGCGCAATAGGGAAGGGCCATTTCATGGAGCAGGTTTGGCCAACCAGGCGCCCCTCCAGATGTTTTGGACTGCATTTCCCGTCGAAACATCTGCTGGCTGGGCCTGATGGGAGTTGTAGTCCAAGTCCTCTGGAAGGCACCAGGTCGGCAAAGAGTGGCAGCCAGGCAGACTTGGATGAAAAATTAACTCAGTGGTATAAGCTAGCGAAGGGGGAAATGCAAGCAGATGGCTTCACGGAGACGCGGGTCCCGTTCCTTCCCTATGTTAATTTGCAAGGTGTGGCGAGACACCTTTACCTGATTACGGCCTTTTTTGTATTCCACCTTAATGTAACCAATGCAAGTCTGCTTAGAAGCATTGTTGTTAGAAGTATCACAGTTTCTCACTGTAATAAGAGTTTCAGTGTTGTTTTATTGTTATAATTTAAAAAAAAAATTACATGGGAAAAGGAGCAACTCAGGTAGTTTAGGACATTTACAAAAAAGAGGCCCTTGAGTTATCTATGACAGCAGAGAAGAGGACCATTCATTTCCTCTCTAAAGTTTGCTATAGTTTGTTTAGGTCACAAAATGGTAGGGCACAATCCAGCCAAAGTTAAGCAGTTATTTTTTTAATTAAAAAAATCAAATATATTTTAGAGAGAGTTAGAATTAGAGAGAGTTTTGATTGAGGAAGGGTATCTTTGCAGGGTGGGTAAGAAGCAGTAGGGCTGGACCTGCAGTGGTACTGCCTGCCATGGCCGTCTGTGCCAGGCATGGGGCAACACAAAGCTGAGGTCCTGAACAGTTGCCCCACAACCATCCAACCTTCTCCCCATGTTTGCTGTGACTGAAAGGACAGTGCCTGTTGCTAAATATGTTCAGCAGGATATATTGGCTTTCTAATACATCTTAGGTGTGACCTCTGTATCCTTGGTAATCCTATGTTTTTAGGAACATTTCTGAGAAATCTACATGACAGCGGTGTAAATCAGGAAGTGCTGTAAATCAGCCAGTTGGTGATAGAAAGGCAGAAATTTAGATTCCCATTCATTCTACTGTTCTACTAGTGTTCTAGAGCACTTCTTCCAATACTGTTTTCTGCCAATGTTTCTGTCAACCTGCTGTTTGCTCTGTTCACAAGAATAGCAGCCAGCCTGGAATATGTTCACCTGCAACATAGCTCCCATTGGTGTAGTTATTGCCAAAAGTTATCCTCCCTAACAGCATGTAATGGGCATGACAGATGACATTAAGAAGGTGTGGAAGAATGATTTTAGAGAGTTTGAAGATAGTGAATCAGATAGTGTATGGACTAACTCCCCCTCCCAGTTTATACACTATCTTTGTGAGAATCCAGGAAGCTACCTTTTAGGATTCCTCTAAAACTGCCCTACATGGCAAATAAGTGTTTCCATCATGCAGTTGGGGATGTGCTGAGAGAGGATCACTATTCTACATGTGGTGGAGCTGTCCTTTTGCAAACAAGTTTTCAGAGGAAGCGTTCTTAGAGCTGGTTAAGATTACTAGCAAAAAACTTCAGTTGGACCAGTGTTGGCACTCTAGTCAATCAAAAGTGTGCTTAATGAGGAAATTAAACATAAAGAATTACTAGCAGTGTTATTGGCAATGGCTCAAGTAGAATTAGAAGGCTGTTAGAAAGGGAATACACCTCCTACAAAACACGGTTTGTATGTTAAAATATGGGATCATGTAGCACTGCCTGAGTGCTTTGCACAGGATAGAGGGGTTATTCAAGGTAAAGCAAAAAGGCAATGTTTTGATACTATTTTATATGGTTTCCATTTATTAGCTATATTAATAAATGGACATCCTCCTTGCCTTCTGGTGACCAATCCAACTTTGTGGCAAGGTTATCTCCATTTTTCAACATGATACATGTAGAAATATATTGTGATGATAAAACCCCCTTATTATCTTCTGTAATTAGCAAACAAGTGTTGTTTGTTTTTGGTTGCCTTGTTTGTTATTAAATAACTATAAAACTCAATTACAGTGGTACCTCAGGTTACATACGCTTCAGGTTACAGACTCCGCTAACCCAGAAATAGTACCTCGGGTTAAGAACTTTGCTTCAGGATGAGAACAGAAATTGCATGGCGGCGGCGCAGCAGCAGCGGGAGGCCCCATTAGCTAAAGTGGTGCTTCAGGATTAAGAACAGTTTCAGGTTAAGAACGGACCTCCGGAATGAATTAAGTACGTAACCAGAGGTACCACTGTAAAAGCAGTTTCTCCACCTTACCCAATGCTTCTCTTCTGCTATTCTGGGAGCTGTTTCTCGGAACCAGGTTTTGGTTCTGGGTGGTCCCTAAACTGCATGACACACATTCCAGACAGCACTACCATGAACCAGTGCAATCCCTCAGTCCTGACAAGAATAATCTCTGGCTGGAACTGGGCACAGAACCAGCAGCTGGCACTTATATTATTTCATCCTCCTTCCTTCTGCTGTGTGTTCCATGGCTGAAGGTGCAGCTTTCAGTGGCAAGGTCTAGCCTGCCCTGCCTCCCTAAGTCCTTGTTGTTCTAGGGCCTCACAGCACCAAGAGAGGGCAGGGCCACCAGCAGCTGCTGTGGGATGGAGATGTGGAGGACTCTGAATGGCGCTGTTCTGTCTGCTGGGAGCAGCTCTGCCTCCCTGGTGTTGGGAAGAGGTTGAAGGGCTGGGTCATCTCAAACAATACTTCCTTTCAGGCAGAAGAGCTGCATGAACAGCTCTTAGGCGGCTGTGGCTGTACAATGCACCCTGTCTTCCAATGCAGAATGGCAGCATTATTGTGCCAGTCAGGTGGCTGACGAAGGCCTGCTTCTGGGAACGTAGGCACTAGCTAGAACAGGCCCTGGGCTGGAACACAGACACAATGGTGGACCAGGACAGCTTCTAAGTGGACCCACCTGTATTTCACATATCCTCAGGGAGAGGCAAAGGCAACCTTCCCACTGCCTATCTCTGTACCTGACCAACCCTTTCTAGTTCCATGCTTCTCAAGGCCTGACTATCCATTGGACTAATGGGAAATTTAGGAAATCAGGTCTACAAGGGAAGCTGAGGTGCCAATGGCACACATAGTTTGCCCTACAGCATTTCAGCCTTTTCTCTCTGATAACCGTTCTGCTGGTCCTGATGAATGGGCACAAGCAGATAGTGTTAGAAACTGAGATATGGAAGCTAGGAGCTAAATGGCACCTTAAACCTAGGTTATGGGTGCAGCAATGGAATGTCTAGGCTCACTTTTTTATAACAAGAATACAAATCTGGAAATGAATGAACTGCAGCTAAAATATATGTTCATTTTTCGTATGGCCTAGTCCTTCCCCTGTCCACCCCCTCAATGTTCTTAAGAGGGTCTCTTCTCCAGTCTTCAGAGTACCTGGAAGTCCCTGTAGCTGGAAGGTCCTTGTTTCCTTCCACACTGCAGTTTTAATCTGAAATCTTAGACGCAGTACTAAGAAATTCCCTGTTGCAAAATGCACCTAGAACAATGGGAATTTTGAACACTGCATGCATGCATAAAGTTATCTGATGGCTGCAGGAGATACCTTCCAAATGAAAGTCACCTTCAGAGATGCAGAATCTGAAACAGCAGGGTTTGCATTGCCTCTTTAACTTCAGGTCCTCCTCCCCCCCCCACTGTTTCCTCCTGGGTGGTATTGAGTGGATGGGGGAAGAGATTATGGTGTGTCTGGGGCTGTCTCCTGCTGCCCTGCCGCCTGCCTAGTGAGAAGGGATGCTCACTTATGAATCAGGGTTCCCACTCTTGAAACTTCCCTGTCACTGCCCAATCCTATGCATGTGTATTCAAGGAGACTTATACTCAGGTAATGGGGGGCCCTCACCTATTAACTTTTTGCTTGTTATATACCTATTTATGTGAGCTTTTAGCTTTCCTCTAAGGAGCTCAGGGTTTTCCACTCCCCAATTTATCCTCACAACAACTCTGTGAGGGAGGCTAGGCTGAGCAACAGTGACTGGCCCAGGGATCTTCATGGCTGAAGAGGATTTTAATCTTTGTCTCTCAGGTCCTACCTACCGTAATATCCTTCCATCTTAATCCACAACTCCACATTCTTGAAAAGAAGCTGTAGAAGTGAACAAGCTAGTGGGGTGGGTGGGGCAGATATACTATTTCCCCCAAGGGGCATATTCCATTTCTTTTTTTTTTTAAAGCAATTTGTTGGGTTTTACAATAAAAATAAACATCATGAACAATATAACATTTGTCTTAACATAGTTTCACATTTTCTTTGGACTTCCTCACATCCCCCGCTCCCACTTTCATCGTTATAACATTTTGTCAGCAATTTATCATCTTATTTAAATTCTTATATCTCTTCAATGTTTCATAATCTTATGGTTCTCATAAAGAGTTAAACTTTCACAGTCTTACTTGTTTTCTTAAAAACTTCTAAGTTAAGTGGTGCTCAGTTATTTAGTCTAGCATCTTATTTAGCATTCACTCAAATCACAATATTTTTGTAGATAGTTCTTAAATTTCTTCCAATCCTCCTCGATTCTCTCTTCTCCCAGGTCACGGATTCTGCCAGTCATTTCAGCCAGTTCCATGTAGTCTATCAGTTGCATCTGCCATTCTTCCAGTGTGGGTAAATCTTGAGTTTTCCAATGTTTTGCAAGAAGTATCCTTGCTGCTGTTGTTGCATACATAAAAATGTCTGGTCCTTCTTTGCCACCCCTTGGCTGACAATACCCAGAAGGAAAGCCTCTGGTTTCTTGGTAAAGGTATATTTAAATACCTTTTTCAATTCATTATAAATCATTTCCCAGAACGCCTTCACTTTAGGGCAGGTCCACCAGAGGTGGAAGAACGTTCCCTCAC